AAGCATATGTTCACGACCGCCCCGATGCTGCAGTCGTTCGACCCAGATAAGCATACGATTCTCGAGACAGATGCTTCAGGTTATGTAGTAGGTGGAGCACTGATGCAATATGACAATGAAGGTGTTCTACGACCCTGTGCCTTCACCTCAAAGAAGATGTCGCCCGCCGAATGTAACTACGAGATTTACGACAAGGAGCTCCTGGCAATCATACGATGCCTCGAAGAATGGGAATCCGAGCTCATGAGCGTTGAGAAGTTCGAGATCGTCACCGATCATAAGAACTTAGAATACTTTACAACCACTCGCAAGCTCACAGAGAGGCATATGCGCTGGTCACTGTTCCTCAGCCGTTTCTCGTTCGCGATCCGTTACCGACCAGGGGCAGAAAACGCCCTTGCGGATGCCCTATCCCGCAGAGAACAAGATATGCCCTCTGACGACCTAGATGACAGGTGGAAGCACCGAGAACATCGGTTAATCGACCCCGCGATTATAGAAAGTCCCAGGCAATCAGATAGCTCCCGCGTACGCGTTAACCTGTCCCGAGCTCAGGAACCTTCGCTCGAAGAACAATGGAAGCAAGCAGCAGAGGCGGACGAATCCTGGCAACAGGCCGCGGAAGCCGTACGAAGCAAAGCACCTCGATTCCCCGCAGGCGTATACCCAAGAACGGACATCTCAGCATGCTCGATTGACGATGACAACTGCCTACGCTTTCGAGATAGGCGATGGGTCCCTAATTCAGAACCCTTACGAACACGGATCATGCAGGATATCCACGACTCGCCGATGACTGGGCACCCAGGGCGTGAGATCATGTACAGCATCATCGCCCGAGGATTCTACTGGCCGGATATGTCGAAGGATGTACGCCGGTTTGTACGCAATTGCGACCGCTGCGGCTCAGTAACAGCATGGCGTGAGCGCCGAAAAGGAATGCTAAAACCCCTGCCTGTCCCCGAACGAACTTGGCGCGATATAGCTATCGACTTCGCAGTTTCCTTACCTGAGAGCGGTGGTTCTACGAATGTCCTAGTCATTGTCGATCGCCTCAGCAAGGGCGTGATACTGCAGCCCTGTGACAAGATGGATGCTGAAGTCGTTGCGGACGCCTTCGTCAGGAGCCCATTCTATCGCATGCACGGCCTACCTTCGTCCATTGTATCAGATAGAGGCAGTCAGTTCGTGAGCGCACTTTGGACCCGCGTATGCCAGCTACTGAGAATCGAGCGAAAGTTGTCGACAGCGTACCACCCAGAGACCGATGGAGCCACTGAGAGGATGATACAGACAGTTAAGAACATCCTCCGAAAGTTCTGCAACTACGCGCAAGATGACTGGAGCGACCTGCTGCCGCATGCTGAGATTGCCATAAACGGCCGAGATTCTGCTACGACAGGTGTAAGCCCGTTCTTCCTTCTACACGGTTATGATTTAGAGATTCTGGACTTCCCTGAGACCCCCCGAGAAACCACGTACGCCCGCAGTCCCGTACAGGCGGCAGAGAACATAGTCAGCAAGCTCAAGAAAGCCCGCGAGTGGGCCGAAGCTTCGATGGCCAGTGCTCAACAAGACTATGAGGACCAAGCGAACACCAGAAGGAGTCCTGCGACCCGTTACAGCATAGGAGACAAGGTCTGGTTAGATCTCAAGAACATAAGAACGGACCGCCCCTCGCGTACGCTGGACTACCGTCACGCCAAATACACGGTAGTAGAAGTGCTAGGCACCCACGACTATCGACTGGACACCCCGCCTGGCATCCACGATGTCTTTCATACGAACCTGCTCCGACCCGCGGCCGAGGACCCGTTCCCTTCGCAAAAGACCTCCGACTGGCAACCACCTGCCATCGTAGGAGAAGACAATGAACTCGAATGGGAAATTGAAGCAATCCTCGGCGATAGAACCAATCGCCGCCGCCGCGAATACCTTGTCAAATGGGTAGGATACGATCGTCCAACCTGGGAACCCGCGTCCGCCATGGACGACACCGTCGCACTCGACGCCTACGAATCCTCGCTCGCCCCGGTAGGGGGGGATAATGTGACGGGTTAGCACCCGTTAGTAGTTAACTTACGCAACCAACCCCCTATCGCCCGTTCGCCCTCTCACGTGCTCTCGCGTACCTACGAAACGCCCCTCTCCTCGCGATCCCGCTCCGCGCTCGCGTAGTCTCTAACGATTCCTCCGCGTAACCCCTAACATTCTTCCGCTCCGCGCTCCACTGCAGCGCGACCCCCGATATTCTTCCGTCCCGATCCTCCTTCTATAAGAACCCCCTCGTACGACCCCTTCTTCTGATCTTCTTTCTCTTTCTTTCCTTAATCGATTCGTAAACTGTTACCAGGATAGTGTCAAGTCCGTTGATATTGCCGTTGGAACGGATCGTACGAACTGCGCAGGCGGTACGAACGGTTTAATCTGCAACATCGGTAACATCTGCTTAATCGGTGGCACGCCCGTCACACAGATCTTTTTTTAATATAATCAATATGCTTAAGTATAGAAACTGGTAATGAGACACTCAGATCTTAAATATAATCAATGCATTTGAGTATAGAAACTAATAACTAGACATTCAGATCTTAAACACAGATGAATTGATTTGTAATGTAACAGATATGCCACTGATTAAGCAGATATTATCAATGTTGTAGATTAAACTGTTTGTACTGTCTGTGCAGTTTGTACAATTCATTTCAACAGTACTATCAACAGACTTGACACTATTCTGATAATAGTTTATAAATTGATTAAGAAAAGAAAGAGAAAGAAAATCAGAAGAAGGGGTTGTATAAGAGGGTTTTTATAGATAAGAGAATTGAAGTGGAAGAAATATTAAAGATTGTGCTCTGAAGAAACACAGAGTAGAAGAATTATTAGAGTGTTAAAATGTATGTGATTGTGAGGTGGAATTGCAAGAAGATGTGGAAGAACTTCATGAGTGTGCATGAGCACATGAGCGCACAGTAGAGGGTTGGTTGCATAAGTTAACTATCAACAGATGCTAACCCATCACAATATGATTTTCTTATAACATTACTCTATAAAAATGACTTCAAATCTAGTTTCTATAACTCTGCTCTATAATATTACACATTCTGCAATCATTTTTATATGATAATCTATATAAATAATCTTTATATTATAGCAGAAGATTTGACAGATGCTGATTGACTAGTTAATATTCTTATCAATAAATTAGAAATAAAAGATTTGAAAGAATCTTTGAAATATTTGAATATAAAAATTGAATGTTGCTCTGATAATGTTATAAAATTGATATTGAGATGTTATATTGATTATTTAGTACAAGATTTCTGTCTAGACAATGCTGTCTCTGTCTCTATATCAATATTTGAGAGAATGAAGATAGATGATATCTCTGTATCAGAATAAAAAGAAGAATTTATTAAAAAATAATATTAATACAGAGTAGAGTGCTTGTAGTATCTGATAGTTAAATTATACTCAGATATTATATAAGCAGTATCTCTACTAGTACAGAAGAATACTGTGTCTATATCTAAAATATAAAGAGCTTTTTTTCACATTATATAATATCTAAAAGAAATGAGTAATCTAGATATCTTATACAAAGATTTCAAGAATAAGATTGATGAATTTCTCAATGTGTTATATTTACTGATAGATTATACAGATTCAGATTGAGCAGAATTGTTGAATAATGAATATAAATCTATCTTAAACTTTATATTCAAGTTAGCAGATGCATCAATTTTATGATGTTTATTCAAACAATTTTATATTTCTTTAAATTCAAATAAGATAGAATATATAGCACTCAGTGAAGCAGTATATAAAGTAATATGATTGTATAATATAATAATAGAATTAGAATTTATTACAGCAAAGAATCTCTTGTTCATCAAAGTAGATAATAAAAATTTAATTGATCTAGCTACTATTGCTGTGATCACAGCACACAGCAAGTATATTGATACTTACTTTCACTATTCTCACACACAACTGAATGAAGATGTTATTTCAATTAATTATATTTTCACTGAGAATATGATAGCAGATGAATTAATCAAATCTCTGAATATAGTGATATTTAGATATTTCATTAAATTACTAGAACTTTTTGCTGACAACAGTGAGAATAATTAAATTTCTGTATATAGCATATTTTTGAGATGATCTAGATTAAGATAGTTAGCATGGAATATTTGTAGGAACACATCATGCACATTGGCATGTGGGGGGGTGTTGGGCACTAGTTGCCCAGGTGGCCCTCCACCGCATGTGATTACCCCTATATAGTTAGCTAGCGACCACAACAATAACAAGATCAACCATCCCACATGTTGGCCCTAGGCTGCCTATCACGGACTAGCGTACCGCACATATATGCCTCAGCTGCCTACATAGTCTTCACAAAATCCATGAATCACGTGCTGGGAACAAATTATTTCTGTCTCCACAGATATGGCAGTGATTGACTGGGAAATTATAGAGTAAGATAGCCGCCAGCTGCGCAAAAACCGCTTTGTTCAACTCGATCCCCGATGTGGCGTCTCAGGATTTAGCTCGCTTCCATGAAGAGATCTTCCACGCTGCCCTGCACAGGAGATAAAAGAATTCATGATACATTGATGCCTAAAACCCGAACGAAGGATATGAACAACCAATCACTACCTACATTCGCCTTAGAGTGGAACGCAATGGTATTGTATAAAACGTCCTGGAATAAACAAAATGTAGTGATGAGATATTATGACGGAGAACCTTACACTGGCTGGTCCTGCTCTATTCCTAACGAGCCATCCTTTTTATCGAACCCATATTCCCGCTTGACCCGTTAGACATCTAGTCTGTTCTACTCCCCTGGGCTGTAAGTGGCACCGAAATGAGTCAAAATTTGGCCGTTACGCATTGTACTCAGCACGGATTGTTTAGGAAAAAGCGGCGCGTTATATTCGAGTTTACGTCCTTAACTTGAGCCCCTAGAGACCACCTCATACCCTCCTATGGCAGAGCAACAAACAATAAAGGCAGAAACACAAGTCAAAGAAAAAGCGGACGAGCAAGCAGAAGAGCAAGTGCAAGAGCAAACAGTGAGACGATTCTAAAATATGACTCATATCAAACGCTGACTGGCTGTTAAAACTAGAAAGTTTACGACGTGTGGATGCGCGCAGACGGATTACATGAAGGCGAACCAACTGTAAAATGGATATTCTTTAAAAATGGATTCGTGTGAGTTCATAAGAGGGATTGGGCCACAATTCTCATGGAAGGATGGGCAAGTGAAGCAGAGAGGTTGTTCTATGTCCCACTGTGGCATTCTTGCTAAGTGTTAGGTCCAGAGATAAAATTCACTAGAGCTTAAGTTGGGTAAGCCCAGTTGATGGACACCTCGCATCATATCCTCGCGGCCGATTGTGATGGTGAAGCAGCAGTCTTTATCGCCAGTTGGAATCAAGGCTGTTATGAAGCTGGAAGTTTCTTGGCCCCGTTCTCTCTCTGATAACCACTGTTGGCTTGTCTCAACCCCTTTATGCATAATATGGAACAACTTCTTGATGCTTTTGGGTGGTATGTCGGAGAACACAAGTTGAATTTCTGCGGAGCCAGTGATTAACAGTGTAGCTAGTAAATGAAAACATTTTACTCATGTCGCTTGTCTCCTATTTCAAGTTAGCCTCACATCAGTTATCAAGATGAATAAGGTGCTCTACAACCAAATCAAAACCTGTTTGAGCACATTCTGTTCGTGGGACAGCCAAGACAACAGCAAGGAAGAGATGATCGTCTGCTTCTTGAAGCTTCAGGTATCCACGACGCGCTCGGGCATTTCGCCATGCCGTTTGTTTGGAAGTTCCCCAAACGAAGTTTAGACGGTCCGGCAACAGGTCTTGATCACTATCGTCAATCCTATCGTTCTCAACTGCCCCGCTTTATTGTCAATCTTAGCAAGGGTTTTGACCCGCCTGTTAGTATTCCGTGCAACCCGTTATGTAGCCTGAGACACGTGTTGCTCCATAAAGCTGAATCGGATGAAAGCATTAAATGGAATGATGTGTACTGGAATGATATGGGTTGGAATGGGAGCGAAATATATGGTAGTGGGGTTCCCCACGTGGATGGAGAATGTGACTTTGGCGGGCGTATTCCATACCATTCCATTCCATCGTATTTCATCTCATACTACAAACTACTGACAGCCAAGATCGATCAACACACATAGTTATTGGCTGTCGGAGTACCCAAATGCATATCAGGCACACTTAATTACATGGATACATTCAGATTATGCACATATTTCAAGCTATTTCAGGATAGCCAGGTTGGAACATTCTCACACAACTCGGTGTGATCAATGCCATGACCTTGCATCCTGTGGCACATGTGGATGGGATGGCGAAAGGGAAAGCGACGTATAGCTCTGAAAGTGTAAGATATCCTGCATATTGGTTCACTGGACGACAGATATATAAGGAGGCATGATGCCCTTTGGCTTGCCTAAACTTTTGTCTTGTCAATGACATTCAAGTTCTCATTCGCAACTTGATCCATATCGTACTAGTCTCAATTCTCAACCCATCCAACATGGAATCACTTCAGAAAGCGGCCAACAATTCACCTTCTGCTTTGCAAGCCGCCAAGCCTTCGCACCATTTCAAGGCTCTGGTGGTGGCCCGTCGCCCAGGGTCGGTGTTGGCGAACTGGAATCAGTCATAGTCGACTTGGTCAAAAAAGCTTTGTCCGACCCAGGATCATGGCCTGGAGGGCTGCCACCTACTCCCGCTTTTTCCATCAGACCCCCCACGCCACCACTTGATGCAGTTGAACTGGAGAAGCGGTTGGTACAGGCCGCTGGCCTTGACATGGTTCGACTGAAGCAGTTGATGGTCAAGCTCAACCACGATGAATGTGCTTCGGTTGAGCTGTCTGTGACAACTAAGCCTGCCCTGTCTTGTCCAGCAAGCAATGAACAGGGGGAGGTCGTTCAGGTTGCAGTTAAAACTGATCTCAACAGTCCGATCTGTACTACCCCAGACGATTTCAAATCATTCGAAAAGTGGGCCTCGATACCCCAATTCAAGACGGTCGTGGAAACGTATGAGCCACAAGCCAACCCCCTTCCGTTAGAAGATGGCTGACACGGATCTAGCTGGAACAAAGAAACATGCAAATACAAGATAGCAGAGCCGGTAGAGACCAGCAGTGGTCTGGACAACTATGCTGAATATGCATTTGTTGTCCGTGAGCGTGTTGGTACGTAATGTCTTTGCCTAGCGGACTGAGACCATACTAATGGTATAAATAAAGCGAAATTCTGAGGTGACGCCCTACATAGACATCAAATCGGAAGGCCTACGTGACATCCTGCGTGTGGTGCTGCACGAGATCAAAGCTATTAGCCTGATGGAGGACAAGCCATCGGTAATTGAGACTGAGTGAAATCTCGAAGAGAACGCTGACGTGGATTTAGATCGAGCAAAACGTCCTTTTTCATTTCCTCCCGGAGCTCGACAGATGTGTGGAGAACACGGACAACAGTTCGGACCATGACTCGGCACATACGGAGCATCTCCGCCGCCAACTCAAGCAGGCATATGCTTCTATCTCGCAGCGTCTCGAATCAATATTGCAGTACGGTCATATTACATATGACCTCCTTTGGGCGCTTTTCAAGCCTGGTTGCCATGTTTATACCACATGCATCGGCACAAAAGAGCCGCGATGTGTCAAATTCGACGCGGGAGAAGAAGTAACCCAAAATGACGAGACGTGGTTTAATCTCGAATGCCGATTTCTTGATTATGACGGAGTCGAGTTCGGTGAGGCCGGAATCTTTCTACGTGTGCCAAAGTTCCGAGGGTCAAAGCCGATTACAACCCTTGAGGCTTACCCTCTCCGCCACCATCCGAGTCACGAGCGGGTCCGAAAAGACCTAGTTGAGAGAGGTCAAAGATTTCGGGATTTGGCTGGCTCGCACATTCAGCACTGTAAAGGCAGTGCATTCTTTGTGAGCAAGGGGAAGATTTTCAAATCAACATCAACAACCGAGTAGCAGTGGACGCTGCATTTTTCCATGAAATGCAGCCAAACTACTCACGACCGTCACTCCGCGATCTAGGGGTCAAGGACAAGGGTGGAATTGCTGTTTTCGATATAGGTGCGATATTTATGGAGGACCGCGAGCGAGAGAAGGAGAGGATGCAAGGAGACGGTGTGGAGGCACGAAAGCTGAGAGAGACCGATCTCTTGGTCGCCTGCCCAACAGTTTGTTGTTTCAGTTTCAAGGAGAAAACGTTCTGTATGTGACACGATTGATAATGATTGAGGACCTGCTAATGTGATTCCAGTGGAGTGCTCAGTTAGTGCTCTTAGGGACGTAACCTGGTCACCTGAATCATTCGACTGCCTGCAAATTCCGCCAGAGAACAAGACAATCCTCTTATCAATGGCAAAAACCCGCTTGGGTCTGATACCGACGGTACCCTTTGACGACGTAATTGATGGAAAAGGTCAAGGACTCAACATCCTTCTGGAGTATGTCAGCGAATTGTTTATGTGCTATATTGAGGTTTCCGTCCTAACCCGTGCCAGTGGCCCACCTGGCGTCGGAAAGACGTTTACGGTTGAAGCAGCCTCGGAATATTTCAAGCTGCCTCTCTATTCGGCACGAGCCAGTTGTGGCGCTGATTGTGGCCTGGCTGATTTTCCCAGATATCCGCGGGCGAGCTCGTTGTCGACCACGGAGATTCCAATGCGCTTGAGCAACAACTTGAAACTGTATTCAAGATCGCTAAGCACTTTAAAGCCGTGCTTCTCTTGGATGAGGCAGATGCGTTCATGGAGCAGCGTACATCTTACCACGGTACTCACAATCGCCTGGTGACCGTTTTCCTCCGAAAACTGGAATACTATCAAGGAATTCTTTTCTTGACTTCGAATCGGGGTATTCAGTTTGATGATGCAATCCTTAGTCGGATCCATTTAATCATCAAGTATGAAGATTTGAGCAGGGAATTTCGCAGGGGTCTCTGGTCAACTTTTCTGACCAACGCACGTACAGTCCAAGGACCTGCCATGATCGAGGAGCACGACCTCCGACGATTGGAGTCTTTAGCTCTCAATGGACGAGAAGTGGGTACCAGAGCCTGCTTTGCACTTCTCACTTGCTGACTAACATGAACTAGATCAAAAACATCACAGCAATCGCACATGCTCTCGCTGAGGCGGATGCTAGCTAAGTGAGCTATAAACACCTGGAGTTAGCCGCGGAATGGAATAAGAAATTTTCGAAAGAGTTCGGCAGACAGGAGATGTGTATTTAGTAGCAGTATACCTGGGAAACTCATGTAGATAATTTCGTTTCTCGCGGTTGTCGAGCGGTTCAGCTCTTATTGCGATATTTTGCTTAGTACACGACAGTCAATAATATCAGTCCTGAAGCATTATAGTTGAATCCACGTTTTCTTATGATTCATCGCATCACACAAAAGTCAAGTCCGAGAGCCAGAATTAGATGATGAACTCGTGATTGTCAACGCATATAGAATCGTATATCACCTGAGGCCAGTAGGTGCAGTAGAGAAGCGGGGATCAAGAATTATAATAGATAGAAATCCTGACATTCATGCAGATGCAGGCCGGAAATGCTTCATGCTTTATTATCATGTATAATTGAATTGCTACTGCAATAAAAATAAGCACCTGTCCTCACATCACACAGAGACATTTTGAATGAACTGAGAGAGCAGCCTCTCTCTATCTTTGATAAAGTCTTTCAGGCATGGCAGCAGTGACTCACAGAGTTCACACTATAGCCTCACTATGAATGACCATATGTTGGGTCAGAAGCAGATGCACAGTTTGCAGGAACTGAGTCTTCTCAAGAGTTGTCATCTGGATTCTGTTCCCTTCCTTTGTGTATATAGAGAACTCTCCAGCTTAGCACACCTCTAACAGTATAGTCTCGTCCTATTTCAACATCCACCGCGGAGACTAAGCTCACCATCTAACAGCAAGATGTAAAAATAAACATTTATTCGCAATTGCATTAGCAATGCATCCATTGGATATGTTATTTCCTTTAATCACTGCTTCAGAATTTTTTTGTTTGTTGATTGTATTTTCTCAATACTGTAATGGGTATGAGGGCTCTAGGGGCCTAAAACCCAAGAACCCTGATCCTGGGTAATACCAGTGGCTTCCGGTATTCAACTAATAGTTTAATTACGAGTAATTGACAATGTAGATAACTAGTTGTCTATCATTCATCATGCGTGAGGGATCAAGTGGCATTGCAAGGTGTAGCATAATATGTAGAATGCAACAACGAAAGCTTCAAAACACAACCAGACCGCCCACGAGTCTTGCGTTCCCTCAATGACTTCTTCGAACAGCAGCGTTAAAAGTTGCTAACGGCGTATATTCGCAGGATGTCGTAATGGCCAGAAAAGTTGCTTGTTCATTGAAAAACGTTGGTTGAATTTCGCGAGCAGGCAAAGTTGTAACTCGTACAGCTTTCCACACTAACCTCAAAGGTCGACCCTTAATTACTACTCCTCATTACCCCGTAATTGATGCGCAGTAGGGTCGGGGTTCCGCAGCAACAAGCAGATATATAGAGCAAACATTTTACTAGCTGCCGTCACCGCAATCTGCACGAACACCCACACCACAAGCTCAGCAACCGTTACTGCCATTATCGACGTGAATATGAGGGTTCCAGCCACGTAATATACTCCCCAGGCAAGTTGGACGGGCCAAGCTTCGTCTGCACCTTGCACCGCAGAAACGCTACCAGTCGACATCGGATCCAAGTCGCCCTTTTCTCCTCCTCGCCTCTTCGCGAACACGGCGTGTACAAACGCTGGTAAAATACCAATTATGCACCAAGTAACCGCAAACACAGGGTATATGCAGCCTAGAGAGCTACGCTTGGAAAATATTTCTACAACTGCCAGCATCCCATATGCTGTCAAGAGAAGCAGAAGGCTCGCGCCCACGCGCACGGTCGTCCAGATGCTCGAGCGCACCCCAACATTGGCGAACATAAACCCATTCAGCCAGTGCAGATATCTCTGTACTTGAGCACCGTCAAGTTCACCTACGACAGTCGGCTCGAGTCCCAGAGCTCTAACAACGACAGCAGCCGCAAACGGTAAAGGCGCGGATACGAGCGCAATTCGTCTCTCAGGCCACGCGACGTCCTTGAGAGTCAATGGGATTAAACCCATGATTAACGCGGTGGCGCCGAATTGCTGCTTGCGCGCCTCGTCGGCGGATTCAAGGGCGCAGATTGATGTCTTCCAGCAGAGTTGGTTGCTGCCGCTATAGAAATAGAACCATGGTTTGAATGGAGAGTACACGATGGCTTCGGTGGGAGGGCAAGTTCTGCCATCTGTGATTTTGTCGGCCGCAGAGACGGTGAGGGTCAGGAGGAGGAGGATGGAAAGGGGGAGGATTTGGGATCTTTGGCCCATCGCAATTTTGATTATTAGCCTTCTCACCCCTCAATATTTCGGTAGCTCGCCTAGAAAAATGGAAGAGTTTCGGATGGTATATCAAAACTTTGCGGAGAGATTACAGGCACTGTTTCCCGCAGAAACACAAAATGCCAGGAACGTCGGAAGCTGGGGATGCTCAACGGCTCTGCACCACGACGAGCCTCCCTTCAAAGAGAAAACTGAGGACGCCTGTTACCCAATTGGATAGGATAGGTTAGTCTGTCTGCGTAGCTGCATTTTTAGAAAAACAAACAACTGGTTCTCATGGGGTATCGATCAATCATTCTATGCCTTGGCCCCGCTTCTTCCCTATTAAAGGCGCTTGGGGCCAAAGAAAAAAAAAGGAAAGAAGGAAAGAAAGGAAAGGAAAGGAAAGGATAAGAGACAGGGGCATTCGGAGCCTAAAATAGACTGATTTTAGTATGCAAGACCCGAAGCTCTAATTCGCTAGCAGCTTGAGAAGGATCCCTCATCAGCATGTCTTCAAACGACGGGGTTTTGCTTCTGGACTTCTTGAACTGTTTAAGAGCCTGAAGCATTTTGAATAGATAACTGTTTTCTTTGTTGCCAGAGGCTTCACAACGTCATGATCATCCAACACTGCTCTTGAGTATCGGCATGTGTACATCGGAGCATTTCTGTGGAATGGTCACGTTAACCCGCTGGCTTCAGCCTCATCCTGCGGGATCCCGGGATCCTTGCCAGTGTCTGCTAGTGACTTCGAATACGATTCCGTTGATAAAGTCCGTCGTTTGGCCAAGAGGTTTGCTCCTGCACAAGATGAAGGTTTCTTGCAAGGAATCTTGCAAGGAAAAACTCATGTTGTTAAATCACTTGTCATACAGAATCGACGTATTCTTCATCATCCTTCAAACAACCTCTCAAAAGGATTTCCGAAGATTTGATTGGCTTGATATATCTTGCCTCTGTGTGCCGAATCAGTTCTTCGACCACGCTTAGAAATATCGTTAGTGAGAGAGAATGATTCGGGCTGCCATGGACGAATCGTTTGACCCGTTGAGATAATCCTGAGAAGCATGTGAGCTGGGCGGGGTGAATTGACGAACCTTCCACCTCCATCAAATCAGAATTAAAATTTTTTGTTTGGCCGTCACACAATGCTTTCAGCTGTCGAGTCACTCGAGCGATCAGTTTGCCATGATTTTAGGAGAGTCATATTATCCAAGTGTGCAATCTGGCGAACTCTCAAAAAAAGAAAATCCGATAGGTATCAATGAGCTCTCATCATGCCCGCATAGCATGACATGTGTATGACGCTTTCACTGCAGTGGGTGGCCTGGAAAAAATGTGCGCCTCTATGTAGGGCTGCGATGCAAAATGAGTATTAGATATGTGGAGCAGATGCCGATGTCTCATTGGGGACGGGCTGGACGGAACGTTTGAAACCCATCTTCTCAAACCCACAGCTGTTGGCAGAATACCAATTGGCTGGGAATTCCAGTAAAGTTTACGCGCGGGGTCTCGATATCTTTTGTTCCACAATCTGCTTTGCAAGCGTGATGTCTTACGAAATTTCAGATGATAGTTAAACATGCTTCTTACAAATACCTCACAACGAGTGACTCCACTTTCAGTATTGATCCATTTGACGTAGTAGAGAAACCTCATGTTGCGAGTCTCATGGTTTTTGGTAGAGATGGACATTTGTATCATTATCGCAGCTATCTAATATCACATATCGACTCCAAAAGGGTATATGAATGGCACTCGCCCGCTTGAGATACGTGAAATATAGCTCATGAGATAAACACACATTTGGGCAAAATCATGATTCGAGTCAACCATTGCGTAACCCCATTTTTAGCTCTCCTTCAAAAAAGCTTGAATCTGGAAAAAGTTGTACAAGTCTGCACTTCAAAGGAGGTTGTGTCCCCAAGCCCAGATGGGCCCCTTCGAAGTAATTTATATTTTGATGAATCCAGAACCCTGCGAATGAACCGGTTATCCGGGACCGACAGAAGGGGCGATTAATCCGAAGGTTTCTGGGGGTTTGTTCTTTCTGCTGCAAGCTATTATTTTCAAGCAAGATAGGGCAGCACAGTTCCTGTGCTTTCGTAGCATATGCAAAAACTACCTCCAAAGATCTCAAAAGCATTTCGCAAAGCAACCTCGGGAGGTTGTGATTCCGAACCAACGCCATATTTAATCTTACTGATAATCAATACAGATTGGTGACACATCTTGGAACGGCACTAGCTGCCGGCGAGAACGAAATGGGGCAGAATCACGCCTTCTTCCCTGTATCCAGCAGCCATAGACGCTTTACTGCTTGCGGGCATCTTGATAACCGTGTGCCGAACGAGACCGCTGTGACGCTTCTGATTGGCTGATTTGAAACAAATGCTGAGTTCTCAGCCACCGTTGGGTCTTGGCAGGTACGGTGGTCCCTTCTGTCCAAGATGGCCATGATGATAAGATTTCGAGAGCGCCAACATTGAAAAAATAGATGGGTCTTTTTGCCTAGTATCATGGCCCTCTCCACAGGGTCTACCCACTGCCGTTGCACCGTGTTATCCGCGGAGAAACCGATTGTCCAACCAGGCGGAATATAAACTCCCGCTGTCGGGCCCGGCGTCCTGTGAGAAGATTTCTTTCGCCCGCTCCAATCCGTGATGTTTTGACTGTTCACCGTCAAACTCGGCATGTCGCAACCGCGAAATGCCCAGGCCTGGAACTCTTGACTCAGCTCAAGGGCCTCAGTCTTTTTCTGGTCATTTCTTCTCTCATGTTTCCCTCGTCGATTCTTATATAGAAACTGCTTGGCTGCTCCCAAAGGGTTTGGTGGTCCGATCCAGGCCTCTGAGGGAATTTCAACCTTCTTTTTTTTTTCGTTGATTTTTCCTTTATTTTATTTTAAAATTTTTTTTTCTTCCCTAAAACTTTTCTCCTCTTATCTCATTTTCATCATTCTTCCACGCTTCCATTCATTCTGAGAACTAAATCTGATGCCTGTGCCCAGCTTGTACGATTGTGACCTGGATATTGACAGGCTTCTCAATCGTTATGTTCCCTATCCTCGATGGCATCTTGTACCCCGCCCCGTGGCCCACTTCTTAGGCCATAGGACAGAACCACCAAGAAAACCAGGCAATGTCCTTATCATGCTCTGGTCTGTTGTCGGTGTATTCTCTGGGCTGGCCATCGTTTCTGCAGTAACAAAACATATTCCCCTTTTCCAAGAACATGGGCATTATACCATAATTAACAGCTTCGTGAGTCGACAACCCATCCGGATAACATCAAAATTTTTCATTTGTTCACTCCAAGTCCCTTTCCTATAACCATTGTTTCAGCCAAAAGCTGGTGTCATCTTAGTTTTTGATTTGATTTGTTTCATTCTCACTTCGGTATCAATAGTGAGTTGTTGACCGGTTTATCAACAGGGTGCTGCCGCCGTGCTTGAATACTGCTCTATTGATTCTCCACTTGCACAACCTCGAAATGCTTTTCTAGGACAAATAATCGCATCGATCATAGGGGTCGGGATCGCAAAATTGTTTGCATTGCATGCTTATGCAGAGTCTTGGTTCTGGCTTGCTGGACCGGTAGCATGTGCAGTCGCTGTTGCGGCCATGATATTCACAAAAACGATACACCCACCCGCCGGAGCCAGTGCGTTGTTGGCATCCATAGACCCGGGAACTAGACGTCTGGGATGGCTGCTGATTCCCCTTGTAATGTTAAGCGCTTCGCTCATCCTCGTCACAGCCCTCCTGCTTAACAACATCCAGAGACAATTCCCTTTGTACTGGTGGACTCCGGAAAGCCTTCGACCGGCGGAGAGGACGGAGAAAGATCTAGAAATGACATCCTCCGATGACGACGAACGTACACCCACAGGGAGCGCGATAATAACGAGACAGTTTCCAAAACAGGACCAGATGATAATGATACGGGGTGGGCGGGTGATAATGTCGGATGACCTTTTCCTTTCACCTGAAGAAATTCAATGTTTAGATCGGTTGAGCAAACGGATATAGATGGAGAAAACAAATACAGCTAGAGCTTTCCTTTTAACAAAAAAACTATATAGAATAATAAATGTAATGATTTACGACCTTCATATTCTGGCGACCACCGCGGGGTTATCTAGGTATCCCTGACACCGCAAATAATCCAAATTCAGTCATTAGCATAACGAATGCAATTCCTATGAGACAGAAAATTCATACCTACTATCTTTGGATCAAGATCAGAATGGTTGCCTGCATTCTCAATGCCTGCAACACGGTGCCACTCGAGGCCAAGGCTATGTCTTCCCCACCTCTGCATTTTCATTGTGGATTCTGGACCGACTACAGCACCCTTCTTCGATAAATTACCTCAGCTATAGATGCCTCACGTCGTGGTTTGATTTTGCGCCATCCACCACGGCCCCTCAAGGTGGAATAATTGACGTCAAGAGGAACTCAAAGCGCCCAACTTGGAAAGCTCCAGCTCCACGTGATGGGCCGTGGCGTCTTACTAAGCCACGTCAAACTCCACTCAACCTTGACAAAAATTTATCAACTTCAATGTCAACCAACATCATCACTCCAACTCTCTGCTTTGCTTTTAACGAGTTTCCTACCCGGTAGCCAGAGACTCTAGGCCGCCTCCCCCTGTTTACCAAAAGTCGTCTATGTTTGATTTTGTGTTAAAAACTAGATTTTTCTGGGCCCTTGTTCATCCCACTATCAGGTCCTTTTTCTATCGATAAGGCCAAGACCCCGCTATGTGTGCAATTCCCCTCCCAATATTTTTCCGCTAATTCGTTTTTGATATTTTCTGTCTTTCCCCAATATCGACATAGATTGTCGTATTTAAAAAGAAATTTTCGTCCTGTTCCGTCGAGAATAGTTAAGCATATTTGCTAACGATATTGTCAGCTCTTTTTCTTCTTTTAAAAGAAAAATCTGGAAATATTAATACTTTGATTTTAATTCAAGTACCACGCGAAGAGGAGGCAGGAAATCACAACAATGGTATCAGCGTCGAAGGCTGCACGTCAGGCCAAGCGTGCTGCGGAGGGAAAAGATGACAAAAAGAAGTCCGCCACATCGAGACTGTCGTCCAAAGTCAACTCAAAAAACGCCTCTGAAGCCTCATCGGTGAATGGGGAAGAAGAATATGTCCCCGAAGAGTCGGCAACCTCCGCAGCCAAGCTATCCGATGTCAAGAAGTTGACTTCTCAGGTAGACAAATTTGGCTTGTCGGATCGTGTGACGACTGGTGTCCTTGCATCCCTTCCCTCCAGCCGTGATGTCAAGATCAACTCCGCATCTCTCGTGTTCCACGGCAGGGTGCTCATTACCGATACAATCCTCGAGCTTACGTATGGCCGACGATACGGCCTCTTGGGTGAAAACGGTTGCGGAAAGTCGACATTGATGAAGGCCATTGATAAGCGCGAGTTTCCCATTCCCGAGCACATCGACATTTATCTGTTGAATGAAGGTGCGCCTCCAAGTGATCTGGGAGCGCTTGAGTGGGTTGTCAGGGAGGCAGAGAACGAAATGAACAGGTTGGATAAATTAGCGGAGGAGATTTTGGAAAAAGAGGGACCGGAGAATCCGATCCTTGAGGACCTATATGAGGTGTGTAATTTCAACATCGCCATTTACCGTCTATTTCGTTTTTCTGAGTGCGAGTGCGAATACTAACTTCTCTGCTTCAGCGTATGGAAACCATGGACCCTTCAACTTTCCACACGAGAGCATCCCTTATTTTAACTGGTCTGGGGTTTAATAAAAATACCATTAAAAAGAAGACAAAGGATATGTCCGGTGGATGGAGAATGCGTGTGGCTTTGGCCAAGGCTCTTTTCGTCAAACCATCTCTACTCCTTCTCGATGACCCTACAGCCCATTTGGACCTCGAAGCTTGTGTGTGGTTGGAAGAGTACCTGAAGAAATGGGATCGCACTCTCGTCCTCGTTTCCCACAGCATGGACTTCTTGAACGGAGTTTGCACCAACATGATTGACATGCGGCAAAACAAGCTCATCTACTACGGTGGTAACTACGATGTTTACCACAAGGTTCGCCATGACCAGGAAGTCAATCAGATGAAGGCCTATCACAAGCAGCAAGAAGAAATCGCCCACATCAAGAAATTCATCGCATCCGCTGGTACATATGCTAATCTTGTCCGACAAGCTAAATCCCGCCAGAAGATCCTCGACAAAATGGAGGCAGACGGTTTTATCCAACCTGTCGTCCCAGACAAGATCTTCACATTCCGTTTCGCAGATGTCGAGAAGCTTCCGCCCCCAGTTCTCTCCTTTGATGACGTCACATTCTCCTATAGCGGAAAGCCAGAAGACAACCTCTACGAGAACCTCGACTTTGGTGTGGATATGGACTCCAGAACCGCCCTTGTCGGACCAAATGGTGTTGGAAAATCAACCCTTCTCCGCATCATGACAGGCAAACTCAGCCCCACCGGCGGCCGAGTCTCACGGCACACCCACTTGAAGCTTGGAATGTACAGCCAGCACTCCGCAGAGCAGCTCGACCTCAGCAAATCCGCTCTCGAATTCGTCCGTGACAGATACCCAGAGAAGAGTCAAGATTACCAATACTGGCGCCAACAGCTGGGCCGATACGGATTGAGTGGTGAAGCACAAACAGCCCTCATGGGCACTCTCTCAGAGGGCCAGAAGAGTAGAATCGTCTTCGCATTGCTCGCAATTGAGGGGCCGAACATGTTGCTTCTAGACGAACCTACAAACGGTCTCGACATACCTACCATTGATAGTCTAGCTGACGCTATCAACGCATTTAGCGGTGGTGTTATAGTTGTTTCCCACGATTTCAGGTTCGTAATTTTTTATGATTGTTTTTCCTCACCTTCAACCCTCTCGAGTCGGAACCCCCACTAATAATATTTCCCCAAACCATAGACTCCTGGACAAAATAGCGAAGGACATCATGGTCTGCGAGAATAAGACAGTTCACCGATGGGACGGTTCCATCGGAGAGTACAAGAACTACCTACGAAAAAAGATGTTGTCGGCCGGACAAGTTTAGATAGATTTCTTTTCCTATTTAAGTTGGGATTTGTCTCTTTCATAGCTGGTGGTTATCATCTATCACTTACTGGCTCTGGCTTTTAGCATTTACAAAACGAGTCTGTTATTATTTGCGGAATATTGGCCAAGCACCATATGGGAAAGGGGCTCAATTGTTTTTCCTTCTTAAAACTACATTGAGCCAAAGAAAAATCCACGGTACTCTTTGTTTCAAGTTAATTTTGCCAGCCTTCTTGCTGTATATGTTCCAGCACCAACCACACTGGGCATACTTTGTTTTCATCCTTTCTTTCCCTCTTACCCTTCTGTTTATTCTATAAACGAAGAAAGAAAACAAAATATTTCAAGAGGAAAAAAAAAACAAATATATTCGTACTTCGATTTACTCATGCCTACTGCCATTCTGACCCACGTATGTGTGAATGATTACAGAAAACAGGAACTCACCTAACGACTACCACGTACTGTACAAACTGTTTACACAAGTATATCAGAATCCAAGCCACAGCCAGCCCCAGGGCTTACATAGATAAGGCATCGGAGGTAGTTGTTAATTATTTAAAACAGGTAAGCTATCAGGGAGCATTGCATCATAACTATATTATTATCCCGCATACGAACAAAAGGAAAAATCCTTGAAATCCCCCTCCACAATTCTTTTTCCAATTTATTTGCAGCAGCAGCCTGCTTTTATTTACCCTGCCCTTTATTTTAATTTTCCGCCCCAGCAAATTTATAAGAAACCAAAGGGGCCCCATCGTCATAGGAGGAAATGCGTATGTTCTGATAAATTTGATCGTAGCATCATACCACATACAAGATGAATTTGACTATCTTGACCTTTTGAAACGCACACCAGCTGCTTTCGACTATACATGTGTTGTACCTCTCTCGGTTGATGTTGTTTACATCGTACGGAAGAGTCGGGACAACCCTACTGAAAGCCGGAATGGGGAGCATGAATATCACATGCGGATCCCGAAATAGGTGCGTAGCAGGTATCGAAGTCTGGATCTGTTCTTAATGAGCTGTAATTTTCCACCCCGGGGATAGTTGTATTCAATAATTTGTGGAAGGGGTCCCAAAAACACTCTTTCCACCAGGGCCAACGATACCAGTACCCCTATCTCTGCGGGCGCTAATCCCAATTACCCCCGCCCCAGGTAGTAGCGCATCGCTTCAATCCGCTTCTGCCTTTTTCTTCCTTTGTTCCACCAAATCTCCCCCGAAAAGCCTCGCCCCTTCCTGCTGAAACCTCTCCCTCTCCAGCTTCCGCTTCTTCGCCGCTCGCTGCAGTTCCGCTTCATCACCATCACCAGCAACACCAGCGCCAGCTTCAGCTGCGGCAGCAGGTGTCCCTGTCCCAGTCCCAGTTCCTCTCACGGCAGCAGCAGAGGAACCCTCACGCTTCGCGGCGCGGTTTAAATTTCGCAAGTCAATCTTCTCCGGATTCTGGCAATGGTATAGTTTTCTGCCGATGCGTTTGAGGTTTTTCATAGTGGCGGGTGCGGTTGATGGCATATGGTTCGTCTGGTAGGTGGAGAGGATCGTGGAGCAGGAGTTGAGGATGAGGGAGAGTTTGGTGCGGAGGGCTGAGAAGACGTCTTTTGAGGGCTGTGATTGCGATTGCGATTGCGATTGTGAGGTGGAAGACGGTAATGGGATGAGTTTTGTGTCGATGTAGAATTCCGCGATCGGCCTATCGGCCAGGAGGAGAGCGGAAAGCCATATTTGAGATGGTGTGTAGAGAAAATATACATCCGTCAATTGTGCTGCGGACCGGAGTATTTCGCGAGTGTTATGATGTGCCTTGGCGATGCGAGAGGTAATGGACCCACTACCACCGGGTTTCTTCTGGTCTGGATATTCCGCCGCCGCCAGGGTAAGAGGAGGGGGCGGCGGAAGCGATTGGATTGCCTGTTGCAGACCGGCTGCTGTTTGCTCAGGGTGGTGTGGGCCCGGAGCGCCATCCCCTCGCGCAATGGCGTTTAGTTCCATGATTCCACCTTCTAAGCTGCGGAACGGGTGGCGGACGTCAAAGGTAAAGCGAAGTCCCTGTGTAAGGAGAAATTCGGGCGCGATGATATCCTCTGGTGTAGAGTTTGGGATGTGCTCCGCAAATGAGCGCAGGGACATGTAGTAGTTTTCTGTCTTTGTAGCGAGGAAGAGAGCGCAGGGCATGATGGACTTGGGATGATAGGTCATGGGGGAGTTGGTAAGATAGAAGCGGCGGAGGTATTGGATCGCAGTAGCCTTTCATACGCAACTCATTAACAGCTAATTCATGGCCAAAAGAAATATTGCGCTTCCTGAGTAGGCTCCCCCCAATCCATCGACTTGATGAAACAGTGATAACAGAACTATATCATGTAAAATATAACATACCCTAACAACCGTCGGCAACGGCGGCTTGTACTCATCGCCCAACTCCATCGTCTTTTCGCAATAATACCTCACCAACTCCAGCTCCTCCTCCATCGTCAAGCACTCAATCTCCTTATCCTTCTCCTTCTCTGTTGTCTGCTCACCATTGCCTATCGTCGCCTCTGCAGTTTTTCCATCATCAGCATCGCCGGTCGCATTTGGGGTACCGCTACTGGATCTAGCACCTGTGGTTGCGGGCTGCTGCGATCGCGCATCATTTTTAGCACGCCGTATCGCATCTTTAACACGTTCGCTGGCAACGGTATTGGAATTGGCCCGTATTAAGCCGAGGGATTCTTCGGTGAAGGACCAGAGGCGATACTGCGATGATGTGCGGTAGATCTCGTCTTCGAGCATGGTAGTGGGAAGGAGGGAGGGTGCGGTTTTGGTGGTTGTTTTATTTCATGACAACGCTTCTAGCATGATTGATATATAACATGCAGAAAAATCGGCTTTGGGCTTTGATGGAGGCAGTTATTGGTATACCATTTTTGGTGGGAAAGTGAGGTTGGGAGCTTCAAATTTGAGGTTGCCGATCCATGGCTGATGTCACTGCCCTGAACTAACTCAAAGAAACTTAATTGCGAGTATCAACGCCAGAGCATGCCTACAACCGGATAATGCTTACGAAGCGTGGTATTGTTGAAAATATGATTATATAGCCCTGACCAAAAGTACTCATTTCACCAATCAATTAATCAATCGAAAAATCGAAATCAAATCAGCTCAAACCAATAAACACAAAGAAGTGAAGGTAAGTAATAACAAAAATTTCCACAATAGGGAGATGCGAGAGACTCTTTCAGTTTCCTTGCTCCAAACAAACGATAACATGAAGAAAAGAAAAGAGGCTATAGGAAGATAGACTTTGAGAGGAAAAAAAGAAGTTAGAAGCAAAGGGAAACAGATCATTCGCCAGGCACCATACGCTTCCCCGCTCCTCCATCAATATGCTCCAGGTTGTGTCATATTTAAAATATGATTTGGACGAGAGGGATGTAATAACAAGAGGCAATAATAGTCGAAAGGAGATAACAAAACAACAGAAAAATTGGCGGAAGTCAGTAATAAAAAAACATGCGTAGAACGGAGGGCTCTCAAGAACACCAATCAAGAAAGAGCAAGCAAAAAGAAACAGAGATTTAAACATTGGAACTTGAGGGCTGTGTGGAACGGATTACTCTTCCCCCTCCCAAAAAAAGGAGCTTTCTCCACATAGATTTTCAAATGCAACATGCAGAATAACAGGTTGGGTGTGTATCTGTGTTAAAAAGAAATAGAGGTAAAATAATAAGAGCATCCCTTCATGGCTCCCCAAGCAGACGTGCCGTAACATCACCCATATATGCTTCTTCCAATTCGTAATCCTCGCCATCCATCCGATCAATGCCAACATACTTGAAAGCCGATACTACCCGTGACACGTCGAATCCCATATGACAGAATCGATCGACGAGGTCCTTGTTGTAGCCGTCGTACCTGTAGTTAATGTGGTTAATACATAAAATCCTTTAGCGGAGAGCTTAAAAGAAAGAAATATAAAATAAATAGGTAGAAGCTTGCTAGAAACAGAAATGAAGGGGGTAAGAGATCGGAAAGGGGCACCCATACGCAGCCAATTGCTCTTTTTCCTCCTCTTCCTTCGACTTTAGTTGCTGTTTACGGATGGATTCATCAGTGGCGCCGCCGCTACTTTCACCTAGTTGCCGTTTGGGGGCGCCTGCATGCTGAACAGCCCACTGTCGGGCAACCCGCTCGAACTCCTTCGGGTTTCGCATAAGCATGTTGGCCACCTCCGCATCTTGAGGGTCTTTAGGTTCGGGTGTGCTGAGGAGGGACTGGAGGGAGAGCAGAGCAGACTTGATGGTCAGGACGGGAGACCAGGCGGTAGAGAGAGTGTCGAGGCAAATGGCACCCTATGACATGACATGACCATGAAAAAATGCCTTAGCACAAAAATCCTTACTATTTCTGCGAGGAGGTGGGGGTTTTGAAGATGCGTACGGTCCCTTTCGGGGTACGTTGCACTCATGACTCACAGTTTGGCTACTGATATTCGGATGCCAGACTTTGGTTATAAATTTCATCACAGGCGGGCGGAAAGGGTATTCGGAGGGTATCTTGATATCAACATAATAGGTTCCTTCCTCGTAGGGAGTTCCGGGAGGCCCTCGAAAGGAGCCTCTCAAATGTGTCAAATCATCTCCGCCCCCAACCGGATCAGCCAAGATTTGCGAGTGCTGGTCTGCATGGATATCTGCGAGCTCCTTGGCGATACGGCGGGTACGGTTCGATGTCATGGTGAAATGAGAGGGATATCTGGTTCTTTCAAAAAAAAAAGGGGGGGTTTTTTGTGATATTTCTTTGGGTATATTTGTGGTGGGTCTTTAAGATCCTTTCGTGGTTTGGAGCAGTTCGGTGTTCTAGAGGATGCTTGTGGGTTGGTCGAGAACCCTAAAACGCTGTGACGAAGGGCAAGAGCGACGGACTGATTGACTTCCTCTGGATAGATAATTTGGAAGCCCCGCGGTATCAGTTATCAAAAGCATAAAAGAAAATCAATGAAAACCGAGATAGGGGTGTAGGTTCAAAGGAGTGTGAAGTTTAGAAGAGCTGATAGGGGCCGAGACTTTCAGGTAGTCAAGGAAGAGACGTGCGGGGATATATATACATACATATATTTATATGGTCTTCATTTGGTGGCTAGAAGAGAGCTAACCACACATACCAGGTTTTCAGTAACTAACGTATAAGCGGAACTAACGCATAAGCGGCTTGGTTGGAGGGCCAATGCGAAAGAGAGGTTCGGAACAGCAACTCGGGGTGATATCAAATAAGAAGAACTGGAAGCTCACTCAAAGCCAGGAGTAAAGTGAGTCAGGGATCCACCTGGGCTGGGAGGAGCGAAGTGATGCGAGGCAATACGATGACAGGGGGAGGCGGGACTTGTTGACACAAAGAAGAGGAATGCTGGAACGCAGAGATGCCAGACTGAGTTGGATGCTTTTAGGATAGACACTTGAGAGAAGAAGGTGGAGAGGATGGCCAAACTGCGAGGAGACGTTGAAAGTTCGAAGAAGAAGAAGAAGAGGAAAAGGAAGAGGAAGAAGAATGGGAAGAAGAAGAGGCAGAAGTGCTTTGGGGTAAGAATGCCGGGTGTTGGCTTTTCGTGGTGACAGGCAGCGGCTCATAAGGCTAGTTCACGATTGGCTTTGTGGGCCCAACACCCGATTACATGACCCGTATTGCTTGTATTGCTGGGCAAGGCTGCAGCCATACAGATATCATTCTTTAATTAGAAAGCCCATCATCATCTAGTAGCTCTGGCTTGAATCAGGACAGAGGAAATATATACAATAATAGCCACCACCACCACCACCACCACCACCACCACAGAAAGACCTCCGTTCATGAGACACAACACGCTGGGCAGCTACACGTAGGGTGAAATGACAACCTTCGTTGTCGATCGATTGGATGCCACGGAAGATGGTTCTTGACCTTCTTTTGGGAGCGGGAGGGAAACTAGACCGCCGTTGATGCCTTGCCGTGGAAGAATGATAGGGCAGAGGGCCTGATCGGCATTGCCTGGCTGCTGCACTACTGCGTATGCAGTAGATTGATCTGATTACAGGGTAAATATAGTTTTTGTTACCTGGAAATATCCATCATCTGGTACGGACCCGTGAAAGCAGACATGGAGCTGGACATGGCTGTTGAGAAATACGTAAGATACATAGATATGTCGCACACTGCACCGCATTCCACGCCATTCCATCGCCTCTGTATGTAAGAGTATCAAGTATCACAGGACGGACACCAAAGCTATCCGTCCTGACGTGGTTGGGAGCGTCTGTGCGTCTCGGCTGCAGGGCCCAGACCCAAACAGGCAATGTCCAAGATTCGAGGATCACATGATCGGTATTGCTTGGCACCTGCATGGATGCTGGACGCTGACTAAACTAGCAAGCTTTGCCAGCTCCCAAGGAAACCGAACCTCAAGAAATACAACTTCGTTCAAACAAACCCTAACTCCTTCTCCTCCCTCCCTCCTCCTTATCCGTATTCAGGTGCTTGTCCAAACTACCTGTACCTCGAGGGATACGTCTTCACGAATTCAGCCTTTTTTCCCCCGTTTCTCCGGTTCATCGTCCTCTCTTCAACACAGAAGGAAGAAGGAAACTACTCCTTGCCGCGTTCTAACCTCTCCAACCTAAGCTTACCACAATGGTCTGTTGGCTAGCCTCATCATTTCATAGCTTCAGCCAATCTGGATTTCCTAGTACTCTTGATACTGACGTGGGGACTTCTGCAGGGAAATCAACAGTCAAATATGGGCGGCGGTGGTCCGGGTGATGGCCAGGATGAGAAGGACAAGAAGGTACAGTTTTCTATCGCATATCCGCAATCGCAGCAACCTCCCATTCTCCCACTTTCTCATGTGCCTACTACTTCCTCCGCGGTGATCTACTTATACTAACTACTACCGCCGGAATAGAAGGAAAAGCCAAAGTATGAACCTCCTCCACAGCCCACCACCAGAATCGGCCGGAGGAAGCGTAAGCAGGCCGGCCCCAACGCTTCAGCAAAACTCCCTGCCATCTACCCAACTTCCCGCTGCAAACTGAAATACCTCCGCATGCAACCATCCACGACCATCTACTACTCGAAGAGGAATATGTCGAGAACCAGGAGCGCATTCGCAAGACAAAGGTTCATTCATCCTTATCTCCCTCAACCAGTGATGATTTCGAGACCACGGATCGAAATGCAGACGAGCGAAATCGCGTCGATGACATGCGCGGAAGCCCCATGGGTGTAGGTAATCTGGAAGAGATGATCGATGATGACCATGCTATCGTCTCTACCGCGACGGGGCCCGAGTATTACGTCTCGATCATGTCCTTTGTCGACAAGGACCTCCTGGAACCGGGTGCGAGCATCCTGCTGCATCACAAGTCCGTCTCCGTCGTCGGCGTTTTAACCGATGACGCGGACCCGTTGGTCTCCGTCATGAAACTGGACAAGGCACCCACGGAATCCTATGCAGATATTGGCGGGCTGGAGTCGCAGATCCAGGAAGTTCGAGAAGCGGTCGAACTGCCTCTTCTCCATCCAGAACTCTACGAAGAAATGGGCATTAAACCTCCCAAGGGCGTCATTCTCTACGGAGGTCCGGGAACGGGGAAGACACTACTAGCCAAAGCCGTCGCCAACCAGACAAGCGCCACATTCCTAAGAATCGTCGGCAGTGAGTTGATACAGAAATACTTGGGTGACGGGCCTCGATTAGTCCGCCAGATTTTCCAGGTGGCTGCCGAACATGCCCCGTCCATCGTCTTCATCGATGAAATCGATGCAATAGGAACAAAGCGATATGAGTCTACGTCAGGCGGCGAGCGGGAGGTGCAACGGACCATGTTGGAGCTACTCAATCAGCTTGACGGCTTCGACGATCGTGGCGACGTCAAGGTGATCATGGCCACGAATAAGATTGAATCTCTCGACCCCGCCCTGATCCGCCCAGGACGTATCGATCGGAAGATCTTGTTTGAGAATCCGGATCGTAAGTTCTTTTATTTCTTTATCCCCCCCATTTTTTTAATGTGTCCTCTCCGACCAACCGTGTGTTTAACTAACCCAATCCCACCAACTCCCCTCTCACGCATACAGAAAACACCAAGAAAAAAATATTCACCTTGCACACCTCCAAAATGTCCCTGGGCGATGACGTGGATCTGGACGAGTTCATCAATCAAAAGGACGACCTTTCCGGCGCGGATATTAAGGCCATATGCTCCGAGGCAGGTCTGATGGCGCTGCGCGAGCGACGGATGCGTGTGCAGATGGCTGATTTCCGCACAGCGAGGGAACGGGTTCTGAAGACAAAGAGCGAGGGCGAACCGGAGGGGTTGTATTTGTAGTTCACTTGGTTAGGCTAATATCTTTGAAGCATGGATGGACCCATCCCGTCTTTTTTTTTATCCGTCATTATTCCTGACATCTTCCAATGTCTATTACTACAGACAAACCAAGAGATGATATCATATTGGTGTGATTATGGCGGGGAGGGGAATGGGGATGGAAATGGTTTTAGATATCTAAATGCATAAATACTTGGGATTTCCCCATTTTACCCGGTTTCTTCTATCTCCCCCCTCCCCCCAAGGCTGCTTGATTGCATGTCCTTTGTCTTCCTATGTTGCCATGAGCATGACTTGACTGAAGGAGACCTTACAGTAAGTCAAAAAATAAAAATAAAAATAAAAATAAAAATAAAAATAAAAATAAAATAAAATAAAAATAGAGCCCTTCGAGGCAGCATTTATTCTTCTTTTTCTCTTTACAACAGAAATTTATATGAGAATGCCCAATTTTCTTTAACTATATATCGAAAAGAAAAGAAATCGCAATCCCGAGAATGCGATGTATGGTGAGAGAGGCTTTGAGAATGTTGTTTCATGCACTTGAAGGATGCAAAGTATCTAGTTATATAGTTATTTTATCCCGTTGGAGCTTTCCAGATATCCATGCATGATGTGGATGTGATAGTTACTGGGCAAAGCGTCCCCGGCTAGAATGGAGGCAAAATGGTATTCAGGGATAATACGGAAGTTTGTCTCCCATGAACAAATCTTCATGCATGCATATATATAATATAAGCAACAGTCAGAACTAGTTGTGAGACTGAAACATGCGCGCAGTTTCGATAGTAAAGCAATCGGGGTCGTGGGTGCCACCCACACAACTAGTTACAGGATGGAGATGTGACATAACACTGAACTGATGGCATCCATTCAGACCTTCAAATTCAAGACAAATCTTGAATTAAGGGAATCATGGCGCGGCTCGGGTAATCAGACTTGTGTCAAAGGGTGCAAGGATCTCGGTCTCACGAGAAGGTGAATCTGCAGTTTGGATTTCGACGATAACATAGTTATTTTAAATCACTGATCGCGCGTGATCCGGGTCGCGTACAGCTTCATATACCGGCTTGAAAACATATTACCAATGCATATCGTGTGGTAGCCGCTGTGCTGATATCTTTCCCGTGCATCCACATCCTTCATAATCCATGCCCATACTTGGCGGATGGGGCGCTTTGAACCGAGCACATAGCTGTATTGAGCTTTCAAAACTGCCTAGGAAAATATCAGTATAAGGCGGCTTCGAAGTATGGATGACTGGGGGTCTCCTTTGATATAACGACATGGAAGAAATGTGTGGTCTCATTCTGCGGAACTCTGTTGCAACACCTTATACAGAAGGGGAGGATATGCAAATCCCCAAATCCCTGCATTCTTCAAGCGCGCGACTCGATCTCCAAAATAGCAGTCGTCGGCGCTTAATTTAACTGGATCTCCGATATTTTTCGGCCCTTGTGGCAGGTATTTCGGGCTAGCAACTATGTTTGAAGCTACTGTCTGACTGGTGATATGAAACATCCCATGGAGAGTTGACGATGTTCGCATACCACAATGTCACAACAACAATTCATCAATCACAGCTCACGAACTGCCTTTGCTTGGCCCTAGCGGGAACAATCTCATCGCAGGCTAAAAATATCAAGAGAGGTTTTGAATATGCGTGACATGCGTAAATGTGAAAGAGTATTGGCCCAACTGGCTTTCTCAAGCCAGCATTTCTTCTTACGCAGGATATCCATTTCAGAAGAAGTAGGTACCAGCGGTAACGAGAAATGTTCTCTCGTTCCTGTGGGTATAAATCAGCAGGCAGCTCCAACAATCCTCAAGCGGATCCCCGCTCGTGCGTCTACTTCAAGCCGACAATCCATCCAACAAAGCAGGCCTATGGTTTGCGTTGAATCGGCAACTCCGGGTAAGGTGTCCACTATATGGGCATGAGTAATGCTAATCAGGTACGGCACCCACATCAAATTATCCAATCAATGAAAGCTTGCTAATGAGGATGCATATTTGATGCGGTAGCGGTATCCACGATGACTTGATTAAAGATCCCAAAGGATCGCACACCTCCCTGTATCATCAGGAACAGCTCAGCAATTGGTTTTTAATTAATTAACCCACGGAACGCTGGGGATATTATATCCATGGGTAATCGTAGCTTACTATCTGCCTATCAACGAGGCTCTAGGCAGCTTGGTTCGTATTCAAATTCTCAAAATCCGACGAAGATATTGTATCGTTGCAATTGCCACAGCGGGGTGTCAATATCAAAAGTTCGGTTCTGCTTGAATCGCTCAGTAGGGTTCGAAGTCTAAAAAACCATCTCTGCGGGCCGAGGCCCGCTGCATCCTTTCTCTCGGGTCCTCGGGTTTGTTTTGCGGGGCAGCCAACCCAGTTCCCCGGTTTATATACTGTTTGTTTAAAAGCTAATTGCTCCTCGGCCTGATAGGATGGTGAAGGTGGTGCAGTGTACCCCAGGAGTTCACAAACGCGAGCAATCCCCACATATGCTTGCCGGCCCCTCGGCTGTTGGATATGATAGGTCTCCCTAGCCTTGCTTTTCCCTCTGGTTTTCGTTCAATTCAATTCAACCATGTTGCGACCAATTTGGCATAGACGACGCCACAGTCGTGATCGGCCCCCCCACACATCCGTTTTCTGAGTTTCCCTCACCTTTCTTGGAAGATGGCTTTTTGTGGGGGATGTTATGAACGCTTGAGTGGGCCTCTAGTATAGAGCGTATGCAGAGACTGTGTAGCTTCGCTATGCATCTCAGTTCATTATCAATCGGACCCCTCATGTCCCGAGAAATGTTGCCAATAAATAGGACCCACGATGCTACCTCCGGTCTCCCGTCTATCCCTACACCTCGAAATTTGTATAAACTGTCGGTCTCCATCTTGATGTTTACGTCGGTTGGTTGTGCCACTTTTTCGTCATAAACTCCACCAGCTTTGTTCCTTCCATTAAGATTATAGTACTGCTTGCTCTGTCAAACAGTTTCAATTTCGAGTGTTCAGAGCTTCCCGCGAAAATACGCATAGTCCTTATTCTTATGTTATTAACGCCTGCGAAGCGTCTACCATTCTTTTATTTTTATTCTTGCAAATCGGATATTTCAAACAAGACAAGAACTTGCGGTTTCCCACAGCCTTGAAAATATGGAATATTTCAAGCCAGAACAATACGCAAACCTGCCGTCCAATGATATACTCTCGTGGATTTTTGATAACCCGTCGTATGACCAAGACAGACCGGTGAGGGGGCCCCTAAACCTCCGATTTTGCAGTGGCTTCTCTTGTTTGCGTTGAACTGAAAAGATAACTTCAAATGTGGATCACTTACACAGATATCTTCTAGGTCTACATAGATGCCAAAGATCCTTCTAACTCGATTTCATGCAATCAAGCGAGAAAGATTATCCGCCAGCTTATTGCTGGGCTGAGGGCTGCTGGATTCGAAAAGGGCGATTGCCTCAATATACACTCCTTTAATGATGTGTGTGGATACCTCTCTAACACACTCCAGACAATTCCATAAAAACCTTTGGGGGGGGGGGGGGAGAGGAGAATAAAGAAATAAAGGACTCAATATGAATACGAAATTGATACTTTTTTATATTACTTTACATTTCCATACTAACAGCTACAACAGATCTATTATTCTATGATCTTTCTCGCCACTATCGGCGCAGGCGGTGTTTTCGCAGGCACTAATCCAGGCTACACGCAATTCGAACTTACCCATCATATCAAGACCGCGAAAGTATCATTCTTGATTTCAGAGCCGGAAATCTTGGACAATCTCGTTGCTGCTGCAAATGACACCAAGATCCCAGCGTCGAACATATGGGTTTTCAATACACAAGGTCGGCCCTTGCCGCCTGGCCATAAATCATGGACCGAGCTTCTAGAGCACGGCGAGGCGGATTGGGTTCGTTTCAATGACCCCGAAACTTGTAAAAACACGGCAGCTGCCCGGCTGTTCAGCAGTGGGACAACGGGTCTGCCGAAAGCGGCCAATATTAGCCACCAGAATTTCATCGCACAACATACCGTGGTGGATGAATACAGGACGGCTAGGTATCAGGTACGTTACGTTATTGCCTTGATTGTTTACAACAACGACTGGAAACAAAATTCACTCGTGGAAAGAATATCAGGAAATCGATACGTCTGTATATATAATAATTTAATTAGATTTCCCGTGTCATAGCGCTTCCATGTTTCCATGCCGCAGCTGTGCCATCAACCCATGTCGGCGCTCTTAAGGCCGGCCATACGTTGTATATCATGCGTCGCTTTGAGCTGTTGCCATTCCTTGAAGCAGCTGACAAATATAACGTTACTGACGTCAGCACTGTTCCCCCCATGGCTGTCGCTATCGTGAAATCACCCTATGCGAAAGCCTCGTACTTGAAAAAGACGAGGAACGGCGCTGTGGGCGCTGCGCCGTTGGACAAGGATGTCCAATCTGCGTTTAGATCTATCATGGGTCCCGGCGCGACTTACACCCAGGTCTGGGGTATGACTGAGACGACTTGCATTGCTACCATGTTCCGTTATCCTGAAAATGACGATACAGGGTCTGTGGGGCGGCCCGTGGCATCTCTTGAAATGAAGTGAGTTTTCGACACGTGCCCCCCTATTTTGCACTCTTATTTTGCATTAGCTAATAGACATCAACTAGATTGATCGACGACGAGGGCAAAAACATCTCCGCCTACGGCGTGCGCGGCGAAATCTGCGTGCGCGGCCCCACGGTCATCAAAGGCTATTTCGAAAACCCCACCGCGAACGCTCAATCCTTCGACGGCGAATGGTTCAAGACCGGGGACATCGGCTACTGTGACGAGAAGACGAAGAAATGGTACATCATCGACCGGAAGAAAGAGTTGATTAAAGTCCGTGGATTCCAAGTCGCTCCGCCGGAGCTTGAAGCCGTGCTGCTTTCGCATCCGTTGATCATGGACGCGGCTGTCATTGGTGTGTCGTTTAAGGGGGGCGAGAAGGAGAAAATTGAACATCCGCGCGCTTATGTCGTGCGTCAGCCTGGCCCAGCCAGTCAGAAGGTGACAGAAAAGGAGCTGCAGGAGTTTGCGGGGGCGAAGCTGGCTAGGTACAAGTATTTGACTGGTGGTGTGAAGTTTGTCAGTTCGATTCCCAAGAATGCGAGTGGGAAGATTTTGAAGAGGCTGCTCCGGGAGGAGGCGAAGAAGGAAATTGAGCAGGGTCTAGTTGCGAAATTGTGATTCTGGGCAAAGTCGGGGAGGCTGGTGTTAATTCCCACGTGTGTTCTTCATTACAACTAATACTGAGATGTCAATGTGCCTTCTGAATTTCTTTCTCGATAACTGTCGATATTCTCATTTATCAATGGCGTTTGATTGGATCCGAGGTAGAGCGTATGAATTGCGCAAAACGCGTCCCTTGAGAGTCACATAGACCCTATCAGCCTGTTGATTTTTGAAGGTGGTGAGCGAACATCATGAGCTACTCGCAACAAGCCAAGCGGCCGACTAAAACAAATTCACACAAGGACGACGTAGAATCCTCAGAGTAACATCTGCGAGCTTTCAGTTCTTCATCCCGCATTTGCTGCAGACCTTCCCACGCTTGACCTCGTTTTGCAACCCTATCTCTTACACTCGGTATAGAGATTGGCGAAGTTGAATGGACTATGAACCGGATCGGAAGTCATTTATACGGATTCTGCAGCTACAGCATGATAAGTTGTTGCTGGCATCTAAAAAATACTGGTTAATTGCTGAGGGCAATATATCTCACTGAATGATAGCCTCTGAAATTGAGAATCTGCGATGATCACACTTCTTGTGACGTATTGGAGCTATCTAGAACTGTCAAATGTGTAATAATACCTAATAATTCTTTGAAAGCTCAAGAAAAAGCGATTGATCTGGCTTTTTTAACGATAGCAGTGGTAGATATAGACGCGATTTCCTCTTTTAAATCGCCGTGATCATGCGAAACATTCTCGTGCATGAGTCCCCTCCATTCAGCACACCAACGGCAATGTGCAAAACTCCTTCGTACTTCACTGAACAATGCGGCAAGTCGACTTGGTGCGTGTCTTCCGTTGGCTTCCTGCCCCATTTTCATCAATGAACGGTTCTGAATGCGCCGGAAATTGAGTTCATGCAGCCCAATTCTCAGATAACGTCGTATGTCTCTTCCCCAGCACATCGTACACATTGATTGGTCCAGGACCAGGACAAGCCAATTACCAATGCCATGTTACCCACCAGGCCGATTACGATCCCGCTCTCGTTTGATCAATGAGTGGTGATGGCTTCAGCCTAGTTTTTATGTATGATAGGAAGCCAGACTGAAGTCGATCCACTGTCTATCATCGAACAGCAAACTTGCTTGCCTTGAGGCGAAGAGGCGATCCCGACAGGAATGACATGAAGAAATCGGATTCCACAGATTTAAACAGGAACTATGGGACAATTATAGCTTCGAAGTTCATGATTCCTCCCCAAAAGGCCACTCGCCACAACCGACATAGTGTGGGTGTTGAGGCCAGCATATATAAAGCCGTTGAAGATGTGCCCCCTTGAAAATGCTCCACGTTGAATTGGGGTTTTCTTCTCAAGTTTTCATGTTTGACCCCAACTTCTAGCGTTAATCCCAGCATACTATTTCCCAAAAAGAATATAGAATGGAGATTAGAGTCCAACCTTTCTCGGCAGTTTAATCCCCGAAGAATATATTGAAGATGAGGAAAAGAAGTTCCAGGTCCGTAAGTTCAAGAAAGAAGAGGTGCGGTTTCTCCCCTTCTAGGGTTGGAAAATGAATGTGAAAGTTGAAGATGCCAAAGTTATCTCAGTAAATTATCGTCATTTTTCTTCCTTCACTAATTTCGCGTCAATAGACAGACTGATCCTGGAATATTGGGTACTGCTCGAGTTACTAGTGGAGGTATCAATCCTTTAGCTTTAGCTGTTTTTATGAAACACCAGGCTCTTTAAACCCAAAATAGAAGAGACTGGAAATAGACGGTAGGAAGCACGAATGCCATGCTTACTAGAGAAGGAGGAATGAGCCATGGCTTTGGTAATCATTCCCCAATGTTCGTGTTTGACGACAGAAGTAATTGAGGAACAAAAGTGTGGTATATCCCTGAACATAACTTCATTAACCAGTGAACGACTCTACCACATTTGAATACCATCCAGGTTTTCCGTTCTGATACAGCCTCATTGCAGTTGCTAAATACTGGCGTTTGCAGTCCTTCAACGCCGATGACAAAGTATATCCTTTCATCAAGCCTTGTTCGTTTGCTATTTGAGTCCACAATTGAAACGTATTCCCCTCTATCCGCAAAATTTTGTTTATCTTCTGCGTCCTTTGGGATGCCCATTTATAGTTTTCCACGGCGCATCAAGCGCAGGAGGAACCACGGAAAGACTCAATGGGAATTCGCCAGTTATCTCGCATGGTCCAGCAACGGCTGCTTCCCAATCAATGACACCCAGCAAGCGATACTTGTCGTCAAAAATGATGGTGTTATGTCCAAAGTCACCGTGGCATAAGGGGAACGCCCCATTATTGTGGATAGATATATTTTCTGCTATGTTGTTGATCGCTGACCTGAATAAAGACGCAGAGGCCATTAATCCATCTTGTCATCTCGTGTGGACAGTTTCCGCGGTGCAACAAGGGAGGCATCCGAAGTCTGGCGACCCATCGTGTTTTGTCAGAGAATTCGACAATGCGGATCGTATGGTTAGAACCAAGGCCGATGTCTGGTAAACGTTTGCATTCCATTCCATGACGCTTCGACGACGCGGAATCGAGGAGTGAATTCAATCGGTGGATTCCAGGAAATTTTCAACCCTCGACCGAAGTAGAAGATCAGTGATCGAGGAAGAGTACTACCATTCTGTACCCACCAAACGGGTCATCGTCGTATTCACGGTAGCGCTGTCGGTAATAAAGTTTACGGGTTATTTTGCATGTAGAGGCTTTAGAGAAAACCAGCCTCTTCCCCGATTTGACAGAGGGTCAAGTGGATTTAAGCCGGACAATATTATAAAGCGCGATAAGTTCGTTATCCAGCAATGCAGGACAGTGACAATCACTAAGCAAAGTCGAAACTCTGCACATAACCTCGCCCACTGCGAATCGCAGGACTTATTTAGTATCATAAGTTGCCTTTCCTCGTTTGCTTGGACGTTTGCAGAAGCAGGAAACTCTAGTATGAAGTTGGTGTGGCGGCACAAAGTGAGCGAGCTGGCCGTCAAATACGTTAGCATATTGGCCGAATCAGAAGGAGGCTAGGGTTCGAAGATCTTGAAAGGCGATTGATTGAAAGATGAAAGGAAAAATGAATAATATGGTGTAATGCAAAGTTGTTTTTAGTGGAATTGGATTTTCGCATAATATTTTACATTTTTTTGAAGTTTAAAATAGGATGAAAGGGAATGAATGGCATTACATGCTTTGGCTTTAAGAACTTTGAAAGAAGGGAGATAGATCGTACACGCAAGAAGGCGGGATTGCGAATTATATGAGCGGGGAAGATAACTACTGAGCAAAATCATTGAAACATGAAAAAGAAAACGCAGCACCATTTCCAGCAACTTGCGCTCCTAAACCCACGCACCAGTTCCTTTCTTTTAATTCCTTATTCCCTTTTAATTTCCAATAAAAGGCAAACAATGATGAGCCAGTAGAGGTTAATAGAACTCTGGCGATCGTCCAAAAATGGGCGGCTGATTCCGGCAGATTCCGGCAGATTGCTGCTCCGATCATCATCCCCGATGAATCCGCAGACACCATCAACCGGGGAAAGCGCGGATAACTGTCAAGAACCTACCACTGCCTCGACCAAAATATGCCATAACATCATAAGAATTGATTTAGAGACTGTCTCCCCATATCCCAACAACACTCATGGAGAATCCCAGGCCTAGGATCCACATCCTCAGCTTCTGAAACCTGCGCTCCTTCTCCATATCAGCCTGGACAACCTCGCCATTGACGTTCAAATCGTCATCCGATTGCGGTGCCGCTATTTCCGCGTCTGCAGCAGCAGCGGATGAAGCTTCTTCCTCGCCCACGATTTCGATCTCACTTCCGTTGCCGTTGGAGTCTTCCTCCTCGCTCCTCGCTGATACAGACTCTCTGGCACAAGTGGTAGCATGAGAAGATCCCCAGGAAATGACACCAAAGCCGGATGGGTGGTAAGTACAAATTCCAACCAAACCACCTGACAGCCAGTTCCATGTCGCTTTTTCGCGATTGTACCACCATTCCAGGCCAAGTCCACCGATTAGAGAGGTAAGTGCCGTCCAGATCAGGTAAGGGTGCCTTCTGCGTGGGGAGGACATAGTGAAGGCGGTGAAGAGAGTAATCGCCGTGATGTGAGTAAGTCGAAGAACATGCTTGCTGGTCCGCAGTTGCAGGTCCTTGAGGGTTCGTGAAGCGGTGGGAGCATTAGGAAGGGATTGGAGGGATGGAATTATAAGCACAGAGGTAGCATATGAAAGGCCCTACGATTGATGATTCGTATATATGTCAGCCCGTGGAGTCTAGTTGTCATATTCAATATAGTCCTGGCGCCTTTTGTTCTCCTATCATGGTGTTTGTTTCCGGGAAAGTAGCGAATGAATGATACATACCGTTAAAAGGCCGAGGGAGATGGTCCCCACAAACTTGGAAACTGTAATGGGACAAGCCATGGCGCAAGATTGACGTTTGTGGTCGCATACGATAGCCTAAATCTGAAGGGAGGAAAGACATGCGCTGTAGTGCTTGAAGCCGCTGTGTTCGCCACGCAACGGAGTCACGGATGTTCGTGTGGGAACAGTGACAAATGGCTACCCCGCCGCCAATGGAGGGATACGATAAGTGCAGTTGAAATAACCCTAGATAGCAATGTAATGCTGATTAAACAATAGTCAACCGAGAGTGGTGTTTGCCTACTGTGATGTTGGATCTGGTGCTGTGGTAGTTAAAGTGATGTCAATTTGCCGGATCAGTCACCATCAGCCTGGCCAATCAGAAAACCGGCATAGTTTCAATTCGCGCAAGACTGGAGGCCATCTCGCTCAGAGATCACATCAAATCGCACTGGAAAAACAAATCTATCCAAGCTATGGCTTGTCCCCTAGGAACGAGACCAAAATGGAATCCATAACCATTTCTTGAACAATTCTAACGATCAATGATGATTCACTCACTATACAGGGCATACAGTTGAATGTGGTTAATAAAAAGTTGAACATAGTTAATTTTTCGGAATGGAATAATCTTCAGTGTGGTTTTGATCATAAACCATGTCAACCCTCTGAGGCTTACACTATACTTCAATAATATTGTTATTGAAGATGAACTCTTTTGTGAAAGAGCAACTATATCAATCGCTTCTAATTAATCAAGTGAGCTACATCTTTATTCATTTTCTCAAATAATATTTTGCTAATGAGTCCGAAATATTACAGATTACTATAAAAAAGTGTAAGAGATTCAGACTCAATATTACTGTTCACAACACTACATTTAGATCATACTAATATATCATACTTTTCTGGGCTCATAAGTTATCTAATTACTCTGCAGAACGAGGATGAGATGCAGTACTTGAGGCTGCTTGTTTCAAGGGTTCTTCTCTTTTTGTTGTACAAAAGAGAAATTGAATGCAAAAGAAGTCGCGGCACTGCGGCGACTGCTCTCAAACAAATCACAACTAACAATCTGTGCCACACAAGTGGGCTGTTAGGGCTGGAGAAAAGAAAAATGAAGAAGTCCTTCCACAATCATAAACGACTTGGGGAGTGCTGATGGTGGTGTGCGCAATTCTTCAGTCTCAGCTTTCGCCTGCGGTGTAGTTCAACCAGCGACGAAAATGTCAGTGCTGTTATTGGAAAAAAAAAAAAAAAAAAAAAAAAAAAAAAAAAAAAAGATGTACGCTGACTGAGATGCAGAAATAATACCCAATTTTCCCTGGATGTGATTGCGTATGTACTCAACGACCAACGGCATATTGTCAAGCCCTTCCCTGCACTTGATGTGGCGGTCGTCCACTTGTTGACAACTGGCAAATTTCCTCAAGCTTTTACCCGGCAGACTGTACAAAAGTGGGAGAAATGTGCATCTACAGTGTCTCAACAGATGGCCCACCCTCAAGTTTGGCAAGCTTTAACACGGAGGCGGTATCCAGTGTAGCCCAAAGCCACCTTCAAGAATGGGTGGATATACCTGAAAACTGCCTACTTGCTGTTGAAGTTTTGTCTTGATTAGAGGCTCTTTCACTTTGGTGTTGGGTTGGCGTAGACGGGCATGTAAATGTGATCAGCTTATGGTGTTTGACATAATTAAATAGACAATATCGGCATCAAAGTTCTTTACTTTTGAAGACTGTTTGTAGTGCCAGTATATGGTCATGTGGCCGTACCACTGCTAAATAAGTCGTCAAGGACATAGACACTGCGATGAGCTATGGTGAAAGATAAGGTGTGCCAGTACTTTTATTGTGCCTGGTCATTACCAACTCAAATGGGAGATACATTCCACTGTGTTCCAAGTCTTGAATCAACAGCCCAGCAAAAGCCTCTGCGTCTTGCCACAACGCTTTAAGAGAAAGTATGAACATAAATATTAATGTCGGTAAAATTCTCAAACCCCATGGGAATTTTTTTCAGATGGCCTGGCTGAACCAGCTGTGCTCAAGTGCTTGTCTGGCGGTGATTCTTCTGGTTGGATCCAGGTTCGTCATCTTGCCCACGAGGTCCCTGAACTCTGGATCGACGTACTCCCAGGCTTCGAAAGGCATTCGAGGATTTCCCGAGTTGAAGTCGCCGGTAAGTGCTATTAATTGCCCATAAAAAGGGTTATCTTCCCCTATATGCTTCAGCAAACCATTGAGGCCCTGCTCGTCGGCAAAATAAGATATATGCCTCCGGAGAACATAGCGCCAGGAGTCTGACGCATAAAGCTCGCAGTCACTGACGCGAAAAACCATCTTGTTAAGCATAACGTAAATCATCTGAAGACACTATTAGTATTCAGTAAGACGGAAAAGCTGCATCGGAGTGACTAGCGCACCACAATTGCAAAAGAAAACACATCTGATGCTTGGTTCTGGCGAGATCGGCACCAGCTTTCAGGGCTCCTCCAGATGGCGTTACCGCAGAGAGGGCCTCTCAGCCATTTCCCAGGTGGCACAAGAACTGCATCCTCAAGATCCGAGATCTGAACGTTATTTATGATCGTTTGACCCTGGATGCTCTCATCATAGTCAACAAGGATATTGTTCGCTTTGATATCTGTTTGAAGTCAGTACTGTGATGAGAACGACATTTGGGAAAAGAAGGGGTGGGGGAGGCTTCCCATTGTGTAGAACTCCTCGTTCATGCATATCAGCCAACCCATGAAGTGCGCATTGAAGTACGTAGATTTTTGTCTCTTGAGGTAGAGGAGTTTGGCTCAAACGAAGCAAGTCTCCGGCAAGGAATGGGTATATAAATAAATTGAGGTCAGGGACAGTGTCGACAACGGATCGCACGTTGGGAAAAGCTGATAGCTGTTGTTGTAAGTTCAATTGGTACTCGAACTCGCCTGGGATCATATTCTTGATAACGTAGCTCTCTTTGTCAGAGCTTTCCGCCGTTCTGCACTTAGCGCCGATGCCACAAACGCTGAATGCTCTTTGAAGGATCCATACCGTGCACGGTAGACACATAGTAGGGGCTTTCTGCGGTCAGTGAGGACTTCTTCAATCCTATACATTCATCCAGAGTCGCCCTTGAGTAGTGTACTCAGGGATAGAGGCCCTTCATGAGAGTGTGAAGTTGTAGACATCGCGTATTGTCGAGAAAACCGCCGATCAAGACCGGGGTAGCGGGACACCAATGACAAGGGTTTCGCGGGTAATAATGGCAATAATGAGGGAAAATAGGAGATTCCGCGAGTAAATAGTGTGTAAAGCGTCATAGTAGAAACAGAGAATGTTGGTTCTCTGACCTGCAGAGGAGAGCTTTATGAAATCAACCGGGGAAGTCTGGTGAGTGGCGAGTGGTGAGTCGATGACTCCATCTGAGACCAGCTCACGTGATGCAGATCATGTCTGTCCAATTGGATACGGTCAAGATTATTATTATTCTTCTTTCTCCGTTATACTCGTATGCAAGCAGTGCTTATGACGAGTCCTTGTGTGATGTTAAATACAGGCAAGAGTTTTGTAAATATCGCAAAGATATGAGATGGAGAAAATCGAGTCCTCACTTCTCAAGCGCCGGGCACACTTAGCGGCGACAGGCCGTCAGAGAATTTATGTTATTGGCTTCATACGTCTTGAATTGAGGACAACTGCCGTTTCCCAAGCTTTGCATTCCAGTATACCTGTAGAGAGCCTGGACTCCTTCCGGGGAACTCCGAACCGAACCGCTCGGTCACCTCCGACCAAGTAAGGTTCTCTTCCTCTCTAAGCTTCACCAACAAATCGGCCTCTCCATCGGACCATGATAAGCCTTTTCTCGAACAAGGAGCACGTCCCATATTGACCAATTTGGCATTTGTACTTGCGTGCTAGGATCTAGACTTTGGCACTTGATCACTTCCATGAGGCAAATGGATGCAATGAGATAAAGCACCCTCAAATAGCCAGGACAAGAACTGTAATCTTTCCTCGACTGGAGGGGTGGAGAATTGGGAACGGAGAGTAGGACACGATACTTTCTCGCGGCCGAGTCGCGGGGTGGACGGGTTGGCCCTATTTTTTGGACGATTGTCGATGACAACTGAAACTTTATTGACTTTGGTGGGCTGCCGTCCAGTTTGTATGGGCCTGAGAGAGTCCTGTTGTATAGGATGGCAATTGGCGTCGCGAAACGGGGAGTGAGAATGCTGAGCTGGCGCTCGGCACATTGCGTGTGCAGGTGTGACTTGAGAGAACTTGGAGTCTGGGGATGGGGAAAATTATTGGTGATGGGGACATTTGTAAGGGAAACGGGGCCGGAATCAATATGGAATGGGGGAATGGGGGGAAGGAGGAAGGAGGGAGTTGGAATAAATCTGGAGAGGTGAAATGCGACTAGGTGGAATTGCCTATGTCCTTATACCCGCGATATCAGCCCTGCGAGAGGACATAATTCTCCTGCCACGAGATGTATCCCCTTTCGTCTCCCGTAATTCAATACGAAGCGCCCTCAGAAACGTACACATGCCGCTCCTCGTCTCGCCGCCAAGAGAATGACCTCGAACATGCCATACCGTGTGACTCCATCTTCACAGACGGAACTGCTCATCCGCCGCTCTCCGGCCTGCGTTCGCTAGCACATACTGGTGATAGCAGGAGAAGGAGGTCATCTCAGCGCTTCCATTGCTGACCAACTGGATGGTACCGCAGTCGACAATGAGTGGATCAGGGCCGGCATGTCCGGCGAAGTCCGATGTGCAAGGCCATTTCGGGGCACAAAAAAGCGGGAAGTGCGAGTGCCAATGCGCATGCACCGGTGGGGCCCAGAACAAAAACGGGGTGTCCAGAGAGTTGGAAGCAGAAGAGAAAGTGTGTCGACGGGTCGAGGGTGGGCGAGCGGCGTTTTATAGATATGGACGGCCGCGGCCCAGCTGGTCAAAGCAGCCACTGTGACGCTAGGCCCGAAGGGGCAGGGGGCGGGCGGTCGAGGCGCGCAGAAGAACGAGCAAATAGGCGCAGGTTCCGGGCCCCCGCTTGTTGGCCGGTAGAATACTGAAAATACAAGTATAATGCGCGGCAAAGTATTAAGGCGGAAATCTAACTTTCGTTGGAACCAATATCAATCCGCGGATAGAGCCGTGTCGCTTTTGTCTGAGGCGCCTTTTAAGGATGTCTCTTCCTAAGTCTGCATATATCAGTGAGGTGTGGAAGGATGGAATCTTCGGTATGTTTCTTCTCTGAGCTCTCTTATCAATATCATTGTCCGACATACCTTTTCTCCAAGTTCCGAAGTTTAGGCAATAATCTAACCCTCTCACCCAATCGTAATAGATAGCAAAGTCGTATTCTGTACCGGCGGTGCTGGCACTATTTGTAGCGCTCAAGTACGGGCAATGGTTCATCTAGGCGCCAACGCATTCATTCTCGGACGGAATGTCGAGAAAACTGAGCAAATGGCGAAGGACATTGCTAGAACTCGCCCTGGCGCAAAAGTTATTGGCCAGGGAGGGGTTGACGTCCGGAGCTTCGATAGTCTAAAAAGCGCAGCTGAGCGATGTGTGAAAGAGTTGGGTGCAATCGACTTCGTTATGTATGTTATACTCCACGGCTCTGTCTCCCCTTTGCTGCATTAGTGAGCACTGTGGGACAATTGTACAGATCAACTACGTTTGGAAATTCATTGTATGCTCCCATTTTCGGAGATATGATAACATGGATGCTAACTTATGTTTCCACAAATCTTCAGTGCTGGTGCTGCTGGGAATTTCCTTGCGTCGATAGAACAGCTTTCTGTCAACGCTTTCAAATCTGTCATGGACATCGATGTTTTAGGATCGTATAATACTCTCAAAGCCACCATTCCCTATCTCGTCGAGTCCGCAGCAAAACACAAATGTGATGGAATTACTCGTGAGTTACAGCGTGTCATTGTCCAAACGATGGCATACCAATATAAATAAACTAATTTTGCTCACTATTCACCAAACACAGCTTCTCCCACAGGTACAGGAGGACGAATTATTTTCGTCAGTGCAACACTCCACTATACCGGAACCCCGCTCCAAACGCACGTCGCAGTTGCCAAAGCCGGAGTAGACTCGCTGTCTAACAATGTGGCAATTGAATATGGCCCTCGGGGCGTCAATTCTAACATAATCTCCCCCGGGCCAATCGGAGGCACAGAGGTATGTTGTCCGGGACCGCTTTTTTTTAAATTGCCTTTTATATTAGCGAAGCCTTTCTCCACCAATCTGTGCACATTGGTGGTCATCCTAGCGGCCTTATGCACTGACAACTGCCCTTGAAATCGCCAGGGAATGCAACGTCTTTCTCGCGAGGACGATGCAAAGGGCCAGATGTCCGTAATCCCGTCAGGAAGATGGGGTACGGTGAAGGAAATAGCGGATGCCACCGTCTATCTCTTCTCGGATGCCGGAAACTATGTCAATGGCACAAATCTTGTTGGTACGTAATTTCACCTGCGCATTAACATACATACTCTTCCAAACCTTCCCCGTTAGCATGGCAGCGAGAGTCCGAATTTTATTTGTCTCTGTGAAATTGCCGAAAGCTAACCATTCCCTCCTTCTCTTGTTTTCTTCGGTTACCATCAGTGGACGGTTCTGCCTGGCGTTTCCAGAATCAAGTCAACAAGTCTGGATTTAAATATCCGGATTTTCTCCTTTCCGGGGAAGAGGTGACGGGTGTAGCAGGGTTGAAGAAATCGAAATCGAATCTTTGATCTCTACTACTTATGTACAGTAGATGTGGAGGAGCTTGAATTGCTTGGATGCTGGGTTGAATCAGATATCTGTAGTGTTTTCCCCCTTTACCTATCTCTTTGCGTTTTGCACGCCATTCAATATTCTATATGATTCTTTATTTTTACTTTTCACCGGCACCAGGTAAACATTTATTGATCTAGGCTCTTAGCAGTGATTCTTTGCACACACAGCATAACAAGTTGCATATTTCAAAATATCTATAGATAGATGATAATATCTGACTGATGGCATGGACTTGACGGTTCTCCAATTTCCTTTCTGCAATATAACATTATAATGGACGAACATCTAAAATCTAAATAAAATCTTTGGTGACTTGTCAAAAATCGGCCATTTAAAAGTAACGACGCTAGCAAGCAAGCCGGGGTCAAGACCCAAACATAGCCTTTTTTAGTATTTCGGCTCGGAAAATCCAACAATCAGCGCGCATGGCTAAGTGGTTACGGCGTCCCGCTCGTAACGGGAAGATCGTCGGTTCGACTCCGACTGTGCGCATTTTGTTCAACCGCTTCATTTTGTAGACTTCACTTTCTTATTTATTTTTACAGTCTTTGATCATTTACACTCAAAGAATTCGTATTGGCCTCGAGCAATGGAATTTATTCATGTTGTTCGGGGGTCATTCCTGCCTAGACGCTCGCATTCCTTACACTGTTTTCTACATAGAGGTAGTTCTCATTGGTGGTGGATGAGCTTTGTTGGATGAGAATTGTGCACCTTCTAGGATGTAGTATTCTTTATTGAACAATGTACAGTGGTGTCCAATAAGTCAGCGTACTAGCGGCTCGGTGCTGAGAACCCCTCTTCTTACCCCTCTTCTTCAAAGATTCCTTCATCATCCAACATCCCCCCTATACATCAAAAGATGCCCTCAAAACCGAAAACATTGTGGAGAGAACACTCTCCAGCTATTATTAATACTATTTTGAACCTTCGAAAGTGGGAACATTCATTTCTAGATATAGCTCGAATTTTAGAGCTCCCTTGCTCCACCATATCCTCTATTGTTTATCATGAATCTCATCAAATAGATGAAGGAAGTCCTAAAAAATGTCCTGGGAGATCTCCTAAGCTCTCTGCCTGTGATCAATGCCATCTTATTCTCTCTGTAGAGAAGAATCCCTTCCACTCTCTAGCCAGCTTTCTCACATTCTCAAAATCTGGCTTCTATATTTGCTGAAATACAGCAAGACAGTATCTTGAAAAGAATGAACAATATGCCTTTAAACCACAAAAGAAGCCCTATTTAAAGCCTATACACAAGGAAGTTTGAAGAGCTTTTGATATTCAACACAGAAATTGAGCTGATGAAGATTTCTCTTATATGAGCTTCTCAGATGAAGCTCACTTTGAGGTTGGATTGGATATATCAAGCTGCTATATTCATTGTCCAGTTGGTAAAGGTTATGAGAGTAGATATCTACTCTCTACCTTCAAATCTGGGTGTATCTCAGTGAGTGTATGGGGAGCAATAAGCTGGGATTTCAAATCTAAGCTGGTTTTTATTCCATCAAATGTCCGGATGAATTCTAAGGAGTATATCAAGATTATACTACTTCATGGCTATCCCCATTATATTCACATTCTTGAAAAATGTGGGATTGCACTCTGGGCAGAAGATGGAGCTAGATATCATATCTCTAAGCTGTTAAAACAGTGGATGGATGATTGGCAGATGGATCAAATGAAATGGCCTGTACAAAGTTCTGATTTAAATCCTATAGAGAATCTATAGACAATAATGAAGTTCTGCATATCAAAGATACAACATTGAATACACTCTGAAGCTGAGATGAGAATAGAATTATAGATGATATGGGATTCTATTACACAACTTGAGATACAGCATCTAATCAGCTCCATGCCCCGAAGGTTAGCCACAGTTATCAAAGCCAGAGGTGGATCAACCAAGTATTAGAGAAGAAAATGTATATAGGTATTCTTTATTGATTTAGCTATATAAAACATGTATATAATTCTATATTGGATACCTGGTTGAGATTTTATTTAATATCTAGTTGAGATGGGTAGGGTGCTGAATCTCGGCGCCGAGCCTCTAGTACGCTGACTTATTGGACACCACTGTACAACGAGACCAGCATAAGGCCGAGATAGCTAACTCCGTTGACTTTGTGCCCCACACCGTGGGAAGTAAACACGGGATGTGATAACCATACATACAGTCTTCCGCGCAAGCGTCCAATGTTAAACTTTTACCATACCCCCAAGTCATGATTATGCATAGGTTTATAAGTATGTGCGTATGTATAGGTATCATCAAAAGTAATCTAATTGCTATGCATTGCTCCTTTGAACGAAAAAGATACGATAGCGAGATGCAATGTGGGTTAAGGACTGGGGGTGTGTAGGAATGGAAGTGAAAAGAGGGACTCATTCATTGAGGTCTGGATAAGTGAAAGACAATGAAAGAAGTGAAAAAAGAAAATGTAGAAATGACAATGAGATTAAAGACGTCGAACGGATACGAATGGGACGTGCGCTATGTATCAAATTAATTGTTCATAATGTAGGGATTTGGGAAGAAAGAACGATATATGGGATACATCTCTATGCATCGCTGGAAACTATCAAAATCTATGATAAAATATCAATAGGACATGACGACATCATGCTAGCAAGACCTATGTAGGTGCCGAAAAGAGCACGTATGCCTGACACTAATGGTAGAGCGAAGACGAAATGGCCACAGTAAAAAGGGGCAATACGCGAACTCATTTCCACCTTGTCTTCCGTGTGCTGCTGCGTTGCGTTCTCGTCCTATGATAGCCTCGATTGCCGCTTCAGCGCTCAGTGAAACTAAAGAGTGGGCTGCCAGTCCATGAAAGTGAATCATCATATGAGATGTGATGTCGCTGTTGAAAATCGAAGAGAGTAACATTGCGAACGGGCGAGTGAAGTGAATGAATGGATGAACACGCCCATGCCTCCTTTGAGTGAGCTTCATTCATGCTATTCGAACACACAGATTCCGAGGATCTGCTTTCATCTCTTTCTCATTTGCCTGCTTCCTATATCCATCTCGTTTCTCCAAAGAAAGCCGTTCTTGTTCATTGCTTCTTCGTCTTGATCCCTTGTACTTTGAACTACACAACCATTTACCCTCATTGCTAAGCGAAATTTAACCTGTCGCCATTTTATATCGTCTGGGCTGTGCCCAGGGCCTCGATTCTTCCGACAAGAAACGCTGTGTGAAACCTCGTTTCTCGTGTTATTGTCGTGGTTGGCTGGCCAATCTCGCAAGACCCTATACTTAGCATCGATACCTGCTACCAGACAAGCTCAGGAGTGGTTGGTATGAGCGGTCAAAGAAGAAACACACCAAAGGAAACACAGCTCGATATCACCCAAAAATAACGCCCTTTGTCCTTGATTTCGCTCGAAAGAAGTACTGGATGCACCATTTCGGAGGCATAACCCGCCTGAGCAACTGGTTGAGTTGATAGTTCAGTCTCCAGCAAAGTCATACATCTGCAATCAGCTGCCTCAATAGATACGAAAGGTCGTTTTTTCTACTTCAATATACCAAATCTCCATATTCGAAATTTCGGTCAAATTCACCTCTCCCTATGTAACAAATCGAGCGGCTTCTCGCCACCCCATTTTCCCTCCGGATCGCTCGTATTTTAAGCTGTGAATTCGAGATGGCGGGAAAGAAGGAAATCGAGAACAGCCATAACAGCAGGGTCGGGCAGAACACTAAAATCAAACAAGGATCAGAATCTTCAGGAAACCCAATCCAGGGGCAAGCTAATCCCCCAAGACCAAATGAGGATACACCTGTGAAGAACAGGAATACCAAGCAGGAAGCCAACTCGGGAAAAGAGAATCGGAATGTTCGTACGTCAATAGCAAGCGAACATGGCTCTTCTGCGAGCGCATTTGTCAATAAAGGCGCCACGAACCGAAGAGAAAAGCAGCAGAATGATGCACCAAAACCAGATCCAAATGGCAAGGGTAAAAACGAAGGCAATGAAACGGCTAAAGAAAAAATCCCTCTTGCCAGCGATCGGGCGTCTACGGTTGCAAGGACAACGAGTACTCAGCCCATACAGCCAGCCAGAGGAGAAAAGATGTCTGATAAAATGGCAAGTGCTAGCAAGCATGGACGACTGTCACCGTCTAGTCCAGCTGCAAATAGTAATGTCGACAAAGTGAAGGGCAAAGCTAGAGAGCAAGACCCAAGGTCCGGAAGTGAAATAGCAAGTATGTTCTCAAAGACTTGCCAAAGAGCCGCAACTGGCAACAGTACACCAATAAGCAGCAGGCAGCCGTCCCCCAGCAAGTCGATTACAGGACGAACTACCCAATCTGCTCCAAGTTCCAAATCAAGGGGTGGAAATCTGAATGACGGCATAGCCCACGCTAGCATTGCATCTGAAGGGCCAACGAAAAAAAAGAAGACTCGTGGAGGTAGAAGGAAGAAGAAGACTTCTGCTACGGATCCAGGTGATGAAGGAGGTTGTGGCAGCTCGGAGTCAGACACATCGCACCCGACTAAGCCGTCGGCCCTGCCTGAAACAGTGTCCGGGAGAAAGCTAACGGCGGTGGCAGAGGTATTAACTAATGTGAAGCCTGAGCCTGTTATAGGAATAGCAGGGATAGGTGCAACAGAGCAATCGAGAAAAGGTGATGGGGAAAGCAGTCTTGTTCCATCCTCATCCAATGGAGATGAGGTTAATCCCATTAAGATCGAAAATGCAAGCGATACTAAGGTCATGACACCCAATGAGGGACATCCTGCGAGTCGTGGCCAAATCCCAGGAAATAGTGGTTGCGAAGAAGCATTCACCGGCCTGGGCAGCGGCCAAGGACCTAGTTTCACAAAGGCTGTTAACAAAAGAAACCGGCCGAGGCCTAGTAAGGCAGAGAAGCTTCTAAAAAGGCAATCTGAGGCCAAAGCTGATTCTGCAAACTTCCAGAACAACTCCCAGGATATATATCAAAGGCCTGGGTCAGAGGGTGATGTGAACGAACATTCAATGATAAGTATCGCGGATATACCTTCTGACGACGAACTTGGAGCTGAGAAAATAGAGGAGATCTTCGGAAGAAACGATGTGCCCGATTCAACCAAGCTGGAACGTATTAAGCTCATCATGATCAAGCAAAACCAAATCATTGCCCGAAAGACCCAATTGGTGAACAATTGCCTCAAGGAAAACGAGACGCTACAAGAAAGAGTTGAGGAATTTGACTCCAGCATTCTGACCCAGGAAGATGACAAAAATGAGCAACAGGGACAAATCGACAAGTTGAAGACGATGGTGGACGAATTCCGGCGACAGATGCAAAGTCAAGAGTCATTCATCAAAATTGCGGAGCAGGACAGATCTCGACTTGAAGAAGAGCTCAAATCCAGCGCAACATCACTCAAGAGCGCAGAAAGAGACAGGAAGGCGCTCAAGGAATCAGTTTCCAAGATGACAGAAGATATGGCCAAAATGCAAAATGATATTGTACAGCTAACAGGAGAGAAAAACGGGTTTCTCGTGACTATTAGCAAATATGAGTCAGAACTTGATATGTTGCTGTGCCAGTTGCACAACGGCCCTACGCAGACGGAAAATGTTCGTTTAGCGGCCGAACTTCTGGAGAAAAATGCAGAGCTTGCTGTTGCCAATCAAAACTTCAAGGATTTGCAAAGAGAATTTACAGCCTTGAGAAAACGCGACAAGAAGGAGCAAGGCAGGCGCATGCCATCAGCACTGAATACAGAGCTAAGGTTTCTGGGGGACGGAAAAGAAGAGGAGTGGGAGCCTTTGATAGATCAGAGTGGCGTGGAGAGAAACCCTTTTGCCCTGCTGTCATCTCCAGTCACGCCAACTCTTTTCCAATTTGGCGAACCAATATCCTTTGGGGCTGGTGGGGAGAAGGAAGTTACGTATAAAATCCCAAAGACGTTTCTGCACCGAACGGGCGAGGAAACAAAGGACTCAGACTCTCTCGTGTGTCCGAATGGTTGTCCTCAGACAGAGACCTCGCCGAGGGTATTGCGCTTGATGGAAAATGAAGAGCTAGAAGTGTTGGAGGCTTCGACGCAGACACAGAAATATGTTGAACTTGGCAGGGACAACTCGGCTCAGACAAAGGTGGTGGAGATGCTGGAGGCTTTCACACAGACAATTGCAGGTGATGGTGCGCAGGAATCGGAGGTGTTCGAAGCTTCCACACAGACAATGTGCGAACTTGGGGTCTCCAGAGGCAGTCAAACAACCCAGTTGGGCTTTTCAGAAGGTTCATCGCAGACAGAGGCAGATGTGAGAGTTCATACGGTGAAGATGTTGGAAGCTTCTTCACAGACGACGGTGGGAATTGATTTCTCAACCTCGACCCAGACAGACACAGTAGCTCTGTTGGAAGCTTCGACACAGACTGACAGAAATTATGGCGCTTGCGAGATGACCGATGCTTTGGTACAGACAGAGCCAGTCACCGTCCTCCAAGGAAGCGGTTTAGCGCGGGGGATTAGACTTGCGCTCATCATGTTTGCATGGGCGGCGATCATGCTATGGGGACACAAGGAGGACCAGCGATTGTGGCTTGATGCCAATGGGGTGTCCCGTGCTTCCCTCGTAGCCATTCGAGATAGGTCGTTGGGCCCATTTCTATGGCTTGAGCAGTTAAAATTTGAGCTCATTCTCTGGTTGCAGGTAGACCGGGTACTTCCTGGATGAAGGGCTCCAGTTTGCCTCCTCCAAATCATGTGCTTCAGGTGACAAGCGCCGTCACACATCTTCACATTTTTCCGTATCATTTAGCCAGCTTTGCCCATCAGTCGGTAGGGTATATTTTCCTTACATCTAGACATTCTGCGCCCTCCTTCGGATTGGGGTGCAGTAATCATTGATCCTGTAAATAAGTTTGTAACATTTAACCTCATTTATGCTAGATTTCTTGTTTGCAGTTTCCATGGTGCTGAAGTGGTTTTGAGGTCATTGTTGTTTGAGCCAACCAATCCCCCATTCCACCCCGCCAAGAATCTATTTTTAAATAGGAATAGTAGCCAAACATATATTGTCGCAGATATTCAACACATAATCTCCCTTAAATTTTTGTAGAATACATACAGGCTTTGGTATGTTGAATGCTAGCTAAGAGGGCATTAATAATGGTATTAAAAAATCATATCACATAGTGGTTTTCAGCTATCATAGAAGTCTATACTTTTATATATCACCAAGCTTCAAAGGGATGCTGGCGCTCAGACATGTCCCACGACGATAGGAGGCCTGTACTCAATTGTGGAGATAGAGAGTATTGAACTTCGCAGTAGTCTTCTCTAGTTATTCCAATCACTATAACCGTACTTTTGAGACTCTTCGTTTCTTTACACAGTAGATACCATAGATCATTGAATCGGGAGATTTGCGACTGTACAAGTACTAGATGTGTAGAGCTGTTTGAACATGTTGAACTATGGAAAAACCCAGGGAGAATATTTTCGAATGTGTGCAAGGAGAGGGCTGGCCATCGTCATCTCCGCTTGTATGTAGCAGTAACTTGTGAAAAGCATGACATCATAAGAACAATCATCTGCAATTTCCTTCGCGGATAGACAAAGTTCAGTAATATACAACGATGAATCATGAATCCCTCAAACGGTTGTCGAAACATGGACAGGCCACCGTGGGTGAGCCCTTCCGGCGTTTTTATTTACTGGTGTTATTGGTTGAGTATTTCCCGACCCATCAATAGACATAGAGGTATAATGTGGATATGGAGCGGGTTCAAAGCTTCATGTCACGAGAGAGCGAAAGTGCCGGTTTCCAAAATGTTCTCAGCAAAGTTTTGTCCACGTCCAACCGCAAGTCAATGTCTGGTGCAGGTCTTCCCTGCGTATCAGCGGTCGTTGCGGTGACCGAGGTTGCATGGACAACACAGCTCTTGCATCAGTGCATGATCCAGCCAATAGCGAGTCACCCAGAAAACACTCTGCCATGTTTTCTGACACAGGAAGTGAGCTAAAATTAGTGTTGTGCGCTATTCCAAAAGCAGCGATACCTAACCCCAGGGCCTCTTAACGCGGCTGCTCCCCCTCCAGCTCCGCCAGGTTGTCCTCGTTTCAGTTCAGCCTTATCTGTATCACAGCTTCTTCATCATCTTCTCCTTCCCCTCAACAAACCACAACACGTGTGGTTGAAATCCCATTTAGCAAAAACTTTTCTTACCCCTTACAGGTGTTTTTTTTTAATGATAGATATTTTTTCTTGCATCAGTTAGGGATGAACCTTAACGCCCTTTTAGCCGCCAGTGTTCTGGCACTGCCTGCTTCGTCGCTTTTGATCGCACCTCCCGCTATTCGTGAGGTCAACGGCCAACCCCAGGCGCTGAATGAGCGGAACGCCAATAGGCTTGAATTGAATGCCAGATGTGTTGAGTGCCCATTCCCCCAGGTCACCGGTGAGAAGGCAGTTGTCTGGGACGATGGGTTTGATAGCTTCCTTGTATGTTTCTTTCTTTTGCTGTTTTATCTAGCCATGAAGAAGAAAAAAGAAGGAAGAATAAATATATACTGATGAAAGCCTTGACCCCAGAGCCTCAACTTCACTACTGAAGACGGTCGGCTACTTTTGAACGGGGAACAAATGTATCCCATGCTCACCCCTCCTGCTAGCATCGCAACCATTCTATACCGTCCTTCCGACGGCAAAACATCTTTCCCTTTGTCAGTCGGCTATGTTTTCGAACGCCTCGCGCAACAGTATTCAGCTGACAGGAGCGGTGCTGAACTACTTCTCTTCAACTTCATGGTCATCGACATTGCCGGATTCCCCGCTCCCGTGGATGCTGTCAGCCTCCGTGTGATCAAGCTGCCGCATGGTGACCTATTCGTAATTGGTGTGGATACCGAACCGGCAAACCCGACCGCATCGTGGCGCCAGTGCCGAAGAAATGCCAAGTGCTTGAAGAAGCTCCTTATCTCTCGCCTCCGTGCAATTCTATCATCTGCGTTCTCCAGAGCTATGAACGCTGCAAAGAAGATCAAGGGATGCGTTGGCCGAAGACCCACAAAGGGCATGGCCTCCAAGACCGGAAAACCTCACCACGGTTCCAAGGGTGGCTCATTTGCCCATGCGTTTGCTCGGGCTCTTCACGGTTTTGTCGTTCCTGCCCTCCTTGGCCTGTTTGCAGGCCTCTTTGCTTGCATTGTGGGCGTCATCGTTGGACAAGGAATCGCAGCCTTATGGGCCCGATATCGCCGCTCTTCGACAAGCTGTAACAATGCACGTGTTGAGCACGGCAATGACCTCGAGAAAAAGCCATTGTTCGGCGCCGAGGAAAATGATCTCCCCCCGCAGTATGAGAAAGAGGACCAGCGAGACATTACTATCCCAGCAGAAAAGGAGTAGAAATGTTATGATCGCTTGGGGATGTGTTGACCCAGCTGCGCAATGCGGATGCGGATGGGCCATCGAGAATAGAGCAGTGATGCATGAGGGGATTCTACTTTGTTTCTTATTTGATTGAATGTCTCGCTCAGACAGCTAGAACTGAAAATTGATGTAAATTTTACCAACCACGCCCACTCACTGGGCATTTCTGATCTCCTTTGTCACTTCTCCTTCCCATTTGTCTTTGCCACAGTCGGTCGAGCCCTGGTTGTGTTTTGTGCTTTATCAGCCCCTAACTTTTTTATTCAAAAAAAAAAAAAAAAAACACACACACAAACGAAAAAAAGATCATGTCTGCATTCGCGATAGCTAGCAGGTTAACTAGTCCACTTACTTATTTCATCGTCAATTTTGTTATTGACTATCGAGTAGTTTTAATTAATATGAAACCGTGCACTGCCAGGAAAATTGATTAATACTGTACTTTTAATTATTATCATTGTTGTCATTATCGTCAGTGTATTTGTTTGTGCACTGTTGGCATCTCTAAGCAGTTGCTGTGCTACAGTTTATATATTTTTCTTCGCGTTGGAGACCTACCACAGCTCACACAGCCTTCACTGAAGTTTCACAAGTTTCTTTGGCTGTGTACAGTAGTGTAAACTACTCTGCCATCTTGTTTCCCACTCCTCAGCTCTGAACAACTATAGTACTTTGTGAACTATTTCTTTTTGTAAATACCAAGCAGGCAGAATTCATCACCCTTGATCAGGCCAACCAACCTCCTTGTGCAATAAAGTCTTCAGTTGTTGTATTTATTTTACTTTTCACTGCCTCACCTGAACGTTCGAGTATTGTGACTTCAGCATGGCGCCCTGAGCACATATTATACTGGCATCGCCGAGAGACGCCCTTTGATGGTAAGTACTTTCATTTGTGATTTTTTAGTAAGTCTAATGGCTCATTACTGTAAAGCACATATAGAGGGAGATTTCCTTGATTTGAATCCTGATCCTTTGAATTGTAGAAGTTTGGACGGGGCTCCAACGGGGACTGATCTGGGACTTGCCCAGCAACAAATACTAAGCGCCCACCCGACAAGTACTCCATGAGCCTTGGAGCCCACTCGCTTCCTTTGAACATACAACCTAAGCAGGCCACACAACTCTCCCGGCCCCGGCAATCCCCAGTATCAACAAGCCGAGACGATTCATAGCAAGATGCCCATTAAACAGCAAATTCAACTGTCAGCAACTCTGAATGCAATGCAAACAGAGATGGACTTCCTTGACTCCTCCTTCTTCACCAAAGCAGGTCATAAGAGCTTGCCAACTGCTGCAGAGGTTGGCTCCCTCTCAGAACAGTTCAACAAACATCCACGGCCTGCACCAGTTAAATTTGAGCATCTAAATCTTCTTGTCAAGTTTGGGCCATCTGTTGCAGTTGAAGAAGCCCTAACTCTTCGCATGCTTCGAACCTCTTTTGCTGAGAAGATACCTGTCCCAGAGGTGTATGGTTGGAGAGTTTATCAAAATTCTGTGTTCATTTATATGGAGCTTATTCAGGGAGATACACTTTATGATCGATGGCATTCTCTCAATGAGCTGGATAGGAACTTTATTTGCAGCCAGTTACGGGAGATTATTTCTTCTCTTCGGCAAATTGAGCCAGATCCTTGCAACTCATTTATTGGTATGTATAGTTATATCTCACAATGTTTATCAGTGAAGTTGCTTACTGAGGTGTAGGATCCATCAACCACACACGTTTGCACGATTATGTCTTCGCAACCATCCCTCAATCAGGACCTTTTAAAAATGTGAAAGCATTCAATGACTGGTTTTCTTCTCTGCCTCAAAGCTGGCTTCCTGATTCGAAGAGATATCGGGATCCTTATCGAGACTATCTACCAGATGATGGAGCCATCAGATTGACTCATGGAGACTTGCATCGAGGTAATATTCTAATTTCACAAGCTGATCGCCCACGTGTCCTTGCTGTAGTTGATTGGGCTCATGCTGGCTGGTACCCAGAGTACTGGGAGTATTGCAAGGCCTTATACACATCAGACTATAAGGGGGAATGGCGCAATGTTTGGGTTCCCAAATTCTTAACTGCGTACGAGCCTGAGTTTGCTGCTTTTGGTGAATATGTGCTGCAGATTGGGGCAGTATAAGTATTGACTTTTGTACTTAGCCTTCTAAATTACATTTGTTATGATCATTTACCGAGCTTTTCTTTCCAATATCTTTTATAAGCTATGTACTCGAGTGTGCCTCACCCTGTACTGATGATTGACCAGGGAACCAATTGCTAAATGCCAAAAACCAAAATGAAAAATGGGATTTACTAAGAAGGGCCTCGTTGACCGGTTGAAACTCCGCAATCATATCAGAAAACAAAAATAAGCAACATGATTCAAATCCAAATCAATAGGGGATTCCAACCGATATTTGGGTATGCGCAGTATAATAGTATTTAGGTTGTTAAATGCTACAACTAGCCTGCAAGATCCGCATCTTTGAACTGCACATGATTTTGCACTGATGTCGCTTGGTCGGCAATATGTAATATTCAAATAGTAATGGAGGATCCATGGCTGGATGTCGCCGATCCTCTCAAAATTGCAGCAGCGGCTTACGGGAGATGAAGCCCTGTCATCGGAAAGGAAGAACAATCCACCGTCCCCGGTGCTTGGTGCTTGAGCCGCACCTTGATCGACGCGGCAGACTGACTCCACTTCAGCAGGAGAACTGCATATCTGTCCAGCTCCATTCTGCGCACCCATTGCTCCCAGAATAGTCCCATTAGTGTCAAAGGACGACCAGGCCTGGCTGTCTACATATCCATCCATGACCACAGACAGGAGACTGGATCTGTGATATCTATCATGACTTTGAGGAGCAAAAGTTGACCTCTGACCGACCCCTGGACAAACCCCAACTCAAGTGAAGCCGGTTGTTGGCAACGTAACGGCTCCCTCACAGCATCTCTATAAAGACGGCCGGTTAAGCAATAATACGAAAGTAGCTTCACGAAAATCAAGGAGCCCATCAAGCGTGAGGGGCCATACCCTTTGAATACAGTTATCTCCAATCATGTTCCAACTTTCTTCCCTCGTTCAGAAGGCGCAGGCCTTCATTGACCCGGCCAATTTTCTGCTTCCTTCTTCCTCCTCTGACCGGAATCCTTCCAAGGCATCTCTTTTCCGCCAACAATTCCGTCTCCCTGATTCTCAGAATCCGCTCCAGGAAATAAGCGCTGAACTGGTCTTACCCATCCCCTTCTTGACACCCTCGCATGCTACACAGGGCACCAAGGATGCAGAACGACCAGGAAACAGATACGAAGGCAACTTGCATCTGAGCGAGCGGTTCTTATGTTTTTCAACGCAGCATACTAGTTTTTTGTCAGCCGCTAGCTTTGGTGCTTCGTCAGCATTCACGGGTCAAACACATGGGACGGGACCTTCGGGCAATGGGTTCACAATCCCACTATGCGCAATTCGAAGGGTGGAACGTTTGAACAGTCTTAGCCATGTGTTCTCACTGGCGTTGACGACGTGGAATGGAGCACTGGTAAAAACTAATGCGAAGGACACCCCGGCGGCACCGCAGCGGTTCACTTTGCATCTGATAGGGAGTAGACACGCGTGTGAACGGTTCTGTGATGGTCTAAAGAGAGGTTTGAGAGAAGGAATGAAAGATGTGGATAATTTACGGATGGTTGTTGCAGAGTGTCATTCTGAGTACTTGCTCAGTGGGCGAACGACTAAGTCAAATGACAAACCCGACCAGAATGCACCTTCAAGGGAGCCGCCTGACACGGGTTTAGGATTGGTGTTCAGGTATCCTGGGGATGCTCGGAAACTAAGGGACCGAAGTAAAATGAGGTTATGGGGAGAGTATTTTAGAGGTATGGTTAGTTTTTTTATTTTGCTCACGGATTACTTTTTCCCCGGATGGCTATTGATTTTAAGTAGAAAACGGTCGTAATGCAACCCTAATTCGCCAACCGACCTTCCACAAATTAATACGTGTTGGCCTTCCCAATAGGCTTCGAGGAGAGATATGGGAGCTAACGTCCGGGTCGTTCTATGCACGCATCCGATCTCCAAAGTTATATACAGAAACACTGTCAAAATTTTCTGGACGCGAGTCCCTCGCTATAGACGAAATCGAAAAAGATCTGAACCGTAGTCTTCCTGAATATCCTGGATTCCAGAGCGAAGAAGGAATTGGTCGGCTACGGAGAGTTTTAACTGCTTACAGTTGGATAAATGAAGAAATTGGTTATTGTCAAGCCATGAATATCGTTGTTGCCGCGTTATTAATGTGAGTCTTGCCCACTTTGCGCGTTAATATAAATGAACCAAGTTGACTATTGCACAGATATATGTCTGAAACGCAAGCTTTCTTCTTGTTATCGGTCCTATGTCAGCGTCTTCTACCTGGTTACTACTCCACAACAATGTACGGAACACTTCTGGACCAGAAGGTTTTTGAATCGCTTGTGGAGAAGACAATGCCTGTTCTCTGGGAACATCTAGTTCGATCAGATGTTCAGCTCTCGGTTGTGTCTCTTCCGTGGTTTTTGTCACTATATATCAACTCAATGCCTCTCGTGTTTGCATTTCGTGTTCTCGACGTGTTTTTCCTGGAAGGACCTAAAGTCTTGTTTCAAATTGGGTTAGCCATCTTGCGGATCAACGGCGAGGAGCTTCTTGATGTGACCGATGATGGAACCTTCATTTCGGTTTTGAAGTCTTATTTTTCGAGGCTCGATGAATCGGCCCATCCTCGCTCTGAAAACCCTAAACTGAGGGCAATTACACGATTTCAAGAGTTAATGGTTGTTGCATTTAAGGAATTTTCTGGCATAACTCACAGCACCGTTGTAGAGGAGAGAGATAAACACAAAGATGCTGTACTAGAAAATATCGAGAGTTTCGCTAAACGGACGTCGATCCGGAACCTGGGTCCAGAGAGTAAGCGCCTAAGCGTGGATGATTTGGGAGCGATTTACGACCGTTTTTATGAGAGACTATATGATCACCAGGAAAGGACACGTCAAGCGGAAGAAGAGAAAAGACGAAAGGAGAAGGAAAACATCACACCTCGCCGCCGTAATTCACTTTTGATGTCAAATCCTGATGCTGAAATTGCAAGAGTCGGCGTTGGGCCCAGCCCTACTCTTATGGATTACGACTGTTTTCGAGAGTTCCTGGCAGCCACTGCCAAATGGGCCACTACAGACTCTCCAGCGCGCCAAAGTATTTCCCCAACCGAGTGGGGTACTTATTCAAATTCAAGTATCAGAGGACGGAGCAAATCCTTTGATGTTAACGGTGCCTCACGGGCCGCCGACCACGAGTTCATGAGGCGACTGTTCCGCAACTGGGATGTCGATAAAGTTCAAGGTCTAAGCCTTCAAAATGTTGTGAACGGGATGGTTCGCATAAAAGGATCTAGGGATATCATGAATACGATCAACTACTTTTTCGAGCTGTACGATGATAGTGGGACTGGCCAAGTTGATAGGGAAGGCATCCTTAGGATGTCAGAAGCGTTACTCTTCCTTTCAAGAAGAGGATTCGATGGTACTTTGGTTTCGAGTGACCCGGCAGAAACTAATAACGCTGTAATGTCCGTGGAGAAGGGGCTTGGGGCTAACACAACCTTAAGTACTGAAGAGAAATTTCTAGGAAGTGTTAGCGACTTCATACGCCGGTGCTTTGAGTACGCGGATCCCAGTCATCCATCGAACCAGGAGAAATCAACAAGTGAGATCGAGAGCAAGGTAGACGCATTTGCCATTGGAGACGACGAAGACAATGATGGAGACCTTATAGACTTAGAAGATACGGATGTCGCCAATAAAAATCAAGCAAATTCACATTCCAATAACCCCTCGTCTTCACCGCAAAAATCCACTGCCCCCTTACAAACCAGTACAAACCACAAACAAACTTCCGAATCTGCAAACCTCGCCCTCGATCCTGCCCACCCACTACACATCACCATCCCGACTTTCCGCATGGTAATCCTCGCCGACGAACTCCTCGAACAATTCTTCGAGACCTTTTTCCCTCAATCTTTCCACCTCTCCGACACGGCCGACACGGCCTCCCTCCGCAACAACTCACTTTCTTCTAACCTCACGACATTCACCAACCTCGGCGCTAGACGTCATGGTGCCGGTACGGTGTCAAGCATCGGCGCCACCGTCGCGGGAGCCTCTGGCGGCATAGTTCCACCAGGCCACAAGGGCCTACGCGGCGTCCTGGACAATATAGTGTCCGATGGGATGCGCATGGCAGCAGAAGTACGCAAGAAGATGGATGAAGCTCAACGAGAGTTGGAGGAGAATGCACATGCCGGGCGACCGGACGATGACGACGATGAAGAGGACGATGGGATGTATGACGATAGCAGAAGCGGACATGGCCCGACAATGCCTGGCGGCGGAAGATCCTCCGCGCGTGATGCGGATCGTGATTTGTTGGAAGGGGCTGAGGTTGCAGCTTAGAAGATTGATGTGAGATGGAAATAGGATGCTGGCGCAGTTGTAGCTGGCGGCAAGGGTTAGCTCAAGAATTTCGATTATAGGCTACTGAGGTCTTTACCTGTTATATGGAATGCGGGAGGAGTGCTTTTTCCTTCCCTCCATTTTTATGTTATATTATTTTGGTTTCGATGACGTATACTATCCCACACTGGTCTCCTCCTGTTTCCATAGCTTGTTTGATTTTCGATATCAACCCCTTGTTGTTATTTTAGCTATTTTCTGATAAATCAAATCATCTCTCTCCATTAGATTTAAGAAGTCTCCCTTCAAAACGTGCCCCCTTTGTTGATTCCTTTCCGGTATGCGTAATGGAAATGGAGGATCGAACATGTATAACTAGTAGGTTCTGGATAAAGATGTTGCCTCAATTGCAGCAGTAAGTTGTGAGATAGTTAATTTCACAATTATGCCCCTGGGTTGATCATCAAATTGGAATTAAGTAAGTGATCTTTTAGATGCTTAATGCTGGTTGTGCTTGCCTAGGCAGAGAGTAAATTTGCAACAGACGCAGATTTGGACTTTTGTTCCCTTTTTACTTTTTTTCTTCTCTTTTTTTCCTGCTGTGATGCAGTACATTCTAATAGATATCATCGGTGGTTACATGTTGATCTTCCTTATCTGTTTTTCTATGACAAAGTCCTAACATAAACTATCCCTAACAACAGGTTCTGCATCCTGGCTGATATCTCAGCTCCCGTCCCATCAATCCGTGGAGATACATGGTTGGATTTTCGCTTTTCTTGGATAAATAAACTAGTTAGTGGGGAAGAACTAAATCCGAGATCTGCCAGCAGCCAGCTTCGTTTTACCCTTGGAAAAAATACAACATCTGTGCGAGGCCTGGGCGGAGTTCTTCCCAGCATAACTCGGTACCCTGGACCAGATTGGATTTTTGTTCGTTCCGGAGCAACCGATTGCGTGACCAGCAAACGAGACACTTGACTCATTGAAGAGGGCGAGTCTAGGAAACCAACATACCGATTGGTTGTATATTTCACCAATCGTTCACAGCTTGGAAATGAGAAATAGGTCAATAAATTAGTAGCCAAAAGCAAAACACATATCGGATTCAGTGTCTGTCAAATCCGGGAGGTCATGGTTCAAGTGACCAGCTGCCATTTCCCCTCCTGTAAGGCTGTCGCGAGTTAAAGTTAACTAGTCCCAGTTGAACTAGTAAAATAGACCTGGGGATGGCAGGAGCCCAAAGCGAATAAACTCCCAACAAACAAACAAGAAGAAAAAGAAAAAGAAAAAGAATGATAATATTGCCCTTTTTATAGATTTTGAAGAAATCGAGTGCGAGTAAATATCTGTCCGAATTTGCCCTTTTTTTTCGGCTATCTTGACCAGCTTTGCGCTATATATACACTGACCCTGGCGTGTGTCGTGCGTTGCCCGTGAGGCTCCGCTGGCGTGGTCCTTGCGCCGCCCGCACACTGCTGACTTAATCACCCTTGACGTTGACATCTCACCTCCTCCTCTCCTCGACTCCGCCTCCTACGCTCCGATATCAATATCCCTCTTTCCTTTCTCCATGGAAGCCGCTGTCGCTCTTCTTCCGGCGCTATTCTCTGTCTAACCTCTGCTAATGACTGTCACGTTCTAGTTTGTCGCTGGTTCGGGTTCACCGACTGACGGAAATTCCAGAGTCGGCTCCCCCCATTCAACCAGGCTTAGCATCCCACATGTTCGTGTCCTCATTTTATCAACGGTTGCTTGAAACCTAACTCTTACCCACGTTGCGCGTGGGATTGCAGGTTAATCTTGCTCTGTTTCCAAATATGGCATACCAACAGAACGGCCATCAACATCATTATCACGGCCTTCCTGCCACTCCTTCGCCGCAACATCATCCCGTGCACCAGCAACAACAGCATCCACAGTCGCAACCCTTTCAGTACCCTGCGCAGTATGCACAGACCCCTCCTCTAGCTGGCCAACAGACTGCGAACGCATTGCGACGGACGACAAGCTTCGATGCTGGTGATGATCGGAATTACTTCGATGATAACCGTCAACGCACGGGTGCTGTTGCTCCTGGCCATCCCGGGCAAGCTGGCCATGGTGGTGGATATGCGAGTTATTCGAGTGGCGTTGTGAACAACAATGCGACGAATAATCTGGGATCGAGGAATTTGCAGTTTTCCGTGGGAGGTTCACAGCATTCTGTAGTTAGCCAGACTTCATCGCACGGAGTTGCGGCCATGTCGGGGTACCAACATCAATATCAACCTCATACCTCACCTGCCACTCTCCAAGCTTCCTATAACCCCGTGCAGTTCTCATACCCCACGCCGCCAGTCCATTCGCAGCCGGGGTATAATCCACAGGCGTTCGTCCCCGCAAGTACCTCCAGTAGTACTACCAGCACGTCATACAACAGCCCGGCCTCCCAACATTATAATCCGGCCGCGTATCAGACACCGCCATCAGCCACTTATCAAGCATCTCCCACGCCTTCATGGCAACCTGTCACTCCCGGCCAGTCGTATGGATTCTCTCCACAACCCCAATTCCAGTTTCCACAATCTGCATCTCAGCATTCACAAGTACCGCCCCCGCCCCCTCCTCGGGCCAGCGAGACCAGCTACTCTGCATATTCAGCACCGCAATATGTGGATTCATCCCCACGTCCAACGTACGGCTTTCCCTCCACTGTCTCTCAAGCAACATCATCCATATCTCGCATCGCTTCACAGCCAACATACTCTGCTACGCTTCCATCCCACGCTGTTCACAATGCGGACCAATACACGGCGGATGGTTCGACCACGGCCGTTCCGGTGAGAAATTATTCTCAGACTTCTCACACCGCTTCCTCGTCTCCTCATCCGCCTCCGCATAGCACGATTTCACATGAATCGTCACCTCAGCCGTCGTCCTACGCCTCTTTCGATGGCGGATTGCCTGTAGGCTATCAAACAAGTAACGCGGTGCAGAACCCTATTCACCAGCTAGACCAAAATTCACCTAGGAGAATGGATACTCTGAATCGACATCCACAGTCGAGACCATTACCCGGACCGCCGGCGGAGGCGCAGCAAGCTGCACCGTCTAGGGTAGATGGCAGAGAGGCATTTGAACCGAATTATGAAAATATTGTCAGACAGGCTGATGGCTCAATTATAGAAAGCCATCCAGCTGGCTCACGGCAAAATTCGCAAACGAGCTATCCCAATCCTGGCTTGTCGCAGGAGAGTGTCGTTGATCGTACTGCACCACTCTCCGCATCACCTCACGCTCGTGCATCTCCAGACACACGCCACTCACACATGAATGGCCATGGTCACATAACTAACGCAGGGCCCGGTTTTAATATTAACTATGATGCACATAGTGATGACGAAGATGCCGAGGCAGCTGCTGGCCTGGCAGCACTACAAATGGCAGAAGCGGAGGATGCGCTCTTCAATGCGCGACAAAACACAAATCCGGCAGCGAGCGGCTTCCGACCTGTCTCCGGTCTACTCCCCACCATTCCAACCCCGTCTAGCCGAGTTGAGTCAAGTAGCGATAGTGACTATGCACATTATGATATGGGGCTATACGGTGGAGGCTATGATGCTCGTCTTCACTATGGTGATACCAATCTGAGCATTAGCCCAGGTACTGAGCAACTTGCAACTGCATCTGGTTCATTACGAAGCTCAGATAAGTCCACAGATGACCGAGGAGCACAATCAGATGGCTACGATTACCCCAGTATTGATCAAGACTCCATTCATCCGTTCCCATCCCATAGTACTCAAACACGAGTGGATGGCATCTCTACTGGGCCCTTGCCAGAGCCCAGCATCGAAAACAGAAGAATGAGCTTTGACCACGGTGATGAAGGCTCCATAAATCGATCGTCAAGCCGGCCGATCTCGTTCGGCGATACTACGGATGAAGGCGAACCCCAGGACTTATTTTTCCACCCGGGAATGTCTTCCCGGCCTTTACCTCCTGCGCCTGTCCCTGCAGCAAGCAGCAATCTCATCCCGCACTTGATGCCTGCTGGCACCTACCGGAGCCGGCCCCCCATTCCGGAACCATACAATACCTATTCACAACCTCCCTACTCATCCAATCCAGAAGAGTTTGTTTCATCCCCACTGGCGGTTCCACGATCGATATCTCTTTCGACTCATACGAATAGTCCTCGCGCTGATCCGATTATTAGGTCGAAAACGGACGCAGACCGGATTAGACTCAAGCAAGGCGCTTATGATACGCCAACTCCGACACCTGTTACGCTAGATCTGCCTACCATCCCATCCGGAAGACGCAATAAGTTTAATCCTACGAAATTGTCTACGGAGCAATTCAGAAAATGCACTGAACCCTGGGCCCTTAGTGCCATAGTCGCATGGATAAAGGGATTGAGCGAAGATGAGGCCGATTTGAGGAAACAGACCGTCATTGATGCCATTGTCGCCTTGTTTACCCATAAAGTCCCAACCATGAACACCATTGATGCGGAAGTTCTGGGTGACAGGGTCGTGGAAAATATGTTGAACGAAGGTGTGCTGATTAAAGATGAAGAATGGGTTAAGTTTGGTCCTGGAACACTTTCCGGTGTTTTCTGGCAGATCAGCGGTCAAGGTTGCTACTCGTCTCGTCTACACTTGCAGGAAGGAGAATCTGTTGGTCGCTGCTATTCTCATCACTGCATGCGAACTTTAAAGAAGGTCAATCTCCAGGCGCAGGCTATGGAACCGGAGAAAAAAGCTGAAGACTGGGCAACATTCTATAAAGTGGGAAAGGAAATATTTGATACTCATTCCAAAAAAGAGGTCGATCGGCAGAATATCCTTCACGAGATTGTCACAACCGAAGATGCGTTCATTGGACAGTTGGATGTCTTACGAACTTTGTACCGTGATCAGCTCGCCGAATTTGATCCACCAGTGATTAACCCAAAACGCCTCAGCAAGTTCTTAGATGAAGTCTTTGGAAAAGTCGATGCTGTCAAAAAGGTCAATGAGGATCATTTACTTGCACAATTGAAATATCGACAAAAGGAACAGGGTCCATTTATTGTTGGCTTTAGTGACATTTTCCGTGAATGGATTCGACGAGCCAAGGCTGCTTATATCGATTACGCAGCGACCTTTCCGAATGCAAATTACCTTGTCCGGAGAGAAGCTGAAACAAACTTGATGTTCAGGCAATTCTTGAATCAAGCCCGAGACAACAAACTCTCAAACCGATTAAGTTGGGATACATACTTGAAGGCTCCGATCACACGTATCCAACGATATGTTCTTCTCTTAAATACCGTATTAAAGAGCATAGACAAAGACTCTGAAGAGAAGTCTAATTTGATACAGGCTATAGACGAAATAAAGGCTGTTGCTTCAGAATGTGATACGAAAGTCGGAGATATGGCCAAAAGTGTGTCTCTGAAGGAATTAGGATTGAAACTTCAGTTTAGGCCCGAAGTGAAACGGGAATTTGAATTTAATCTTGAGCACTTAGAGATTATTTTCCAAGGAGATCTACAACGTCCGCGGACAAAACGGTTTAATTGGGTTGACATACGCGCTATTTTGTTCGATCGATATCTAATTCTTGCGAAAATCGGTTTCACACGAGATGCGGCACGCAAAGAGATTTATGATGTCTCCAAATTTCCAATACCAATGGACCTGCTAATGCTCGAGAGCACTAACGACGATCCTGTTATGAGATCTTCCGTCAGGGGGATAACTGCCGTTTCAGCACCTGCTGCTGGTAGACTTTCTTCTCCGGCTGATCGGAGTAGCCCTACGCCTGGTGCGCTGGCCCACGCTGCTACTAGCTCTTCCACCACCTCAACCAATTCGTCCCTATCCAACAAAACAATGGTCCCTACGTCAGTGCTTGACAACGCTAGGGATGACAAAATTTTATATCCATTTAGAATCAAGCACCTCGGTCAGCCAGACGTGTACACCCTCTATGCACCCACTGCTCAAAACCGACAAGAATGGTGTGAAAAGATTATCGAGGCCAAAATAAAGCATGCTAAATCTCTCCATGCTCAGAATGCGGAGCCTTTCAAGCTTCGTGTGCTTTCGGACTCTGCATTTGCTTATCCAGAACATGCAGTTGCGCCTAAAACCGCAGTAATTACAGGCACTCCGCTGGATCGAGCGATACGTGAGGTTGAAGCTAGGTATGAAGGGAGTCTGTCGCGACCATTGCCAGTTTGCAGAGCTGCGGTCAACTGCGCTACGGTATTCCAGCAACCACATGGGCGATTGATGTGTGCAATTGGAACAGATTACGGCGTGTATATATCTGAATACGACAACCCAAGAGGCTGGACTAAGGTAAGCAATGCCTCCCAAATTTTTAGCTAGACTTCGTTGCTTTCATCCCTAACCTCTCTTCCACAGGCGATATCTACTACTCGAGTAACTCAGATTGCTGTTTTCGAAGAGTTCAACTTGTTCCTGCTCATTGCAGACAAATCTTTGATTGCTCACCACCTCGACGTGGTATGCCCGCCAAGTGGAGTTCCTACGCAAAGCGACTCACAAAGGCGTGCGCCTCAAAAGTTGTCTGGTAACCGAGAAGTTGGATTTTTTGTTGCCGGCCGAATGAAGGACAGGGCCCTTGTGATTTACAAGAAGCGTGATGGAATTACTTCCACTTTCAAGGTATTGCCATTCAGATCGTCTCATAACAAATACACCTGGAGGATTTCGTAAGTGTAAACGGCTCACCAATCATTGACAATTTTCCTCTTAGGCTCTGGAACCTGTTCTACAGAAATCCTCCTCATCCCGTCCGCGATTCATGCAAACACGCCGTGGGCACACCGAATTTTTCCGTGACTACGACGAGTTTTACATCCCAGCAGACAGCTATAGTATCAATCTTTTCCATTCTTCCCTCGCCATTTCGACGTCCCGAGGCGTCGAGGTACTCACACTAGACAAGAAGCAGCCATGGTCTGTTCCAAACCTCCGTGCAACATCACCAGAAAACCAACCGGCCCTCAACCAAATTGGCAACCGAATTAACAATCTCCGGCCTTTGGGCATGTTTCGCCTCACCGACAGAGACTTCCTCTTGGTCTTCGTTGACTGCGCTATCTACATTGACAAATTTGGAGAAGTTAGTCATGCAGTGATTATGCAATTCCTCGGCCGTGCAACATCCGCCTGTCTTTATGGGAAATTCCTCATACTCGTCAACGAAGATTTTGTCGAAGTCCGCAATGCTGTGAACGGGCGACTTAGACAAGTCATTGCAGGCCGTAATGTAACGCTTCTTGACGATGCTGGGAATGGGTCTAGCGGTTTTGGCAACGCATCATCAGCCAATTTTAACGAGGCAGCTGCGGCAAACCCGTTGAGTGGGCAGAATGGGCTGGGTCTTTCGACTGCACTTTCGACCGCGGGTCGGACTGTAAAAATTTGCATGCAGCACCCTGAGCACGAGCGCAGTCAAGTTGTAGTGGAGCTACTAGAAAATCAAGGGTTAAAGGAATGATCCTTACTTCTGCGATTTTGGGTTTTGTTTCGTGTTTTCTGGCTATTTTTGCTGACTTTTTTGCTGACTTTTTTTTCCCTTCTTTTTCTTTTGTTTGGCAGTTTGCCATTTACCTTTTTTGACTTTATACTCACCTTTGTTCTCTCTGGATCTTTAATCCATTTGCTTCTTCGTTTTGGATGTTATGATGGGTTGTTTTATATACCAATTTTATATACACTGCTTTTACACAACCACTTTTAGTTTTATCTTCTGTTTCGTATTCCCCATTTCAAAGTGATTACTTACTTTTCTTCGGTTTTTATCGGCTATTCCACCATCACTTTTCGTTCACTTTTCCTCCTCTTTTATTCCTCTAATTCCTTTCTCTTCCTTCCAAATCTCATTGTACATTTTTCTTCTCCTTCATGACTTCAATTTTCACATTTCTTTTTTTTATTCTCACCATTATTACTTCACTTCTTACGCTAAATTTTGTTTTCATAGGCTTTCTCCCACATTTCCACTGAGCGACTAGTTCTGAGGATCAAGTTTATTTTATTATCTTTGTAACTTTCACTCTGATGTGGTGTAAGCACTATTTAGTGCTTTCTTTGATACGTTGAGTATCCCGATACCTCTAATTATGCATTCCACTTTCACTTACGAATGACATCTTCTGTTTTTACATCGATCCGGTTTTTGTCCATTGTTCTTGTTCACTTGGAAAAGTAAACTCAACTCCCTTGTTGAGAACACTTGCGTTTCTATGGAGAGCGCTATTTCGTTTCCATTCGCAACACATTTCATACCAAAACATCAGCGGTCTGCTGAAGCGCGACCCTCCAGCTTACAGGGGATAGTTATGTAACTTCATGAAGCGCCCCTTTGTCCTGGCGTAACTGGCTCAATGTCCATAATTGCTATGGTAGGTATCCCATATCGTACAGAGCATCGGCGAGAGTTTCATATATCTGAACTTCTAGAAATATAAGACACAAACGGCGAGATGATGGCAGCATCTCCGTTGTCTAGACATGTCACCCGCTTACGAAGTTGAAGGTGAGGCAACAGCATGACATGGGAATGTAAAATATATATTCCTTTGTCCCCATGCATGCTACATTAGATATATTGTAGGGCGTTTCACCATTCCTCATCGTGGGCGGAAGGACGATATTTTTAAGATAATTTTTGCATAACTCGCCACCGAGTCATCGGTCGTACTCGCTAGCTCGATGTGCATGGCGTTCCCCTGGCGATGAATTCCATTGCGATACCAAGATAGCACCGATCCACGCATACAGATACTCACCGCTAGACTATGCTTGACAACCCATGGTTACCGTTTTTACATAACCCAGGATCTATACCTGAAGTATGTGGTATAACTTGTGCATCTCTGCATCTCACCCCTTGGTTGGATCCTCGTGCTCTAAGAAACCGAGCCTCACTTAAATAAGTAATCATCATTGATGGTTGAGTAGAGGATTTGGGACCCATTGCATTGTAGCCCTCAAAAAGTGCAGGGGTTCCATAGCACCTCAGGGAAAGTCGACCAGCATAAAATATATGTATAAATCAACAAACGTAACCAGCCCCAATTATATATATTGAAAATACGAGAAAACCCAGAGCCTTTGAAACATAATATACATAATCTCAGGAAAGTCTGTCGTGTTACCGCCTCTGGCCCAGATTGTAAAGCATTGCAGCGTACTACACATGAATATGTAGTAGTCTCATTTGCGAATGCACCCGTACACTACGTCACTCTCACTTGCAAAGCAAAGAGCAAATGGGGGAAGTTTAAAGCTTTAAGTCCAAGTGCAGTAGGGATTAAGGCACAACAACTGAAAAAGGCATATAAAGAGTCAGTTCCACCTTTGCAAATACTTCCGGGAACCACAACAGAGCAAGTGAAAGTCGAATCAGACCCATTGACTTGTAATCAAAGGAACATTCACCGTTCATTCAAAAGCTGGTCGTTTCCTCTCTCTGATCCCACTCACTGCTCTGCAAAAAATGAAGTATCTGTTTGTACGCTTCCCCCTCCTGGTAGCTGTTGTGCTCAGCACCCCGACGAGATCAAAAAGCAATTTATCCACGGTAGGTTCAGAGAATCTCGGAAATTCCCTTAGCTCTTCGTGAGGCTTGATCGCTGATGCCTAAAATGGAAACCCAATTCCCATATAATTTTAGGTAGCCCCCTCCGTAGACCACCCACGTATGGCGAAAGTCGCTAGGGTCGCCATATCGAACGGTTTAAACATGTGATGGTTATAAAGGAGATGGCAGGTCCCAAGGTTGTGGTGACTATGGAGGAAATAACGAAAATGGAAGTGGATTGTGGTATGTGTCATTTTGACGAGTGTGATAGAAGGAAGGAAAGAAAGATGAACTATAGCTTGGAGTAAGAGTATTTCTGGATGGAGGGGATAGAGGTCGATTTTCCAGGCCTTTAAGACGATGTCCCAGTTATGGCGAGGTGAAAACCGCGTTAACGATTTGTTGCAGAGAGGCCACTGTCACTTAGGATAACAGGGTAGGATATTAGGAGTAGCGGATTTCTAGAGTGGCAGGAATATCTGGCAACATATCGCAAATAGATATCTAAAATTATTGTTAGCAAATGATTAAAAGATAATGAAATATCTAAATCGTTGAACCGGGGATATTTTTTGAACGGGAGAGAGTATGACTGATACTTGAGAAGAACTGTCTTGCTGGCTTCTTAGACTCTGCTTATACCGCACTGGAACACGAATGGCCATAGCTCCTCCAAAGAATAAGAAAGTAACTTATAAGAACAGGCTTGCTCGCAGTTCTCTCCACTCAATGGAGAAATAAGCTACCAACCCCGAATGTAAATACGACGATTCCTGGAAAGGATAATGCAGATAACAGCTTGGAGAATGGATTCAAAAGATGCCGATTGACCTAAAGATCAGTAAAGAAAGGACGAGTAGAAAGATAAGCCAGTCGTCCCGGAGATCAGCCATCAGTTGTCCAAAAGACAGGCTTGACAAAAGGAGCTCCATGATGGCTAGCTACGTGTAAGAAATATCAAAGTAAAGACGTACGCGGGATCAATAACATGAGATCAGCCATGAACCGCGGGCGGGAAACTTCTTGATGGGCGATGATGAAAAACAATGTGGATGGAATATTCTGACAGCAATAATCTTATAGAGCTTTGAGGATGAAAATATCGTCATACACGCTCCGATAAAGTTTATGGACCGTACCGAACGCGAAAGTATAAATGCATTCGTACAAAGCAGGTGCCAGGTTTGGGGTTGAAAATGAGAAGAGAATTATTGACGAGTATTGCAGTTGTAATTATATAGTATTTTTCTTATCTGGATTGATGTAAGTAGATGCTAACACAATATTTTCAAGATTATGTTCACACAGTTGATACTATTCTCATTGACTACGAGACAACTTGGAAGTGTTGTGGTTGCTATGTTCCAATCTCATTGTCACTGGGCAGTTAGTTATGGAATTACCTAGTTGATGTCGCTCCTGATGTATAAATTGAACCTTGTTTGATATTCGTACATGATAGAATAGTGAAAATTATAACTACGCCGTAGAGCTCTGATTATCTACTAGTATCTCTCTTTCAACTTCTTACTCAAAAGAAATAAAATATCAAGTGATTACAAACGAATAACTTCTGTATAATAAATCTCACCTATCAAAATAGATGCCGACTTTTGACGGTGAATTCAGTGGAGATTCTAACCTGCTTAACCTCGATGTTCCCACATGATGAGTGCTGCTGATACAACGTAGGTTGAGGTGTCTGCCAGGTGCGGCTGACAGGAGCCAGTCCTCGTATATGAATGGAATGGTGTTTGTGCGCCGATCGAGCCCAACTCTCCCTGTGGCTAGTAACGCAATCCACCTTTTTCCATAGCTATTGATATCTCAATCACAATATATTATGATAAATTTATAAATGGTAATTTAAAATCTCTTACTAAACATATCTATTTTGAAATAAATATTTGTTAAAAAAAGTAATGATATATGGAAATGTATCGCATGTGCAAAGATTAAGAATATTTTCGTATATCAATCTATACGGCAGCCTATAGTGACAAATGTGTCAAATAGGTTTTTTATACTAGTGTTACAATGTACACACACCTATCATATTCATTCTATTTGTAATTGAATAGAGCTTATTGATTACTAGAAAGCAATGCATTGCTAGATATCATCTTCAATATATATCATCACTATGATAAGATAGTACACTAATCACTAGATTGTCCATAGTGAAAAGCCAACATAACCATTCATTAAATGATTGTGCTTATAGTGATATATATACCCATGGGTGTGGTGGTGTGGCCCGGCCCACAGTGGGTGTGGCCACTGAACCCACCACTGATACACTGCGACCGCCAGACGCATCACTAGATATTATCACCAGACACCATCGCCAGATATCACCACCAGATATTATCACTAGATATTATCACTAGATATTATCGCGAGATATTATTGCTAGATATTATTGCTAGATATTATCGCTAGATATCATCATCATTCATCAATATATATACTGTGGTTTCCACACTATAGGCTGGTGGTTGCAGTGTATAGATAATGAGTTCAGTGGCCACATCCACTGTGGGCCAGGCCACAGCAGATCCATGAATCTATATATATATATATATATATATACCACTATGAGCACAATGATTCAACAAATGGTTATGTTGACTTTTTGCTATGAATAATCTAGTTATCATAGTACTAGCTTATTATATTTAGTGATGATATTCATGATGATATCTATCAACAAGATATATATATATATATATATATTTATCTATACATGTGGGTGGTGTGGCCCGGCCCACAGTGGGCATGGCCACTGAACTCATTATCTATACACTGCAACCACCAGCCCATAGTGTGGAAACCACAGTATATATATTGATGATGATATCTCGCGATAATATCTAGCGATAATATCTAGCAATAATATCTAGTGATAATATCTAGCGATAATATCTAGTGATAATATCTAGTGATAATATCTAGCGATGTTATCTAGCGATAATATCTAGTGATAATATCTCGCGATGATATCTAGCGATAATATCTAGTGATAATATCTAGTGATAATATCTAGTGATAATATCTAGCGATGATATCTAGCAATGATATCTAGCGATGATATCTAGTGATGACATAAATTCACTGTTTTAAGAGAATTCAAGATGCATAGCTTCTCAGTATAAATTTCTATCAATGAGTGTCTGTAAGTGGAATTAAGTAATTACAGCGGAAAACATCAAAAAAACCCATTTGACACATTTGTCACTATAGGCTGCCGTAATCTATAAGATGTATTCAGATTACTAGTTGTTAGTTGAGAGAAAATCTACTTTTTTTATATAATATTTGAATAACTTCTTTGATATCTATTATTTTTTTCTCTATAATTTAGATTGAAAACTAAATAGAGTATTCCAAAACGTATATAATTTTTAGCAAAATGATAATAGATATATACATATTGACGAAAATACTGCAATCTGAATACATCACTTGTGTTGGGGGTTTGGATTGGTTCGTCCCCTCTACTACCACCATGGCGCTGTGATCGAGCTAACAACTTTTAAGTTGTATGCTGTAATTTATAATAAAAAGCTTCTATAATACATATTTAAGCTCAGCAATATCCAGATCGTTTTAAATTTAAAATCTTTTGTTTACAAATATATATCTCTACATCAATAAGTTACAAATACTATCACATTTAAATATGATCGATGTTGAGCTATCAATAGTTCGTCATTCTTGATTTTGTATGTGGAAGTGGGCGCTAAGTGGTCTATGATAACTCCGATCGCGCTAGTCTTCTTAGAAAGGGTTACATATCGTATACGATCGTATACGAAAGGCATGTGGTAAGAAGATTTGACTCCGACAATCTGCAAGTAAGCACCTTGATTTCAAGCCGCCCGACGCACCTCAAGACTTAGGCTAGCAAACAGTTGACTTGCATTAGTTTGGCATTGTAGGCATTAACTCCGAAGCTTTTATACGACGTGATTCCGGTAGCAAGCTGCAGCTTCAATTCTCAGTGTGAACTAAAACCTTTCACACTACCCCAACCTCTGAAGCTGAATGTATTTTGAAAAAGCAAGCTGATTCTAATGATGTTCAACGCAGTACCCGGCTGTTTCCCCATATTTTTCGACGAGGCCGGCAACTTATGGGGCGGGGGGTTGGATGGCGCAGTGGTAAGCGCTGTTCATGGCACCTTGTCCACCATCGGTGACTTGAGGATGAACCTTGAATGAATAGTTCGACGTGCTCTAGAGATATTATGCGATGCTGGATAAAACAATGCTTCGCGGACAATTTGCATTGCTAAAGCCTTCAGGGCTGAAATTACCCATGGAGATGTTTTTGATGCGGGAATGTGAGGAAGAATGCGATTCGTTCGGCGACTTCACGACCTCGGATTGCAATCTAGTTGCCGGTGTTTGGAAATGGGCCTCTCTCTGTCCACCGCCTGCGTTTCTCGTTATATATCATTGCTCGCCCCTTCACTTCTTTCATTCTATTGTCAGTCACTCCTAACTTCCATCTCCTGTTTGGTGTTCTCCTCTTTTGCTTCGCCTTCAGCTCTAGTTTTCTTGCGATGGTCTTCACACCTCCAAAATGGTTATCGCCCCTCCCGAATCCGCCAGATAACATCCCACTTTCCGAGTTCATGCTCAATGAGAAGTATGGCCGCCATCCGTTGGAAGACTCGTATGACCCCTTCGTTTGCGCTCTTAGCGGAAAGTCTTACTCCACCGTGGAAGTTGCAAAACGCGTTGATGTCCTCGCGCGGTCTTTGTGCAAGGAACTAGGCTGGCATCCAAATGAGGGATTAGAATTCAGCCGCGTAGCCTGTATCTACAGCGTGAACACGGTATGTAGGCATTGGGCCTATCCCTTTCTAGAAATAGTACACCATCTACCACTAGCCAGCTATTCCAATCATTAGTATTGCATATATTGTTTGAGAAAAAAAAATTAACACGTCATAGATTAGAGCTAATAGTCACCATATCTATGTAGATCGACTACTTGACTCTTTGTTGGGCCATCCATCGTTGTTCTGGTGTTGTCTCTGCTGCGAGCGCGAGCTATACGGCTCCTGAACTCACGCATCAACTGAAGGATAGCGGATCGAAATCCATTTTCGCATGCGCCGTAAATCTTCAAATTGCCCTAGAAGCTGCAGCCAATGCTGGCATACCAAGAAGCCGCGTTTATCTTTTTGATCTACCGCCTCAACTTCCAGGTGGCGGGAAAGCACCAGACGGTTTTAAAACGGTGGAGCAGCTCATTATGGAAGGCTCCTCGTTACCGCAGCTGGAGAAGCTTAATTGGCAGCCAGGACAAGCCGCAAAACAAGCCGCGTTCCTTTGCTACTCCTCGGGAACCTCTGGGCCGCCGAAAGGGGTGATGGTCACTCATAGAAATGTGATCGCCCATGTATTGCAAATGAAGGAGTTTGAGGCGAGGGTTCGCAACAGCTTGAAAGCCCCTGGGTCCCGATCGGACTACAAAGATGTGGTTCTGGGCCTACTGCCCCAAAGTCATGTGTATTCGTTGGCGGTGATTTGCCATGCTGGGCCTTATCGTGGCGACAAAGTGGTCGTCCTCCCCAAATTTGAATTTACGCAATACCTCAATGCTATCGAAAAGTATCGAATCTTGACCCTTTACGTGGTACGATTTATTTCCCTCTCCCTTAAAGGTGCTTCTGTGTTAGTAGCGAACTATTACTCCACCCAAATTGCTAAGCTTAGCTCTCCAGGTTCCTCCGATCATTATCCTCATGTTGCAAAATAAAGTGCAATGTGACAAGCGTGACCTCAATTGTGTTTCTTCCATTTGCACCGGAGCTGCGCCACTCGGTGCTGAAACCATAGCAGATGTGAAACAATGGAAGCCTTCCTGGGTGGTTCGACAGGGTTATGGTAGGTCATCATTCGTGCAATCCTCTTTAACAATTTTAATTTAGCATTCATAAACCAGTGGTGGATCAAATACTGATCTAGGTCCAGGGCTTACTGAAATTACTGCGGGAGTAGCCATCTGCAACAGCGATGACATTTTCCCTGGTTCTTGTGGACCCTTACTTCCAGACGTTGAAGTACGCCTCGTATCTCCCGACGGCGAGGAGGTAACCGGCTACGACCAGCCCGGCGAACTCGTCGTCCGTTCTCCATCTGTCACGCTTGGATACCTGAACAATGAGAAGGCGACCAAAGAAACATTCCGAGACGGCTGGATATATACGGGCGATGTAGCCCTTTTCCGCGTCTCACCCCTTGGTAATGAGCACGTGTTTATCGTCGACCGGGTAAAGGAACTTATTAAAGTGAAGGTGCGTTAATGCATGCCATATTCCAACCCTCAATTGAAATTTTCTAATCTTCACGACAGGGTTATCAAGTCGCGCCAGCTGAGATGGAATCGCATCTCCTCTCACACCCCGCTGTTGCCGATTGCTGTGTGATATCCGTCCCGGACCACGTCGCGGGAGAGCTGCCAAAGGCATTCGTCGTAAAATCTCCCTCCGCAGGCAACGATGATGCGGCTATCATAAAATCAATTCAAAAGTATGTGGAGGATCACAAAGCGCGTTACAAGTGGTTGAAGGGAGGTGTGGAATTTATTGAGGCCATACCTAAAAGCCCTAGTGGGAAGATCATGAGGCGGGTATTGAGGGACAGGGAGAAGGAGGCGAGAAGGAAAGCTGGATTGAAATTGTAAACTATTTCCTTCTTGGCTCTGGCTGAGGTTTTTCTCTTTTTGTAGCTGACATTTTTGCCCATGGACCTAGCGACTTGGTTGGGCTCTTGTGGGCCGGGAACGATATTTAGTGGAATGTAATCACTTTCGAACTATAAGTAAACCAGGTCAGTGGTCTCCCTGCATTGGCTATTTCTTTGCTGGCACGACACCGTGAATCATTGGAGGGATTAGAACGAACAATCCTTACTCCGTATATACACACTGCACATGATAATGCTACACAGAGTAGCTGTCACAACACTTCCCGCCACCACGCATGGATGCATACAAAGCTGCTGGAAATGGGGTTTATGGCATTCCTGCTTAACCCAAATTAGGAAATCTTATCCGGACTTTGAGAGATAACGTATTCACCTCGCGCTCTAAGTCATGTGATATAGTGAGTTTGAAGAATGCCAATTAAAAAAGCACTCAATGGTGGATGGGGGTCTGGGCAGCAGCTGCTCACAGCTGATTCAACATCTATTGCTTCTATAATTCTTGAATAGCTCTCTCTGATATGAACAATCTTTTTTCTTTTCTTTCTTTTCTTGTCTTTCTTCCGTACTCCAGTTGTACAGAGCCTGTGTACAACACTTAGACATAACTTGCACCTCTACCTTGGTGTCTGTGACCAGTAACCTATATGATGAAGCTAAGCAAGCCAATCATAAGGGACTATCAAATAGAGCTTTATATCACATGACTTAGTGCACAAGTTCGTGGTGAAATACGGTGCAGAAGTGAAATTACCATATCTCCGCAAGAAGGCGGAATCAGTTTTTGTGTGTAGGTTAATATGAACTCCGCAACGAATAACTGTCGTGTATAGGACTGGGTCATTCACAGAAGACCCGTTGAACCCAAGAAGAACTTGAATTTAAACAAACGGGGTGAGACTAAACAACGATGATGTCTGACACTGGACATATGTGTGGGATTATACTCTATGGTACTCGCTTCGCAATTCGCTAAAGTTATATGAAATGGTGATGAGCGGGCAATAATGCAAGTGCAAATGAATGTCTCAAGCGCTACAATTTACAAGTGTTGGTCAAGATGTCGCCCTCCAGCTCCATCACATGCTCCACCGTGCCCTAATCAATCTTTCGAGTGACGTTGGTTTGGATTTCTAAGCCAATGATAACCACCTTTTTTTTATTGCTTCAAAGTGCCCATTGATTAGTAGTATTGATGGAGTATCGATGACTTTCTCCTGGCTTCTTTTCATAACCGATTACAATAAAAAGGGTTCTCTTCTCTACATACGCCGAGATCGGATATGGCTACCTAATATCGCCGCAATCAGCAAAAGCGCGCGATATAAAATCGAATCTCTTCAACCTGCTAAACCCCTCTGCCCCTCTTCCTCGATTACACCCCCTCCCAATTTCTTTCTTTTACCAATTCAAAATGCCCCCTACCCAATTTCCTCATCCTAAAGAGGCTCTCGACAACGGAAATGAGGAAGACCTCTTCCTTGATGCCGCAGACGCTGCGGAAGAGATTCCCGCCGATGAGGATCAACCGATGGACGACCTCTCGGACGACGGTGACGATGGAGAAGAGATGTCATTCCAAAACGACTCTATCGCTCATTTCGATCAGCATAATGACTCCATATTTTGCATAGCTCAACACCCCATCCATCCCAGTATCATAATCACAGGCTCAGGCGACGATACTGCCTACATATTCAACTCCGACGTGGAGAGACCACTGCTTCCGAGTAGCTACGAGTCGAATCCGCAACATAAGGGAGAGCGCGAGTCATTACCCGTCATCGCAAAGTTGCAGGGGCATACGGATTCAGTGAACGCAGTGGCTTTCACGGAGCCGTGCGGGGAGTATGTGGTTACTGCAGGATTGGACGGGAAACTCCGCGCATGGTGCGACACAAGCCCCGGGAAGGCCGGGCTATCCTGGAGATTTTTGGCAGAGGTGCAAGAGGTTGATGAGATAAACTGGGTGGCTACGTGCCCAGTGAATCGGGCTGGTGGGAATGAGGAGAAAAAAAATCTTGTCGCACTTGGCGCCAGTAATGGGAGCGTTTGGGTATACCGGATCGACGCACAAGATGAGGCGGAGCCAATGTCTATGGTTGCTTGTTATTTCCAACATACAGAATCCTGCACCGCTGGTGCGTGGACGCCTGACGGAAATCTCCTGGCGACGGTTGGGGAAGACTCAAGTTTCTACGTCTACGATGTATTTGGCGCCGCTGCTGGGGCAGGAGTAGCCTCATCCGCTGGAACACAGGTAGTTGTGAGTCTTACGGCCCAAGATCAACGATTTGCCGTCGAAGGCGGTTTATATTCCATCGCCATCGCACCTACGGGCACTTTTGCTGCAGTCGGTGGCGCGGAGGGACATATTAAAATTGTTGGACTTCCGCGGATATCCTCATCAATTACGGCTGGCACGACTAAGTCGAAATCGAAATCGAAAGTTGCTGGTGCTTCTGCCCCGCCCGTCGCTGGCGGCGGCGCTGGCACCCTCCTTGCATCTCTCCAAGCTCAAACTGATGGTATTGAATCATTATCATTTTCCTCCCCGCCGCTGTCACTACTTGCAGCCGGCTCAGTCGATGGATCCGTTGTCCTTTTCGACACAGCCCACCGCTATGCTGTACGACGCCATATACGATCGGCGCATGAGGACACAGCTGTTGTAAAAGTTGAGTTCGTCCATGACCAGACAACAGCCGGTGAGCAAACGGCATCCGCTGCTGCAAACAATAGCAGATCGTGGCTCCTTACATCAGTCGGCATGGATGGAGTTGTCCGCCGTTGGGATACCCGTGGGGGTACTGCTGCTGCTGGGTATGGCCTTGTGAAAGAATGGCGTGGCCATTTGGGTATGGCTGAGAATGAGGCGGGAGAGCAATCTGGTGGGATCTTGGGATTTGTACAAGGAGGTGAGGGCGGAAAGAGGATTGTCACAGCTGGGGATGATGGGGTCGTGTTGGTTTTTGAGGAGTAGATGGCCTGTGCATTCTGAGTAATTTAGGAGCGGAACCTATGTAAAATTCTATAAATCAAGAGCTACGCCTTTGGCATAGAACAAAATGAAGCTGATAGCTTTTATGATTGATGGTATTGTATACCATTTTCAGAGCTTGGTTAGGATTTAGGATACGCAATTCGGTTTTTGACACCCCTGCAGTGTGTAAAGGTGTTAAACTTCTAGAGGAAAAAAATCGGTTTGGCAGGAAAATTGAGACCTGCCACAGACTGAAACTTTCCAACCGCTTTTGCTTTGGTGGAAATGAATAAAAGTAGATAAATCAGTTAAAAAAATTGATCAGGAGAATAAACCCATAGCGCCTATTCCCAAATGTATCTATATATGTATGTACATGTTAAGCAGATTGTTGCCTTCACAGGATTTCAGACCACTCGAGCTCCGCGAACGAGGAAATCCCGCTGCCTGTTTATGAAAACCCAACGTGCAAAAGTGAACGCCGAGGAATTATGGGGGGACCGGTGGTTCGTCGGGAATCCTCGCGGGATGCCTTGAGAATATCATTTTTCCTGTCACCAAAGGCTTCGGCTCAAACCCGGTCCGCGCAAGTCGTATTGGTTCTAAAGTAGTAAAATGGATGGATGGTTCTAGTGGTGATTTTCCTCGTGATGTTTTGGTGTGAGAAAAGCCCATTCGTAGCCGCAGTATATTCCGAACGCAACAGTGGCTATTCCCAATCCTGGAAATCCAGTCTTAAACCGGTTCCACCGTGAGAAGGGCCCGGAGTATCGCCATGCTTCACTGTTTTTGGTGGGGAAAGAGTCAACTTCTGACGATCAAATATCGCTTCTGCGTTTGTTTGACCAGCAAATAACATAGTAGATTGGCATCTGGAATGGATTGAGAGCTTACTATCGTGCCCATGGGTCTTTTTTGGCCCAGGAAGACCGAGGATGTGCAGCAGCTTTGAAGGTCTTCATGTCGAAGCCGGTGGGGTTTGCGGGAGCCATTGTTGAGTCCGTCAGTAGAACTCAGAAAACTGATGGGAGGACACTGGAGTTGATTAAACCCGGCTATGATAAAATATGTTCTTAACTGATCCAATGCCGCTTTCGCGGGGAGTTCATGAGCTGTTGGGGACATGAAATATCGCGGACGTGGATATTACTAACTGTATCGGGTTAGTATTCCGACGCAGGGCATCCGAAGCTGGTCAAAGTCTTGGCGCTTGCTTGAACGAACTCGACTTCCTGCGTCGGTTCCGGATGGACAACGCAGAAAATTGCGCAGATATCACACATACAGCCCCAGCAAAGTCGTTTCTCCAATCGTATCTATTATTGCAAATTTTACTACTTATCTGTTGATTGTCTCAACCACGACTTCGCGGTTCTGAAATCCACCACTCCGCCGAACAGTGGGACTTGCTGGGGCAATAACTCTCCACACCAAAACTGTAGCTATCAACGCTTGTTGAAACCGGCTCAAGCAGGAATCTTCATGCTTTGTTCGACCTCGATCCCTCCAGTCATCGATTGGCATCGTGAAATACACTATGCCGCCGCCCGTCGGTAGATACGCGCCCTCAGGGCTCGCTGGTCCGTTCCCCCATCTCCCTCAGAGCCACCTGCAGCAGCAACAGCATTCGCAACAGCATCACGCAACCCATGCGCAGACTCCGAATACAGGCCTTCCCCCACCTTCCCTAGGTGGCCATCCTGGCTTTGGCCCTACGAGTGCAAGTTCAAACATAAGTCCGTTCGCCATTCCTGGAGCTAATGGGATGGGCGTGGTGGGTTTCCCTGCGGGGCCTTCCACTGCTGGTATCCCTGATGGGGGCGGGACAGGTCTAGCGAGCCACGCGGCACAGATAGGTTTTGTGAGGGGGGCTCAGATGCAGCAGCAGCAACAGCAACAGCAACAACAGGCGCATTTGGGCCATGACAACCGTCTATCCGTGGATGGAAAAGGTGCTGCTGCAAACTCGAGGATACGAGACGTTTGGAAACACAACTTGGCACAGGAGATGCAGGTCCTAAGGATGTTAGTAGACAAGTACCCTTACATTAGCATGGTGAGTTGTGCCCTTGCTAGAAACCATGACTATTACCTCCGTGCATGCGCCGTAGATTCGTTCAAGCTAACCGAGGTTTTTTGCCTAGGATACCGAATTCCCTGGTATTGTCGCTCGGCCGATGGGGACTTTCACTACAAAAGCTGACTATCATTACCAAACATTGCGATGTAATGTGGACCTCTTGAAAATGATACAATTGGGAATAACATTATTTTCAGAGGATGGCGAAGTTCCTCCCGCCGTACCACTGGATGTAAATACCCAATACGGGGCAAACCTCGGCCCAGCGCCTTGCACTTGGCAATTCAACTTCCGTTTCTCGTTGGAAGGTGACATGTATGCGCAGGAATCGACAAGCATGCTAGCGAAAGCCGGAATTGACTTTGCTATGCATGAGAAAAACGGCATTGATCCACACGACTTTGGGGCGCTTCTGATGACTTCCGGATTAGTCCTCATGGACGACGTACATTGGATTTCGTTCCATTCCGGCTATGATTTTGGGTATTTGATGAAAATTATGCTATGTAAACCATTACCGACTGACGAGCAAGAATTCCACAAACTCCTCACCATCTTCTTCCCATCCGTCTACGACATCAAATACCTCATGAAACACGCCGGCCGCAGCCAAACTGTTAACAAGTCTCCTCTCACTCAGAGCGCTGCTCAGATAATTGCAAACCTTGGCCAAAAATCTGGCCTCCAGGATATTGCAGATGAATTAGGGGTGAAACGAGTTGGTATTGCACATCAAGCTGGGTCAGACTCACTAGTGACGGGCGAAATCTTCTGGAAAATGCGCCAGCTGGTATTCAATGGTTCTATCGATGAAAGCAAGTACTCGGGTCAGATCTGGGGCTTGAACGGGCAGATAGCCTCCAGGCCTTTCCAAGGCACAAATCAAGCACAGCAAACGCCCAATCTCAACGGAGCCACCATCTACTCCAATGCAGGTACGCCAAGTACACCAAATACAGGCCACGCCGGTTTGACAAATGCGCAAACGCCCGCAGCTCAAACGCAACATGCTGGCGTTGGTCCATTAACGCCGGGCGGCGGTGGAGGAGTGTTTGGTACATTCCAATTTGCCAAATCGTGATCGTAGACTAGGAGCTTTTTCCCTAAATTTTCAGTATAAGTGAAGAAGTGGATAACTTCTTTAGTTGGGTCGGTTTAGGGACTGGGAATTCACTGCTTTCTTTTCGCATGGTATGTGGTTTTTACACCTGGGGTTCTATTTTATTCTTGCTCTGAGCCATCCGATATTTTGATGTGTATATTGTGTCTGGCGTTATGGCCATTTCGTTTTTTTAACCTTGTATTTGGTAATTTGCAATTCATTTGCAATTATTATTTTCCTGCTATCCTTTTGACGACGCGAATTGATCATTTCATCCTGTTCCGAAATGTTATGCGGCTATATTTTGGGGCAATATGCAATTTCCAATGAATTCCCCCGCAGAATCATCCTTTACCCAGGGCCTCTGGAAGTTTGGTTGTTATAAAGCCATATGAACAACACGAACTTAGTATGATGTTCCTACAATGATATGCGTGGACCTCTCAAGCGTCATGTCCAAAATGGTATTCATTACCTCCACACTCCGGGACGGAGTCCACCCTGAATTTTACTGACACTATGAACAATATAACTAAAGATTCCGTTCTTGGATTAAAGTGGGTATAAAAACGAACAACAAAACAAAGCTCTGAAAATGTAATAAATAAAGAAATAAATACAATAAATTATATATGCAAATATCATACATTTGGCCCCAAACTCATTGTACCCCTCTATCCCGTCACGACCTCCTTCCCTAACTTCTGCTGGCGCTGCCTCGCAAAACCTACTCTTGGTCCCGCAGTGTCAAACACCACATATTGGCTCTTAAAAATAATGTCACCAAAAACAATCTCATGTATCGCTACCTGTATGCTACCAAAGCACATCGGTGAGCCCCCACTAACATAGAAGGGCTGTAGGATGATATGTTCTGGAGGGATCGTCGCTCGATAATCATTTTCAACGATGAGAGAAAATGACGGGATAGTCGCGTTGCATGGGAATATCCAGCCGTTGAGAAATGGATTTAGCTGGCTATATGCTTTTGTGGAACCAGGTATTTTGGAATAGTAATCGTGTACGATGGGCTCGGGGAGGAGGACCATGGTAGTCCCTGTGTCTGCGCAGGTGAAGGGAGAGGTGTATGTCAGTCTATATCCCTGTGTGAATACCAAACCACACGATATCATATAGAAGATTTCCAATCATATATCATAATTACCAAGAAGGCCCTTAATTGGGGTATTATTGCTACCGGAGTTTCCAATAACATACCCCGTGGAAGTGATGGACCAGAAACCACCTTTATGGACTGGGGTATACTTGATGTTGCCGTCGTATTTATCATCGTCAATAAAACCGAAGTCGAACGTTCCCGGCTTGGTCTTCTTGAGGGATACGGCAAACAAGGGTTCGGGAAGTGTATCCTTCACATTATCAAAGAACCCAACTTGCTTCTCCGGCCGAACTGGCATTGTTCTAGCAAGTCAATATTCCCAATACCATTAAATAAATTAAAATATACTCGCATTAGGTTTTGGTTGAATACCTACCCGTATTAATAGAAGGAAAAGCGAGTCCAAGAATACCATCAAAATTAGAATCCAAAGCAAACGTTTTGCCAACCCTCTGGGCGGCTTGGATGGATTGCAACGGCGAAACCACGTCACCGATGGAAACTTTATCAACATAGACATTGCCCTTTGCAACTGAGCCATCCCCATACTGTACCTCCCAGGAACACCCATTCAAAGGTAACGTTCCGGGAGGAGGGGTATAATAGTCGTGAGCTGACCTTTCCGCCAGGGGTTGTTGCGATGAAAATACCCAGCTAGAGCAATGTCAGTCCTATTTTTGCTTCACGATCATATATCAGAAGCACTCACAGATCTGCAGATCCAGTATCAAGTACCAGGTTTAAAGTTTTTCCCGCAACATTCACAGGACTAAGGTATTCTATATCGAACTGTTCCGGGACGGCTGAGACAGTTCCATTTGTAGACCTCTCGTATTTGACATCCAGGGGGGTGCTCATGATACGCGGCGCACTTTTCATTTCTTTTATGTGATTGGAACGATCCGACCTTAGAACGGCCTTCGCGTAATCTTCCATTGGAGAACGCGGCGTTGGTCGGTATTTTGAAACTTGCTGGATCGAGAACCCGCTGCGTTTCTTGATAGGCTCAGAGCCGGCCAAAGTAGATAGCCACACAAACCCGATGCTGAGAGCCACCAAACACCTCATAATTTGGGGAAGACAAGTCTGACAAGAAAGCGTCGTTCTGGTTGCAAGAAACACCCGACCTACTTGAATCAGATACACTAGAACATAGTAAAGCTAGCAAGAACAACAGAAAGAACTTGGGATATAATATATGTATTATATCAAGCTGGCAGTAACTGCATGAGTCCTGTTGACGGTTCTCAGAGGCATACATACGGTCCAGGCATCAACATGCAATACCTGTACGGACACAAGGAGGAAAACCAAAAGCACACGAAGAGATAAAATATCAATGTCCCAACACTGAAGTTCTCCACCTCGTAACGTTCAAACTTATAGAGCAGTGATGAAGAGATTGACCAATGATGCAAATTTGCGGCGAAGCTCGAGCGTGATAATCGCATATTCGACTGCAAGTTCCATATTCTCATTACAGTCTCGGGTTCCTTCCGAAGACCGACTCATTAAGCGTCTTTAAATGAGAATAAGAATAGTAACAAGGATCCTGCCTGATCAAAAGGTCCCTAGCGATGTTGTGTCGCAGACATATCAATACCATTTTACTTAGCGGCGCAGTACCGCATTTGTACCTGCGCAGAAATAATGGGTGAGCATTGTGTCAACACTGCAGTTCATTAATAGATGCTGTGTGTTGCAATAAAAACCATATGCACGCATGGGATCTTTGTCTCAGGAGCCGCGAAGACACCTGTAACTTGGAGTCGCAGCCCTAATAATAACATCCATCGCCAGCAACAAAGCAGCTCTAGGAAAATCATTGATTCCAAGAACCTATCAATCCTCACCCTTGCTTCAGCGGACAGTCGAAAGAGCTGGCCGTGGGTTATTTTCTAGTGTCGCATCCACTTCATTGATGGCCATAACGCACAATGAACATAGCTCAGTCGAGCGGACGTTTAGAGCTTGTTATGATATTTATCTTTCAATTCACGTACTTCTAGTGAAGCAGCATTGTCTCAGAAAAGAGCTCGTACATCGCCCAATAGCCGCTATTATTGAGTTTCTTTCATATTCAAATTCCATACATTGATTTTGTGCGGAACCTTCTATTTTCACAATAGAAGGAATCTTCTTGACATGAGGTCAAGATGTGCATGTGTTTTGGTGATGAAGCACAATAGCGTCCAGAATTATGACAGGGTCATAATTATCCTCTCTCCTAGGGAGAAGGAATACCTTTCTTCTAGTTTCTTTTCAGGAGGTTTGATATCCACTTCGAAACGGCAACGCAAGGCCACATATCTTCTACTGCGACTCTCCATCCTACCGTCCAGGGGAGCGAAGGTAATCAACGACATGAACAGCGATCAGTGGCTGAGGCTTCGAGGGTTGCTGTGAACACTGACCGAGTCAAGAGTCAAATGTAACTCGATCCTCAAGCAAAACAAATCTTGAACGTCCCCAAAGTGAATATGACTTTATGGCATTCGAGCTTGAAAGCACTCTTACCCCCGGTATAAAAATTTCCTGGAAACTTCGACCATTTCCCTCTGCGGGCACTTTCCGAAAATACTGCATTGCTGGCACTAAAATTCGCAAGCGTTTTTTTATATTCGAGATATTTCACCTTCAACACGTGGGGATATTCCAGCTTCAATTGCGCAAAGAGCCACTTTATAAAGCTTCTCATTCCAGTCAACCCACCTGGATGCAAAGCTGATGTTGTGCAGCCGAATATTGCGGTTCATACATCATTCTATCATTGCACTAGATTTTGCCTTTCATCATCTGTAACAAACGAATAGACAAGGAAATCTTCGACATCCCAGCATGATTGCGAGAGCAACCTGCTACTGTGATTTATGCACCGAGGTGGTTATAACTTTGGGAAAGCCGTGGGTCATATAGATGGGTAAAGCTACAATAACGCTCAAATTAAGTGGAGAGGTGATCCATTTTCGAAAGCGCCGTTGCACAACGAACATATATAAACAGAGAGAGTAATGTCGCTAACACCGGTTTACTTACCTCCAAGCAAGAACTATATGAAACTAGCAGCCGCTCATCCCCTTCCAAAACTAGTGAAAAATCCCGGAGAATATCGCCGTTTCAGAGCTGGTCGCAATCTGTATGGATAGAGGCAACTTGATTACACTTGCATTTCGGTATCTCCAATGTGCCGCAAAGGCAATAGAGTGAGTGGTACTGTCGTTCTGAGGAAGGAGAAGGGTCCAACAAGTGCTGGCACCTATTTGTCGCTCGCTCACAAAATCTATGGAGAGTCCTGGAACGTGAAATGGAGCGTTGGCCCAAACCGCTGAGATATTCAGAGATCGATTATAACCACGACGTCTTGGATATTGCGAATGAGTTTCACTTCAGAGACGAACGCACTAGCGAAAGGTACCCGGACGGCTATGAGACACATGGTACGTTGATCGCAGAGGAGCCCATATTTAATCTCGGCCAGGAAATACAAAATCAAGAGCGTGAGCTGGAGACCGCAAAATAACAGATCGAAGAAGAATAACTGTCCAAAACGGCTATGAGAGTCAGGACAACTGCTGGGTATATTGGTTCGTCGCAGAGTGTTGGAAATGGATTTGCGATGTATTGAACGTTATATATGTTTCTTGGAACCGGTAAAAGTTCTGTACCTCATTCCCTACCTTTAGTAGTCGCAATGGAATACCGGCCTCGAAAGTTGTATGTTGGGGCATTTGTGCTCTAGTGATCGTTGACGAGGAGTGAAGTATTGACAAGCGCGCTTGAGTCACGTGAAACATCTGAGGCCAGCTTTGTCGAAACTTTGGAAGGACAATCAATCTATTCCAACAGACAATCAGGAGTCGATAACCTATAATATTAGTCTTTGAATACTATTTTTGTCAATCGCCCATAATTGTATTTTTGTCCAACTGATCCTTGTTTCAAACGAAGCTAACCTGATCCATAGAACTATTTCCGCGCACGATACTGCAAAACTCTCCAAGGAAAGAGGCAAACGAACGAGACAATCACTTCATCTATACACACCATGGCATCTCCTGGTGCCGATACCTTCACCCAGTATCCCCTTCACCTCGACCCAACCTCAAAAGCTATCTCCGCTCCCTCATGCAACTCAGCCGTGCTAGACAGCGAACTCGAATCCCTAAACCAACTCCACCGCGCTCTCCTCAATCTCGACAGTCCCAATACCCCCCCACCCCCAAAGCCAGTGAATCCCAAACGCAGCGCCCAAATCGCTAAGTTGCGCGAGGCAGCCAACACAGCTTTCCGCAAGTCCTCCTTCGGCGAAGCTGTGAAGCTTTACACATATGCCATCGACATGGCCATAGGCAGACCGACGTGGGAACACGTCGACCTCTTGCGCGAGGAGCTACCACCGCTCTTTACGAATCGGGCGCAGGCCTATATGGCACAGCAACAATGGCCGGAAGCCTATGTAGATGCGAAATCGAGCGTGGAAATTATGCCCTCTAATAATGGGAAATCATGGTGGAGAGGGGGTAGATGCTTGATTGAGATGGGGAGGTGGCAGGAGGCAACGGAATGGATTTCAAATGGGTTGGATGCGGAGGGGAACTCCAGCGAAGCGGCGAAGGAGTTGAAGGGTCTTATGGTAGACGTGGAAAAAGGGTGGGAGAGGGAGAGGTCTTCGAGGGGATGAGCTAATGGGCGAATGAAATTGGCCTTTGTTTGTGCTTTTGTTTCGGCTTTTGTTTCGATATTGAGGGTTTTGTTTGTCAAATACTTTTCTGTCTGGTGGTTCGGGGACTCCTGAATTCTTGGCAGGGGTATTTGGCTCTTAATAGGTAGCCCTCCTTCTCTTATATATATCCTCCTGTCTTTAACGGCGTTTTGGTGATCCTGAATCTATTGGTGCTAATATCGACATTTCTTCAGTTTGCGATGGTAAACAGCTGTAATGATCTCCTGGTCAATGCGCACCCTGCGAATCACGTCTTCTTTCCTGCCTGGTCGTACACTAACTCGACATGAAATTTCTTTCGTGAAGGTATTGGCAAATAACTGTCGAGTTACTTGATCAATGTATAAACAAAACAAACCCTTTAGCTCTTTACTAATACTGGTATTCAAAGGTTCAAAATTGGGAGGCCCAAGAACAAAGCACATGATCTAACGCATGTATCCGCCACTTGCTTTTCCGATCCGTCAAATTGTGTCCCATATGGTGTAGTGGCTAACATCAGCGTCTCTCACACGCTAGCCGGGGGTTCGATTCCCCCTATGGGAGAAATAATTCAATTTTTTGGCTGTTTCATTCCACCCTTGGCGATTGAATATCTGCGCTTACCGAATACTCGAGATTTAATGTCTACGGAGTAATGGAGTACATACAGGGTAACAAGGCCACCCGAACAACGAGCAATGCGCTCTGCAGTCATTTTGGTAAATGAAGAAGGAAAGAAGAAGGGAAAAGGAGGTTTAGGAATCCCTCTTCATTCCTTCCCCCCCCCAAACCAATACAGGCAGAACAAAAGGGAGAAAAAGAAAAGCTCTCTGTATCGTGTAATAGAATAGTAGTCAAAGCGTCCATTGAATCAAAAAGAGACCCAAGAAGCTACTAAGACATCGTGAAACATGCAAAGCGGGATATGGGATATATAGCATACATAAAAACCTGAGGAGAGAAACATGGATGCTCAATGTGAATGAATCTACTCCCGTCAAATCCATCAGAGGAGAGATAAGATACTGCATATTCAAATGATTTTCGAGGGAGAATTAAGCGTGCAGGGTGCGGCGGGGACATGGAGTTCACAAATACTAAGGAGAATGGGTTGCTTCGGAGAAAAAGGGTGGGTAAAAAAATGAACAAGAAAAAAAAGAGGGAGAGCACCCTCAGGTCAACGCTGTATGTCAACAGAACGCAAATGAGAGAGTAATGAAAACAAAGAAAACAAAAAAGAGTTGAAGGACGCTTCAGGATTTTCTTAAAAAGAATTGAGCGGGGTTAGAAAGATGAAGTAAATGCAAACTAATAATTGCAGGAAGAAGACGGTAATATGAAAAAAATAAAAGGGCAGTGTGAAAAACAAAGGAGATCATACGAGGGGTCTGTTTTTGGATTTCGTCTTTCCTGTTCCTGCGTTGTACCAATGCGATGGTACTCGAAAATAAACATCATTTATATTGTGGTGCTATGTTATGTGTCTTCGGTTATACCTCGGGTATGTATCATTCGTCATCGCGTTTCCGCTTCATAACAGCCTTGAGCATATCAAGCCGTTGTTGCGTTATGATGATGGCGTCCTCCATCTCCCGCTCCGTCATCTTCTCATTCCTCAGGCGAGTCTTGAGCTCTTTTTCACTCATTGGTTGCATCCTTCGCCGCTGCCTTTCAGTTCTCGAACGGCCGACTTTCTCGGATTCGTCGGAAGATGGAAAAGAGTTTATGATAGGGTATGCGAGACCGTCCATGCCAACTCTCTCCTCCAACCAATTCCATAGTTCGCTTTCCTCTCGCTGCCAAAGCTCCTCGTACGCAACAATTCGCTCTGGAATGGAAAGTAAGGGAGAACCGACCCCTGATGGCCCAAGGCGAGATGGAGGCGGGCTGCGGAACCAAATCATCACCAATACCATAGCTATAACGCCAGCAGCGACATTACCACTCCAAAAGGGCTGGAAAATGTGGGCTATCGGGCCAAGAGGACCACGTAGAGGTTCCAGCATCCCCCAATTTTCAGCTTGTTGTCTCCCAGATTCTGAAGCAGCCTTCGCGCCAGCACCGTTTTCAAATCGGCCAGTATTTGCTCGCTTCCGTTTTCCTCTGGCTCCCTTCCCAGCACTCTTTGGAAGGGTTGGGCTGCGCGACGGGGGAGCTACTCCAGCTCTAAGCGCCTTGACTAGGTCATTTCCATATGTTGTCTGACCATCATTTGCACCCTTTTCGATAGGACCTATTATAGCTATCGTAAGCATTATACATTTCGGTTAGATCGGCGGATGATAGACAAACCTTTGAGCCAACTCTTGCCGGACCATTCTATGGTGCAAGTCATATAGAATCTGGTGGCATTGTTAACTGCCCATGTAAACAAGTATTTGGTTTTCACACAGAAAATATTTCCACTTGGCACATCAGGAGTTTGTGTCGTCAACGTAACCAAAACAGCTTTCTCCAAGTCAAGGAAGTCTAAATTCTCGTGACTAGTACACTTCGTTTGCTTCGGTCCGATAGGCGCATTCAGTGGCTTTGTATACGAATACGATCGAGTTTTGTTGTCCATGGATAGCCCCTTTTGGTCATCTTCAAATTGCAGATCAGTCACCTTCTGGTAATCGAGAAGAAACTTGGGTACGAATGAACCAGATGCAGGGCCAAAAACAAGGGTATAAACGAAGCCTAGTGGTGCCAGTATTATTTCGTCTTTTATTACTTTATCATAGCGGCCGGAGGGGTCTGTAAACTCCGTTGGAGCATGAGTAGCAGGGCCGGGAAATGGTGGAAGAGAAGAAGTTGACGCAGCAGCTCCTTTTTCTGGCGCTTTCGCCTCACTTTTGGAAGGAACTTGGGGAATCGAGTAAGATCCGGCCAGTGGAATGTTGGATCCTTTGCGGTTGATTCCTTTCTGGGGCTCCGATTTATCGCTGCTAGCAATACCTACATCAACAGCGTCCAAAAAATTGGTGCCCTCATCCTCCTCATCTTCGTCGTATATCTCATCCTCCTCGTCAGAGGGACCCTCACTTGCAGCATCACTCTCATCGGCCTTTTCCGTTTTGTCACCAGAGCCCTGTTCTATTCGAGTGCCATTAAGTGAACTCTCGAGTGTCGGGTGGTTGACTTTCCAGATATTAACCATCAAATCATAGGTAGCCTCCCGACTCAAGAGACTTCGAAACGTATGTCGCGCATGCAAAGTTTGGATTGCGATTGCGTTGGGGAAAACAACAGCGGTAGATTCCTTTTCAATGGCTATTATTTCATCGAAACTAATCACTAAAGTCGTCACCCAGCCGAGGATGTTACTCGAGAAGCAGATATGGCCTTCTGATATGTATATGCGGCCAGCCAGGATGATTTCTCGTTGGAGAGCACAACTATAGTCTTCGATGAGGTAATCATCCTCTGGAACACTTCTAAATAGCTGGTGAAAGTCGCGATTTCGTTTTTTACTCGCAACAGCAAAGCCTGTCAATCGTGGAGCACTGGTATTGGCGCCGGGAATACCCAACCCAAGCCCTGCCGCCCCAAGCGGACCAATTGTTGCACTCGATGATCCTCGATGTCTGCGTGCAAGGCGACTACGTACGCTACCACTGCGCTGGACACCAGCACCGGTTTCACCTTCGAAAATACTGCCACTTGGGGGAGTTTGTTCGCCAGTACTGCCTTTTGCGAGGCCATTAAACGGGGTGCTGGAAGGAGTACCGGTGCGGAGTAGTTCAGGGGCCGGTTGAGACGCAGATGGCCCATCCGCCGGCTTTTCATACGCCATAGATACTGCATGAGCCGCACGCATATCTTCTATCCTTGCAGAGATTTCATCCCTCTGGGATGCAGTTGCTCTACGAGGACGGCTAGTAGTTTCAGTTTTCGTAAACACAACACCATCTTTAGTGGTGATCTCCCCGCCCGCTGATGCGTCAATCCCAAGATGGCTAAAATTTAATTCACCCATCCCGAGCGTTTCCACGGCCAATTCCTTTTTCTCTGATGTATCGTCGTCTTGTGGTGGATCTGCAGCTGCTTCGGTGTTAGGTCCACTAATGTTTGGGTTATCTAGCTCCACAGGCTGTGGGGCGGGCTGTGCGCGAGCTTGACTATTCAAACTGTTTCCAAAGTTGGAGGCGGCATTCTGGGCCGCAGAGAGCATGGAGGAAAAGAACCCTTGCGCAGTCTTCGATTCTTCCACAGTTGGTGTTAATGGAGCAGTCATGGAATTCGAAAGTTTACTGGGACTATGAGCAGCAGATGCGGAACGAACTCGTCTATGGGATATCATATTGCCTGAAGAGCTCACAACGGCATTAGGAGGTAAGTTGGGGGAATTTATGGCAGAGTCACTATCTTCCACGACATTTGTAGACGGCAGTGCTGGGCTTTGGGAACGATGACCAGCTGGAGTTGGTGGAGTCACAGTTGTTACGAGGTCGGGTACAGCTGCGGAAGAAGGGCTAGGGGGAACTGAGGTCACATGCGGTGATTTAGAGGTGACGGTAGAGGAAATATTCGACGTTGCTACATGTCGGGGTGTTGAAAGCGGTAAAGGAGGGACCTCTTCCGAAGGCTTTGGACTATTTTTAGCCGAAGTGCTTGACCTTCTTGACCTAGTCCTGAAGAGGCTTTTACCGCTTTTCGTCAACGGTGATTTATCCAGGTCAGGGCTTGGGCTGCGGCTTTTTTTCGTAGTGTTAGGGCTGAACTGGTTTTTCAAGTTCTGATTCTTTCGGTCTGCGCTGGATGGCCTGGAGTAAACTCCCATATCCCCCGTAGTTGCAGCATGGGCTAGATGTCGACTTTTATCGGCGGCTGTATCGGATGTCGCATTGGAATCCGACGCAGCTTCCGCTGGATCGGGGGGAGCGTTAGTCGTGATTATTAGAGGGGATGAAGCAGTTTGACGCGAATCCAGATGGAGCCCTAAATCAGGAGACGTACGTCTATTCGAGACGGGGTTAGTAGATCGAGTAAGTAGGGGAGTACAGGAAGAATTGGAGATGCGTCAACAGAAAATTAAGTTTGCTGGGAAGAAACCCACCTTCCAGGGTCTGACCCGTTACTTGCGCCATGGTCTGTACTATCTACTGTTGAACTACTATGATTCCTGCTCATTGACAGAGATGCGCCATCTTCATTGGGGATACGTTGCAGTTCCGTTCCATTCCCGCCACCTAGGAGGATGGGATTTTCCATTCCCATAGTTTTTTTCTTGCGTCGACGCCGTGCCCCTGAAATCAACTTCGAGATGCCAGTAGGAGGGCCATCATAGTTAATCCCCTCACCTCCACCTGCCCCGCTAGTTGAAGGGCGCGGGGGTTCATGGTTCGACTCGACTGAAGGCGCGGGACTTCGAGCAGACGTGGAGCCATCGACTTCGCTGAGGGAGGTCTTGCTGCGATTCGGCCTTGTAAAGACCCTTTTAAGCCCATTGGCAGAAGGCGATGAAGTTGTTTCGCTCGTAGTGCCGTCCATCGGCGGAATAGGGTAGTGAACTTTCCTGACGGAGTTGATTGAATGTTCAACAATGGGGACTTCTAGTTGTAATCTGGTGACTTGGGGAAGAAATAGCGTTCAGTTCAAACGAAAGAACTGCTATTCCCGGGCCACGGGATAGAGGGCTGGAGGCTCCAGCGAGCGGGGGACATGGGGAGGAGGGCTAGACCAACGCGGGAACAAAGCGGCGGAAACGCTGACGGGGACAGAGTTGGTTGGTGGGAGAAGTTGGACAAGTAGCATCACGGTTCGGGATAGTTCGTGCGACAGAAGGGACACCGGACCTAGGGAAGGGAAAGCATTGTCGTCGTCAACAGGTACAACAACAAGGCAGTTAGTATCGATCACAGGAAAATCATCGCTCGGAGAGGTTGTCAGGCAGCACCGTAGCCCGCAGGATGAAGTCGGAGAGTTGTTGTGCACATCGTGGGCGGAGTGTCGGAGTGAGCTTTTGATACGGCTGCGGCTTGGAAATTGTATGCTGATTGGCTGCCGGTGGCACCACTCAATCTGGACTCGTCTCGTAACGCATGGTGTCCGTATTGGAAATACAGTTTCACCGTTACGGATGACATACTTACACACTCGTCTCCGCCCCGGTGGAAAGTTGCTCTGTTAGCAAGAAGATTCTACAGATACGGTGCTGGACAGCTGCTGGAGAGGTGATGGGCAGTTGCTGGGCAGGACTTCTGGATGCAAACGGGACTTGGTGCAGACAGAGCTTGCATGGAGTACCTAATAAAACTTTTCTCCATTACATTGCCATGACAATCAATCCTACAGATAAGGCTCGCCACAGTGGCCAAGCGGTGCAGGGATTTCTATTGCTGGTCTATCACACGTAATGATGACACGTTTGGAGATATCGACATCCCAGACCTGAGTGGTTACTGGTATGTATGTATTGAGTCCAAGGTTCGAGGCATCGAGATCGTGCTACGCCTCTCGATTTCTCAAGACAGGAGATTTTGTTTTTCCATGTCCACCGAGCCGAGCATACTACCCTTTGTTCAGAAGATTCTATTGTCCAACATATAGATGTATTACCTCCGAAATGCTGTCTTGATAACGGTATATCAGCGGCAGAGGGCTTGCAGACAACCTCGGCCATGGATTTCGAGTTACTCGCGCGTGACTAAGCGGGACAAACTGGCTTCCCAACCCGGTTTCACAACTTCCCTTCCGCCGCTCTACTATGTTGTTTGTGAATTTCATCTTTCTCGTAGATGCCGATTTTCTGAATAGTGTGTTAAAAGGGCCTTTTGTCAGGGCGGATTATGGAATCGTCTCCGTTAACCTTGGTGTGTATCACCTTCTTCATCCCCCACTGGTGCCAGGGCTCGAAGCTGACCCGACTACCAATACCCCGTCTAGGCGCATTCCCATGCCCGAAATGCCCTCTTCGAAACACACAAATCTAACCCAGTAGCTGCCAGCGAGGAACACGACCTTGCAGCCGGAGAATTTTCAACCGCAGCACAAGGCACCCTTGATCCTGAGGTATGTGCGCGAGCACCTGCCAATGTCATACAAGCAAGCTCTTTCTCACATGGATGGGAACTATAGGCGTTGCGGACCCTCCAGCTCCTAGAGAAACATCACAAACGGCTTGCAGAAATTCTTAGATTTCAACATGAACACCCTTCGACCGCTTCTCCTGAGCCTACAAATTCACCATCACCGACCCTTTCAACCGCCCAAACCAGCAAATTTAACGCTCAAATTGCCGGAGGAGCGTCACATGCTGCAACTTCACCCACAGAGAATGTCCACCAACCACCTCGTCTAGCCACTCCGCATAGATCTCTCCAGCGAGATACGAGTTCAATAGCAAGCAATCTGGCATCCGCACGCGGTATTCCTTCCCACCCGCCCCGAGCGAGTCTTGCGTCTCCCGCTGTTTCAACACAGAATGCCGGAGCGAAAATGACTGGTGTTCCAGGGCGCACGAGACTTGATGGTACTGGCCTCGATGCGCTAAACGCCGATTTAAAGTCTCACCCCGGCTTGGCTTCCAAGCGTAAACCGTCATGGGCTCCAACCAGTCCCACAGATATCGTCGACCAACAAACAGTTCCCCCAGAGCCAAGTGAGACACCTAAACTTGGTTTTGGATTCTCAACCGATGAGTCGTTCCAGCGCTTTTATTCGACCTTTGAGGGCCTCATATCCAAGTTTTCTGCCCCCCTAGCATTTGCTAGTTTGCCTCTGGGCATTGATCCAACCAGCCAGAAATCTGCAGCAAATACGCGCCTCGACCGGAATCCTGCCTCCGCAGACATTTCCAGCCATCTTACAGAACAAACAGACGTGAACAAGCTAGTATCGAGAGCTGCACTGCGTGCCCTTCGAGACAGAGATGGCTCCAGCCGCTCACCAGGCCACTCGAATCCTGCAGAATCATTCTACGTCGTCCCTACCGCGGGTGGAACAATATCGTACGCGGGCATTCTTTCCCGAGCTGAAAAAGAAGCCCGTAGGGACAGCCTAGCCGACAGCCGTGACGACGATTTTGTCGATGCGCGCGAAAACCCGATGCCCCCAGAATCTTCGCCTACAGCCCGGACACCGGACAGGGATCGAAAGTCAACTGCGGGGAGGCACAAAGGAGCAGGCGCCTTGGAAAGCCGCTCGACACAGGCTTCAGCACATCATCAGGACATGAACACGAAGACCTTGGAAGAACTGCAACTGGAGAACCAGGCGCTGAAGCACCTATCAGACACGCTGTCCAAGCGGCTGCACATGTGGGAAGTCAACGCGCAGTCGTCGTCATTAGCATTGCAGCAGTCTCTCAAGGCAATGCAGCACCAATCCACCGCCTCACCTGCCCGCCAGCTCTCTCCCATAGCGTCGACTGCGCCGCAAGCATCCCATCATCATGGAGTACAGTCGCCATCACCACCGCCTTCAGTAGCCGGGGCGCTGGTGCCCTCGGGAGAGGACGCGGCTGCGGGAATGCCGCAATCATCCAACACTGACGCGGCTCGGATTTTAGAGCTGGAAGAGCGCGCACGGAAGAGCGAGAGGGAGTTGCAGCGGGTGGGCCGCGAGAATGAGAAGTTGAGAGATGTGGTGGGGAGATATCGGGATCGATGGGAGAAATTGAAAGAAGGGGCTAGGGTGCGGCGAGAAGGGAATGTAAATGGGAATACCAATGGAGGTGATAGGGGGGGCCCTGCGGCGGGGAACAAGGGTGCTGCTGCTGCGGTCGGTAATGCAACTACTACCACTCGTACTACTACTACAGTTGATGAGGGTGCTGCTGCGGTCAATCGAGATGGCAACAGTGGCAATGTCACTACTGATGCAGGCGGCGAAGGCGAAGGAGAAGGCATAGTAGAATCAGATGAGGAAAACGCGAAGGGTTTGCTCGATGATTAGCTTTTGAATTGAATGATTGGGATCCCGGCTTGAACGGGCTGCTTTAGTTGAGAAGTAATATAACCAACAACTTAGAATTGATTGATGATTACTTCATTAAGGCAAACCTCGCTTGTCCTCTTTCTACTTGTTGTGATGATAAATGTTACCTGGATGTGAGATGATGTATTCAATGAATACGTTCGAATTTTTCTCTTCAGAGTTATAGAACGAATGCTGTCATACGACAGTAACGTGGGATAATGAGCTGGCGAAACCGCATGCAAAATGCTGTCAAATGGATTCCAGACAAAAATGAAAAATGAAAAGGAAAAAAAAAAAAAAAAAAGCCGAGACAGAAGAGGCACAATAATGTCTCAGATTGTGGGAGTAATAACGAAATTGGCAGCGGAAGCCCCGGGCTAATCAGAGTATCTCAATTAAAGGACAAAATTAGGTGCAAGAAATAAGAACCCAAGAAGACCATAGTCCCCTGTAGCTCTGCTCCTCCCAGAGGAGAATTATTTGGAAACAAAAACGTGGGCCGCGCAGGAGGTTCAGAAATATCGCGCCGTAGATCACAATGGAGTATCTGGGGTTCAACTGTCCTGAAAAGATGAACATTCGCAGAAAGTTAACGGAGGAGAAAACGTTTGAGAGGAGAAAAAAATTTAAAAAAAAAAATGTTGCAAACCATACGTGATCATGCACCGCTGACAAAAGCTCCAGTCCACGAATGAAAATCAAATGCAAATCGAGAGGAAAATGCAAAAACCAATAAGTCTGTCAGAACTAACTGTATATGCATGTCCACCTTTGAACGTATGGATTGCCGAGAAATGATGGAACAAAAAACCAACCGAAAAAAATTCAACAACATGCATGTACTCTAGCCGTCCTAATCCTAGACCTTCGTAATAAATCCATCCCCTTTCGTGGTCAGAGAGGAGTAAAAAATATTAGTCTCCATTCTCGTCAGGAGCAGCAGCCGAAAGTCCAGCCTCCCTTTTCTGCTTATTTTTTGGATTCCCCCGGATACTGCTGCTAAGCCAGCCCAGCCCGTCCCTCCACGAGTCGCTAAGACTCCGGGTCCGAGAATCATTTTGCTTCTTCAGGAGCGGTGAAGCGGCTAGGTTTGGGATGCTGTCTTGCGTACTGGTTTGGTTCGTGCTGGTCGAACCGGTGAGGGGTAGGCTTGCGCGGTTAGCTATGCGCAAAAGTTCGTCCTCCTCGGCTTCTGTTCCATTGAGGTTGGTCCCGAACTCGGTTTCCAGCGAAGGCCCTTCTTGGTTATACCTTGTCGCTGCGCCTTCGTCAGAAACATATGGGATGGATGCTCTTTTCTTGCCCTCTCGCTTCGTTTTCGACAGGGCCCGTTCGCGGTGGCTACGAGGGGAGCCTTCTCTGAGTAGAGAATCTGCAATAACAGCGCTCAGGGTCCCTGAGAAAGGCTGTAGTATTGGTCCAGGGGGGAAACGCTTTGAAGACGAGCTTCGTGATCCGGTGTTCGGTGTTCGAGATGACGTAAATTGGCGACCTGTTGTGGGAGGCGTCTTTGCTCTTAATGGTGTAGCCTGCGGAGGGGTATGCGGGCGAATTTGTTGGTTGGTAACCGCGTGGGATCCAGCAACCCCTGGAGCAGAAGGGAATTGGAGAAGTACCTGAGTTGGAGGAGGGTATATGTGGGTAGGTGTCTGCGGCCCAGAGACAATTGCTGATTCGCCATGGTCTGCAGAGGTTGTTTCCCATGGGTTTTCGGTCAAGAGTGGCTTGGGGCTTGTGACTGGAGATGCTGGGGATGCTGATAATAAGGAGACGCCAGAAATTGATGGCACGGAAGAGGAAGGACCACTAGACAATGGAGCTCGCGGGGTTTGCACTCCGTCGTCTTTATAATGATCGTCTTCATCACTCATATGTGAGCGGGGATGATGGTCGGTAGCTTGAACAGCGGGACCAACGGTGCCTTCCAACGATTGCTCTGCCGGGTGCTGCCTTCTTTCGGGCTGCCAATCAATACTATCGCGGTATCGATCTCCATCGAGAAGACCAATTGCCTCCTCGTCGCTTTCCGATTCGGAATCGGACTCATCTGCCCGGCTTCTACCACTAGTTATAAGATAGACTCCAAGGAACGTGAGTGAACAGCCTCCAACGAATTTCTCTGCCCGTGCAGGGGAGGTCGACTCGAAATCCCGGTAGAGGACAGCGCTCCCAAGAATCACTGAAATGGTAAATAATACAAACTGGGTAGGGATAACTTGGGTGGAATCGAATCTTTGCAGAGCTCGATTGATGTATCGTATCTGCATCACAGCACTGAAAACAAGTATGGCCACCAGGGCGTACGTGATAGGGAACGTAATGACGTGCCATAAAGTGAATGACAGCAAGGACGCAACACCCTTTGTCGACAGAGCAGTATATCCGCCTAACGATGTAATAAGCTTGGGATTCCTCATTATAGTGTCAGACATAGGTATATATATATATACTTACCGAACAGTCCAACCAAACCCAAATCAATTAGGATAGATTTTCTCCCATACTTGTAGCTAGCCCACATCAACACCAGGATCAATGCAATTGTGAGTCCAAGGTATAATTCAAACTCCCACGTCGTTATCATGCCCCAAATATCACCAGGCCCTATTTTGGTTTCCGAGGTTTTAGCACTGAGTACAATTGTAACTGCGCCCGCAATGGAAACCAGCACCCCAAGCAGATCTCGTTGGCGGAAAGTCTCTTTAAGCATGAATGGAGCAATGAGGCAATTTGAAATCAGCGCCACTACCCCTAGTGGCGAAACGATAGATGCAGGTGCAAATCCATACGCAAGGAAATTACCGGCTTCTCCGATAGTCATAAGGATTATGCCGGTCCACCAGTACGGAGATTTAAGATATGACGTTCGTTCCTTGGGGATCTGGCTCTTCTCCAGTGGCGTTAACGTCCGGTCTGACATGAATGACTGGTTGAGCCTGTCAGCGTCCGGGTTACTGCCATTGAGAGAATTACCCCTCTCCCTATCTCCCTCATCTTCGTCTGTATATCGATTAAATCCCAATCCGTCAATTTCCTCAAATCTAGTAGATCGTCCATTTGTCTCCGCCTGAGCTGTGTCTGCATGGTCTTGTCCATTTGTGTCCCCGCCCTCATCTTCGCTCGCAACTGCACCATAAGTGCTAGATGATAACAGTACTGACTGTGCCGTGTGCCTGGAAGCACTTTTCTTCCAGCCGTTTCGATAGCGGTTCCGTTCGAATTCCCGTTCAATGCGTATGTGCGCATAGCGTTGGATATTTAACGCAAAGGAAATAAAAACGTTCCCAACGATGGCTGTTACAATACCTATCGTAGAGGACCACTCGCTCATTGGACTGCCACCGGTTTCGCCATCACCATTATTCTCTCCACCGTCATGCCCAGTATTTCCATATCCCAGCAAACCGATTGTGACGGGAGACAAAGGTGAGGAGATGACCAAGTCAAAGAGAAAGGCGAGGGAGAATGCAACTGAAATTCCAACTGCCATCATTTCACCCTCTTTCTGATATCGTGCAACAGGGCGTACGACGGAAAGAGAGCCTTGAGAGGAGCGAGATATATTGGAGATACCCCTCTGGTTTTTCCTAGCCTCCTTTCAACCAGAAGTCGCCTGTCCTTGGGTTCTGCCGTAATCACTTACCCGCCTTCGCCGGGGTAAACCTCGCATTGGCTGTCGTCGCAGTAATGGCTTGGCTGAAGAGCGATCGGTATCGTTGATCACCACAACAATCTACCCACACATCAGCTCTCCAGGGTGAAGTTGCGCTACACGATGGTTGCGTGTAAACGGTACTATGTGGTATTCGGGGACTGGTGTTTTCTTTCATCGATGGAGTAAAAGATTTGCAGCTATCACATGCAAGGTACAAATCATTGCTAGAGTGCGACAGTGGGCGTCTGAAAAGGGAGGTAGGTCCGAGATGAGTGAAGAAAAGGAGTGAGGCGTATGGCGTGCGGGAGGAGCGGTGGTTACTCTCGATTAATTTGTTTGAAAGTCTCAATAAATGACTTATATCCCTATATTGCCTGTTCTACCGAAGATGAACAAGCCATATTTCCTTGGATGTCAGGGCTTTTGACAGATCTGAGCCCAGTTTCAAGCTTCAGGAGCTGTCAGAAAGTTGGAAGCTGATGAGGCTGGTGGTGGATCAAGCCACTATTGGTTGGGCCTTGGCAAGCGGAGAACATATATCAATCAGCAAACTTAAAAATAAACCAATCATTTATCATTGAAACGGGTATCTAGATCATGAGAACGGAAATTGTCTGCTAACAAGCCAAATCTGAAGCCAACAAAGTACATTTATTATCATTTTACAATTGTACGCAGTTAAAACGCCTGACACCATCAGTATCCTCTTGAAGAAAAAATTGAAGAACAGAGCTAAAGTCGTCCAAAAGTTTTAATCTCGCCTCACCCGTTTCCGCTCCGGTTTCCGCTCTTCGTCTTCCTCCTCACTCAGCTCTGCAAAGATAGGGTTGGGTTGTGTTTCCTTCCATACTTTTGTAAATACAGGCTCTTTCTCTGCCTTCTCTGCATATTTAAGTAGTGCCTCTCGTGGGTCCTCGTCTCTCATGGAACTAAGAGGGATATTTTCTTTGATATGCTTCTCGTCCGGCTGGCTCTGCGCGAAGGGAGTTTTGTTGGGTAGGTGAGGTCGACGTGGATCTCGCGATCGGCCCGAGGCAGTGAGTCCGATTGTCGGATGTCGGCTGGAGAAGGAAGCACCAGAGGCAATTTGGCCTGTAGCACTGTCGGCGGTGAGGCCAAGAGATAAATCTGTGGAAAAATTTGGATCATCGTCCACGTGCCACCGTTTTGGCGCTTTCGACATAACAAGGACTGCTCCGTTATGAGACATTGATGGGTTGTATAGCACGTGCGTCTCTCCATTTGCAGAACCAGCAACTATTTGGTTCAGTTTCTCGTGCCAAAGCACCGCAATAAGAGGAGAGCCTGGTGTGACTGGTGTAGAAAGCTCCGGCTTTAGGGTTGCAGGATTCAGGATATGGAGGTCCCCAGTTTCGCTGCCGGTGATGATATTCGCTCCGCTAGGTGAGAACATAATATTCGCGTTGTGGGAATATTTTGATCCAGAAATATGAGACACAGTTGTGATGGGAGTTTTGAACTTTCTCGTATCCCAGAGCTTGATAGTATCATCCCCTCCTCTGGTGACAACTAGCCGCCCATCAGGGCTAATATCAAGACCGCTTGTCCAAGTATCTTTAGTATGTGCTCCTTGAATTTGAGCGCTTGGCCTCAAGAATGGACCATCGCCACTCCACATCACTAGGCTCCCATCAAGAGCACTGGCAACGAGAATATTGCTACCTCCTTGCACTGGTGTGGCCCAAGCCACCGCAGTCATCCGGGTCCTGCCCGCGGACCCGGCTACCCGAGACTGATGCACAATAACTTCTTTCTGCGATCGTCCCACATTTACGTCCCATATCCTTAACGTACTATCCGTTCCAGCCGTAACACATAAGTTATAGTCCGTAGGACTCCACGCCCCGCTCGTGATTTCAGAGATGTGGCCTTTAGTATTGCGCATATCCCTAAGGTACATATCCCCCTTGACAAATTCCGTGATCATGTCGCCATCGCGATCGAAGATTTTTGCTTGAGGTGTTGCGGATATGACCAGAACTTGGCTTGGGTACAACGGGTTGAATCGTGCGACATGGACCGGGTGGATTTCCGATGATGCGGACTGCTTTTTTGCGGACGGTTCCACGGATTTGAATGCGCGGAGAGTGGTCGGCGTCATAGAGGCAAAATCATGGAGCTTTATCGTGCAATCTGTTGAGCCAGTTATCATTCGCGACCCTGAGGGATCAAGAGTTATAGTCGTCACCGCGCGCTCATGTGTCTTGAAAGTGAGTTCATGTGATGTTGGAAATTCATCTTCGGAATCGTCCGAGTTGTCTGACTCTGACTCTGACTCTGACTTAGAATGTTCATTTGACTTTAAATCAGCTTTTGAAATCGTAGGAACTGCTTTCCGTTCTTTTTCTTCGCCATCATCATCGTTGTCTTCTTTAGGCTTATCCTCGAATTTTGATTGGAATTTTGATTTCACCTCAGTTCGTTTTGTCCGATCAATCTGGGCTTCTACATTAGTCGACTTATCCTGCTTCCCAAAGCCACTGGGGAAGAACTTTTTGAATGTTTCTTCATCAAATCCATCCATAGTGGGTGAACACGCCGACGCATGTAGCAAGGAAAGACTAGGTGAGAGCTTGGAAGCTCCCAACTTGACGTTGCAATTTAGCCGCTTCAACAAAACTTTAATATTCCAAGCAGCTGCGCCACTTCATTAGCGCGCGCTTAACAATTTACACATCATTCTAAAGAGATTTGGTATTTTCCGGCCTCTACAGCTTCTGAAAGTTTCATGTTAAATTCAAAGGTTTCCCATTTACCATGATATAAAGAGAAAATCCAGCTAGGTTAACTTGAAGATAACGAGAGTTGTGGGAGAAAATAAAAGAATGATAATAAAAAGCACGATCGCTCTTATTTAACCCTTCACAATTTACAAGTGGTTGGATCAAATTTCTCACTCTCGCGTCCTGCTTTCAGCGTTGCTTTATAAGAATAATCCTGAGAGAGTAGAGGACGAAAAACTTGTCAGTCTCATTTCAGCCGACCCATCGAAACCAAGTTTCTCTTACCCGAGTCTCATATGGCACACGATATCCCCACCAGCTCGGAAATTCCGCTTTCGGGAAAGTCAGAGAGAAGAATGTAACAATAGTCGCAAGCACTAGCCCTGTATCTAAAGCGGCAGACATAATATAGTTATAGCTCTGCCACCACCCCGGCCAACGACGGCGAATCCAGAAGTTAAATATCAATCAAACCTACAATCGCCCAGGATGAAAAGTTCAATGGATGGCCCCAACATTTGCGAAAGACGTACATGTTAAGATGTTCCTTTGACCAGAAAATATAAACAAGGAAGTGGACTGAAAATTACTGAATAGGTGATGCTGACGAATGCAATTAACTACCACAAATAGCTGATTGACTACAACATTATTTGGTTTGATCCCTGATATACCGAAAAGCCATTCCAGATCATCCTAGGAAACCTTTCCAAGAAAAAGGAATTAGCTTATACAGGTACGGTATGTTACGATGGGTTCGGGAATATTTAACTGTCCAAGTACATGAACCACCGATACCGTGACATGATCCATCCGTTTGTCGTAGGCCACTTTGTCGTGAAGGGCATATCGAAGTAATGTGTTGGAAAATACTGCTGGCCACATCATCGAAGATGGCCTGGGGAAGCAGTCTTCTAGTATACAAAGGCGAATAAAATATTTGCCAAGCAAAGAGTCGGTGGAACATCCCAGCTAACGAAATGCTAATGAGCTGGTTACTTAGGGTAAATAGAAGTTGGAATCCCCAACCCAAATTGATATTGAAATATTCTGTTCAAACAATAAAGTATGGGACCTAGACCTTTTCCCTTCAATGCAAGAAGCGCATCGGCACTGTAAGCATAGTTGATGGAAACACTGTTGTCATTCATTAGATTAATCCTCATGCTCAGGTAGGGACCATGGCTATACTGAAAAGTTTCATTGTGCTGACTTGGCCATCAGCTACGACAGAGATATGATTGATAAAATATCTAGTTTTGCCTCTGAAAACAGGGGCTGGGTATCATACCGTAACAACTGTGTGTTCCTTAATTGTAAAATGTCTAGGGTTAAACGTCTAACGCAGCCCAAATATATTGAACACCCTACAGGGAACGACTTTTGCCCAAAAGCAGCCAATAGGGTACACTAACCTGATTGAATGGAGAGCCACATTGCAAGTATCATTATGTTGAGAAGGAAAGGCTGACTGACAGTTGAACGACAATGGAGGGAAAAGATATTGCAGGGCTCCTGTGATTGGATATTAGCTAAATGAACTTTCAACGCTTGCGGTTAAGAGGGATTTCCAACCTCACACTCAGGAACATGTTCAAACAACCACCAACAGTGATGAAGAAGAACCCCAGCATCCAAGCGCTAAATGTATTGGCAGCCAAACTCTTCGTCTGTGTTTCGAACGGCTGCACGAACCTAAGGATACGGCGAATCTTCGGAGCGTTCCTGTTCGATTGCAACAGCCTATTCGGCATCACCGGATTCGGCAGCATGGCTAGGGGCGTCAATATGCCCTTGCGGCAAATTTGGATCGAATTGGTGAGACTGTGTGAATTTCTGTATATCACCCTGAGCAGTAGGCTCAGAAATTCCGTCATCGCTATCTGGCTGTTGGCTCCTCGAGCGAGTGCGCAATGTCTGAAATTTCCTTGAAGGCTGAACCATTTCAACCATTATCATGACCAAAGCTCAAGAAATATAAAGCTCTTTGTCAAGCTGCCGTGGGTGTAATCGTTTGATATGAAACATTGGCCCTTCAACAAACTGTTGGGACTGATTCGGTTGACAGCAATCTAGAGTGCAGACTGTCTGGTTCTTCTGTAAGGTCGTAGAATCGAGGATCACAGTGGTTATGGAAAAGTTTCGATAAGGTTCACATGAACCAACTGAACTCGATCTTACAGCTGCTTAACTCAGGTACCCTATGACAAGCTGCCAGGGAGGATGAAGAAACCCCGCAAAATACACATGGGGCGGGTCCGGCAATAGCCTGCGGTTTCAATATTGTCTTTCCATCCCAAGGCCATGAATCCCTAGCCGGGGAGATCATTGTCGTTCTGAATGAGCTCCGCACAGATATTCATGTAAACATCCTATATCACGATCGCACGATCAGAGCGGCCAGGCGCTGTTTCCCCTTCTCCACGAGCAATCGATTTCTTTTATCTAATCAGCCAGCGGTCAATCCTCTGAACTGTTCAGATTAGATGTTCTATTGACAGGGGAACGAAGTTAAGACTCGTTCACCATGCGAGGCGCTCGGCTGGTTGGGCCGATGATGAAAGCCACAATGTCGATCCACAAGTTTTAGCCTTGGTAAACACTCGCGATTCATGCCCGCCATCTGACAAAACAATCGCCAAATCGCAGACTGACGCTCCGTTTGTTATTGCCTGGTTTCAACCCTATTATTGGGAAGTTCGACAGCAGCATTCTGCTCAACGGTTACTAGCTCGGTGATGACGGCTTGACTTGATGGAGAGTGATGTTAAAACCTCCAAAGAAGGAATGCCCTCGAGCTTACTTGGCGTAAAGTGCGCTTACTGTATGAGTAACCTACTTGACAGCGCGGGAACGAGATGACATCATGTTCGATCGATACTTATAAGGCTTGTTGCAGTTTTCGGACCTGTTCTTTTGCTGCAAAGCACGTACATAGGCTTCTAAGCACGAGCATCCAAATCCACTAACCTCGCTTCTTTTATCCCATTTCCATGCGCCAGCGAATCGAGGAACCCCTCACCGTGTTGACATCGGACACGCTTCGTTGAGAATATGCGACAGCGGATTAAACAGGTCATAGCAGACCTAAGATGTATCTGCCAATTCTACAGCATTACATTTTCTCCAGAGAGGGGGGCCCGGCTTCAAGAATACCGCAACGAGCGACTCAACGATCTAAGCAAGGAAAACTTCGATACCCTTATCCAAGATGGGAAGATCCACTATTTGCTCTTACAAAACCACCTATACAACAGATGATCAAACAGTTAGATCTTTTTATGCAAAAAGACAAAAGCATGCAACCCTCCCTTCGCCCCAAAGTTAATCAATCTTTATCAAGAGGGACACAAAATGAGAAATATAGACGGGAAGATAGCTGCTGGTGACATAGAAGACGCCACCAAACTTATCTGCAAATTAAAACATAATATAAAAGCAGACAGATTAGAATCCGCAAACGAAGCGCCCTGCACGCAGTAAAGGCCATAGACCAGCTCCGGAACCACCTACAAAAGTGCTTCTAGTTCTTCAATGCTCACGATCCGTTATTTTTCTGGTGGGTAGCTAGACCATATCGTCAGCTCACCAAGGCATTTGAAGATCTCATACCTGTTATCTGTCAGAAGATCATCGGTAAACCCCCTGACAAGAGACAGAGTGCTATTGCGGAAGAACCCATCGGTCGTGAGCGCCTGCTTGCCCACCTTGAAGCAGAAATGATTCCTTACCCACCCGAGGAACTTCTGTCTATCGGCCAATCTGAGTATGCATGGTGTGAGGAAGAAATGATAAAAGCATCCACCGAGTTAGGCTACGGCCGTGATTGGCATCGTGCTCTTGAGTTTGTCAAAACCCTTCATGCAGAACAGGGCCAACAGGCGCAACTTGTGCACGATGGTGTACTTGAAGTAATCGAGTTCGTGACAAGGCAATATGACCTCGTTACGGTCCCACCCCTTGCCGCGAAGACCTGGAAAATGGACATGGTGTCGCCATCACCGGAATTTCAATCCGCTGCGTTAGTTGGTGGAGAGAAAATGGTGGCAGCATACCCTACAGTGCATATGTCCCATGAATCCAAGCTAGCGAGCCTGCGAACAAACAATATCCATTTCTCCCACTCAACAGGCTTCCATGAGGTGATCCCAGACCACCATTTGCAACTTTATATGAATGTTAGACATCGCACCTATCGGGCGCTTTTCTATACACCGTTTTGGATCGAAGGCGGAGCCATGTACTGGGAAATGTTATTTTGGGATAAGAAGTTCCCTACCACTCCAGAGGATAAGATCTGAATGTTATTTTTGCGCATGCACCGGTGCATGCGCATCATATTTCCTTAAATTTCCATCTAGGGCGTATGACTGCCCGAGAGTGCGTCGATCTACTTGTGAGGCGGCTGGGACACGAGCGGACGGCAGCGGAAGCGGAAGTGAGGAGGTCAATTGATGGAAATTATCGGCCACTATATCAGGCGGGCTATATGTTGGGCGCATTGTAGCTCTATGCGTTGAGGATCAAGCTAGTGGATGCGGGGATAATGCCTGAGAAAAAGTTTCATGATCGCATATTGAAGGAGAACCACATGCCGATTGAGTTGTTGAGGGTTCTTTTAAGAGACTTGCCAGTTGAGAGAGACTTCAAAACAAATTGGAGGTTTTACGAAAAATGATTGGTGGGTGTGGTGAATGTGTTGGGGAGATGGGGGTTTCGAATAGGGGAGTGTATATTAACGGCATTCCGTATGTGCTCAAGATCTACATATCGTTCCTGAAGCGGGAGAGAAAGCTCTACGGATACAGACATATTGAAGCTGCCCAATGTTAACGTGTAGCGTACTGTTTTCGTGGTCCAGCCAAATACTTTTCTGCAAACCAGCTACGTTTGACACACGCCCCACAGACGAGGCGCTTCCTAAAGTACGGGAGCAGCGAAGCTTTTTGCATTTAAGGCGATCGCCACTTGGGCTCATACCTGATGCGGCAGAGTTGAATTGTCAAGGTATAGATCAATGCGTCCCGCCGACGTGGCGGACGCATTCATGCCCTGCTGTTATCAAATTCTCAAGACAGGTTGCTCTACAAGCGACCTGGATGGCAGGTGTCACTGAATACAACACTAAATCCGCTTTGTCATATATCCAGACCGGCCACCCTATCCGAGATGGCATTTGCGAAGAACCTTTGTTATACGAGGGGAGTACATCCACCTAATTCCGCATCGAGTTCAGTGTTATTTTGGCCTCGACCTAGCTAGCGCTTCGGCCACGTTATGGCCTCATGACCGCTAGGCGGGAGGTTGCGGTCCTTCCCAACTTGCGCGATACAGCATGTGGAGCCGTTAGCCCTCGATATATGTTACCTATCGGCCGCAAATTATGAATCTCTGGATTCATATGTGTGACGATTAATGGTCTTACCGCTCTTTCCCTGCGCTTGCAACCGCATCAGGAGGTAAACGGTTTGAACTTCGAGGTAATATAATCCTTGAGTTGCCTGTTGTCTTCCTCCTCGACGTGTAGTAAATCCATAGAAGTCTGGAAATCAGGGCGGTAAACATCCATATGCCTCTAGCGGTATTGCATGCATGCAAATTTTCGGCCGTTTTTAGTGCGAGATTCCTGCAGAAGAACAAAGGTACCCAATTCGTTGGTGATCTCATGCGAGGAGCCGCTCGGTTTGTCGTGGGTCCGGATTTTGGAACTTTCGTATATCTGCTTCACTATTCGACACGCTAGAATTCTCCTGTCTTCCATGCATGTTTCGAATATTGAAACGGATTAATAGTATTAAACGTCCTGGATATGCACGCTTTACCAAAGTTTGTCTGAACAAAGGCTCATTTGCATTGCTTTTTCTCTTTTTGCTCTCTCACTCTATCTCATTCTTTTCTTTCTTTTTCCTCTTCTGTTTCATGCGTTCAAGACTCATTTTTTCTCCTTCTCTTCTCTTTTCTTTTTTTTATTTTGTTTTTTATTTTTTACCTTGGATTGCCCAATCTGTTTCGTTGGCAGCACGATTCCGTACAGCGCGAATAATTTAGAGCCAATGCAGGGTCTGCCTGCAACGAAGCGTGCAAAATGATCGTATCCCAACGAAGGGAAGCTGCTTCTCTAAGCCTGCGTTAGGTTCATGATTTCCTGCGAGAGTGTGTTTGCAATAATGATTTGTTGTCAGTCTTGTCAGGTCTTCGCTGTTCGTTCCTGCTGGTGGCTTTCTATGTTTTGCACAATACACCAGCCCTAGGTAGTACCTGGGCAGGTACTGTACATAAGTATATAAAGCTCCATATCTCAATTCCACCTCTCTCCTGAATGGTTTTCCTCATCAACAACAATCTCACAACAATACCTTGACGATTCTCTTTCACCCTACCATCCTACCTACTCCCTGCGTGACGTCCTAGAACTTGCCATTTGATTTTCTCGTCCTCCCTCCTATTTGCCCTCAGTCAAATATCCCTCCGTTGCCATGGCCCCTGCAAGACTCGATGAGGTCTCGTGTGATGTGACACGCGACGGCGCTGCCCTCGACAAGATGTCGGATGACGTTGACACTGTCAATGTCTTGAAAGCAGAACTCAAGGACTCCGCTGCATGTGATGAGCCCAAGTTTGGAGCTGACAAGGACAAGTCCAAGTTCCGCCAATACGAGACTGCCTGCGAAAGGGTCAAGGCTTTCTATCGAGAGCAACACGAAAAACAAACAGTCGCCTACAATCTGAAAGCCCGGAATGACTTCCGGTCCAGAGTACGGGCTGAAATGACAGTTTGGGAAGCAATTGAGAAGCTCGATACATTGATCGACGAGTCAGATCCGGATACCTCCCTCTCCCAAATTGGCCATCTTCTTCAATCTGCTGAAGCCATCAGACGTGATGGTAAGCCAAGATGGATGCAGCTCACGGGCTTGATTCATGATCTGGGAAAGCTTCTCTTCTTTTTCGGTGCAGAAGGCCAATGGGATGTGGTTGGAGATACATTCCCGGTTGGATGCGCCTTCGATGAGCGAATTATCTATCCTGAAACATTCGCAAACAACCCCGACTTTGGGAACCAAATATATGGGACCAAATTCGGCATATATTACCCAAACTGCGGCCTTGATAATGTGATGCTTTCCTGGGGCCATGATGAGTACCTGTACAATGTCGTGAAAACCCAATCAACCCTTCCAAAGGAGGCGCTGGCTATGATTCGCTATCATTCGTTTTACCCCTGGCACGCAGCTGGCGCATATCGACACCTGATGAACGATGATGACGAACGTATGCTTGAGGCAGTCAAGGCTTTCAATCCGTACGATCTGTACAGCAAGAGTGACGACGTTCCCGAGATCGAAAAGCTGAAGGTATGTCGATTTTCCAATTCTTTGATCACCATCGAGAGTAGAATGTGATCTATCAGAAAAGTTCTAACTTTGCTCGAAACACGCAGCCTTACTACCTTGAGCTAATCGATGAATTTTTTCCACAACGCATTGTGAAATGGTGAAAGAAGTTGACACCGTTGAATGCGCTAATGCACGAGACTAGGCTCATCCTGCAGACAGGGTCATACATCATCATGCATGCGGTTATTAATTCTATTGGTTTTTTACCCCTAATTTTATCACCTTCTGCGCCTTATTTGTTGACCATTTTTTCTGTTTGTCTGTGGCTCTTATCCAGTGTGTCGGGATATTTTACCTTTTCTTTTTTTCTCTTTTATTCAAGGTTCCCCGATCCCCGATCCCCTTCTGTTGGCTTCGGTGGCCTAGCCCACGTTAATCCTCTCCCCTGTTATTTGTTATTCCTCATCTGCTATCGATGTTCACATCGTTCTGTGCTAGATCCATCCATTATTTTGCCCGACTAATGTTGCGAAATGTGAGAATCCACGCCTATTATCTGTTTTCTTCGTTGCCAATAGTGTTGTTAATAGTTGCCCGCCTGTACCTGACTTATTTGTCTGCATTAATTTCCATTTCCATTTTTCTTCTTTTCCTTCCTTTTTTCCACATGTTCTTACTCGACATACATATCTTAATCACCATACTGCTTGAAAGCTGCATTGCTAGTTAACTCTCCGAACTTGGCCCAAGTGCCACTCGGCTAATATGGTGTGGGGAGGTGCCTTGCTTGTGTTTGTCCTGTTTGTTTTAAGGCCATATAAGGTGGCCAAGTTCAAAGTGAAATTTTCCATTCTTTGAACGCCATAAGAAAACTAAAGAATAAGCGTCGACCACACTCTCCATTGTGCCCAATTCTTGTTCTTTGTTTGCATTTAACATGTTAGCCTTCTTTATTTCTATTTGATAAAGCAATTGTGATATGCTTTCTACAGCCCACATTAAGCTGCAGTTATTGAATGTTGGCGGTATAACTGCCAACTACAAATGCAATACTAGTATGCATGTTTTATGTATGCTTCTGAGGCACCACTCCTACCAATTATCATTGTCCCTTAGCAATTCAACCCTTAATTGCCTTTCTGGCTTTCACGTTATCGAAATACACGGGCTTCGGCCGTTGATCTACTTCAGCGTGCTGCATTCATTTCGGCTCTCAGGACAACTGATCAGGCTACACCTTGCATCCACACAATGCCAGTGGACATCCAGTTACAATTCCTTTGTCAATAATGGGAGATTTCTGGGAAAAGCAAAAGCGGAGAGATATAGCGAATTAAACTCTTCCGAGGCCTAGTATACCTTTGATGCCCAAGGATTCGCGACATATGCCTACCGAGGTAGGTTTACACAGGGACAAGGCAGTGGTGCCCTTTTCTTCAAAAAGTATATTGCAGATTTTCTGAATCCCAGCCACTCCGATCTCTATCCAATTTTTCGACGTTACACTAATCGGAAACTGGTCGAGACAGGAGAGCCATTACCAATATAAATAGCATAAATTGATGATGAAAATGTTAAATGCATATATATGAGCGACTAGGCTCTGCCGCATTTGGGCATTGGATAAAGGCAATTGATATGACTTTTAACATAGGTCTCGTTGAAGGATACTCAAAATCGGTTTGTTTGCTTTCCATATTCGATTGACGGTGCTAGGCCGTCATCTTCTTCGTTGGTATTATGCCTATCAATGAGAGGGTGGCGTACGCAGTTTGTTCTCCTTTCAGCTATGCCTGACCGATGAACCCTCGCTGGAAATCAATTCTCCGTCAAACTTTCCGTCGCATCATCACCTTGTACACGCTGCTGGGGCCCATATCTACGCCTGCGGCACTGTGAGACCACAGCATATGGACAGGAAATAATTCCTGTGAAACGTTACTGAAGAGTGCATCTACGGTTAGCAGTCACCGGGATATCTGCTATTTACAGCCAATCCCGAAAGATGGCGTGATTCGTAAGCATAGGACAATTGAACTCGAAATAATCAAAAAAGAAAGTTGAGGAGAATAAGTGTAGAGAGGTAGTTGAGGGTATTTTATCGAACTTTCCATTCCGGACCCAGTTTGGCTAATCTGGAGCATTTGAAGTCTCCGCCTGGACGCCAACTTCATATGGAAATGAAATAACCCCAAAAGCAACAGAATCGGAATTTCACCAACCATGTCGACCGCTCTATTTGTACGTAGGTGAACCGGCGTCCTGCAAACATATCTGCATTATTATTCTTAATAGTGAGGAGCACAACTGACAGGAGTGTACGAGATCCGTTTCGCTAAAAGTAGTGATCAAACATGATTGAAAAGCAATACCTCGCTAATCTATCTATTCCCTCCTGGGGATAAGAATACATCTCGCGTTCTCTCGGGGGGTCCGGAGAGCACTCCACATGAGAAGGAAGAAGCTTCAAAACCTTCAGCAAGATATCAGCGAGTAACCCCTCAGCTACCCAAACCATAAACGTGTCATCGCCCTCCCGCAAGTGAACGAAAGGAATACAATGCTCCTATGGCCGTGGCATTTGGGAACCGTGAAATGTGTCCCTCGTCCAGCGTTTCTCCTCATCGGGCATTTCTCGATATATCGATATGGATTGTTGACGAGCGAGCGGCAGTCGTAGCTCATTTCCCATGTTTGATATTATCAAAAGGCGCCTGGAGAATACGAATAGGACATTGCGACGATATCTGCTCCGGGATAGATCTTCGTTTCTTAGGATGACAGACACTCCCATCACTCTGTACCAATTTTCCGTAGACACGGGCACGATCTGGCTCGCTGCTGAGAACGGAGTTGACGCATCAGGAAAAGGTTTTTATCAGGCGTTCTGTACTTGATGAACATATATCCCGTGGCCCAAAGGGAGTTTGGAAAAAGTCACCGACGGCTGTCGACGGTGCGACACTGGAGGGATATGATGGTAGGGTGCCCCATACCGATGGCGACGGCTGTCACTGTTCCAACCCTGAAACGAATAACGGACGAAGATCATCTAAGTAATGAGATGGGAATGCAGCTGACCAAAGGTCATGTCGGAGTGGAAAGATTGCCAGACCAGTTCGGCTTCAAGATGAATGGAAAATTGCGTGCCCACCCTTTTTTCCTCATGACTACGCGGTATGTCAAGCTGTCGACTTGCTTGCTAACATGATGTTTGAGGCTACAAGCCTGGACGTTCTTCGATTGCTGACCGTAGTCTTCCTCTTTCTCACCAGGAATAAAGTTTAATCAGCGCCTGCAAAGGATAGTTATAATTGAAACGAAAAATTAAATGATACCGATGATGTACGGAGAGTAGTTCTCTCAAGAAAACATTTCATCATGTGAAAGATTCTACTTTATATACATTCAAATCTTCTACTCATTAACAAAGAATTAAGCCATTTTTAACACGATAGGAAATCTCGAAGTCTGGTATGTCGACAGAGGGGGATATGCAATTCGCCATGAGGGAAATAGGAAAGCATGATATATACGAACGCAAAAAAAAAAAAAAGAAAAGAAAAGAAAAAAAAAAGGTAATAAAATTAAAGAAAAACACAGAAAGAAAGAAAGACGCCATCGCTAACATAAACTTTGTTTGTTTAGGGACGACTTATTAGAGGCAGTGGAGTGTACTTGACTTCCAGCTACCGTCGCTGTCGAACAAGGTTCATTTCAGTGCACTTCCCATTTTAGGGTACCAGTCCTTTCAGCTCCACCTCGGGAGCATTAGCTGATCTGCCAAAGCCCCAGCCTGGATGGAATGCGTTGAGAACTAGAACGGCAAGAACAATCATAACGCTCTCAAGGCCAATAAAGAGCGGCTCATCTTTGAGCAGGGGCCCATCCCAGCCATCCGAAAGTTCTGCAATTCGATAAACGCATCGGATAAAGATAAACAGAGTTGCCAGACAGAGGGCAACAAGGAAGCTACGGAAAGCGAATGATGAACGGAGAGCAGCGTGGTTGGGATCAAGAGCTTCGACACCAATTGATCGCATGCGACGCAACGTTCGAATAGCGAAGTCGACAGCGAGCAGGATGAAAACGGCTAAAATGGCGACTTGCCAAACAACACCGGCAATCATGAGGTTTGTGCCTGTCTCTGCTAAAGAAGTGCCGTAATCGGCGGAACTGGCGATCCCGCCTCCAGCGCCTTGGAGGGCCAGTGCGAGGATGTCGCAGGGAATGAAAATTCGCGGATACCAAGCTGCGGGAATGCGGGAATTTTCGCGACCGAACGTTGTGACGATTCTTGAGAGGCAGAAGTATATACCCGCGGCGAGGAAGGCCGGTGCAATTGTCAAGCAGCAAATTTGGATCATAAACGGATTCTAGGTTCGGGAGATGTTAGAATCACTCCGTCAATACAATATATTGAAAAATTCAATTCACTTACTTGTGCCCACGGGTTGTTGTACATTAAGATCCGGCCAATGTACCCAATTAGTTCGCACAGAGTACCAAGGATCATTGCGATAGAAAATCCTAAAAACCTCCTCGAAATGAAGGATTGTAGGACAAATGCAACAAGGGAGAAACCGAAAATTGCGGCAAAAGCAATATTTGCCGCGCGTGACGGGCGGTAGCCATAGTAAGAGTCGTCAATGTTGCATATTTCGAAAGTGCACGAGTCTCCATCTATTTCACGACGTGCAAGCGCCGAGAGAAGTGAGGCAAGCATTGATGATCGAGCAAGAGGAAATCGTTTGTTTTAAGAAGGGTATCGAGAAGTAAATGATTTCCCTAACTATAGAAATCTAAAAGTTGATTGCTTGTGGAGAAAAGAAACTTCTCATTAGAAGGGGCAGTCCTGATATTTATCTCCTTGATATTGAAAACACACATCGCTCCCTTGTACTATATATAAATGGCACGAGCGGTAGCCCCTCATAGTCATGCTCTTTTTGCTCGGAGCAAAATACTTAGCCTCAGCCAATTGGAAAAGCTCTGCGTCATATGGAAAACGTCATGAGCACATTTTTGCATCGGAGATTGATTATTCCCACTTTTTTTGATATTTTTTATTTTCCTTTTGTTTTTGACGTTCAAAGTCTCGCACGTAAGATTTGACGGCCCCAGGAAGACACTCCTCATTCAAAGCCAAATTGGAGCTGCCTGATATCGAAACAAGCCACATCTACCGGGATGGAGTCAGCTTCAGCAGCCCTGTACCTGTTGTGCAGGCTTCACGCGCCAAATCCACAGACTTCTCCTGTTGTGGTTAAAAAATGGGAGAGGCTGTGGAAGCCAAGCCATGAAGGCTGGGTTAGTTTAGAATTTTGGCGTTGTGAACAAGAAGGGCCTTCACTCAGGGAGCCATCAGAAGTGTTTGAGCGGATGGCTCAAAAGGGGATGACACCCATTTCGAAACCCATTGAAGAACCAATGCTGTGGCTATCGAGAGCTCCTTTCTCTTTGGCCGGGTAAGGCGAACTTTCCCAAGTCATTGTCGACATTGCAGTGGGTTGGAGTTCCCGTTGACGGAGTCGTCAAACACGAGACGGCATTATTTTTATCCCGAACGCATGGATGCTATTTGACCGACTCCGCCAGCCTTGACGCCGCCTCTGAAGCTACCATGTGGCTTGATCGATGCTCGTCAACCACAGCAAGCAGCGAGCCTTGTCTGGGACCGTTTACACCAACGACCGGCATTCAGGGATCACATTGACAGCTGGCGCAATTGCAGGTACAGATGTACACCGTAGCGAGTTCGAATATCCGACACTCCTGGACAAAGTCCTTTGGGCTGTAAATTATCGCAAGCGATGCCAAGATCCTCATTCCGTTGCACACGTACACTAGCGCCATGTCGGAAATATTGCAGCCTGTTCGGCATTCTTCGGCGGCCGGCACCTCTGTGGTCGGACGGCCGATTGAACGAGGCGCATACGACATGCCTGATCCATTGGCGATTTCGCTGCGGAGCTTAAACGTCAGATGTGAAACCACGATTCCTCCTCACCATGCGTTGTCATGGGGTAGGTCTAGAATTTTTTTTTTTTGTTTTTTTTTTAAAGGGCAAACCGAATTAATATGCGCAGACTCCTTGCTCTTTCATTGTGTCCTTTGGCCGAGTGGAAGGTCATTGAGGAGAGCAATGAGACAGGAGTATTGGTTGTTCAAGGCATTGTGATCGCTGACTCTTGGTGGGGGTGCCCAAAGGAGAGAGATCATTGGGATGTTACTCCACTGTTTGAACCAGAACATTGGAAGAACGTTCTTGGATAATCACCACAGCAGCTCTTTCGCGGATCGTTGTGACAGAAAAATGGACATCCCTGCATCGACGTATTCTTATTCTGAGAATCGTATTCGTACCTGCTCGATCCATTAGGATTCGCTCCTAGTCAAGGACCAGGCTCTCCTCAAACTAAGCCCAACTCGTTCAAGGAGCATATTGTCATCAACATCATGGTATCGCGAACTCTTTACGCTGTACTCTCCATGGGGGCTGTCACTGCACAGCTATTCGCTACACAATCTCATTCCCCAATTTCGATGAGCGGCCACCGGAACAACCCGATGTTAAAGCTCCGTTGATATGTTTTGATCACTGCAGCGATTGTCGAAGCGCTTCAGGGGTACCCGTTCAGTTTTGGAACATATGCCCGAAAAAGTTCATAACCTTCCCATTGCTTCACCGGTGGAATGATTCAAGTGGTTCCTCTGCTCCTGTCAGTCAACCAAATGGCGCAAGGATTGATATTACTGGCAACCAACTTGTTCACCCGTGCGAAATGACGAAGCAAACTTATTTGACTTATTATTCTTCCTCTAAACCAGTACGGCAACATTTTGTTCCCGATGTCGACTAATATTTCCTTTGTAGCCTTTGAGGAGGCTGGATCGGAGACTCTCATGGATCTCGGTCTAGGAGCCCTGGACAATGGAAGTCTTCAGTTGGTTGGGATGCCACAGCGCCATATTTGGTGGGACTCCGGGATTGATTGGGTGAAGAAGCTTACAGCAGCGTGGAATGCGGATGCTTCCCAAAATGCGTTATCAAAGCATTCAGGAGGGAACATTTATGAGATGGACCAAGAGAGGTGATCAAAATTTAGCAGCGAATGGATAATATCAATTATACATTGTCAACGAGTATCTCCTCGTCTCAATCCGACGAGAACAACATGCCGCCCTTAACCCGCATATCTCATTCTCCCTTTCGACACTACTACGAGTAGTGATAGCGCCATTCTCTATGTCTTACCACACATCTTTATTTCCTCAATATCTTGTGCTTCAAGATTTTTTTCTTCACTGTTGCACCCAGAAGCCGCCGCGTCATCCAGATGGTCATAGAACTCGAAGCAACCATTCGCCACCAGGATAGCTGAAATAAACGTCCTCATAGCATGCCTGAAGAACATACATGTCACTCTTTGACTCTTTTTGAGCCGTTCTTAATATTCGTATCAAGGTGTATTGCTAGACAGAAGGAGGTATTTGAGTACCACTAAATTATTATGGTTTCTTTTTCACACATAAAACGCTCACAGTTGCACCGTACCCCCGTATTCGTTTTCGGATCGAAGTCTCCAGTTGTATCAAGCTTGTTTAATTTCTTCCTTTCCTTCATTGCAGGCCCGATGATCTGCGACTACTACCTTGTTCGCAAGGGCTTTCAAAGGCATGAAAATTGTGACCCAATTATACAAATTCACACTCCTGTCTTAGTCGAAGAATTTACCCCCTCTATCAATTCTAATTCTTCAAGGTTCTAACGATTTTATATCCGGACTCCTTGGAATCTCTCCCCGTCAATGCACATCCTTGTTTCCAGAAGCTAGGAATGGTATCCGAGAAATACCACATGATTGTTCAATCAAAGTGAGCTCTCGCGGATTTTTGGCATGTTATTCATGCCATTGTACCTGCGTACTCTTCAAAGAGTTTCTAAATATTGGGGCATTCATCGCCATACTTCCACCAATTCTTTTGAATCGTGATGGTCGAAAAGTGTGTATGATTACATGCCTGGGAGGGCAAGGTGTGAGATTGTCAAGGTATGTTCTAAATCCGACTGATACATACAATGAAAAGCCTATAACGATACCGGAAGATACTCACCATAGATACCGAAGCGCTATGTCTAAGTTAAATCCTCATAGAATCACCTGGATCGCGCAGTATTGATGATTTACAAAACCATCAAAGCAGCCAAAACTATATATGACATAGCCGTGATGTCATAGCAACTAAGAGGCAATCTTGAGAGGTAGGCCAATATATATGTTTCTTGACCCAAATGAACACTTCTTTGGTATTGGAGAGATCTTGAGGACATTTTTGATATAACTCTACTGTTACATCCATCCCATTGCACTGTCATCGTTGCTCAATAGAGATAAAGCGTCATGTCTGCACCACGCGATTCGGAATCCATCAATACTACCCAGGGTGGATTTCACCCGTCAGCTCCCCGTTCTCCCCCCTTGGAGAAGCATGGTGTAAGTGCTTCCTTAAAGAGGCCCCGCCTTTCTAGACTATTGCAGTAATAAATTCTTCCAAATCAATTAGCATAAACCGGGAACAAAAGCGTCCCCAACAGACTACGTTCCTGAATTCCATGCACAAACGCTGCCCGCTGGTAGCGCACCTTCGGGTCGAACATTTGCTCCTCACCCTTCCGGGCAGGCACCGGAAGAAGGCACCCCAGCCATCGACGCACTTGGGGGTGCAGACTCGCGGGAGTTGAATAGGGGCCTTGGTCAACCGGTCTGGGGAGAAACTTCCTCACAACTGCATCACGATGGCCAGCCACGTCGGAAACACCACGGGTCCGGGTTGGAAGGAGTAGGTGCATCGAACAGGGAGTACATGGAGGAAGAAAAGGATATGCAGTAAGGGTTTAGTATTCTGAATTGGAGAACCTCAAAGAGGTGGAATTAATGCGAACAATCGCTGATGACGGACAATGAATGGAACAACCGCATCTAAAATATGAAAGCCTTTCATTTGATTTGTAAATCTATTGCACAGTACAACCTACATCTTGAGAGCTTAGCCCCACATATTTAACTCTGTTCAGGTTTCCAAATGAACAAAGTCTTAAAAACAGCGATCGTACATCATGAAGGGGAGTGATAGCTGGCAAAATCATGAGTTCAAGAGGACAAAAAGGGTAAATAACCGAAGGAATCGGACTCCCATGATCTTCATCCCCAGCTTCAAAATGTCGCTTTGGTGATTCTAGCATACAACCGCTATTTTTTCGATCACGTACTGCCGTATAACATGGGCCCCTGAAAATACATTTAGCTTAACCCAGACACCCGAGATATACCAACACCCCGAATAATGTTTTAACGGTAAAATTTCAGACCCCAATAAACTGACACCGTTGACACGAACCATCTAGCCATCTTGATATAATAAAACATAGTAGAAAAAGAGAAATCCTTTGAGCTACCTAGGTATATAAGGTTGAGAGAAGGTTACAGCATGTGAGTCTTCCCTTTGCTGAACCATGGACTAAGTTGTCTCTAGCATATTTCCACCGGGGCTTTTACATGTGGTAAAGACTTCAGAGGACAGCTTATGTGCTGGAGGGCACTTTTTAATCCCAGAAGTGATGGATCGAGCAATTGAAGTTAAGCCGTACTTGGCCAATGACAATATCCCAGTGGACATATTTAAAATCATCTCTGGCTTTACTGATAATCTCCTACGAGGATATTCTTACGAAATCTCACCCTGGCAGCTGACTTGGTATGTACGGGTTCTGGAAGACTATGATGATTCCAGTGCTCTCTGTCAGTCATGCGAGGATGAGGGCCACGATAAACGCAAAGATTTTTTCCTCAACTGGTTGAAAGACGAAAGCATCCTCCACAGGCTCACCAATTTATTAAAAGAGAGAATGAAAAACCTTAACATCGAATGAGCGATCGCCCAACACTTCTTTTCCAGAGTCGATTCGCTTTCAGACTCGCACTCGAGAAATTCTTCAACCTCATTCGAACCGCCAGCATTCGAACTAGACGTCTTCCTCCGGCCACGAGCTTCCCCCGGCTAACAGCCGCTGGCGCAGGGCAGATTCCATCCTCCCCAGAGCACACCTCTCTATCTCCGGCCAGGGTTGGCGGTCCTCTGTCATGCTCAGAAGACGTGCATCATTGGGGGACCATTGCCACGGCTCGCTTCCACCTCACACTCCTGCTGAGAATCAAATGGTCGTGCGTTCGAATCCCGCCCTTGCCAAAGGTTACCACAATCGGTTATATTTCCGGGTTTGCAAGTTGTATTCCTTTGGAGAGCCTTGATCGGTAGACACGAGAAACGGCCCGAACTGTCGGGGGTGAACGCACACAGGGAGACAAGGTCCGAGTGGTTTAAATATCAATCTGGGTGTGGAGGAGCAGTTCTTTGGGGAGCCAAAGCCACAGAACACTGGCTCAATGGGAAAAAAGAGGAGGGCACAGAGAACAGTGCGATCGAGGATGCGGCTGCAGTGGTCTAATTTATGTGCTATTTTCTCATGTATATCCGCAGTTGATTTTGACCTGTCCCGGCAGTATGAAAAGAAATAGAAAGTGATAATAAATATAGAAGTACGAGATATAAAGAGATTGTGGATAACGAGACATTGCTGGATACCGCCTTGTAAGGGCAATACTCATTCCCTTTGAGCCTGTGCACTGCTAGCTAGGGCGGCTGGTATGATAAAATCAACAGGTTACACGTCGGCTGACCCCTCGGGTGACTGACCTGACTTACGCTAGTGTAGGTCACCTGACCCTATAGAAATGGTGACTAGTCAAAGGGTCAGTTGAGCTCCTTACCAACTTGATCTCTTACAAGCTCTTACCAACTGCCCTGAGCCTACTGCTAGCACCCCCATCATCAATACTAGTCCACTACTAATCATCCAATTTTATATAAGACAGACTCACAGAGTGAAATAAAGTCTCTAAGAATTATATAATAATAAATAAATTAAAAGAAGTATTGAATCTTGATTAGTCAGTGACTAGTCATTGATTAATTATAGAGTAGTAATTTAATATATTAAATAATTTAAATAACTATACTCTGTATATTAAATTTATATTGACTAGTATCTGACTAGTAATATATCAGTCATTCACTAGTGCAATATTAATAGTTAATAATTAGTTTATAACTAACTAGTAACTTACTAGTCAGTAACTGATTAAATAATAGTAAAGAATTAGTTTTATATACTATATTTTCATTCATAGTTTATATATACTTCTCAATTTAATAATATTCAAGATTTAATCAATTTCTATTATTCAAAAAAAGAATTATAATATTCATTTTCACTGTGTATATACTACTGTATTATAATATGTATGAGAAGGTAAAAGTTCATTTTTGTTTTATCCTCAACTGACCCATTTTGTGCCAAGAAATTATTTGGGTCAGGTGACTAGCACTAGCGTAGGTCAGGTGAGTCACCCGAGGGGTCAGCCGACGTGTAGTCTCATCGATCAAGCAACCCCGTTCAGGGGTGCCACATCAACTCGTTCGGGCGACGGCTCCGGCCGGAGGCAGTAGGCTTGGCACGAAAAAGCAGGCTAATACTGGCTTGGAATCACCTTCCTGCTCTCTTTTGTGGGAACCTGCGCTGTTTGAAATTATTGCCCAAAGCCTGTTTGAACATCTTTCCGAATGGAAATTCGACTTCCGGAGCTGTACCCCAGTGCAGAGAGAGGCGCAGAACGATTCTGTGAAGATGGTGGGTGCGGAGTTCGATGAAAAGTGCCTTTCGCAGTACGACAGTGCGACGCTGGTCAGCCACATTGTCGAATCATGCAAGCTCTCATTGAACGTGTCTCTGCTGTCCCAGAACCTAGTAGCAAAACACTACTCGCGGGGGAAGGAAGTGGACGTGCTTGAGGCGATGGTGCGAGCAGGTCAACTTGGGATCAGGGTGCCTTGCATCAGACGGACGGTCGAGAGGGACAACGACTTTTACATCATCATGGAGCGGATTCATGGGCAGACTTTGGAGGAAGCCTGGAAGCACATTGGCTGGCTTATAGCTCTGCGTCTGGCATTTCAGCTTCGCCGGTTCGTACGTCGGATGAGAGAGGTGACGTCTTCCACTGCCGGATCTCTCTCCACTGGGATGTGTCGGTCTTTCTGGCTGGAGGATTTTTATAAGCTTCCTTGCCATGCTCGTCCAGAAGCTATTCCAGCGTTCATCCGCTTTTGGCTTAACTTTGTTCCATTGTCACGGCGAAAAGCCAGTGTACAGCCCAAGAAAGAATTTTGCTCAAAGCCTCAAACTCCATTGGTGTTCACACACCACGATCTCGCTCCAAGAAACGTGGTTCTCGATGACAAACGCCGCCTTTGGCTGCTGGATTGGGACTACTCAGGTTTCTATCCGATTTACTTCGAATATGCGTCCATGCATAACTTCTCTGTACCAGAAAATTGGGGGTGGGCAGATAGGCTGTGCTGGGAAATATTCTCCTGGATCTCAGTTGGATGTTTCTCCAAACAGCGCAAAGCCCTTGAAGAAATCAGGCCTCGGTTCACTCGATTCCCTCTTGGCCGGAAGCACGAGGTTCTCTTGGACGGAGCACCCTCTAACGCGGTCCATTTGAGAAAGCCAGGGATGTGATTTGCATCTCGCCTCCAAGGGTTCGCGAGGATCGATACCACTGGCGGGATGGACCCGGGTGTTGCGGATCAGTTGCTCGGGATGGGAGGCCGGAAGTGATCCAGCAAAGCGAAGGCTACGGGATGGAGTGTGAGCTGATTAAATGCATGTGTGTCACTGTCCTTGGAATTCAATTGGAAGGGAAAGATTGGGGCATCGAAGAACCAAGTTCTGGTTGTATTTGCCTTGCAAACCGCGCTTACAGGACCATAACATCTGTCTTCAATACAACACGATAGTAGAAGTAGGGATGTCGAAGCCTGAACAATTGTTGCATTGTGAAACTGACATACACATCTAACGAATGAATAAAGTCGGCACACTGGGAAAGATCTGAATTATAAAACAATAGCGGTAAACCTGTGGCAGCGAAATTGGGCTTGGGGGTTTCCAGCGCCACGTTCCAATGGCTCCACTATGCGACCCTGTGAATAACCCCAACACTGACAATATAGTTAAAGGAAAGTTCCCTCGTCAACCGCTCTCGCGTCAGACCCGCTGCCCGGTGGATGGAACCAATATCTCGACAGCGAGTTCCAGGCTTCACCTTTGCTACCGGCGGCAACAATGTCGGCACCCTCGAGGTCAGAGATAAAAGTGTAGATCCAGTATCTACAACCCTCTTCGTTCTCCGTGAATCGATATTGATCTCGGCCTAGCTGGGAAACCAGGTCCGTAATGGTCTGCACCGTGGGCTGTCCGAGAGTTGCAAAGGAAACTCTTTGCGTCGCATTGTAGGTAAACTCGTACGTCTTGGATTCGATAACAAGCATTCCTGTCAGTCCGTCTGCACCGTCGCCCGGTATCATGTCGAGCCTGGCCGATCCACGCCCATTTGCTTGAAGGAAGGCAGCTCAGTGGTTGGTTGGGGGGCGACCATCCTCGTCCCCTTTGTTTCCTTCGTTTTGGTAGGCGCAAATGTGAATAAAGGAGACTTTTTTTTCCAAGATCCCCAAGATCAAAATCGCTTGCACCCCAGTTTTCCATGCCTGGGGAAAGAGATTAACCTCCGTCCAGGTCATGAGCAGAGATTCTGTGCGTACCTTGTGGTCGAGCCATGCTTTGGAGGTCTTACACTTTGCCTTGCAGTCAAATGCTTTTGCGACGACTACGCAGTGAGAATGCAGAGACGTCTCCTGAGCGGAGGGCGTGTATTTATTTTCCAAGGTCCCATTGATCAGGGGGGGCGGGGGAGCCCGTTCAATCCTCTACTCTTCAACCACCTTGTTTTCGCTTGAAACACCCCATCCCCGCTCCAACGACAGGCAAACAAGGGACTGTGCATGGCACATCCATCTGTTGCTCTTGTCCAATCGCCCAGCGCCGTGTACAGTGGCGTCCATTATAAAGATATTTGCAAGTAAAAACCCACTTTCGACGGCCGTCATATCATCCACCCTCTCCGGGCGAAATGATATGGCGATTACTCCGGCTTGCTGTGGAACCAGAACCGCACTTTGCTTAGGAGCCAGGGAATTTGTACTACGTTGACATCAACGACGGATTCGATGGCTAGATTGTGGAGGAGTTAGCAGATGATTGTGGCTTCACGTTTTTTTTTTTTTTTTTTTTTGGATCGTTACGAGACAGTCTGTTGTGATATTGTATGGACATGACTGAATTTGCTGGGGTGAGTTTTGTAATGAATATGTTGTTTTAATCCAATAGTCTCAATTGTTGCATTTGGTACGGTTCGTGCAAATTCTGCTTCTACATCGACTGTCGTATGATATCATAGGCTACTTGCTATCCAAGTTTTTAGCAGCATCTATCACGCCGTGGAGATCTGGCTACCCGTCCACCGCTCCACGAGTAATGGCTATCCCGTCATAGAAACCAATCTTATTTGCTTATCTATTTTGCCTTTCCACCAGAATCTTTATATCCAATCTATCTAAGCAAAATTCGTCGAATGAGCTTCAAATAGGGAAGGACTCAAACTTTATAACAAAAATCGTATATACCACGGGAACAAGCCACTTCCCTTCTTGCATCCGCAAGCCTCGAGTTAGGTTCGAGAAACCCTCCCTTAGGGGATTCTAAGACCCCAACGAATCTGCTTGTCGAGTTGAACAGGCCGGAAGGTAAAAGGTTACTTGGCCAATCATTTCACTCTCAAGGGAACATATGTATTACTAGTTCTCTTATGCCTTGGGTTAATGGTTAATATGCTGTCTTTTCGTCAAGTGAATCACATCGACATGCCCAAGAATATCAGAAGAGTGCAACTTAGAGATCCACGAAAGTAGGGATCTTGAGGGGTAGGAGGAATTCCTCGGTCGCCGGGGACGGGGACGTATTTCATCATCCTAACGATTCGCCCAATTTGGAACGTAAGCATTTTTGTTGCTGGGAATACAGTGTCATAGCTTCTCTGGTCTATTAAGGGGTAGAGTAACAATGACTGCTGGAAAGATTGACTGCATTTAGTTTCCAATGGACATTCAATAATCCCTACCAGCAATCACTTACCAGCAACGCGGTTGGCAGGAGCAGTCGGGTTAGCTGTCATGGGGCTCAAAAAAGAGGATTCATATATCACCTGAAAGACCAACGGTTAAATATCAATAGTATCTTCTCCGTATTCAAATTTAATTTGTTTCAAGATACGACGTTCTCTTTGGGCAACGCTATTAAAATCACGAACGCAATGTTAAGTACCAAGCCAGGTCTGGATCTCAGAAGCTTGCATGATGACGTCACAGATTCAGGAGCTTATATAGCTCCGCCTGCTCAACCCTCATCGCCATAACCATCATGAAATTATGGCCATAATTGAATTGGTCGCGAATACGCCTTTCCTTCCCAATTTCCAAGGGTGCCATGTCTATATCCCGTTAGGGTAAGCCGGAAAATAAAGACCTAGAAACAAAATGCCCGATTCGCTCGCGGCCTTCCGCGGCACGACCCGCCAGGAGCTTGTCTATCTGGGGCGGGAACATCTGAAGCATAATCTCCAGCAATCGGACCGTGATACCCTGAATTCCGCCGCATCGAAGCTAGCAACACACACTGCCGTCGGTTCTGTCGTTGGTATTGGGCTGGGAATATGGTTGGGTTTACGGGTCCGGCGAATGCGGATGAATATATTCAATACATTCAAGGTTATGGAGAGGCCCACTCATGTGCAGTTTGTAAGCGGCAGGCTAGGTAGGAATGACAAAGATGAAAAAAAAAGATCTTCCTTAGGGATTATTTGATAGGTTTGAACTAACAATTCCTTCGTATCTACTTTGGACAAGAGCCGGTTCCTGATCTGAGCCCTCTGCTTCGACCCACAATACTCAGCGACATGGCGATGTTTACATTGTTCGCAGCTGGGGGGTTGTTTATGGGTGGAGAAACGGGACTTGTCACTGGCGTTTATTCCGCCCGGAGGACAATAGGGAAGGACCCTGAGTCAAAGGAGAGGATCCAGCGTGCGTTTGAGAAACTGAGAGCAGAGATGCTTCGGCGACAGGCGGATGCGCTTGATGGCGGCCAGTCGGTTTCTGAAAAAGTGACGGAAATATTTTAACTGGTAAAACAGTGTTTTCCAATCGTTTAGGATTCTGGGATGTTGTTCAAAAGTTTTATAGTATATAAAATGATATCCTCTTGCCGTTCAGTCCAACTTTGGTATAGGGGTAGGTTAGGAGCTCTCCCAGTGCACGTGAACCCACCAGCCCTAAGGAAGTCCAGATGAATCCATTGTAAAAGTGGAACGAACTGTGATCAAGAACGTTGAGATGGAGCCGAGCCAGCCAACTCTTCCCGGATATCCCGGACTTACGCAATAGTTGCATTTTTGCCTGTTGCATCCTCCGTACAATATCTGGAAACCCTGTCATGATTCTCTAATTTCTTTTTTTTCCTAATTCTCCGTTGGCGGCTGAAAACATCGAACCGACCTTGAAAAACTGACCGTGAAGAAACTTGTATGAAAGGCTCGACCGCAACCAACATCTTGGTAGAGATGTTTCATTGGGAGATTACATTGGTAGTAAAACAAACATGATCAATCACCCTTTGTTGTAATATAACCCACCTAAATTACCAGCCTACAAGTGCCTGAAGAGCTTGGTGAGGATTTCCCTTGGAGGGTCTGTTTCCATAATTTGTACTCCCTGTATAGATACCTACTATCCCTTGCGATTTGGCACCCTCAAACTCTCTTTCTTGTCTTTTTGGGACATAATTATTTTTTGGGAAACCTACTTATCCTCAGTAAAAGTCACTGCGAGGCACAGATTTGTCGGGTTATTTAAACTTCGAGGTTCCGAACGGGCTCCCAGCCTTCCCTAAGTTAAACATTTCCCCCAAGTTTTCGCCTTCCCGGATAAGAGCGCATCTTTTGTCTCCAACTACTCCTTGAACACCAAACGCGTTTGACTTCTTGACTACCAGTGTCCATGGGGTTTGAGCAAACACCCTTTCGGCCCCTATCTTTGGCTCCGATTACAATCGGCGAGCAACGAAGGGTACAATGCCGCAATCAAAATGGCGAAAGACGAAAGGATATTCGAAGCGCGGATTTGACAAGGCCTGGAATACTTTGGACAAGCTTGGTCCCCCGGTGAATCGCCTGTCGAACAAACTCGGTGCGGAGGCTTTCTGGCCCACAACTCTGGATAAGGAAAGTGATAAGGCAGCTCGTATATTGCGAGGTTTTTGCAAAGATGGATTCTATACGCAGATCGACAATGAGAGCGAGGCGACGAACGGGACAAGTCCGCGTACAACTTCTGAAGATGGAGGTGAGGGATACAAGGATACTGGGGAAAACAACAAGAACACTATTGACAGGCCAAAGGGGAAACAAAGGGTTGTAAAAAAGATACCGTCTGCTGTTATCAAGCAGGCTAAAGGCTTGGCAATATTTACAGCAATGAGAACAGGCCTTTGGCTGAGTGGAGCTGGAGGTAGCGGGATTCTTGTCGCGAGGGTCAAGGAAACGGGAAAGTGGAGTCCTCCGTCAGGAATCATGTTGCATACCACAGGACTTGGGTTTCTAGCTGGAGCCGATATCTACGATTGCGTGGTTGTCATCAATACTTACGAGGCGTTAGAGGCTTTCAAAGCGGTACGATGTACACTTGGCGGGGAAGTCAGCGCTGCTGCTGGCCCGTTTGGTGTGGGAGGTGTGATGGACTCTGAGGTACACAAGCGACGGGCTCCGGTGTGGACATATGTCAAGAGCAGGGGGTTATATGCAGGGGTTCAAGTAGATGGTACGATCGTAATCGAGAGGAGCGACGAAAACGAGCGTTTCTATGGTGAGCGAATCGGTGTGGCTGATATTTTAGCGGGTAAAGGAAGGCATCCGCCATCCTCAATAGGAACATTAATGGAGACAATAAAGGCAGCTCAGGGCGATACCGATGTTGATGAGACAATGCTTCCACCTCCAGGTGAAGTCCCTGGAGATGCTGATGTGGAAACCGATATATTCGGTATTCCCCAGCCTGAGGATCAGGATCCGTTTGGCGTCATGGCGTTAGAAAAGGAGGGTGTACTAATTCGAGAAGCTGGAACGAAGCGCATAGCCAGTGCTGATATGTTTGCATTCCGACCCAGTCCGTCGAGCCCATTACACAATCGATTTTCAAGATCGAGTATTGAGAGTTCTCCGAGGGCCAGTTGGCGGAGCAGCGTCCAGAGCACTGCAAGCGCTGACAGAGGCACACAGACGGACGATTTCGTCTATCAGCAACCCCCAAACACTCCCCCAGCCACTCCACCAGGGACTCGCCGACCTTTTTCAGATAGTTTTAAAAGGGTACCATCGGTGAATCACCATATCTCGTATGTGGGTAACTCTTCTAGAGTCGAAAGTATGCCGCCTACCTCCAACCGGGGAGGATCCCTCGTTATTCAGGATCAATCTCTCCCTGGAGTGTTGAACCAAGCTCATCCTACCAGCCCGTCTTTCGCCCGTGCTCGGCTCATTACCATTCCCAAACGCACTCCTCCCCCATTACCACCTCGGAATGCCTTGCGTATCTCGTCGATAAGTGAGCCTGGTCCTGGGGTATTAGAAAGAGAAACAGTGCCTCCAATTGGAAGTTATGCGGATGCTGAGATACTTGAGGTACATGGAAACAATAAAAATGGCAAATCTATGAAGCATAGTGCAGAAGTGCCATCAAATCAAAACAATGACTCGTTAAATAAATACGAGTCGATTCAAGATACATGTGAGGCAAAGGCACCTAAAGAAGAACCTAACCCCGCAGAGGAAAAGGAATCGTCCGACAGAGACCATATGGCAGGAAGAGACGAATTACAAGAAAATGGAATTTCGGAAGAAGTCCTGAATAAAAATTCAGCAAACCTGTTGGCTGAAGAGGAGGGCGCCTGGGAAGACACATTTCTAAAAGAAATGGAGCGGATAGAAAACGAACGAACAGGCGAGGAGGTGGAATCCGCACACGAAATTGTAGTTGCTCAATCTGATGCGCAGCCGCTTCAGACAGAGTTTTCGGGCGAGCACAAGGAGGAATTCCATTCAATTTCTACGTCTCCAACTCCTCCAAAAATGGGGAAGAAGACCCGGAACAAAAAAAAGTGCCAGGCTGAAAATGAAATGAGCAGTTGACGGGATATGCTCAAATGGTTAAGCGGCGTAAGCGTTGTTATTCTTGGAGAAGGAGTAGTGGGCGCGTTTCTCCGCATAAAGTGATTTGCATCTTATTGACATTGGCCTCGCTTAGAATCATCTCGTTGTCTATATATTTCATGTCTCCTGAAGGAGGTATCCGCTCAAATGCTCCATATGCCTTTTCTCAAGCTTAAGCATACGGGATTGTCGTATCCTAAGGGTTCCATGGTGACTAGAACTGTTCAGCCGGGGTCAATCTGTCGTCAGTAAATCGGGAGGGGGTCCCAGACCAGATGAATGGAGCACTGAAATAAGTTCTCAGTCCCCCAGGAGGTAGTTCAACATTGCTCGATGCTGGAGGATTTATTTTCCTTCAGAATTCTGCCTGGAGCGGTATCACGTGGCTTCATGCTGGTCTGGCAATCACATGGGGTCCAGCCAAACCCTTGTTGCCTATATCTTGACCACGGCCAAATTCGCATCGATGAGCAATGGGAAGCCCGTTGTGGCACCACTTCGCTGGAACCGACACTGTGGAAGCTCCCTTTCTGCCTGGATGGAGCCAGTTGATGTGCAGGTGCCTTTGAACTGAGATCTCTCCCGCCATGGTTCAGCTGGAGTTTGTAGTGACCATCGCCGATTAGCTCAGGGGCTTCGTTTGCTGGAGCCAATCACTGCGCCGCTGCCGCCTGGGTTCCAGCTGTTTCGGGCCAGCAAAGCTTGCCAAGTTGTCAGCCAGCGGAAGACCAAAAAGAATTTGGCGGGTCCTGGGAGCTTGCTTTTAAAAGGGCCCTCGGACGGCCCTGGAGGAGGAAAAATCATTCTTTTACTTTTATCAACAAAAAATTCTCCTTCGCCATTGTTTGACTTTGGTGTCAATTGCTGCCCAGCTTGTTCTTCTAATTGCTGAAATGGCGTCTATTTTCAAAAACCACGTCATCGCCCTCAGTGGCACATTTCCCATGCATAAACAAGGTGTGTGTTGCTTGAAAATGGAGCAACTGAAAAGGAACCCTTCAAAAATAAAGAAACCGGGACGGATCATCATTTGGCCTTTGCATTCGAAGATGCTAACTCAGCCGATGTTTAGCCGTTCTGATAGACAAGATCGAGTCTGGCGGTGGCACCTACAGTGCAAAAATTGTCGACACATGTACACATCTTGTTACTACCCAAAAAGACGTTGATGACAATAAGCCCAAGTGTGAGAAATTCCCTTCCTATATATATATTTTGCTTTCTATCTCTCCAATTCTAGTTGTATCTCTTGATTTAGTTATCTATTGGAGTTGAGAGGATTCTCGATGATGCGGAAGTTGGCCGAAAGGTCATGTACTGCATTTTGTGTGTACATGGAATATTGCTAACAGTATATCAGGTAAACAAGCTGCCTCGATCAGTGGTTTGAAAATTGTCTCCTGGAACTGGCTTCTGGATTCAGCAACAGACGGCAAACCAGCCTCGGAAAGTTCTTATCTCTTGGCAGCAACCTCAGCGCCCGCACCAGCCACAAATGGTAGGCCTTTAAGGTCATCTAGAACCAAGCAGCAATCCAATGATACCACTGCCAATGCCAGCCTGGATGATGATAACGATAAACCTGCCACAAGTTCCAATGACTCTAAAGGCAAAAAACAGGCGGCCAAGTCGAAGGCCAAACGCCCTCTCGCGACAGACGATGACGAAAACACTACCACGTCCAAGTCGCAGGGTGAGCCCCCGGCGAAAAAGCAAAAGGATGCCCAGAAGGCGTCTTCTCCAACATTAAAGGTGCCAGTTGATGAAAAATTCAGCTTCGCCGGTAAGTACCGTTCTAATCAGGGAAATAAGCCCATACTCATGAAAGTAGCAGACTAACGTTTTACTTAGCGACTCATAAGGTATTTATTGACGAAAGTGGACTCATCTATGACGCGGCATTGAACCAGACCAATGCCAGTTACAATAACAACAAATTTTATCTCATTCAGCTGCTAGAGAACAAATCCTCAGGGAAATTTACCACATGGACGCGATGGGGTCGAGTTGGCGAAAATGGGCAATGTGCTTCTTTCCCTGGACTGACGCTGGACCAAGCGAAAGATGTGTTTGACAAAAAATTCAAAAGCAAGACTGGCTGTTCTTGGAGTAATCGACTTTTAGCATCCAAAGCTGGAAAATATACCTATATTGAGAGGAATTATGAGGATGATTCAGACGACGAGGGTGAAAGTGAAAAGAAAGGAAGCAAAAAAGCAAAGAAGGAAGTCACGGAAGAAGCGAAGATACCAGAATGCACATTGTCGCAACCCGTCCAGGAATTTGTTAGCCTCATTTTTAACCAACAGCACATGCTTTCAACCATGGCCAGTATGTCATATGACGCAAATAAACTACCATTGGGAAAGCTGAGCAAACGGACTCTCAGTAGAGGCTTTGAGGTTCTAAAGAGCCTTTCACAGTTGGTTGCAAACCCGGCATTAGCCGTGCAAATACATGGTCGTCCATTTGGTGCCGCGGCGGAGCATCTGAGTAACCAATACTTTACTCTCATTCCTCATGTTTTCGGACGTAATCGACCTCCTGTTATCGGTTCTCTGGATCTGATCAAGCGTGAAGTCGAACTGCTTGAAACCTTGACTGACATGGAGATTACCAACGAGATCATGAAGGGTGCCAAGGCGTCCGAGACTGGCCTCCATCCGCTTGATATTCAATTCGCAGGGCTTGGCCTAGAGGAAATGACACCATGTACGTATTCGACAGCCATTCCTTGCTTCATATTCACCTCCACAATGCTAACTACTCCTTTAATCATCCAGTGGACTCAGCTACAATAGAATACAAAGAATTAGAAGATTACCTCGTGAAGTCTCATGGCCAAACTCACCATATCCGTTACAAGGTAAAACATCCTTCAAGGACCCAAATTCTCAAGAGTTGGAGAAGCAACAAAAATCAACCAACTAACAAAATTCTTAGCTGAAACACATTTTCCGCGTCGAACGCCATGGTGAAAAGCAACGTTTCGATACCTCCCCCTTCGCAAACCTATCAAACAGCAACCGCCGTCTCCTCTGGCACGGTTCCCGTAGCACTAACTACGGAGGCATTCTCAGTCAAGGCCTCAGAATCGCACCACCCGAAGCCCCAGTAACGGGCTACATGTTCGGCAAAGGTGTCTACTTTGCCGACATTTCCAGTAAATCTGCCAACTACTGCTGCTCCTCCAGCAGCGGCAACATTGGCGTCTTGATGCTGTGCGACGTTGAGTTGGGAAGTCCGATGCTAGAACTTGTCAACAGCGATTACCATGCTGGCGAGAATGCAAAGAAGCAAGGAAGCCTGTCTACGCTAGGTAAAGGTCGGACAATCCCGCAAGGCTGGAAAGATGCGGCCTGTGTGCACAGCGATCTGAGTGGGGTTCTTATGCCGGATGTTTCGACTCCGCCGAAGCTGCAGGACGATACGAATGCTTGGCTGCAGTATAACGAGTATATTGTTTATGATGTAGCGCAAATTCGGGTGAAATACCTGCTATATGTACATATGCAATGAGATACGTATGGGATGAGGGTTTGGGCATCAACTGGGGAGCGGGGGGGCGTTTGAGCACTGTATGTTGGGATCGATGCATTGTGAAAGTGGCGGTTGAGATGAGGCTGGTCCAGGAAAGAACAGGACCTGACATTCTCTCTTCGACCGTCATAGAACCCCCTTTTTTTTGGTTGCTCGCAATTATCTCAAATTGCTCTTCATTTATTTGGTACATTTCTCTGTTACATTTTTGCAAGCTAGGATAGTTTCTATTTCGTTCTCAAATCAAATCATCACCCCCTCTTCAGCTTCATACTGCCAAAAAAGCATCGATAGCTAAGCATCATTGCGCGGAGTTACGGGGTAGCAGAGTCATGTTATCTTATAGTTATACAAAGGAATTTGTGCACCTGTTTGACCCGGCAATTTCTAATGCGCCAGGTAGTGAGTTGTCTACATTTCGCGCTTCAGAATCACCATTTACCATGCCGCGTATCCTTTGTGGGTGGAAGTAGAAACAAACGGAGAGAAGAAGTAGAAAGAGCACTTTCATCATCAGCAATAACTTAATTTTATTTCTACTCTGTCAATGAAAAGAAAAAGCTTCGTTTGAATGTCGAAGAAAATAACCCATTCAATCGCCAGCTACTCATACTATCACTGCACTGCGCTTTGAAATATATAATTGCATGCGTCCTTCTCCCTCCGCTTCCATTGCCACAATTTCCAGCCTCATGTTTTTTAAGAACTCACACGGCAAACTCACTGTTTCAAAGGAGGAGTGGGAGTGAGGAAAGGAGAAACAGAATTAAAGCAAATAATCTGCTGAAAGAAGACAAGAAAGAAGAAAAACGAAAGGAAACGAAAATAAAACGAAGCGGAGAAACAGGGGATAGAGAAACGAAATAAAATGGACTGGGGGTTTTTTTTTTTTGAGGGGGGAAGGGGAGGAAGGGGCAAAAGAGAGAGACAGGTTAACTATGTACTCAAACAAAATTCTCAATTCCATACTCAATGTTCCCAACCATGGCTTTATTCCATTTCACCAATTCACCATAATCCCGTAATTCCGGCATGCGCCTCGTTCATTTATCCTTCTGAAGGAAGGGGTAACAGGGAAGATTGGAAAAAAATGCAAAAGAAAAAATCCAGTTGCCGGTATATCAGGTCCGGGTGTCTTCCGTCAGCGACTAACTCCGTGTGGAAACAGAAGAAAAAAAAAGAAAAGAAAGAAAGAAAGCGGGAAAATACAAATGAACAAAATAGATCAAATGGGCAAAATAGTGCAAAACATGATTTTCCCAAGCCAGGGTCACTCCAACAAAACACCATGCGTGAAGAACGAAGGCAATAAAAAGAGTAAGTAAAAAGGGCAAGTCGTAAACCCAATGCAGGAATATGGACATGACGTCCAACCCTGAATTACTCCAATAGAAGAGTCCTTCCTATGAGACTGGAGTAGAACAAAAAGGTTGATTATCTAGGAGGGAAAGCAAACCCTGCCATGAAAACGAAGATAAATGAACAATTGGAAACGCGCTTGAAATGCACTGCAAACCATACTGTAAGGGAATTAGCAAGACGAGAGAGAATGGGACATCAGAACCAGAATCAAAGGGTGAGGAAGCAGCAAAAATTTACGCAAAAAAAAAAAAAAAAAAGGGGGGGGGGGGAGGAAAGAAAGAAAAAAAAAAAAAAGATTCAGGTGTTGTGCAGTCAACAAAGAAGGTCAGCATGTTCTCTGTTGCCCATCAAGCGCCTGAAGCGCAACTTTCTCTCTCCAGGCCCGAGCGCACACCTCTCATCGTCATCTAAGTCCGCTTCAGGAAGCCACTCGTTAGGCAAATCGGGATAGTAAGTATCAAGGCGCTCCTCTATATATCGCTTCCTCGTTCGCCCGATCCCAAACTCCTGACCCCACTGGCATCGATCGAACTCCATCAATCCGCCAAACATATGATCCATATTTGCCACCCAGATCCGGCCTCCATCAGGTGTGTAGTCAGCCCCTCCAATTTCACCAAAGAAATCGTGTACTTGACGTGTCTGGTAGGTTTGTGCATTGACTATTGCAATGCGGTCTGCTGGCTCGCACATCAGAAGCGTACGTGGGCCACCTCCAACAGGAGAATATCGTAAAGAGCGATAACCCGCTACATCAGACTCGATAAATTGGAGTACTCGCCACATACGAGCATCCCAGATGTTGACTGTTCCATCCTGATTGCTAGTTGCAACATGGAGCATATCCGGCGACCAGGCGCATGCGAATCCAAAGTCTTGATGGCCGACTAGTGGTTGCACCGGTTTTCCACTTTCGCTATCGATTATCCATGCTTCTTTAGCATCGCCAACTATAACGCGTAGTCGACCATCCAAAGAGGTGTCAGTGCAGTTAATTGCACGAGCGAATTTGTGGTTTTGGACAAATTTGTTGGTCTCACAGTCAAGGATTCGAATATATTGATCGTTCGATGATATAATTGCCTGAGGGCTACGACTCGTCCGATGCCTAACAATATCAATATGATTTGTGATTCCGTTTTGGCTTTTAGTGATATAGCCATCCACAGTGTTGTGATCGGTCACGTCACCTCTCATCGCATATTCGCCAGAGAACCCGCCAACTACTGTGACACCATGCTTCGCTTTCATGGTTGAAATTTTGACTGGCTCAAAAAAGGTCGCCGATTTTGACGGATTAGAGAGGTCTATCAGGAAATGTTTTTGGTTGTGAAACGGGGTTACTGTGTAAATTTTGGATCGATGAGCATATTGCACGGTATTCGACGATGTCACGGACATAAGATTGCGCAGTTGAAAATGGGACATTGACGCCTTGTATTTGGTATACATGGTCTTCGCCATGAAGAATTTCTCGGTCTGTGGTAGCCGCTTCGAATACTAACTCATAGATTAATCATTTATCCTAACAATGTGAAAAAAATATAATAAAAGATCTCACCCCATGAGGATTGAATATCAAATTACGGTAGCCTTTGTACCAGCTATCACGAAGGATCCTAGCATCGGACCTCCGGACACTCATCCTTTTTGACCAAGGGATATTCTGAATATCATAAACCTTAAATTGATGCTTCTCAGGACGCGTTATCTTGTGGGGACGAGGCCAATACGAGACGTCTGCTGCTGCATCTGATATCGTGACGTGAGGTCGATCCTTCAAAGCAAGCTGCTCGAGAGGTACCCTTGATCGAACAAGCCATTGCTTAATGAACATCTCGACTGTTAGATTCTTCTCGAACGCTGGAAATTCAAGTCCGTTAGCAAGTGTGTATGTATGGCCATCGCACGGAGCGAGAGGGGCCGCTAGAAGACTGCTGGCAATATGGGCACTGAAGTATTTTAAAACCAATGATGGAGGGACGTAGTAAATTGACTCTTCAGAGGGGCCGTGCATGTAAGTATACTGGTCCTCAGTTAGAAGACCATCAGGGCGTGTAACTGCAGCAATTCTCCGGCTGGGTGGGGTGACTTGTGGAGAGGCTGAAGTCCTGGGCCAGGGCAGTGTTTGATATAATACAAAGTGTGGTGATTCTTTTGTATGATCATGAGATTTCAAAAAAGCGTCCGTCATGTCAAGACCAGCAAGGAAAGTGATCGTTGTGTCATTGACGAAAAGGGCATTATAGGAATCACGAAATAGGAAGATTCCTTTAGATGGTGCTGCAAAAATTGAGAATTGAGAAATGAAATTTGACACGGCTAGCAACATGATGCTATCAGCTTGGGGGTGAAATTCTTGACGTGGGTCGACGGAAGGTCCAGAAGGATATTCAAAACATTTCATGTTACCAAATGCACGATGGATGATTTGTTGGGCCTTTCCAAGGGCTTGAACATTTAACGGAAGAAACAACGTAGAAGGTGGACTAATAAAATGTGAATCCATACTTTCAGTTTGCGGAAACCCCCCGAAATCGAGGTGATCGTCTTCATCCGCGTCGTTACTAAGGGTAAAATTTTGGATAGTGCTGTTGTCGAAATTCGTAAAAGACATGGGTTGAGAGCGTCCATTGGTGGTAGAGCTTTGAGCGTGACTTTGATAAACTCCACTATCATGCACATCGCTGCCAAAGTCAAACATTGGGTTACTGTATTCTGTAGGATCACAACAAGATATTTCATCATCGGTTATGTAAAACTTTTCGGTATCGTTTATCTCCGAATTGGAATCATCGTATGTACTTCTCGAGCTTCCAAATATAGAAGGAACTCGGGGCAACCTGTCAGAGGAGAAACGATACAGGTCAGAATCTTCAATGAGGGTATTGCCGTACGCCGGGTTATCCTCATCATCGGAATCTCCATCATCATCATCATCATCGTCATCATCGTCATAATCATCGTAATATTCCTCACCGCTCATGGAGCCCATGTCCTCATCATCACCGTTGCTCCCCGGAGCATGAGGAAAGACGCCTGGATAGATTGGACTGGTCTCGATGTTGGTGTGATGGGCGAAGGGAGCAGAGGCCATTGAACCGGCTTCCATCGTAAAGAGGGATGAATTAGCTATCAATTGACCCGTAGAATTGGCGATACCAGAAACAGGAGCATCATTCTCAATACCAGCAGTCGAAGAAGGTAAACCTAATGGGGGATGTGTTTGGCCAGAATTGTAATGCTGATGCGACTGAAAACCAGAAATTTGGGACTCAGAATTGGTTTGATGCGATTCAAGTTGAGGGGCCGAAGCAGAATGCTGCACTTGATCTAAGCTATAGAAACCTTCTTGAGTGTCGTAGTCCATCGCTCCGATGGAGCTACCCGGGTCATCAAGTAAGTTGTTTAAGGGAGCAGGGCCGCCCAAAATTCCGAAGGGGTCAAGATTGTGTGAGAATGATGTTGTATCACCTTGACTTGGCAATAAACCCTGGCCCAGATTAGGATGTGCTATCTGCTGGTCCATTGGGCCTGATTGACTGGCTGGGCTGTGTTGTTTGTTGTCGTCCGGCAGCGAGGAGTCAGTCATGACTTCCGTAGCCTGCACAAGAGACGAGGTTATTTGATCATAAAACACGTCGCTTTGGTCGACCATTATGATCGTTTAACTAGACAAGGGGTCGCTACAAAGCCTTTCTCAAGTAGACACCGGATTTCATCGCGTGGGTACTCGAGAAGCAAAGCTCTTCGCGTGTGTTTTAAAACAGTTGTGAGCGGATCAAGGGACTGTAGAAAAATAATAAGAATCCCCTCCAACAAGTTTGCCCCCTGGGAAATGCCATATCTGCACCTCTTTCCAATGATGCCCAGGGCATAAACTCACCGAACTCGATTCGCAAGCAGCAGTTTCCAATGCCGGTAAAGCAGAGGGCAGATGGCGGGCTGCAAAACACGCTACGCGTCAACAAAATAACCACAAAGTATGACCGTGAAAAGTGATAAATTCGGTAAATAAAGCAGAGAGACGGCAAATGTATCTTATATGCAGACTTGGAAGCGCTCAGGAACCGTTGATGCAAGCTCTATGCTGAATGAGCAGCTAAGGGCGGACAAGCACTCAAAACCTCGGAAGAGTGCAGAAGAATTATGGAAATTCAGGAGATTTGTGGGGCCACAAAGGGATATTCCACAATGACCATTTGTTGCCGCCAAAGTTGGTGAAGGCGCACACAGAAGAATTTAATAATGTGTTATGCATCTAAATGGAAAATCTTTGAAGCCATGAACTTGAGCACAAGGCTAAATCGTCCGGTCAAACAAAATGAAAACAGCACCCTATTCAGCATGAACATGGGATATAAGGGTATATATATCCCGGAATAAGTCTTAAAACAAAAGGTTGAAAATGGCGACGTCAATAGAGTAGACGGCTTACCCACTTCCGCAAGAAATGAATATCTAATTATGATGCAAGCTTTGCCACTGAAAAAGAGTTGCCAAAGGCCAAGGTTCTATCTAACAACCAAGTCAGACAGAATCAAGCCATAGAGCAAGATTGGGAAATGCGATGCTGGAAGAAATACTAGTACTAACATGTCTTATGGATTCAAGGAGGACAGGTGGCAGCGAAGAGCAGATGGTCTGAATGAGGCTCTCCAAAAAGAAAATTGAAAAAGAAAATGAAAAAAATAAAGAAAAAAAGAAGAAGATAAAAGAAAAGAAAACAAGCAATGAACAAAACCGTAGAGGGCTGTTCGTTGTAGATGAGATGTGCTGTGGATGAAGAAGCGGGAGCAGGGCGGTTGACGTTGATGTAATGTACCCCCGCAGCAAGTTTTCCTAGTCGAATACATGCTAGCTTTTGGCTGCGGGAAGCCAAGGCCGGAGTCCGGGCCGGGGCAAATGTACTGTGTTAGGCTTAGTCTGGTCTTGGCATAGAATTCCGCGGCTCTGCTACTCAAAGTTCAGATCGACTTCAAAGTTCTACTCTGGATTGTCACTTTCTCCGATTAGCCCGGAGAAAAAGGAATGCAGATCAGCGGTGCCTGGGTCATGTCAAATGCTGCAGCTGGTCCAATCTTTGGGTCACTCCTACAAGAGAATGCCCGTGACGCACATGACCCAGATCATTGACTCGCCAGTTCGTGAGGAACAGCATGCTGCTTCAGAACCCTGCCACACACACTCCAAAAGGAGAATGACAGCAAGACGCTCAACGTGCCCTGGTCGGCCCATGTCATTTTTAGCAAAGGGGGAGAGGGGGAAGAAAGGCGGGGAGAAATCTCATCTTCACACTTTCCCTTTTAGGGATACACCAAGCAAGCTTCGGACAATTGCAGGAAGACATTTGCTATTATTCGAACACTGGAAAATCGCCAGCTTATCTGTTGATCCCGGGAATACATATATCCAAGGAGAATGCAGTTAACACTCAGCGCTGATAAGTTTCGCTGAACCGCCAATATTGGAAGTCAGCTCTCTGCATATCGCTGAAAAACTGACGGAAAAATACATATTTCAACCTCCTGGCATATCATGGCAAACGGAGATGCATATCCGCTAGTCCATATCAGTACTAGGAGCCAACATGCAAGACATCCATCTATGAGATCTATCACTTATATCTTTTCTAATCCCAGCGTTTAGACATGTCAATTTTTACTTGACTCAGACATATCTTGGCAGTCATAGGGTCCAAGGCGTGGGATGCCATGCGGCACATGTGAGTTCCTAAAGAGATATATAATTATTAATTGGGGGGAAGGGCTGAAGTGGTAGCTCTGGATGGAGATTGAATGTTGTACGATGAGCTGGGCTTTCTTACTAGCAAAAATGCATGATGAATTACATATGAAAGAGATGATTCGGATGAGCTTGGAAGCTGTTGCCAACCAACGTTCAGCGACGCTTAGGCCCTCAGAACCAGCCGACATGGATATTTTCAAAGCCCGATTAGCTTAAAATCGAGAACGCTCCACGGCACGCAGATGAGACAAGCTAATGACAAGTTGAATTGAAACAGGGGAGGAAGAGAAGCAAACTGGAGAAAGGAAGTTTAACTTCCTTGAATAAATCATAACCAGGTGCAATTTTATCCGATATCGCATATTATTTTATCATTATAAGAACAATGAAAAGCAGCATAAATGACTCCCACAATCGGGATCGCGCATCGCCAATGTTCGTCGCCTGAGGTAACATCTGCGTCTAGCTTCCCCAAGCAAGAGAAATGGCAACACTTGCAAGAAAATATATGGTTGAACTATCTAAAATTGTGGCACCAAATGGGTTTTTCAACAAAGAACCCCCGTTTTTAGATGGTGATGCTGATGGCGCTCCGGAGCTCGTGGGTGACTTCGTGGGATTCGATGTAGGGCTAGATTTTTTTGTTTCGAGTGGAGACATGACCTGCGACATATCAATGATTGAGTTAGAACTTAATTTGTTCTATGATGATATTGAAACCTGGGAGGCAGAAGGGATTTTGCTCGAATGCTCAAAAAAGAAGAATGATTGCACGAACCCTGTCAACAACCTGGATAACGCCGTTGTTGGTCCTGGGATTTAAATTGGCAGCCATATGTTAGTTGACGTTTTCCTTGAACTGTACATGTGGCATCACCACAAAGGCAACAAAATGTAATATACGCGGCGGGAACAATGACCCAATAATGAGGCGGGTAAGCTGAACTCACAAAACGTTCTTCTTGACCAATTTTGCATCGTTAAAGAAAATACCCGTGGCATTAACAGTTACCAGGATGGTGTCATTGCTAACTGTTGTGAAGATTTGACCGTCTGTTAGGAAATTGGTATAAACCGGTTCCGTGAGAGTGTGGAAAGTAAGCGCCTTCGTCAGATCGCCGGATTCTGCATTTTCATCTGGATTGCCTGCTTGTTCGAAGGCATCATCTGTCGGACCGATGCAAGTAACATTTCTTAAAGTGTCCAGCACAGGTCCAAGGCTGGTCCGCTTCAGTGCCAGGCTGAGAGACGTGAGGTCTTCGCTTTCGATGGTCTCCGTGCAGACCCTTGGAAGGGTAAGGAGACTTTTTTCCACCTCGCGCCAAAATTACTGTCAGCATACCGCAACCAATCTGGCTAAAAACTAATAGACTTATGGAATGGTAACGAGTTCTGTGAAAGTGGCAGATAAAATATCATACCCGTCAACCATATGAAACAGGCCTCCATCCCACTTCCCGTCGAGAAGAGTCACTGTCACAGATTCGTGCAAACCTGACAACACATCGACTTCCTCCTGCTGCCTTTTCCGTGAGCTGCCTGCTGATTGAGGACTCATGATCACAACCTGTCCGTCGTTATTCTCCCCTGTATCGTTTTGAGCGTCCAGTGCGGGTCCTGCGCTTCGATTGTTATACTTCTCCTCCATAAGATCGGTTGGTATCACCAGGCGATTCGGGGGTGCAGAGAGGAGTTGTGCTGCCGGCAGGTTTCGAGATAGGATATGGTATCTCATGATAGCTTCCAGTTCCAAATCTGGGATGTCTGCGATTTCCAAGTCGCCATTGGTAGCACGATAGGCAACGAATGCATCGTCACTGGGAACGAGAAATGTGAGCCGTTGGGAATTATCAGAGGCTCCGGTCAACAGACGAGCAATGTTAGGCTTGTTTAGAAGCAGCGAGCGAAATTGAGACAGCGCGGGATATCCGCTCAAGGCCTCGACCAACGACTCCGCGTGCGAAATGGCGGGAAATAATATCAAGGACAGTAATAAAATGTGCTGCCAAAGCAGTCGTCGAATAATCCCCATTGTAGCCATGGGCTAATTTCTTCTCGAAGCACCGCGTTGCAAAAACTAATTCAGCTTCTTCAAATAACAACCAACGTGAATTCAAAGAATAATTTCTCATCCATAACTTAGGCGAGAGCTCCTAGGTTATATGGTAGAGCGGTATAAGAATATTAAGAGGGGTACAATAATCCCCTGTTGTCCACTGCCACCGCCGGCTGGCCATGCTGGACAGTTATCTGAAGTTCTGTGTCCAATCAAAGCTTGCGCTCTACGTTGGAACCCAAATAACCAACATCCAACGGCTTCCGTTAGGTTTCTGGCTTGCTTTTCTCGATATCATTGGGGGATGAGAACAAGGCTCCTCAGCCTCCGCCACCGAAGAGGAATAACGAACCGAATGCGTCCATGTACAGGATGTCCTCTGACGGTAGTTTTCATGCATACGTGGATTAAGGCTTGCTCCCCCAAACGTTTTTCTACCCGTAATTCAAAGGAAATGAAAATTACACTGTTTACCATGGCTAATTTACACCACCAATAAATTGACTAACTTTCACAAGGAATGGCGCATACTTGCCTTTACATACAAAATAACCAGTATTCAAATGTTGTTTAAATGAATCAGGAGAATATCTGCATTGCTGCTCAACTCTGCGATCTGTGAAATCTCTATAACATGCCCTCTGTGGTGGTAGGATAAATTTATTCATGAGCGAAGTTGGCTGAGGCTCCTTCTTCGCTCTCACAGCAGTCATCATGTCACGGCATCCCTAATAGCAAAGGATAGAAAAAAAGGTCTCCCCAAGTGGCTCAAGGGACTGCGCAAACCAGGCATTACGGGGTGCAAGAAGGCTTCCTGGTACGGGCGGCTTCTCTAGGACTCGCTTGACCTGCCAGGGTCTGATCCTTTAACAGGTAGAAGAAGTTAGATCTCAATGATATGGAAAACCCTCTCTGATGTCAGTTGATAGGCAATTGATTTTGCAACCCTTGGTGGGATTGGAGAAATCAATTTCTGACTAACCTCTGATCAGTGGGGGGATTTATATCCCACACACAAAACAATATCGTCCCGGGGAGTTCGTCCTAGACAAAAATATTTGAACAGTTGTCGTACAAACTTCAGCCAAAAAGATATATCAAAATACACTCTACGAGATTCTGTAAGCGGCCCTAATACATTTTGGCTATTCGCAGTTCCTTCAAGGCATGCATTCGGCACATTCATTTGGTGAAACAACAACGGTTCACGAATTGGGTTACGAGATGGATACATATTTAGACGAAGAGTGTGAAACAGCAGCTGTAGATGCAAATATGGAGAGCGAGCCCTTTCTCGCACCAATCACTAGTAGCACCACATCTTGGGTTGCTCCCAAAGGCTTCATATGGATTGAAATTGGTACGAAATCTTCGGTTATAGCACCCAGCACAACAGCGGTAAAAAATATTGTTTGGTCACTGTCGCTAACCTGCTCTCAACAGCGATATTCGCAAATGTATTCCTATCGGGCTTTGATGGGACTATTACAGCGTCAACATATGCTGTAATCAGCTCCGAGTTCAACGCTGCCAACAATGCTTCCTGGCTGACGACCTCCTATTTGATCACAAGCACTGTTTTCCAGCCCCTGTACGGCCGATTCTCCGATATTTTCGGTCGGAGAGCTTGTTTTTTTACCTCGACCATTACTTTTATGCTCGGTTGTCTGGGCTGTGCTCTGGCCCCAAACATCGTGGTTTTAAATTTGATGCGCGCAGTAACTGGTCTGGGAGGGGGTGGGTTGATGACGATGGGTGAGTTAAAAGCACTCCAAGATTCTAATTCACTTACGGCCCTATGTACGATGGCCTGATTCACGGAATGTATCCAGCGACAATAATAAATTCAGACATGATTCCTTTCAAAGAGCGAGGGATGTATCAAGCGGTCCAAAACGTCTTGCACGGATTCGGGTCGATTTGCGGTGCGTCGATAGGCGGATCGATTGCAGACACGATCGGATGGCGATGGTGTTTCCTATTGCAAGTGCCAGTGTCAATTCTTGCACTAGTAGTCGGTCATCTGGTAGTTATAAACCAGTCACACTATCAGAACGTAAATCGCGAGGCGTCCAAGACCGCACTATCTGCGATTTGGAACCGTGTCGACCTGTCCGGTTCCTTCTTGTTGATCGTAGGATTAAGCAGCCAGCTTGTGGGGCTCGGTCTGGGCGGTAACGAGCTACCCTGGAGCAGTCCCTGGGTTATTCTATCCCTTGTTGCCAGTGTCCTGATTCTAGGACTGTTTTTATACGTTGAGGCGACGACATCAGCCATGCCTGTGATTCCACCTCACATGCTCCGGGGAAAGTTGGCCGTGTCAGCGCAAATCAGCAATGTTTGTGTGGGGTTGGCAGCGTATGCAGTACGTGAAGAGCCCATGCGCTTCTGTACCCAACATTAAAATGTGGGAGAACAGCTACCTCTAACATGAACACAGTTCCTTTTTACCCTACCATTGTTTTTCCAAGTCGTACTGAATGATTCGGCCTCAACTGCCGGTGCGCGACTAATGATCCCTTCTGTCGCCACCCCCGTGGGTGGTGTTATATCAGGCTTCATCATGTCACGATGGGGCCAGTTGGCCAATCTTGTCCGCATAGGTGCATTGCTAATGTTCACTGGCAACGCTCTCGTCACGTTGCTCGGATTCGACTCCGCCAAATGGAAGTACATTACATATATAATTCCCGCCAGCCTCGGACAAGGGATTGTATATCCGGCTATATTATTTACAGTTCTTGCGGCATTTGATCATGCTGGTACGTCTACCAGAATGCATCTCGTATTCACTATTCATATCATTACCTCTGCTTTTATTTACGCTGTATTTTTTTCGGCTCTGCTAATGTTGACACCAATCGATCATCAGATCACGCCGTCTCCGCTTCAACCGTCTATCTAATCCGCTCCCTAGGAACAGTTTGGGGGGTAGCAATCACATCAGCTATCACCCAGAACACACTTAAAAAAGGGCTTCCAGAAGCCTTGATTGTAATACCAGATAAATGGAAAGTAAAACCATTTCCTTTAGTGCTTCTTTTCTTTACCATGCCCTTCCCTCTCCTCCACCTTCTCCAACCCCAACACCCATTCCCCGATAAGATTCATTTCAAACGAACAAATACTCTATAAACGCACCCCGGCTAACCAAACCTCCCCTTATTTCTCTGCCTCCTCTTGGGAAAATTTTCCAGATCATCGAAGAAATCAGACACTCAGTCCTGGCAATCAACAAACTACCCCTGGACGCCCAATTGGCCGCGCGCCAGGTCTACCACGACGGCATAAACCTCTCATTTGCTGTTTCTGCTGGATTTGGCTTTATCGCGACTGTGTCTGCTCTCTTTGCGAGCGGAAAGGGATTGTCGCGACGCGCCAGCAGTGATACGAGGACGACGGCTTCTCATTCCTAGACGAATTTTCGGGAAAAAAAAGGGGGGAGGGGAAGATGTCGCGATGAGATCCCGTGAGTTTGGTTGGATACTTTCACTGTATCGGGCACTTAGAGAGCAGAGGTAAGTGATAGACTTTATTTTTAGATGAAATTTTCACTTTATAGAAATATTGTGTTGTACCGCGTTGTTGAATTGGAGGGAAATTGGGAACGGAAGGTTACTCTGGAGCATGCAGTCGTGGGTTGATGGCAATAGAGCAAGTTTTAATGTACTGTTAGGTGTGAGGTGAGGTTCCAATGATAGACAGACGATAGATATGGATTAGATCTCCATGATGGCACACTTTCCTGAAATCTTACTGTACATGTACTTGGGGGTTATTTCCCGGCTGTTATTAACTCGCCTGTCGGGTTTTCCGGAAAATAAAATACTTAATATCATTGAAGGCAGCGATACTTCGAGAGCAACAAAAGTGAACATTTATCATCATATTCTTACCCGCATGGAAAAAGATATATACAGCTTAATATATACAAACTTATATTATGTACCTACGAATAGGAAATGAAAACGATAAAAGTGCCCCCCTTCTCTATTTCAACAAAGAGTAAAGAAAATGCGTGGAATTAAAGTAGATAGGTTTTAACAAAATAGGAGGTAAAAAAAAGTATATCATTTGCATAGCAGGGAAGGGAATAAATTGAGATTGTAGCATTCCTGGAAATGAATGCTCCTCGCCCAAATGAGGGCGGTGTCACTGAAAACGAGAATTGAAAGATATTGGGATAGAAAAAGCATATATTCGAAAATGGTGCAGGGATAAGAATCAACGTTCAAGGAATACTTGAGCAGAGCTGTTATGGAAACCCGTGCGTGAATAGGGAATAAAAAAGGTAAAAAGAGGGAATGGTTCGGGGATCTTTAAAAGTTAAGTCTAAAAGAAAAAGTATATTGTTGCTTGGCTATGTAGAATCTATCTGCATGGAAGCAGATGAAGGAGAAAAAGTACAGGTATTATGAGGTCATATATTTGGTTGACTGAGAATAATAAACAGAAAAAAAGAAGAAAAAAACAAGAAGATTTACGTATGGGTGTTGGAACAAAAAGGATAATAAGAGGAAACGTAAAGCAAGGTGTCGATAGGACGAAGGAAAGCTTGGGAGAAGGGGAACATAGAAGGTTGTAATACAAGGCACAAAAATAAACGCCCCAAATTGCAATGAATATCGTGGCTCATGCAACGGAAAGCAAGAGAAAAGGAATAAAAAAAAAGCAATAACAATGGGGCAAAAGTGGAACCAAGAAAGAAACATGCGCTAAATCTGGTTGGTATGGCCTCCCTAAATATCGAAACGGCATAAATCCACCGAGGCACGATATTTGTTGATTTTTATGTCTAATAGTCATAGGGTTCGTACATGGATTGATGTGGCGGATAGCCAGATACATTCGTTTGCGATTGCGACCAGTTAGTACCCATAAGTTTCAGACGTCGTTCTAAACGAAGGAGGGCGAAGATGTCAGTTATCAGCGGATTTCATACAGGGTTGCAATTTGCTAAATTAAAAAAAAGGGAAAGGTGAGGGAGGAAACATACCCCTCTCGAAATCACCCCATCGCTTCATAGTAATCTTACTACTGTCAAATTCTCCCTCGTACTCGATTCCGGCCTTCTTCGTTTTCTCCCCTGCCGTCTTACGAGTGTCACCCCAGCTAAAGTCGTCAAATTTCCAATAGGAATAGGTGGGCAGCACAAAGTTCCATATCGGCAGCGAGAGCAGGTAAATAAACATCCACATAACGTATGAGAGGCGGTGGGCGGTCACAACGATTAGGATCGCAGGCAGGCCGAGAATAAGTGCCAGAAGGACCAGAGGGATGACTTGGACAGGCTTTCTGATAATGGAGATGACAATGACGTAGAACGTGAAAGAGATCGCAGCAGGGAGGACCAGAGTTCCCACTAGTTCCATGAATACCACGAACTGCATGCTAAAACAAAAGGTCCCGCAGAGATCTCGGACAAGAACAAGTTCCATAAGGTTATGCACGGTACTGTTGATCCACCTGCGGCGCTGGGATAGGAGAACGCTGAATTTTTCTGGGACGGTAGTTTTGCAGACTGCTTGGGGTACGAAAACTTGTTTTCGTTTTGGGAAGGTCTTTAACATAAGCGTCGACAGGTATCGGTCCTCACCGAGCAAGAGAAGGTTCTTCTTATGAAGGGTGTCAACGACATTCTCCGAGTAATGTTCAACCACGTCTGGATTTGCAAGAATTGGCACCCAGTAGTTCTGCCCTCCCTTGGGAGCTTTGATTCGATACATGCAGAAGCAACCTGGCAAGCAAGTGACACCACCGAAAACTGATTCAAACGATTTGGAAAGATGATGGGAAATGAAATACTCGAACACTTGTATCATCGTAACCCAACTCTCTTTTTTATTGGCGATCTTCGTCTCCCCGCAGAGACCCATGATTTCTGGGTCCTTGACCATAGCAGAAACCATGTGCGTCAAGCTGTCGGGGAATACCTTGGTATCTGCATCAACCATCAGAACAACCTCATAGAAATCGGGTGATATGCCCGTAATCTTCCATAATCCATTGAACATCTCGAATTCGAGCTCCGTCATTCGCTCATCGAACATGACCTTTTGAAGAAACGACATCAAAATAATTTGGCTGTCACGTTTGCCTCGGTTACCCGGTTTACTATTCTGCATCTCATCCGGTGTTCCGCATTTCACGACGACCATCATTGGCACGCGCTGTTGTTTGTCGAGAGGTACAACTGATTGCTCTCCGTAATCATAAAATCCAGTATATATCTTGGCCATATTGTGTCTCTTCGCTCCGCTGGCTACAGCAACATACGAGAAGGCCTGGACGTCCTCGGGAAGGACAGTAAAGTCCTTCATCAGGCTAAGAGTAATGTCGGGGGTAGTGACAGTTTCGCCCGCTCCTTTGATCAAGCCGTCGCAAATGACAACAATCGTCTTGTGGCTATTGGGGTAATCGGTCATGGCGATAGAATCCAGAGTTGTGCGCAGACCCTCCGCTCCTTCAGAATAAGCTGTCACTAGACAAATTGCATGGGCCAAAGGATACCCAAAGGGTTGCCATTCTGGTGGAGGTTGAGGAACCACCGATTCGTTAACAAATCCTGACATGCCCGGTGTTTCAACATCACTAACAGACATGGAGAATGGTCGATCGTGTGCACCAAGCATCAGGCTGGTGCGACTACCAACGAGACTATGCCTATAAGGATCGGCGCTTAAAGTCCCTTGACTGGGGTTTTGGCCAGTCTTGTACATCGGGTTCGCAAGATTCGCATTCTGACTCACCATGGTGGTGGGTGGCGCGCGCTGTTTTGACGCTCCACGATCCATCGCGTAAGGGCTAGTGAACCGAGACGTTGTTGGGAAAATAGCGCTGCTGATTTTGCTCCCGCGTCTACTGCCACGGTCAGGCAAAGCAGGATCTGTCAAACGTGGGCCAGGCTGATAAATGTCGTCGGACCAATCTTCGATTTGCTTTTTCCGCATTGTCGAACTAGGGTTTATAGTCGTCTTCGCAGCGAAACGGCTCGCCAAAAACCACTGAAACGTCAAAGCAAGAACAAATTTCGCCCCAACAACGGATAGAATAAACGCCAACGAGACATAGAGAACCACCTTAGAGGCGATGCAACCGACAGATTCCGTATCAATAGCTCCAACTTTGATGATTTCGGTCAAACATTTAGCCAGTCGTTTGTCAGCGGAAGACTGGAACAAATGCGTCACGTCGGCACCCTTAATCGCTGGATTTGCCTTGAGTTCGTCGAACTGTCGGGGAACGGTAACTTGGCTTCTGTCAAACCAATCTAGGAGATTCAAATCAAGAACGTTACCTGAGTATACGATCAGGTTTCGAGACTTGTTCTTCAAATCATCCCATTTGAAATATACCACTCCAGGCGCTGCTAAGCGGTGATAGAAAGTATTTCTCGCTTTCTCAGTCATATGACATGCATAACCCAAGTACGGTGGTTCGGTAAAATTGGGTTGAGAGGAGCCATCCTGCTTGAAGGGAACGCATGGAAAGTACCAAGCCAGTTCTCCATTGCTGTTCGTTGGCACATTTGAGTTTGGGGCCGCAGTGATAAGACCTTTACATGCGCCATTTACATTTTGGAACAAAAAGCTGGCGTCCATACCACCGTATGAAACAGGAGGATAAGCGACGTTCGATCTATCGGGAATACCCAACGCTTCCGGATGATGAGTGCCTTCCATACTATATGCTTTCCCATGGAAGATAATATATCCCACATCGACCTGGTTTATTTTAAGACGTACACCCGGGCTGCCACAAACGACCTGAGTAAAACCGAAGGTGAGAAATCCAACGAAGGTGCAAATAAGGAGAATGATGCTGATAAGGCCCATTTTCTCGCGCCAAGCTCGTCTTTGAGCCTTCGCGGGCATTCCGAAGCATTTGAGGAGGAAATCAGGACACCAAAAGGTCACCATGCCGCAATATACGTTCCACAAGCTTGGGGGTTTGATAGCATCTAATGCTTCCTGGCGCCTCTTTTCTGCCTCCTTGGCGGCTCTGGATTCCTTCCGCGACAGTTTCCTATGTGTATGTTTCCCCACGTCCCGCTGTGATGGATGACGACCCCGTAATTTTCTCGAACGGTCCCCATCCTCGTGATAGTCGGCACCAGGGTTATTCCCGTCGCGTCTAGTTAGACTCTTGATATCCGTACTTCCTGAGCTCATTGTGTCGGCCTCCCCATTCTCATGTACTGGCTCATTGCCTGTTGTTGAGGGATACGTAGCCATATTTTGCGCATGTTGGCGATAGTGGTAGTTAGGGTGGTTACGATTCATACGGGTTCGTTCAGGTCGAATCAAACTCTTTTTCCGAGACAAATTCCTTGAATCCATTGTCGCGGCTGCATCATTTCCTGGGCTTATTCGAGCAGACGGCTGAGGGTTTCCATAGTAGCCATTGTGTCTCTGCGAGTTGGGTGGCGGCGTTAAGGGGCTATCCGCATATCCACCAGCTTCAAGATCAGGACGCCGTCGATGGGATGAGTCCCGAAACCCAGGTGGCTGGGCATCGCGTCTTAAAGATGAATCGGTTGGCCGCTGAGGAAGTGACATGTTGATGTGAAAAGAAAAAAAAATCTGCCAACTAGAATACAAAATAAACATATCGATTAGCTGCTATTTGCTGGAACGAATGATTATAGATATCAGAAGTCCCCACCGCCGTAGAGTTATAACTAGGCAAATTTTCTACATACCAAAATGAGAAACACCACTGTCGTTCCGCCTGATTCAAAGGTCCAAACTAGTTATCCCAGGGTTCCAAATTGGTGTTGCCCACCACACACCCATACAAAAGTTCAGCAAGATCGGTCGATGCGAAAGTTTTTCGTCCAACTAGCCCTCGAACGGAAGTTTTGAAGACTCGTAGGAGCGTTTAAACAGCCAACATTGGTTTTCAATGGCTGAGATACTTGGTTTGGCCTTACAGGGAAGAATTCCTGCAGGACGTTTGTTTCAAAGATCCCCGACCGAGAAGCGGGCAGACGCAGTGCGGGCGGTCTGCGCTAAACACGCAGAGGAGAAAAGAAAACAACACTCGAGATGTATGAATTTATGGCAACTAATGGACAACACAGAGAGAGAGAAAGAGGAAGAGAGAGTTGGGAAACAAAATATATGAACAAAAGATCGATTTCAGGACATCGCACAAATGGTGACTTCGGTTCAAAACGAATGTAATCGCCTCACAGCATCAAACGTCGAAAGAACGAGGTTTCGACGCTGGATGGCAAGGCTTCAGGAAGAGATCGCCAAGGGTTGTTGGGATGAGAAGCGAATGCTGGCAGTCCTGGGTTGAAGTTGGGGGCTTGTCTAGATTGGGCAATAATGACCAGAGGCTTAGCGGCGTATGAAATTGACGTACTCCGTATTGCTGTGACATTTGTGACAGGTATGTGGCATTCATGACATTTACAATACCAGTAGAAGACCGTTTGGACAATACAATAATACGCGGTAAAACACGATTCCAGGTCCGAATCTATTTTTAACTCTCCATAGTAATTGGCCACTGGGATGTTATCCGCATACAGAATTTCAGTTGAGACGTTGCTGATTTTCTCGGAAGCACTTATTATGGTACTGCACTGTGCATGCATACATGAATAGACTGCTTTCCGTTATCTCTATTATGCTGCAGGGTACAAAATTCTAGCTGTTTTGCAGTCGAAAATTTGCTGGGTGGTGACGAAGCCAGACACTTGTATGGATCAGGTACCGTCAAAACCGAGACACCCAAACTTCCTCCCGGTTGAATCAGCCAATCGCAATACAAGGAAGCATAAAATACCGCGGTAGGCCAAACCTCGAAAGTGTATCATTGCCCCAAGTATGTCCCTTTGACGGAAGTTATGGGGGATTTACCCCTAAGTTGACCCCTAAACTTTGGGCACCCCGCCCCTAAACTAACCATAAATCTTTTCAAGGGGTATGTCCACTCATTTGCAACAAAGTTAACTATTCACACGCATACGTAAATAAAACAGAGTGACATGTAATCATTGATACATACTTATTACGCCCCCTTTTAAAATTACCAGGTTCTAGATCCAGTGCGTCACTCCGAACCCGTCCGACCGGCAAGCAATACTACCAACTTACCCCAATGATCGAAAGTTGTGTTTTTATCTTATATTTACTTGGTTTTTTGCTATTCATTTTTTTCGCTCCAATTGCTCTAACTGCATTCTACCAGGCAAACTCGTGTGTAGAAACAAAAAGTCACCATTCGTTGACTCGTTACAGGAGGCAAAACACAAATTCAGTCCTTTCAGGAACTAGTAATTTATTTAGCACTCTCTCTATCAAGTAATTTAGGGGTGATTTTAGGGTCTGCTGCTTCCCAGCATCCCTAATTCCCAGTTGAACCCTGCGCTAAGTGTGGCGCTGTAATCCGTATTATCCGATCTCAAAATTACAGCCGCGGGGCTTTGGAGTGCTTTTGTCCCTGGTATTCATTTCCAGATAGATTTCAAGCGAGATTTTGGCTTGGCCAGGAAGGGTTGTTGTGGTGATGATTATTCTGATTTTCCTGGCAAACAAGTTTTGACAAAAGATGATATTTGTTTTCTTTTTTGTCCTCTTCTTGACATGCACCGCACCGTCAATTCATATTCTGAAGATATCCATGATGGATGGATTAGATTAATCAAGAGCCGAGCCCGGCCTGGCTATAAATGTAAACCGGCAAGAAAGAACTGGAATCCAAACACGCCCCCTTTTGTTTCCTCCCACAGCGTGGTCTGAGCCACATAACCAGGTTTTCAAGCTTGTCCAAGGATTTCCAGGGAGGGCGCATATCATTTGAATAGCCGTACATATGCATGTACGTGTATACCGATCTACCCGTTCATCCATTCTTCAATCGTCCTGCTCTCCCATGGTTGAGAACTGTTGCAACCCTGTCGTAATCTGCAGCGCAAGCATACCAATTCCTGCGTATAGCGCACTCCTTTCTGTGGACGACGCTGTTGAGTTCTTACTTATTGGTTCAGGGGTTACCGAGAACGGGTCAATCCATCAGTCAAGAGTTAGGGTGGTGGAGAGTTGAACGCGCTAAAAAAGAATTATTGCTACGTTCACTCGCTCCTTTTTGACGAGACTTATCGACAAAAAAGATAACTGGACTTGCCTTCTTTTTGCCTTCCATCTCACCCATCGTTGAAAAATGGTTGAAACGCCCCTTTGAACTGGAGACGCAATCAAGACGATGTGGATTCACGGAGCTTATTATCTCCAACAATTTAGCCTGCTCAGGCCGAATCCTCGACTGACTCAGTGGCTGTAAGGTCACATGACATCGCCTGAGGTTCCAAGGATGTAAGGATGTGGAGCTTGCCACAGAATTTTGCGGAGAAAATGGCAGATGTAAATTGCAGTTTCATGTTCAGGGCGGTGACAGAGCTCATGGATATCCATCGCTATCCCGTTTTCTATTTTTTTTTCGGTCGGTTCCTTTTCATATTCCAGATCCTTACCCAATGGAGATATAAACGTGTATTGTTGCTATGTTGTGAGGTGTAGTAGTGTGTGAAGGGCGATCACTCTTGTATCCTGTAACAGATTATATTAAGATGAGCATTCATGGATCATGGTATATCGATCCAATGGTCACTGCTCGGACTCGAAACGGATTCATCCACAGAAAATGCATTCTCGAAGAGTATTCTTTCATGGCGTATCTGTAGGTAGGGGACTTGATATAATGCTCCTTGAATTCGTGGCAATGAAAACACACCTATCAGTCGCATCACGAGGGACAGAGCGAATGGTGAGCTTGAACAAGAAAAAGAAAATAAATGGTAACTAAAAATAAAAATAAAAATAAAAATAAAAAGCTCTTATTCTCGCGTGTGAGGCAGGACCTGTGAGACTTTGAGCGCCGAGAGGCGCCAAAATCCTCCCATCAGGATCAGATACGCAGTCGACAGTATTCAATATTCAAACAGGGCCACCCAAACTTCCAGCGCTGGTAGCCTTGAACTTATGCTCTTCTCTGGGGATCTGAAATAGGGATGTCTGAGATCGTTTGTCAGAGAATAATGTCAAGCAAAATGTGCCCTGAATAGAGTTCAATCAAACCTTGCGAAATCCATATCTCCAAACCTGCCGCTGGAGTCTGGTTCCCACGCCCTAGTTCGCCCGTCAGTCGGCGTCAGAACTCTCGTGTTTCCGGACAATTAATTCATTTTCAAGCCTAGCTCACTAGTTGCATGTCGTCGCCTGGCCGATAGAAGATTGACCTCGATTGAACCCCCCACCGACGCGCCAGCTCAGCCTCAGCTCCGACGCAGTGACATTCACCGCACACATCCGTGGCGTAATATTCCTTCCATACAACGAGGCCTCGAGGAGCCTCAGAGAGCGCATCGACCAGCGTCATGGAAGCCTGTGCGGCATTGTGAAGTCTCGTCCTTGTTGTCGTCTCTCCATCCTATCCATCCATCTTTCCCTTCGTATCTTTCTTCCTTTTCTTTCACTCTTTCTTTCACCCCCCTTTCTCGTCTCCGCTCATCTTCATCATTGTTCCATTGTTCGCCTCATTAGCTTTGTTTCCCCCCACTCTCGCTTCTTTCACCGTTGCTGGAAAATCTCAAATTGCCTGCTCCGTGCTTCTCCAGGCTCCTGTTCCGTTGTGCATAGGCTTGTGAACTTGAGACGGTCCACCTCCCCTAGGCAGCGTAAAGCCGCATCGATCCGGACCCCTGTCCTTGTCCAGCGTGCACCTCGTCGTATCGTGATTTGCCCTCGAAAACACTAGTCGACCTCATCGTCACTCGCTTCTCCACTCCCCAATTCAAACCTTCAAGCCTGCGGTTTCTTTTACACAATCGGCACCGCGAACCACGTTTGTCCTGCTTATTGTTGACTTCTCCTCTATCCTGCGAGAATCCCGTATTCGTTGCTGTGTAATTTCAGGCTTGTCCAGGGTCTCAATCGTATTGTGGTTACACCTGAGCTTTTGGGAGCAAGCTTGACGATTGTTAGGTCTCAATTGATATTATCTGTCGTGGGTGGAAACTCGCAACTGGCTGAACAACACTGGACCGGCACTTTTGACCTGTCCCATTGAGAGTCACCTTGATTCATTCCCTCTCTCCCAACGGAAAGCAACATCGCCAGAAAGAACAGGACTTTCACACCTGCTGCCTGACTGGGAAACGACAGTGGCTCACCTTCATCGCGGAGGCCTTGCATACCAGGGCATGGCTATTCTCCATGCAGGGTAAAAATTTCTCCACTTCTGTGAACACTGCCTGCAGCTTTCTCAAATTCTCCTGCTAACCACCTCATCTCTGTAGCTAAATAACGAGGCTGTGATATCGGATATAGCCACGAGCCTACTTCCACTTCAGCGCGGCCGTTTTCGTGAATTATAAATTTTCAGCTTCTCGAACCTCCCCATTCCGGCACAGATTCATTCAAGAAAAACTCGATTACGCTTTAGTGGTTGTTGTCGGTCGATAACACCCTCGAAATTTGCACATAATTCACCAGTTATCTCATACCCATTTGGTGCAGCTGTTGGGCTCTTTTTGGAACATCTGCCCCTTCGGACACTAAGAGGTTCATTACCCGGAAGACACCTGAGATATCATTCATAATCTTTCCGCAAAACGAAAGACGCTGTCGAACATGGCAAGCTTAGTGGCCCCAAAGCAAGCCCAGCATTCATTACCCCCTCTCCCTCCAACCCCATCAAACGTCAGGTCCTCCCCTCCTCCAGACCTCAACCAACAAGATCGTCCTCAACTTCCGCTCCACCCTCCCCCGCATCCGCCCAATCAGGACCTAAATCTAATCCTCAATACTATTCCAAAAAGAAAGCCCGTGAAGTTACCCCCGCTAGAAGTTCTCAGTGATGCTGTCATCCACAATTCTCCCGTCTCTCCTGTCGTCATTGATCCATCGTCTGCTCTTCCCAACCCTTCCATTGCCCAAATAGAAGATGTAAGAACCTTGTCTTCCAGCTCCTGGCAATCGGACGAATTGGCGCTGGATAATCCTGGCACAACACAGCTCCCACCGCGCCAGAGCTCTCTTTCACCCACAACCAACCCCACCTCCTACGATCAAACTCTACCGTACCGTCACAGGCATTCAGACAGCATGCCGGAATCCCTACAAATCATACCAGAACGCAACGATTCACTACATCCTGAGCAATCTCATAAAGTTCCAAATATTTCTCATAGCGGAAGCCGGGAGGGATCATCTCGAGGATCTTTTGAAAGCGTACCTCAAGAGAATGAGCCATATCAGCCATTGCAGTATCACCACATGGTATTTGAAGAGAATGGAGTTGATAGAAATGGTCACCGCGGATCAAAGGGTTCCGTAAGGTCCGCATCTGGCTCTTCCCTATGTGGTGAGCCTGGACCAGGGGTATATTCGCAAAACTATCTGACGCCAGGAAAAGGTTCACTTAATGGACTTACAATTCCGCGACCTAATTCAGCCTATTCGTCCACCTCAGATCTTGCATTACGAGGTCGATCCCCGCAACTCTCTCCCAATGCACATGTCCGTGGTGTCTCTACACATTCCGCTGCATCCCCAGACGCTCGACCCCTTTCTTTTGTAGACCTTCTTAACGTACCATATCCTCAACCCGAACCGGGGGCAGGAGTCTTGGAACATACCCATCTACGTCCCTTGGTTGGAAACAACGCGTCCCTCCTTAGCCACAAACAAACCTTCGACATGTATTTAGCCAATGTCAAGAAGACAAATGACCCCGCCGCTCAGTACGAGTTTGCTGTGTTCATGATCAATTCCAGCCAAGCAACCGAAGATAGCCAGAGCTCCACAGACCAAGCCCATCCGGAGAAATCGAAAGATATAACGAAAGCCAGCCTCTTACGAGAAGCTAAATCTATCCTGCAACGCCTTGCTGACCGGAGTTATCCCTATGCCCAGTACTATCTAGCAGATGGCATTGCTTCCGGTCTTCTCAACAAAGGCAAGCCTGACTATGATAAAGCGTTTCCACATTTTGTTGCAGCAAGTAAGCATGGCCATGCGGAGGCTGGCTACCGTGCTGCTCTATGCTTTGAATTTGGCTGGGGAACCCGAAAGGATGCCGCAAAAGCCGTCCAATTTTACCGTCAAGCAGCATCAAAAAACCATCCGGGGGCAATGTCAAGACTTGGGCGTGCATGTCTAGATGGCGAAATGGGCCTCGTCAACCGGTACCGGGAGGGTATCAAGTGGATGAAGCGAGCAGCAGAGTCTGCAGACCACCAATACAACTCTGCCCCGTATGAACTTGGTCTGCTCCATGAAACTGGATACGGAGATGACGTTTTCCAAGACGAAGCATATGCCGCGCAACTATTTACCAAATCCGCAGAGTTAGGCCATCCCGACGCAGCTTACCGACTAGGCGATGCTTATGAACACGGCAAGCTTAACTGCCCTGTTGATCCCGCGCTGAGCGTACATTTCTACACTTGTGCTGCACAATTGGGACACGCCCTGGCGATGATGGCGTTGTGTGCGTGGTTCATGGTTGGCGCAGAGCCACTGCTTTCAAAAGATGAATATGAGGCATATGAATGGGCTAAGAGCGCTGCTGAACTAGGTAAGTCCTTGTATCAAAAAGGAAGGGAAAAAAGGAAACAACAATCCCCTTCCCCCTCCTTCAAAGAAAAAACCATAAAAACCTCTCATTAAGCCTATTTAAATGATTTTACGCGTCACCCGCCCGAATTCTTTATATTTCAACTGACGTTTTCACCACCCCACCTCCGGTAAATGTCAATTAGGACTTCCAAAAGCACAGTATGCCGTTGGCTACTTCACAGAAATGGGCATCGGATGCCGCCGCGACCCCCTCGAAGCCAACGTCTGGTACGTCAAAGCAGCCGACCAAGGCGACGAGCGAGCGAAACACCGTATCGCGGCAATCCGAGCAGCAGCATCCGGTGCTGATCCTACGTCCGCGGCGTCGAAGCGGCGAAATAAAGGAGGTCAGCAGACTGGTTCTCCAGGTGAGCCTTATTCTAGAATTCTCTAGAGATGATCGATTTGTTTCAAATCTTTCCGTGGATTTTTTACTAATAAAGGAAACAATTGTGTATATGCAGATGACAAAAATGGAAAAAACAAGAGATTCATGATATTTTGATTCATTTCTTTTTGAATCCTGAACTTTGTTGCTCTTCATAGTAAAAATCTACTTTTCATGGCCCACATTCCACCTACATACTCTACCTCAAATATTTTCCATTTGGTGTCCCTTTGCACGTTGGTCATTGGGGAGGAGGGAAAAAAATAAGATACAAGAAAAAAAAAATAAAACACGAATCATGTCTGGTACGTTGCAAACCGCATATAATTTAACATCGCAATATCCGATGTCTAATATACCACCACCCACCCCTTCACATTAATGCCCTAACCCAATAACACCCTCCTACCTATAATAATAATAAGGGGCCCACCAGCGACATTAGCTCTCTCTTTTGAAAAACCTTTGAGCTTGGTATTTATGTTGATTTCAAGTGTTCACTAGTTTGAAGCATTTCCGATCCTATTTCTTCTCACAAAGCTAACATGCATTGATCTCTCGTGGCTTCTTTTGGTTTTGTATCTCGTGTCTTTCTTCTTCATTTGCTCGCTTGTTCGGTCCTGTTTTCTGTTCTGGCATGGCCCTCAGGTTACTTTGTTTACTGGTTTTGGTCCTTTTGTTTCATTTTTTTTGTCCCCCTGCCTTCCGTTGTTTTTTTTTTTTTTTGTTTTTTTTTCCCCTTCCAAACACCTCCCCATGTCTGTAATTGATTATTATCAGGTTATATACTCGTATATAAAAAGACAATTTAATACCAAATATTTTAAAAAACTGTATCAACACAGGGTCCAGAAAGAGGAGAAAGAATAAGCACTCTCTCTCTTAAATTGTAGTCTCCCTTATTGAAGATGGCGGGAAGAATGAATGGTAATGAGCTCAAACATCCAACACTACAAAATAAGAGCTGGTTGTTGTTCCCTCAATGACTTATCTGAAGTTCGCCCCGCCTAACTAGTTATTGATTGTCGAGAAAACCAAACGAGATATTGTTCCCATCAAAGAAACGTTGGTCCGGTTCGGGTCGGAACGGGAAGATGATTCGGCAACATCCCGTGCCCTTTTCGTGCGCTGGGGGACATCTTAATCGCAGGAAAAATAATTTTAAAAGTTAAAAAATAAAAGTATATATATAACAATAAAGAAGACCTTTTTATACTAAAAACGAAAGTTGGCTATTTGCTAGAAAAAAAATAGAATAACTAACTATACAATAGAATCTAATTAATCATCAAAAGTCCCCTTGTCCCAGTTCATATTCGATGCTCGCCAAAATTAACTCCGACGCTGGATGCTGCAAAAAAAAAATAATAGAGACTCCCCATTGCAGTGAAAAATGAAAAAGGGAATTAGAAGGTCGTAAGAGAAGAGAACTTCCACGTAGTGAAAAGAGGGAGCTGTCCGAATATCGTCCAGTGGAAAAGGGGGGGAAAATTGGTTATATATAAGGAAAGGGGAAAACCAAAGTCATGTACGCATGGCATGCATCATAGTGAAAGGGCGTAGGGAAGAGAACCTTTCTATATTTATTTAGAAGGCAGGTAGCTGACGAAGGAAAACTCAAACTCATAATCACGACGAACTCGATAGTCCAGCCTCTGGATTCGAGCTACTCTTCTCCTTCTCTCGGATAGTTTGATCCGAGTCGATCACCATAGTCAGAGAATAGCTCTCCGTCAAGAGGCTAAGGAGCCCCGCAAACCCGATGAGGGCACAGCAGACAGCCCACACGATGCGCAGGCTGTCCGTGTACGCTTGTTTCAGATGGTGCTTCGCTGGTCCGTCCTCCATGGCCAGGACCACCCGCACAAGCCCAGCGGCGTCCTTGCTCAACTCCGCCGCGTTGCTGGAGAACTCCGGGTACCGGATCAGGTTCTTGTGCATCTGATTTTGGAAAATGACACCGCCCACGGCAACGCCGATGGCTTGTCCGAAGGCACGGAAGAAGCTGAACATCGCGACTGCGATGGCCATGTAGCCTGGTCTTGCGGATGCCTGGATTGCAAACCCAAGGGCGGGGAATAGGAGACCCAGGCCAATTCCGGTCGGGATCATAAGGAATATCCAGGCCGGGATGCTGGTGTCGACGTCGAGGATGGTATTAAGCCCCAACCCCAGCGTAGCCAAGGCGAATCCGGTCCAGACTGCCCAACGCCAGTGTCCTGTTTTCGTGACGATAATACCAGCCACGGCAGCGACAGGGGCAACGGTGAACGACATGGGGAAGAGGGAGACTCCGGAAATAATGGGGGTGTATTCTTTGACAGTCTCAAAATAGAGGGGCATGTAATATAAGCCACACCAAAGGACCAGGCCGTGTAGAGTGGTCTCTATGTAGCTCACGATTGCTGTCCTGGTTGAAAAGATGACTATGGGGATAATGGGGTCATGGGCAAATTTGTATTCGTAAATCATCGTCACGACAAGCCCAATGGCGCCGATGATAAGTGGGACATACGTCCTCCAGGAATCCCATTCGTACATTACGCCACCCCATGTCACCGGGATAAGGAATGAGGTGGTGCTTCCGATGAAAAGAACCGTTCCGACGTAGTCGATACGACGGAGTTTCGACAGTAGCGAGGAAGGAATGAAATTCAATTTCAGGAAGAGGACGATGAACACGGCTCCGACGCCAATGAATGGGAAATTTATGTAGAAAATCCACCTCTACATCCCCAAAATTGGCAAAAGGCGGTCAGCATATCGTCCCGCAGTACATGGGAAAGAAAGAAAGAAAGAAAGAAAGGTAGAACCCTCGTCGTGACTAGATTGCGGGAAATTTTGGCAGGGGGTCATTCGACTTACCCATGAGACACTTTGAGAAAACCCTCCCCCAAGGATTGGGCCAGTAACTGAACCAACACTCCACATAGCACTGATGATACCGAAATAAGTACCCCTCTCCCTCAGTGGAATAAGGTCGGTTATTATAATCTCAGTAAGGGCAATGAGTCCACCCCCACCTATTCCCTGGATGGAACGCCCCGCTAGCATGTTGGTGAAGTTGTTTGCGAGGCCAGCGATAATGGTCCCAACAAAGAACAAGGTGAGTGAAACGAGAACCAGAGGCTTGCGTCCGAAAATATTAGAGAACGAAGCGAAATTTGGTTGGAAAACTGGCAAGGGCAGTTAGCGTTGAAAACAATGGTATAACAGTAGAAGTTTAGTGATGGCTGATAAAAGACCGATATTCACCTGTTGAGCACAGCAAGAAGGCGGTTCCACTCCAGAAAGCCTCAATGGCGGAACCATGTAATTTCTCCGCGATTATCTACGGATATGATTTCAGCAAAGTCCTTACGTATGCTGATAGAAAAAAAAGAAAAAAGAAAAAGAAAAAAACAGAGAGATAAAGTTGACAAATGCGGGTAGCTTACCGGTAACGCGACAGATATGGATGTGCCATCCAATGCAACCATCAAAGTGAGCACAGCCAGAGTCATCAAAACAAGCCATGTTCGGCGAGAAGGGCGAAAGGGCTGTGCATCCGAAGTATCGGACAACGAAGAGGAAGAATCGTTCTTGGAACTATCGAGCGTTTCTTTGGTGAGATCCTCGGGATGCCCTTCTGAGGGTATAGTATTTAGGTCTGCCATTTGTACAGTACATGCACTTCTGCCGTTGGCACTTGAGTAGGAAGCTCTGGTTTGTAGCAAAAATGGGAGAAGGAGAGAAAGTTTTGTAGTCTTCAACTTGTAGATATAATAACCGAATGATTTAATACTATGACGAGCTCCTAGGATTGTCCATCGAACTGCAGAAGTCTGTACACAAGAGAAATAAATAGGAGTGAGAATGCTCGATTCATGAGGCAGGTATTCCCATCTCGGGGCTAGTGCAGGTATTTATATAACGTTTAAGTTATACGAACACCAAATATAAGGGAAGGGGTAAGAAAAGAGAAACGTCATTTTGCGTCAAAAGACGAAGCGATTGATTAGATGATCAATCGGGGGTTGAGATATCACGATTGGACCTTCTGTGGAAGCGGACTTCACATTCCTCCGTCGGGTTCTAGCTGGGTTAAAGCTGGAGGGGCATCAATATAATGGATCTGCATGGCCTCTCATGGCTTGAAAGCTTGTATCCCTAGACTAGACCAAAAATTCAACAGGGGACACTGGTAGTAAGCAGCACGGTGTCGGGTCAAAGATCAACCTTGGTTTCAAGAGCTTCGCAGAGCTTCGACGAACTTCAGAGAGGATCACGAATCGCATCATACGGCCTTGAGACGACACAACGCCGCAAGCCGAGGCATCTGGCCACGGAAAATCCCCTTACGTGCGAAATAACTCGGGCACCCGCCACGAGTTTCGTGAAGCGGGAGACCCAACGCACACGGGAGTCAGCAAAACTCGTTAATTCTGACTCGTATTCGGGAAAACTCTGGCCCGAGCTTATTGTTTGCCGACGGGCGAGATGGGTGCATGCTGCGTCGCTGCACAATTCTCAAAGGAAAGGGCCTGGACAAAAATTCGCAACTCTGACTCCAGGGTTCCTGGCAAGGATCGATCCGTGTGTAACTGCTGGCCAGCGCTTGGCCAACTCCGATTAGCCCACACCGAGCCGCTGTACGAAAGCGGTTCAATGTTCGTCCGGTTCTTCGCCAGTTCGGCCGTTTCTCCCTCTACGTCATTAGGGTGGATTTGTGATCTGGCTTCGCTTCGATTCGCAACCAGGTTACTAATTCTAGTTCTCACATTCACATTAATCAGGCATGCAAGACGTACAAACTCGGGAGAAGAATGGAAGCACGATCGGATTAGACGATACGTACATGTTCTGAGAGAGCAGATAAGTAGTCACCCAGCACAAAGTCTGACACAAGAGGGAAAAGGAGAAGCCGGAAATTAAAGCAGAAGTTGAAAGAAAAGAAAGATATGGATGTTCGCTTCACTAAAACACACCCATATTGTCGATTAGTAATACATTCACTGCGGACTTCCTCTTACGAATTAGCGTGCTACTCTTTTCAACAACAACCACTTTATCCTCTTCTTCACGAGTAGAGCAGATACGACCAGAGAATCAGAAACATGACCAGTGTGCGTGCTTACAATCACATTAAAGTTGAGCAATTGCATACCATACTCCGTACTGCGTAAATCATCCTATTTCCCGCAACCTCTCTGTCATGGTTGGCTACGATTTTGAACCATCGTCGACCTTCCAAGTTTCCAAGTTCCCAAGTTCATATAACAACACAAAATGATTATTTATGTGCGAGCACAAACAAATAAAAGTACAGAAGGCTGTTCTTTAAAAAAAAATAGGACTCAAAAACATGCGAAACGCGAGTTAAAAGGTAAAGTTGAATGGAAATAAAATAAATACATATCATTACAAATACAACACACACAGCGAGAGAGAGGGAGAGAGAGGAGTGAAAGAATGAGGTTAAAATTGCATTGCATTCATTCTTGACGATGGCTAGAGTAGATTGGAACAGAGTGAGGAGAGATTTCGTGTCTTTCCTTGTTTGTTTTTTCCCCTTCTTTCTTCAATTCTCTCGCAAGAAGAAGGTACAACAGATATTTGATCTTGTCTGCTGCGTTTTCCTTGCCTACTTGTATCATCCTCTTCCTCCATCCCATCCATCCTTATCCTGTCCCGGCCCCTTCGGAAGGAAGGGAAAAAAAAAAAAAAAAAAATCGACACAAAAACGGCCGGAAAGATGATATTTATTGCCAATCAAAGTTCAAAGTTGACAATAATGGAGGTGGTAGATATAAATAAGAGCATCTGTCTCTCTCTCCCCCCCGGTCCCTTCCATTACCGCTTCTCTGTCTTCGTGTGCGTGTGTTAGACGACAGGCGTTGTGTGTGCTTGGTATCCTTTCGTCTACGTTTCCCGCTCGCACTTCCATTGCCCTTGGTAAGCATGCGGGATTGAGTAGGCGAGTAAACCGCCAGAATAGTTCCCGTCAGAGCTCAGCAGATATGTGGGTGGAGGAGAAAGAAAAGGGATGTGGTCAACCATGTCCACTTCCACGACTTTCGATGTCCTCGGGCCTCTGTTTCGTGTCCCATATATAGGGAGGTCCCAGCTCGTAGGAGGTAGAGCAGAGGCTAGCAGAAGTCGAGAGGCGAGGAAAGTGGGAGTTGGAGAAGAAACGGAGAGGTGAGGAAAAATTCTCTTTCCGCTTATTTATATATATAAAATAATTAAAATCAGATTTTTCTTCCAAAGGGAATCATACACAGCGAATCAGATAGGAACAGGAGTAAAAAGAGGCGCGTTCAGATGAGGTAGGAAGGAGGAACGGAAAAACACCAAAATAAGAGGCAACTAAAAACAACAGAAAAAACAACAAAAAGAAGAAACTCCCAATGATGTCTTCCTCTAAGTCATGCAACGGTAGTTTGAATAAACCTCTTTCTTTCGCTTCTCTTTTCAATTGGTTGAAAGGTAAGTTTAACAAAAGAAAAAGACAAATAAGAAACAAAGGTTGCAGGGAACAATGAGGTGTTAATAACATTCATTTAAAAGAGATCACCGCATCCCCAGAATTGTTCAACGCCCAGGTAGCCTGGGTTTTTCCAGAGATCGTTCGTGAACGAGAAAAACACGGACTTGGATCCTACTACCTTGACGATGGATTTGATGGCGGTCGCCTGAGCCTCAGGGGAAGCAATGGCCTTGCCGTTGCTGGAACCGCCGCTGGGCCAGCCAGTCTCCAGGTTGATGGCTTCCTTGCCTGGGCAAATGTCTCCGAGGATCTTCATCTGGTTCTGGATGAAGTTACCGCATTCGGAGGCAACAACATTAGGGTTGAAGAAGCAGTGGATGTTGGCGCCAATAACGTCAATGTGCGGGCACAAGGTCTTGCCGGCTTCCTGCCATTTGTTCAAGGGCTCAGTAGTGGTGATTGGACCATTGTAGCCGGCACCCTTGAAGCAGCCCCTGGCGTAATCGAGGAGCTCAGCAAGAGAGCCCGGGGTGGCGGTACCTTGATGGAGCGCCTCGTTACCGACAACGATGAGGTCGACCATGTCGAAATGACCCCATTTGACAATGTCGTCGACTTGGTTCTTGGCATCCTGGATCCCCTTGGAAGATACAAAAACACCGAGGATCATTCTCAGGCCGTTCAGCTTGCAAGCGTTACCAACATTCTGTAGGGTGTCGCAATCTGTGGCATAGACACGGACGTTGCGGAAGCCCTTGAGCTTGATCAGTGCGATATCGGCAGCTACGGCAGCAGCACCCTTGCACTGGCCATTATTGGTGTATGGAGAGTAAGTCATGCCCCATTTTTCACCGCCACCAAGAACTGGAGGTTTTTGCTCCGCTGGAGGTTTCTGCTCGGGCTGCTTGGGCTGCTCCTTGGGCTGCTCCTTGGGTGGTGGAGGCTGGGAGGTAGGATAAGCGCTTGGGGCGGGGTTGTTTCCAGTAGCAGCGGGGCAGATGTAGACGTAGTCGGTCTCGGTGACAGTCACGGTTTGTGCGGGTTGAGTGTAGGTTCCAGTAGTATATGTGGCAGGGGTTGGGTAGACAAAGACAGTGCTCGCGGCAACACTGGTGGTTGAAGGAGCAACGGTATAGGTGCCAGCGGAGGGGCAAACATATGTGGTCTGCTCAATGACGCTGATGACAGTCTCGCCAGCGGGTTTGGTGACAGCGATGTTGCAGGTGACAGTGGTTGCGGTCGTGACAACAGTGGTGACACCGCCATATGTATGCTCACCAGGAGAAACAGCGGTGCTGGTGGCCGCGCAGACAGTGGTCTCCTTGGTCACAGTGATAGTCGTTTCCGGGATGGTATAGGTTCCCGGGGTGGGGAAGACCGTGACTGAGGGAGTGGGAAGCTCCGGCTCAGGGGTAATGGTGACGGTCTTGGTGCTGGTGCTGGTGGTTTTGATGGTGGTAGTCAACTCTTCGACCTCTAGATGTTTTTGTAAAAAAAAAAAAAAAAGATCTTGTCAGTGACCATTTCAACCCGTTGCACCCCATACGTAAACGTCGAAATTTCCCCTTCCCCTAATCAAAATTTTCACATTTTCCACTCACACCCCCTACTCACAATTCCCGACTCCCCGTCTCTCCCCCTGACGCGATCGAGAAAACATTGAAGATTAAATATCACCTACCGCTTGGCTCCCCATAGTAAGTGATGACCTTGGTGATGCAAGCACAGTCATCATCATCCCCACTATGTTCCTCGGGGCTATCGCTGGGAATCGGCGATACCTCATAACCACCGGTGGTGTTGGGAATAGGGGACGCCTCATAACCAGTGGTAATTGGAATAGCAGACACATCGTATGAGGTAACCTGGGGAATGGACGAAGCCTCGCAGTCGCTGCTGGTTGGAGCAGGAGAAGCCTCATAGGTACTGTCGCTGGGGATGGGAGAGGCCGGGTAGGCACGACGCTGGTGGAAAGCGTTGTGCTGTGGATGGCCGACATGGGCGAGAGCGGAGCCAGCCATGGCGGCCGCGGCGGAAAAGAGGAGTGCTCCCTTCATGGCGTCGCAGTCAGAGACGGGTTATTCGCGACAATATCACTACACAGGAGGTTATGGCTGCTCCTTGGAGGAGTGGAGGAGGGGGATCTTGGCTTCGTGAAGAAAGAATGCCCGCTGAAGGAGTGAAGCGGTGGTCAGGGAAAAAGACGGGAATAAATCGTCGAAGAGAAATGAACGGAGATGCGGAGGGGGGAGGGAGATCGCAAAGCCTGGGGGAGAGGACGGGGAAGAAGAAGGAGAAGAGGAAGAAGAGGAGGAGGAGGAAGAAGAAGAAAAGAGCGTGATGAAGGGCAGGGAAAGGGGCCCGCGGGAAATGAGAACGGCCTCGTATGGTCACGCTAGTACGGGGTGACGGCCCAATACACATCGGACAGCTGATTTGGCGTTGTTGGCATTCATTTCGTTGCGCCAATGGCAGCCAGTAGCGAGCTGACCGACAGGGGATCGCGAGAGCCAATTTATCTATCATCTCCCTCTCAATATCTCTCACTACGGATATCCGTGTCTACGAAGCCCATACGATGCAATGTACAACTAACGATCCACCCTTGGAAGCGCAAGATGGTGCAGAGAGAGAGGGAATCTCATACTACGAGGCATGAGTAAGGGGAAACCAACCAACAAACAGGACCGATAAGGTTGTATTGCCTGCGTATGGGAAACAGTGGTACGGGTATCGCCCGCCGCCGTGGCCAATCAGCAGACCCCGCTAGTACCAACACCATTATTTGGGCCTTGGAGTTCCAGGGGAACTGCCAGGTACCGTCCGCCGCTGATTGGCCGCTCGCCCAGTCGGTTCCTCCCATGCTTACTAGTTACTTATCTTCTTGTTTTACAACACGCTCAGTGTAGAACAACTAACTAACTTGCCCAGCACAGCCAGAAATTACACCACTTCTCCTCCAACCGCAGCAGAACAACGCACAGGGAGAGAAGAAGAAAAAACACAAGCAGGTTCATGGTTGCTGTTTTCTCCACAGGACATGTTGCAAATGCCCGCATCCGTTTGGGGAACAGCTGGTTGCACGCTGCTTGGGCGACCCAGCCCGCTGCTGCCACATGCCTCAACGCCCAGCCATCGCCCCTCTTTGGCGCCCAGGGAACAGGGGGACCCCTGGCAGCAATAACAGCCAACAACAGCGCCAACAACAGCCAACGAAGGCGGGGAACAAACAAAACTCTCTAATTTATGATGACTTCCTCTGTTTTCCCGTATTCCCTCACACTGCCCAGGAATCGGTAATTTGTTTCTTTCATTTTTTGACGTCCCCCCCAGTCCAAGCCAAAGGAGGACTGCATCGACAGTCAGCAGCACCATGGACTTGAGGGAAATCCACGATTGGATTTTCATGCATGAAATCCCACCGCCATACCAGGTCCATGCCCGATTCAACTGGCTGGCCCTTTGTCACTGTTTGTTTGTCGTTACTGATTTTTGCGGACAGCACATCCGTGCATGCTAGTACTAGTAACTATATGAAGGGCTGTATTACGGATGCGATGTGCCGCACCTATTGAACAAAGACATGCTCACAAAGAACAAAGAATAATAAATGGGGGTGGTGTATTCTGGAAGTTAAAATATCAGAAACCTCATTATTGCTAACCTTAGCGCTAACTGACTTCGAACTTCACCAACAGCGGTTTTATCAGCTGAGTTTATTATCGATACCCTAGCAGTCCCCACTGGTTGGGCCTGGAGGCAAATTGCTCCCGCGGATCCCCAGCAGACTTTCACGATCTGTCTCAAGGTTTCAGGCCAATCTTGGGAACGCCAAAACGTCCATCAATGCTTCTCACAAACCTTAAAAGTCTAGAACAAAAAAAGGAGAGAGAAAAAGAAAAAATAAAAGTAGATCACAAGGAATGATCCCAGGCCAGGATCGGAGAAGGGTATTATCCCAATGTCGGAAAAATGAAACCGAAAAGCAGCCCCAGGAGAACTTGAGCAGGTTGTGCATCTGCCCTCAGTAGCGGAGATGAGAAAACCCGCACCCAGCTCCGCAGAACAGAGCGCCAACGCAGCCTCGACGGGAGCGACTCAGGCTGAAACAGCCGAGAAACAAGCCTAGAACAGTCCTGGATATTGGGATGTCCAACAAACATTCTGACTGAGAGATTTGTTTCATTTCAGCCCCCGCTTACTTCTGTTTTTTATCTCCTCCAAGACTCGAATTTCCGAAGTTTTCTTCTCGAGTCAGAAAACAGTAAGGGAAGATAAATATAAATCCGAAGGAAGGCTCGAACTAAAAAAAACCTCCATCCTACCTTATGATCTCTGCCCCAGCCCGGCCCCACTTGTTCATTCCCGCTCTGCTCAGGACTCCAGAGTTCGATAGTCCAGAAGTCGATGGTCGATATTCGATAGTCGATAGTCGCAGTCGTCGTCATGTCGCAGGATATAACGATAGTCACGACTCAACCTAATCCCCAGACTGAGTACGAGGAGTGAGTTCGTTAGAGTTAGTTAGCACAGGCGTGTGTGGCCCAGGCTCCCAGACGAGGAAAGGAGAAGAAAAGCATCTCCGTGGCACAGGAGAAACCTTCCAGACTGGGCTCTCCCATCTGCGAAGGCCAGCTGACTCAGCATACGGCTTGGAGGCTGCGGTGGCTGAATGAAGCATCGAAGGAGCTGAGTTCCTGCAGTAGTGAAGCCAACTTTGCTTCTGTTCACGTCTGTCTGGCTTTTTCGTCACCACTTGTCTCCAATGGAATCATGATCGTGCTGTCTCTGCCCATGGATACTAGTGCTAGTGCTAGTCGATATGATGTCTGCGCAAGAGGGATCGCGGGATCTAGACATGAGAAAATCCATGGATCTTTGGAGGTGCTGTTGGATATCTCATCTCCAGCACCAGCTTGAAATACCATGGCCGCAGAGACACGGCCTGTATATATATATATATACTAGTTACACATAGCCATATACAGCTAACTGCCCACCTGTCCTGAGATTCTTTGCATACCGAATCCCGCTGTTCAACAACAGTCAGCGGCCAGTTACTTGTTAGTTTATTCAGAAAAACCTAGGCTGCGAGGTTTATCGTAATCATTTCATTGCGGAACATGTTTGCATGACAATGCACGACCCGCTCACTGGCGAACAAACAAGTTTTTATTTCTGTAAGTCACTCCATGTTCTATTTTCTTTTTTTTCCTTCCTTTTTTTTCTTCTCCGAATCAAAAAATAAATCCCAAACCAACGGCCCTCCCTCCGCTATCGTAAAGATCCTTCATCCGCCATTTTATATGTATAGGTAGATAGACTGACAACATGTATGGCATACAACTCAACAGTTAGAAGAGATAAGGTAATAGACACTCTACGCTCTCTCTACGCTCTCTATACAGAGATTCCCAAATCCCCTCGCGATTTAAGAACTTCCATAACTCCTGAGAGCTAAGATTTATTTTCACAAATGTAATAAACAGATTCTACACACTTCTTTTTCCTTCTATCCACCTTTTGTTGTACTCTAAAATGCATAATGAAAAAAAAAAAAAAAAAAAAAAAAAAAGGTTACTCCCAGGAGCTAATCTTCATGGTCCCATTCTCCTCCAAGTTCTGGTGCATCTTGAAAGCTTTGAAGAGCAGGTGTGGCTCGTGGCCCATCCCTTTCCGCAGACACTCGAATTCAGCGCGGTCGAAGTAGTCCTGGAGGATTGGTCTGTAGTCGGGGTGCGCGCATTTCGCAATGATCTCGCGGGCGCGCTCGCGGGGAGCCATGCCGCGGACATCAGCGAGACCCTAAACGATTTTTTTAAAACAGGGTGTTAAGCTTATCTGAAGGGGGGGAAAAAAAAAAAGGGGGGGGGATCAGAAATGCATGGAATCGTTATGATCACTCACCTGCTCAGTCACGATGACGTCCAGATCGTGCTCTGTCTGATCGACGTGGCTGCAGAAGGGTACAATGCAGCTGATGCCGGTGGGGTCCGTTTTGCTTGGGCGGGCCGAGGGCGTGTGCATGATGCTGTACTTGGCACTGCGGAGAAAATCGGCAGAGCCGCCCAGTCCATTGAGCATGCGCGAGCCCATGACACAGGTGCTGTTGGCGTGGGCGTAGATGTCTACTTCGACTGGGGTGTTCATGCCGATCACGCCGAGGCGGCGGATGATTTCAGGGGAGTTGGACACCTGCTGGGAGCGCAGGAGCAGTTTATCAAAGTAGCGTTCCCAGTTATCATAGAACCGCTTGAAGCCGTCTGGAGAGAATCGGACGGAGGTGGCAGTGGCGAAGTCCAAGTGGCCGGTGTCGAAGAGGTCGAGGAAGGAGTCCTGAAGCACCTCGGTCCACACGCGCAGGTTGCGGAAGTTGGAGCCGCTGGTGCTGAGACTCCCGATGACAGCGTTGGCAATGTTTCCAATGCCGGACTGGATGGGGAGAAGGTTGTTGGGGAGATGGCCCATTTTCACTTCATGCTGGAGAAATTCGATGATGTGTTTGGCAATAGCATGCGATCCTGCGTCCGCTGGGGCGTTTGGTTGCGTCCGGTCGGGATAGTCGGATTCAACAATGGCAACGACCTTCTCGGGATCAACTGGGATGTATGTAGTTCCGATGCGGTCTTCGGGTGCCATAATCAGATATGGTTTTCGCCGTGGAGGCTTGTCGCACATAGTGATGTCATGGAGGCCTTCGAACGAAGGAGCCGCGGTATTGACCTCGATGATTATTTTCTCCGCCATTTGAACCAGCTCTGGAGAAGCCCCCACTGAAGCCCCAGGTATAATCCCCCCGTCTTCCGTGATAGCTGATGCCTCAATAATCATAACGTCTAGTTTATTATTTGGCCGATCTTTCGTATAGAAACCCTGTGGAGCGCGACGCAGATATCAGCAACTAACCCTCAACTCACCTGCGTGGACACAAGCGGGGGGATATGTCTCATACATATACCAAATCTGAGGGGAACATGCTCAGGTGTTTATCGAAGAAATTGATATTGCCATTATTGATTCCCTTTGCGATCTCCTTGCCGACCTGATGAGGCGCTCGCCTCTCAATCATATTATTCCTAGCCCATCGATTCTCCGTCTCCGCCCCAGAAGACGCTCCGACAAAGAGGCAATACTTCAACTGTCCTTGAAGTGAATTCTTCTCAACATAATCTGCCAAAGCGGTGGGTACTTTCCTGTACACAGTTCTGCAGTTAGAAGGAAAAAGAGAGAGAGAGAGAGAGAGAGAGAGACAGAAACAGGACCAGCGGAACTAGATATACTGTTGATATAACTTACTTAGGATATCCAACCCCGGTAAAACCGGACCAGCCGATATAAGAGCCATTTGGGAAGAAGCTGATAAGATCTTCAGCCCTGGCCAGCTTGCTCAGCATGGACGGCCGTCTGATACGGCTTTTCAACACGGCAGAGACAGCCATTGTTATATACTAGTAGATTTAAGTATATCCCGTTCCTCTTTCAATGGACATACGCTTTCGGCCGGAAAGATTCCCGCAGGTCAAAACGAAATCTGACCGCACACCTGGAAAACGGAAATTTGGCCCAAACTTTTCAGGAGGAAAAAGGATTTAAAGCTATTTTAGCTATACAATGAGCTGTCCAGCATGCACGACGACCCTTTTGAACCTGAAAATTAAACAGGTAGGGGTGGAAGAAGGGGCAAAAAAAGAAAAGAAAGAAAGAAAAAAGAATTCATTATTTAAAAACCCCAGGGAGAAAACTTAAATGGACGAAACCCGCTCCTCGAGGCTCAACTCTCCGCCGTCATGCAAATTCTCCAGCTCGCCGGCGGAGGGCGGGATCGGGAGCAAATTTCGAGCGCTCGGCCATTTTCCGGGGCCGGAGCGGGATGCGCTATCCGGAATGAACCTACCTGTCTGAACATCGGCATAGGCGCAGCAATTGGTCGCTGTTAGGCAATCCAAGCATATCGAGATGATCAGAGTCTTGGAACACAAGATAGGCTCTTGAAAAGATAAAAGAAAAGCTCAATGTTCCTGGGGAAAATACAGTATGAGATTCGATATGGCGTTGATAACTACTAGTAAGCTTCACCTCACCGTCTTGTTTTTAAACCAAAACTAAGCAATCAACCGGGCAGCGGCATCAAAAAAACAACATCCGAGCAGCTTTTTGCCTCTCTTCAAGCATTATCAACAGGGAAGAAGATTCACAGACCCGGAGGCATGTTATAGACCTGTAGTCCATATTGACTTGAAGATCGACCCGACTGGAAACTACGTCATATAAATAAAACCTACCCACACTATTTTAACACTCTCGCCACCTCATAGATTAGTTGACACAGACGCCTCACTCATCTCTGGGTGAGTACGCTGCGTATACTAGCTTTATGTACCTTTTTCCTGTCAGGTTCTTTTTAAGACCGACCTTACTGGCTACATAGTGCCGAATAGGTAGGCTCATCGATGTGGACGACAAATTGGCAACGCTGAAAACATGCACAAGGAGATTGCCTGTTGCAGTGAGGTGAGTTGACTTCCTCTCCTTCCCGGGACAGGTAATTGAAGAACAAAAAAAACGACCCTCGCAGAGATGAGACTATTTATTTAAGTATAAGTTTAATAGTATCTTTCAATTGTGTCTCTTAAATACTGAAGAAGATAATAACGCAATAATGAAGGCCAGTTCTGCCCTTCATTCACCTTGAAGTTATCGATAGTTAGATAGATTCTGGTTTATAAAAGTGTCTTGTCAGCTCAACATCAGTCCACGGCTCCCTCATATGATTTTTTTTTATAACATTACTATTCCCGTCAAATGATCTCAAAATCAGTTTTATCATCAATATGTAAATACTGATTAGGATCTCTATTAACAGTGCTTAATAGGCCACTTACTTCACAGGACATACCAGTGTTGGGGCCTCTCATTCCAAAGAGAATGAATAGCATAGTATTGAATGAAGAATGCAAGGAGCTTCATTGTCATTTATTAACGATATACAGAGTACATATTGTAGTATCCTGAATATGAGCTGTGGTCTTGTGAAGTTTTGATATCAAAATAGTCAAAGTTAGTCGAGCCTTGTGAAGAACTTTCCACTGATTATACGCTGTAGATGATGATAATGCAGGTGGGGCGCTGTATGGAAGCCGTCTAGACGCTTGACAAAGTGCCACTCAGCACAGCAAGTGAATACGGTATTTCTGATCAGTATCAAAGCCTAGTTTTTAAATAAGAATGAAAGCAGTCATCTGTCTACATTCAAATATGTAAATATAGGTATAACTATATATCTCTCTATTTTCCGAAAGGTGTTGGACGCTCTCTGGTGTTTTGCTTCTCCGTGAGCTGATCGCCTCTTGATCTGCCGTGTGATGGGACAAAGGTCTATCTATATAAACGCCCACGTAGTAAGAAGCCAACTTCCCAATCAACCAACTGTCCTTCCCAATCTTCCTTCTACATGTTCAACAGTTGCTCTCCTGTGGGGTACAATGACACAGCTGTATAAGCTTACTCGACACACGTTAGAATAAACACAAAAGAGAAACAAGAAAAATAGAATAGGAAATAGGAGGAGCGGCATAAAAGCCATCCAGTAAAGGAAAAAGAAGCCGTTCGAAGAGGACTAGAATTACAAACAGTCCTGAAAGTTCAAAGATATACTAATGGAGCAGCATAGAGAGGAGGATCTGGGATGCATGAGACAGGAATTGTTATAAAAAGATACCAGGGCCCTCATATTCAGTATTCAAGTTTCCCTCCACCGAAATGAACTTCTTCGCCGATAGACCAAACAATAGCAATAATTAATTAAACCCATATCCATGAAGAGTACCGAGCGATATCACCACACCTTGTCCGTATGCGGAGGATTTAGATTTAGCTGAGCAGTGTAGGAGATAAGATGTGGATGACAAGGGAAATGAAATAGTTGAAATAAATATTAACAAACAAGAGCAAGAAGAAAGAGCAATTCGAGAGGAATAATGAAAAACAAGTAAGTACAGGAAAAAGGACAAAGAAGTCGACATTCTGCGCGCAGAGACGATGAAAGGAGGAAAAACACAAACTAACTCCCATTTCGATGTTGGCCATGTTCGTTACGATGCCGCTGGAACTTCTGGAGCCGCGTCGGTCATTTCCTCGTCTGCGTTTTGGTCCTTATCTTCCTTCATCTCTGTATCGCCATCTTTACTAGAATTACCACGATGATCGCCACGCGTCGTTGTCGGCTCCGCTTGCACCTTTGTATCGCCGACCCACGATCGGAATTGTTGGTTTGACTGGTCAATCTCCTCCTCCGTGAAATCTTGCGCCCAGCTGGGGTTGTCGACGAACTTTTCCCTGAACCGGTCTTTGCGCCTTTCCTTGACCGCAGCACGCTCCCTCGCAGCCTCTGTAGGATCCTCTTCCGGATTGGGCTGGCGATACCACCAATCCTCGGTCCCAGGTTCGTACAGAATATGATAGCTGTTGGCGCATATCCGGATGACCAGCCCGTCATGGTTGATGAGAGGCTTGTAATACAGGCTATATTCTTCATCAGAATCCAGTTTGCCAGGGAGGTTCCGTCTCAAGAAAGGCATGCGCATTTGTGAGAATGGAACTCCTTCAGTCGGGTCGCGCATCGAGAACGCAGAGACATAGTATGACCACCTAGCTTCTGCGTTGAGCTCGTCATTGTCAAGAGTACCATCCTCAGCGGTTAAAAGCTGAGCCGTGACATGCTTAGTGGCAGGGATCTAAATATGACGGGATAGTTAGCTTCATCCTACTTAAGGCCTTTTTTTTTTTTTTTTAAAGCTCAACACTTACGAAGGTAACTCGGTAAATATCCCCTTCCTTAATTAATTTCTCAATCTGCTTCCGGTATTGGATCTCTTGGTTATGAGTTGTCGTGTCCTTGGCACGCTCCTTAAAGAAGATATTGATGATATCGGAGCTCTTATCCTTAGGGTCAGAATTAAAAATCCCGCCAGCATATCTAGAAATTCCACTCAATATCTTGTCCAAGTTGTACAGCTGCCAGCCAGTCTTCAAATAAAACCGACGCAGGGTCTCTTCCATATGAGACATATCGATGTTTCCTTTGATCACTTCCTCGCACATGCGGACAATCTGATGGTACAAAATGGACTTTGGGTCCGTATCGTAGAGGAGATCAGAAGGAGACTTGTCGATCATCCCAAGGTCGTAGGCAGCCTTTGGAGCCATCGCTCTGCGCACAGCTTCGTGAGCCTCTTTCTCGTACAATTTAATGCGGAGAAGGCGGCTATAGAAAATTTCGAACGTGCGGATAAAGCAGTAGATGTTTAAGTTGCAGTAGAGATGATGGAACTTTTTCTTGTATGATTCGTTCAAGGGAATTTCGCGCTGTTGGTTAAAATTTCCCTGGCTTGGATGCTCCATCCACTTCAGTTCAGCAACGTCGAATGGATCAGTTGGGTCTGGAATTGGGGTGGATGGAACAAGGGTTCCTATACCCGGTGTCGACGCTCTGCTGCCAGAGCGCACACTAACATCTCTATCAATACGTGGAGTCTTTTCATTGCGGCGTTCGAGAACATCGCGTAAAAGATCTAACTTTTTGCCATTCGCGATTCTGCGAGATCGGATCGTAGAAATATCTTCAGGTGGGGGACTTTCATCTTCAGCTTCCTCGCTGGTCGGCGTGGTGTCATAAACTTCACTGAGATATGTTTTGAAGCCCTCACGATCCATGCCAAAGAAAACAGGAATGAAGTCTTTCAAGAAGTTTATGACTTTGTTTGGATCTGCTCCAAAGCCGCTAGAGTTGTGGTCGATATAGCATAACAAAAGATGAGTTGCATCCACAAGAACCTCCGAATCATCGAAGACGAAATCAAATTGATAGTTGGGGACCTGATATCCGCTCTTCCTGACATTTCGGAGTTCTTCGAGTTTGGCTTGGATCTCGTGCTGGATGTGTTTTGCGATGAACAGTTTCTTGTCGGATCCTTTCATGATTATAGCCTGGTGGTCAAGACTTCTCCAAAAGCCTTTCTGCATTTGCTCGCGCCATACTTTATCCCATTCACGCTGCAAAGCACCATTAGTACGCTTGAAGCGCACACCCGCAGTATAGGAGCTAAGGGGCTACTTACTTGACTAGCTTTCCATTCTTCGCACTTCTGCTTAAGCCGGGCAAGAACAATAGGAAGCACACTGCATGGCCGTGCAAACATCTCATCAATAACTCTCTGACCACGCTCTCTATCATAAATCTTTTTAATGATTCTCCTGTAAATCGTCTCGCTTTGCCCTCCAAGCCCAGGAGGGAGTTTGAAATTCGCTCTCTCAGCTTCAGTCATTGTCGCCATTTGTTGGACAAGGGGTTCCATAAGCTGAATGGTACGAATACAAGCTTCGATGTGATGATCGTAATCATGCCTATCCTCCTCAATACGGTGGAGAGAGTCTTCATACTGATTTTTGCGATGGGCAACAAAGCCCGAATCCTCTGAGGCCCACGTGGGGTGTGACGCCCATTCATCATTAAGAACACTCTGGCACATATCATCACGACCGCTGCAAGGCTTCTGGCGCTCACGCTTCGGCAGCAGTCGATAACTAGGGCCAAGGGCTCGGCAATGGGACAAATTAACAACGCCAGACTCCGGTTTGGCTTTCGGTTCAATGATCTCATCCTTAGGCTCAACGTGCATAAATCTCTTGAACCATGACATAATTTCCTGGTTGCCGCCTATGAAACTAGCCGCTCTGTTGATAAGGATATTTCTATCGATCAGGTCCGCCGAATAAAGGTTGCAAAGCTTCAAGAATTCACCAAAAGTTTGCTTGTTCCCTATGTACTTCTTGACGCGATCGAAAAATGCATATTCTTCATGAGACGGAGTGAGTGTAAAGGTGGGAGAAATCGGTTCTGGAAGAGCCGGGACAAGTGTTGGAGATACCACAGGGGGAACTTCAGCTTGGGTCGTCGGCTTGTGACTCAATTTGGCTCTCTTGCCGGCGGTGCCTGGCTGCGTACCTGGAGCCCTGTTTGCCTGACTGCTGGTGATGCTAGCAGAATCAGCCACTACATTTGAGGATGTTCCCAAACCGGCACCCCCTGGGGGCTGCGAGGGAGGTTGGCCACGTCGTTTTTTTATATCTTTTGTATGCTCCTTCACGTTAAACTGGCCGAGAGGGGGCATTTTGACATCACGGTTTTGAGCCTGGAGCAAGGTGGAGGAGCTTGCATATCCGGGCTCACCTCGTATATTACTGAGAGGCGTAGCCTCTTCAGCTAATTGGCGAGCTGCTGCTGCTTGAGCTTTTGCTTGGGCTGCTGATTCCGGAAGGAATTGTTTGAAATCTTCTAGAAGGTCCGGAGCAGCGTTGAAAAGGAGCGTAACCTGAGCGTAAACATCTTGAATTGGTTTCGACTCTCGCTGGTATGTCTGGAGGATTTCTAGGAACTGCTTATATGTATCGGGAGAATCGGCAAAGCGGTTCTATCCAAAAAACATAGTGGGTGAGCAAATGGCTTATCTATATGTGGGCTACTAACAACCATAAGGAGCGCATACCTTTATCTTATTAACGTAGCTAATAGCATGATTAAACTCAACGGGACCACGTTTACTCATATCACCCTGCACACCTTGAAGCACACCGGGGCCCAAACTCGTCAGGTTATTCATGGGTTGGGTCGGGCCCTGCGGTTGCATACCTCCCATATTCATGACTGATGATCGTCCTGAGCCTGCTGTTGCAGCAGACACGGCACTCTGCAGCTGTGAAACACCACGTTGTTCTTGCTGGTGAGCAATTGCTGCAGCGTTACTTTGCGCTTGTAGATCTTGTTGGCCCGGATAGTCGTAAGCAGACTCCTGGGGTTGATTCTGCGCGCCTTGTTTTCCACCGTACATGGCAGATGGCATTAAATGTCCTTTTGGAGAATAAGGTCCGCCAGGGCCAATATTCATTCTTGACATTTGTTGTGGTTGTTGCTGTTGTTGGCTTTGAATGGGTGGTTGCTGCCATCCGGCACGGGATTGGTCATAGTAATCAGATCCGGCGGCAGGTGCAGAGCCACCTTGCGGCACAGAGTCACCCGCTGTTTCCAAAGATGGCCTTGCTGCCGATTGCATTGAAATGGTGTTTGTACCTGACGGAGTTGTCACCCGAATCGCATCTGGGTTATCTTCAGTGCCACATTCGATTCGGTATCCGGGCGGCAGAAACGTGTTAAATCCTTGGATAAGGGTCGGGTGGCCATTGAACAGGGTGGAAACCCTTTGGATAACACCAGGTGTGTCAATTCTACGGAAACGAGTTAGTATTTTCCCACTTCTGACTATGGTTTTCAAATGGCACTTACGCTTGACTTTTGAAGTCTTTCATGATATCCAGGAAACGGTTATAGACATCAGGTTGTTCGACAAATCGAACCTTCACCTGGTCAAGATAGCTTAATGCATCCTGTCAATCGTTTGCCATTAGTACACGCCCAGCCAGTTTTCCAGCGGTGCAAGGAAGACAGCAAAGAACGACTTCAGGAAATATTGAATCCAGACAAGAAATGAGCTCAACGACAAATGGGTTCATTCCCAGGGCACAAACGTATAGTTTTAGGGTAGCTAAATGTTCCAGAGAATGACGCCATTGTTAATAGGCGTATTCTTTGAGCCGTGGTTCGAAAACCTTGTGAAAAAATGGCTTTCTAAGCACTCGAGGTGCAGCAGTGCCAAAAGACCTTTCTCAACGAATATCATCACATCCCATAAAGCCATTCTTTGTGCGTAAAGGATCTTGAAACTCCAAACCTCTCTAGTCCAATTGCCGAACAAAAAAAGAAAAGGGGAGCACACAAATGGGAAGACACTCCCCGGAGATGTCAACTTACGTTTAAAATTGGCTGTTGTCCTTGTGCTAATGCAGATACACTTCCTGGAATCTGAGGTGCTGCATTACCATTGAACCCAAGCATCGACTGCTGAGGCGGCTGGCCTTGGTGGAGATATGTTCTGGGAGGGCCATCTGTGTGCTGTTGCATCTGGTTCCCAAATAAGCCCCCAGGGGCATTCGAACTAGGAATAGAGCCTTGTGGAGGGTTAGGCGCAGCATTTGCACCGAGGTTCGAGAGGAGACCATTGGGCCCACCAAGCGGGTTGTGGCCTTTCGATGCCACGGGTTGATGAATAGGAATGGGACCGGCATGGCTTTGTACAGGATGATGCGGTTGGTCACGATTATACCGATCCATGAGTTCCCGGTCTCGTTCTCGGTATTCGCGCTCTCTTTGTATCATTTCGTCCTCGCGAGCTAGCTCTCGTTGTCTATCGAGCTCACGGTCTCGCTCTCGCTCTCTCGAGTCTCTTTCGCGTTCGCGATTCAAAGTGGCTTGTTGGGGTGAATGTTGCATCGACTGACCAATGCCGGGAAGAGCATGGCCTGGGGGATGAGATGGCTGTTTATGCTGGCCATATCTAGGAGGGGCTTGGTGAGATGCTGGAGGGGCGCCAGCGCCTTGAGTTAAATCTGATAGAGCTGGGAGTGTATGCCCGGAGGGCTGGTTGACAGGATGGTACGGGCCTATATAACGGGAAACAAGTCAGTTCTTGCAAGTTTCTGCGCGTCCATGGAGTGCCATTGTGCTTCTCCCCCAGATCTTGGCGCTGTTGTCGCATCTGAGTGACGGCAAACAAGGGGATAATGGAAAGAGGAGCTCACTATGATATCAAAAGAGATATGTTAGTGTCAAAGAGCTCAATAAAGAATGGTTTGCAATCTATTACGATGATAACACAAGGATGTGTTTGTGCCAAAAGAGAAGAAACGACTTACCCATAAGATCCCAGAGGCCGTGTTGGGGGCTGGTTCATCTGGTCAACTCCAGGATGAGATTGCGATCCACCTCCCCCTGAGTGCCACGAATCCTTATTTGCGGTATTCATCGCGCTTATGAAGACAGAATACGCAGCTGAGGGGAGACTGATTCCTTCGAAAGTGAGAAGAAGCTGTGGGTGATTTTAAGCTTTTTTGTTAGCTGGGGAGGGTGATAGGAGAGGTTGGGAGGGGTGTCAAAAAGCAGAAGATAATATGGACATAGTTGAAAGTTAATATGACAAAATATTTCCTAGCATGTATGCGACTAGCCACAGTAGAGTGGTGAAGCTTGAAATACGTAGGATGCGTGGTTGAGAAAGTTGAAGCTGGTGGAATCAATCTGGAACGGTGATGATGTTGCTGCTGACCGCCCTAGAACCAGGGGAGGGTCAATTTTTCTGCCGCCCCAATCACGGCTCCATTGCGGAGTCCCCTTTGGGTCGCGGTCCGGGTTTGCTGATTGGCGGAACGGGGTGCCGACCACGTGATATCATCACCGATTCCAAGGTTTCTTTGCCGAAACTTATGGAATCCCTATTATAGACTAGTGTCGTCAGGAATAACTAGCGCGCTCCCATGATCTCTGTGTTTTCTTGCTCTTTCGTCTCCATCCAATGAATGAATACAAACAGATACAGACTTCTTCACCCCTACCATCACCTCACCAGCTTCCACCACTCCACCAGAACCAACCACGTCTTCTTTTTTAGTTAAGAGATCTTGACCGTGTGCTAAAGGAATCTGGACGGCAAACCGCGGTCTCGTCACCTAAATCGGCCCCAAGGCTTGGGCGTCATACACTGTGATCAAGTGACGATGACTTCTGTTGACGAGATCGCAGAGGACAAGGGTGAAACAGAATGGATAGCTTGGAAAGATAGAGTTCTGGATTCCATGGATGAAATAGCTACTTTCGTCGCTCACCGTCGCCAGGGTGGTGATCCCGACAGGATTGTACACTATTATCGGGGCTCCTTTAATATATGCATTCATATTAAATTTAAAGATACTTTCCCTGATGCTGTAATCCGGTTTACTAAAGCTGGTGTCACAGCTTTGAGGGATGAAAAGGTGGAGAAAGAGGTGCAAGTTATGAAACTGTGGACAGCCCTCAACAATTAGGACTATTTATTATTATGGAACAGATCGAGGGAATACATTTGTCAGACATCTTGAAGAAGCCGACCGCGAACAGGGAAGAAAAGGAAATTCCGAACCCTGATGTCCATGACACCACATTGAACATTGTGTACCGTCAGATAGCCGATTTCACGCTTCAACTTTACAACCTCGATTTCACTCACATCGGAGCTATATCGGAAGTCGTTGAAGGCGCAAATACATGGGCCGTCACTGGAAGGCCCTTGACACATAATATGAATGAACTGGCCACATCCACGGGGTATCCAATTAACCGATTCCCTACGGAGCGCTTTTCATCTGCGAATGAATACTTCAAGAGTCTTGCAGACAAACACTTGGTCCACCTCCACACCCAGCGCAACCTCACCTCTGATCCTAAGGATGCTAGGAGGCGGTATATTGCGCGCCATCTCTTTCAGCAGCTAGCGGCAAGAAACTGTATCAATGAGAACGGCCCCTTCAAGTTTTTTTGCGATGATCTCCGACCTGCTAACATTCTGGTGAACAGTGAAACGCTCCAGATCACTGCAGTCCTTGAGCTGGAGTTCACAAACGCTATGCCCACACAGTTCGCTTACGATCCACCCTGGTGGCTATTGTTGGTAGGCCCTGATACGTGGCTGGAGCGAGGCTACACCATGGAAGATTTTGTGGCTCAGTATACACCTAGATTGAAACAGTTTCTATACGCCCTTGAGCAGATAGAAGCTGAGAAGTGTAGGAAAAAGTCCAATGTACAGCGCATTTCCAAGTTAATGCGCAACTCTTGGACGAGCGGAGAGTCCTGGTTCAATTTCGCAGCTAGAAAGAGCTTGGATGTGGACGCCATCTTCTATCACCAGTTACACATGATTTATTATGGGGGTAAAGCTAATGTCGACTTGCTTGACGACAAGGTACGAGAAGGCTTAGAGTCATTTGTACGGATGAAGATGGAGCAGAAGGCGGCCTAGGAAGAGGAATGTGCATTGCTGTAAAGCTATAGTGAATCATTTGACATGAAATGATCAGCAACACTATGAGATCTCTCCACATTCTCGATAAGTCGTACACCCGACCGCCATCATGTGGGTAGCGGAGAGACGATCAGAGTAACCTAGGACTCTTAGAATTTATGGTCCGTAGCAACCAATACTTGAGTAGTAACTTGAAGCCTATTTTTAGGTGATGGCACCACCACCTCCTGGTCGGCGCTCCTTAGAGTCTCTCCTCATTTCTCGGTTGGCCTGTTGCTTTTCTCTCTCTCTCTTCCCCCCCTATTTGCGCTCCTTCGACTCTCTCGCGGCTTGCTCGAGTAGCTCTTCATCATCTTAAGCCTTGGGAGCTTATAGGACTCGTTATTTCCACCTCCTCCGGCGCCGCTCGTGGTGCTCATACTTTTTGAGTTGATCTTGCGCCAATAAGAGGGCTGTTTGTTGAAGGTTCTGGCTGGGTGAGGCAGACGTTTAGATCAGGCGGTACGAGAAAACAAATTTGCGTCGATTGGGGGTGTTTTCGTTTGAATATGGAGGCGGGCTTTTTATCAGAGATGAAGTACAAAGGTTGCTCAACATGGAGGCCCGCAAAACCGGATATCCCGATTATGTCAATGTGTCCTCTTCGTGTTCCATCCAGGCAGATACCGTCTGGAACCTGATGTATTCAGTACGGGATGGCCCAATGTGGGGCCCAAAACTTCTCCAGGTTCTCACCTGTTATTGTGTGCTTTGGTGGCCCGGATCATCTCTCTTCATGAACGCCTGCTTCGTTGGAGGTTCGAAGAGCGTGATTGGATCTAATGTTTGCGTCTATAAGTGTGACTCTTACAGAGTGGCATCGCTTCGACGGCATTCTGCATCTGACAGCGTTTCCATTGCTTCAAAAGAACCTCCCTCCGAAGCGCAAGTGTTTCTTTCCTGGATCGATAAGGTTTTCTTTTTTAAGTGTATAGAAATACGCGGCACTAGGCAATTGGGCAAAGACGACATTCACTCCGCACCGTCCCATTTGCGAAGAAGTTGAGGACAACCAAACTGACCAACTATATCAGTGATGGGTTCGTTAGTGAACGGGACGGCCCGCAAGGCACCACACAGAATAACGTACCCGGCATTGGTGGTCTACTGGAGTAGAATCCCAGAAGGGCAACTTGGGTAGCATTTGTGTGAACGAACTGAACCAGTCATAAAATGTTCAAAATCATGCAGGATTTCGCAGTAGTTCAAGCCACGAACCCCGTCGTCGGCAAAAGGGCCATTAGAACCATTAGAAAAAAATAACCTTGGGCATGACATGCTAGGAGTCCTGGGAATTTCCTGGATCGGATCATCTTTGGGTGCCAAACCAACTACATGAAAAGTCCCATTCACTCTTTGTAGCTTCTGACTGAGGGTGAGGCTTCCAGTTCATATGCTGGGACAGCTGTTGGAGAGGCCACCAGTTGCGCTAGCTGGTCTGCTTCCTTATTACCCTTGATTCCCAGATGATGGGGTAGTGTGTTTACGAAAGGCGTACAAAGATATTCTAGATCAAGTTGATAATACCGTACATGTAGAATAATCCAAATGATAATAATTAATTCGTCTCTTAACCAGCTGTGTTGATATCACACACTATTTCTGCCTCCTTGACCTCTTCAATACCTGCGTCTATTGGGTGAATGAAGTATTCAGTCGCGGAACAGTTTCCCATATTGTTATCCATATTAGATTTCTGACATTTGAAACTTGTACCAAAAGTTCTAACAAATGAGCTTTTCGCTCAATTTTACAGCATCCCCATGGCACTGCATGGTTGTTTTCACGGCTTTCGAAAGGCAAGTAGCTGATACCAGTGCAAGTCGTTGACTTAGAAACCATTGAAATGACAAATTCAGGTGCATAATTGTTACACGAGTCCTTGCACCCCGCATCCGGTCAACAGTTAACAGTAGGTGTCTCCCCCTCTAGACCCTTCCATCTCCAACTTCCCCGACATCAACTTTTCCAGCATCAACTTTTACTCAAGCTGGACCCTTGTTTCTTTCGTCCTTTTAGATATCTAACGGTCTTTTTGCTACTATCGATCTAAAAATGGAGACACCAGAGCCGCATACGGTTTCTCTCCCCAATTGTCCAGAGAAGCAGCCCCCCGCAGAACCCCGCAAAATTGTTGTGGAGTGGGTAGACAAATTCCGCGCATCACTGGCTCAGGCAAATGTGTCCGATTTGCAAAAGCTCTTTCTCACAGATGCATGGCTGCGCGATATGGTTGTTCTCTCGTGGGACCTTCGCACCATCAACGGTGCTTACAAGGTAGCTGCGTACTTCCAAGAGAATCTGGAGAGAGCAAAGTTCGAAGAATTTCACCCTAGGGAATCTGAGCGGTTCGAACCGCAGTTTAAAACAGTTGAACCGGGATTGCAATGGATTGAGACTATGTTCGATTTTGAAACTGAGACGGGAAAAGGTTCTGGGATGCTTAGGCTTGTCCGCGATAGCGATGATATTTGGAAGGCGTATATGCTCGGTTTCGTCCTGCAGGGGCTAAAGGGATATGAAGAAATATCTGGCCTCAATCATCCTAATAAAAGATCAGATGCCATCGTGGATAATCCTCGTCAGGAGAAGCGTTTCACAGATATTGAACCCACCGTTCTTGTCATTGGAGCAGGTATGTTTTATTTTCCCATCTTGACCACGCCCGCAATTGCGTGATACGCATGTTAACTAAATGCCCGTGTAGGACAGGCTGGGCTTATGATCGGTGCAAGGCTGGGTAAACTAGGTATCCCGACCCTGATCATTGAGCGAAACTCCAGGGTCGGTGATAACTGGCGCAAGCGATACAGGGTATGTGGATCTCAGATCCCAAGGATTGAAATGACCATATCTTGCTGAATATGCACATATAGACTCTGGTCACCCATGACCCGGTTCAGTATTCTCAAATGCCATATCTTCCATTTCCATCCGGTTGGCCCATCTATACGCCCAAAGACAAGCTAGCAGATTGGCTAGAAACATATGCCAGAGTGATGGAGCTCAATGTATGGACCGGCACGGAGATTGAAAAAAGCGAGTACGATGAAAAGTCAAAGACGTGGTCGGTGATAGTGCGTTCGAATGATGGTGTTACTCGCACCGTACATCCACATCACATCGTCCTAGCCACCGGCCATTCGGGAGAACCACTAATGCCCAATTTCCCCGGAAAAGAGAAGTTCAAGGGTGAAATATATCATAGCTCGCAATATAAAGATGCCTCCGAGCACGCGGGCATTAAGGGTAAGAAAGTTGTCGTCGTTGGTACTGGGAACAGCGGGCACGACATTGCGCAAGACTTCTACGAGAACGGTGCAGAGGTAGCCATGCTCCAGCGCCGCGGGACCTTCGTGATCTCGCAGAAGCATGGGGTAAGCGCGCTTGTGGCCGGTATGTACGACGAATCAGGCCCACCCACAGACGAAGCCGACACCTATGTACAAAGCATGCCTATACCTGTACAGTTCGCCTTACACGTCTCTGTCGTGAAAATGCTTCGCGAGGGTGCGGATAAGGCGACGCTTGAGGGTCTAACGAGGGCTGGCTTTAAGCTTGATGCTTGTCGTGATGGTGCTGGGATTTTTAAGAAATATTTTACTCGTGGAGGCGGGTATTATATCGATGTCGGATGCAGCAAATTGATTGTCGACGGTAAAATAAAGGTTAAACAGAGTGATGGGGGAATTGAACAGTTTGACTCTGATGGCCTGGTGCTCGCCGACGGAAAGGGGACAAAACTTGCTGCTGATATCGTGGTGCTGGCCACAGGGTATGATAATATGAAGAGCACCGCGAGAAAAATTATGGGAGATAAGGTTGCCGACAAGCTTTATTCCTCGTGGGGTTTGGATGAAGAAGGGGAACTCAATGCAGTATGATCAATTTTTTCTGTTCACCAATTTCCCACATTTCCCACAACCTTTCTTCCCAGGTTTCCGTGGCTTCCCCCGTTTACATATCCATGATGCGCCATTTCAGGATGCTGATTCACCTATGATGCTATAGATGTGGCGCTACAGTGGCCATTCTAATTTCTGGTATATGGGTGGAAATCTAGCTCTTTGCCGCTTTTTTTCTCGGCTACTAGCCTTGCAAATTCTCGGGGTGGAAAAAGGGTTATATGTCCCCCCGCAGGAGAAACAGTAAATGCCGCACATTTCTCAGAGACAAGTCACATATTCTCTGATCTCATGATTGGGGAAGAAGCTAGCATGATATTAACAGGATTATCGGAGCAAGATTTCTAGGAATGGGAAAACCCTAAGGATACTAGTATGATAAATGCCTGACAGAAATTGGTCGGAAAACTAAGGCTTGATACTAGTTGTGATAAGGAAAGGAATAAAGAAGTTGCAATATGAAAAAAAGAATTGGAAATAGTGGTTGAAAAGAACTGTAGAAGCCAGCACAATGCGTCTCCCTGAGTCAAAATATGTGTTGTACTGCGGGAGTTTCGGACGTTTCGAGCAAATCCCTGAGGAGGAATCTTGGCAATGTCTCGATCAGGAAATTCTAGACCTCATCCATAAATCTTCCTTGTCCCTTCCGCCCGATCCAGAATCATAGAGTCCCGACCCTGCAATCTCTCTATTCTACGAAACGGGGACGTAATCAAACGGGCGCGGAAAGAGCGTGAATGATCAGGGTCCGAATAAGTTGTTATCTAAGCGTTTTATAGAAAGATGGGTACTTGCGCAAAACTACTATCCCAGTACTTTACCGCCAAGGTCAGCGATCCGCCAGGCATAGATCAAGTCCTGCCCTCCTAAAAAATACAATCGTTAGAATGATTAACTATATACACATCTTCAGTATAAATTATACATCAAATAAGAAACTCAAAATGAACTATATACAGATACGTCTAAATCAACCATCCATATATATGAACCAAACCGAATACCTGCCTCTTCCCCCCAATATACCTCCTTACCCCTAAAGCCTCGCCTTCAAGTGCCCCAAAACCATCCTCAACCGTTTCACCGCTGGCCCGTCTTCCCCCGTCCCAGCAACCCCGCCATCCTCCCCACATTCCTTGCGTTCCACAACTTCCTTCTTCGCAGCTTCCACATACGGTTTCAGGAAACCCCACACCGTATCCTGGTACGTCCCATCAACCTCCAACCACTCTGCTATGCCAGGCATTGTTGTCCAGTCCCATTCCCCGCCCTGGCCATGTTGGCGTGGTTCTTGCGACTGTTGTTGGATGGCGGAGAGAATGGAGTTGATGTCTGGGATGAGGCTGAGTTGGTTTGGGGGGAAGGGGTGGATTTTTGTTGCTTCGGTTGAGAAAGAAGGGGGGGAGGCAGAAGAGGACGGTGGCGGTTGCTGTAGCATGGAAGGGTCTAGCTCGAGGAGTTCGCTTTGCGGGGATTCGGGGGTTGCGAATGTTGCTGGTTGGAACGTTGGAGAGGTGAGGAGGGCGATGACGTCTTGACCGTCTGTGGAGTGAGGGATATATGAAGCCCGGTGGTATGTGCCGATGTTGGGGTCGTTTGGTTTATGACTGTGATTGCGGGTGGTGTTTCCGGCGGGAGAGGAGTTGTGCCAAGCAGAGTCGAAGTCGTCATTGGGCAGGTTTTGCTGAGGGTTGGAAGAGGTGGAAGGATCGAGGAGATCTTCCATCTCCCCTGCTCTTAATTTTCCTTTTCCCTTCGTGCTGGTTGCATCGTAGGGGTCTAGAAAGAGAGTGTCATTGCCATTGTCGTGGCCGGCAATGTTATTCTGCGTAGGATCCTGGAACCGTTCCCAAGCTCTTTGATCATCTTCATCAATTAGGCTCATTGTCGCCGGGAGAGGAGCGGAGCGCAATGACTCAGAAGGGAACCTCTGGGCTCCGCTTGCACGGCTTGATGGCTGACCTAGGCTTAACCCATGCGAATGGAGGGTATTCTCAGACGCTGAATCACCAGCGTGGAGCAGCGCATGAGCGTTGGAAGAGGGTGAGCTTCCTTTGCTGGACAAGCCTAGTCCTGCAGTAAGGGTTGAGGATATGTCGCCTGCTAGAGAGCGGGAGGGAGACCCTGAAAAGGTGTTTTGTAGCAATCCTGATGCGGAATGTTGGATTCTACTTGCAATTGAGGATTTTGGCGGAGCGGGTTCCGAGGTGGCAGAGGTGGAGGAGGGTGGCGGCATCTGTTCCTCATTTCGCAAACCCCGCTGTGACTGTTGGTGAGGGCGAGATGAAGGAGGATTATTACCCATTTGTTTGGTGTTTAAATCTCAAATTCCCTTCCGGAGGTATATATAACTTTTTATACGTATATTCAAGGCCTCTGGAATTGATGAAGAGAGGCAAACGCGTGTTGTCAATGGATATCATAGACTTCATTTCTGTTCCATTAATAAATCCATAGTGATATCCTTTTGGCTATATGGTGGGTTGACAGGTGAGAAGAATGAAGTCGGTGTTGATAACATGTGAAAGAGTAAAAATAATTAAGCTGGAAGCGAAAATAGCTATTTCTCAAGGTAAAACTACCTAGGCACTGAAGGTGATGGTAATATTAAGCAACCAACAGGAGGACCACCATATTCGAGACCACACTGAGCTAGGCTAGGACTGGAATAAAACAAGAAAAGATACACTCAACCTAGTGCGCGATAAGAGTAACGACAAAGCAGCCTGGTCTGTTGGCGAAGTGGGATAAGAGGTATTTCCGTGTACCTCCCCCACCAAAACCGCCGCCCGGTACCTGTGACGACAAACCGCGCACCCTCTCCATATTCCGGTTTGTTGAGCCTCTTTGCCTTTCCGGGGTGTGACCTGTCCATCTTCCTCTTCCTCTGTTGCTTCTCCTCTCCGTTCAACTCTGCTTTCGTCTCCCTATCCTGTTCCAACGGCCATAGACCATTTCTTTTTCATTTTCTCTAGGTCTGCGATTGCTCTAGCTTCCTGTTCCTCCCCTCTTCTCCCACTCTTCTCTCTTGGCTCGGTCGTCTTACGTTAGTTACCTCTCCCAGGCCACCCATTTCTCTTGACCATTGTCCTTGCTTCGTTTTAGTCTCCGGTAAGTAATTACCTTAAAGAAACTGCTTACCACTCCTCCCCCTCCTTATTTAAATGCACCGTGTTTGATTCTGAGACCTTGCCCGCTGGACAGGCGAGTTGGCTGCTGTTTGAGTGTTGTGGTCTTTCTCTTTTGCCTTTGGTTGCTCGCCCGCTCGCATTGCCAGAATTCCTCCCACGTCAACAACCAACCAGCCCACATCGTCATAACTAACCAAAGGCCACAACCAAACAGTTCTCTTCTATAGACCGTTATCTTCTCTTCCTCTTCTTCAACTCCTATTCTTCCATCTCCTTTCGATAACCTAATTGTAATCGTCCGCGTGTTTACGTCCCGTGTGTCCATTTTCCCCCGCCATTTCGCGCCAGCTCTCCAACCCTCCCGGCCCTGCTCGTGCAAGCCCTGTGATATTGACTATCTCAACACACATAACCCCGCAGATAAGAAAGCAGAAAAGCAATCACCCAGGCCTCACCACCTGCTAGATATTTTGTTTTGTCTGTGCACAACCCATAACAGAGGGTTGATCGTTCTTAAAAAATGGTAGACGGAGATCCAGGTTCACCTACCTGGAAGTTCACACAGTAAGCGCTCCACTACTTCCCATTTTCACTACTTTTCCACATCATCCAATGCGACTGGAAAATACGTACAACACCCTAGGCAGATTCCCGCGGGCTCCATTCGCCTGAGCCCCCAGCGGAATTTTGTTGCTAGTTGCGATCTTTAGGAGCACTGGTGGGGATTTTTTTAATACTTGTGGAACACCTTTCTAACAGCTTCAATCCAGATGCTTCGGCGATAAAGGGGATGTGGAGGACATTACAGATGGTTTGATCCCTCCATTTTACTTATATTATTCCACTTTTCCCCCACCCTCGCACTTTTCCGGCCTTTTTGGCTGAAGATACTTTGGCGACCTCTCAACTTTCGCAACGGATAGCGCTGATGCATCTCGTTTTCCTACAGCTGATATCATATCAACGGTTGAGTTCGATCACACGGGAAACTACCTTGCAACGGGTGACAAAGGAGGACGAGTAGTATTATTTGAGAGAAACGAGACGGTATCCTATTGCTCTTAAACATTCCCACTCGGTCATTCAATGAGCGTAAGACAGAAACTCTGACTTGTCCCGAGTAGAAAAAAACATGCGAGTATAAATTCCATACCGAATTCCAATCTCACGAGCCGGAATTTGATTACCTAAAGTCCTTAGAGATTGAAGAGAAAATCAACAAAATAAAATGGTGCAGACGACAAAATGCATCCCACTATCTCCTTTCGACCAACGATAAGACCATAAAGCTTTGGAAAGTGTTTGACAAGTCGTTAAAGGTCGTTGCGGAAAATAACCTCTCTCATGATCTCACACCGGCAGGCGCTGTAGCTGGTGGAGGCATGCCACGCGCCCCGCAAATTTCCTTCCGTGACGCATCCTCGCTCAAACTGCCTCGCCTCACCCATCACGACACTGTAGTTGTTGCAGTTCCTCGACGTATCTATGCTAATGCCCATGCTTACCACATCAATAGCATATCGGTCAACAGTGATGGCGAAACATTCATCAGCAGTGACGATCTTCGAATCAACCTATGGAACTTAAATATCCAGGATCAGAGCTTCAATATTGTTGATATTAAGCCCGCAAATATGGAAGAACTGACGGAAGTTATTACAGCTGCGGAATTCCATCCTACTAGTTGTAACTGGTTCATGTATGCTAGTTCCAAGGGAACTATCAAACTCGCAGATATGAGGCAGAGTGCTCTCTGCGATCAGCATCACAAACGTACGTTTTTGAGTCCATCATCCCTCGCGTCAATGACCTTTTGACTCCATATCACTCTCCATCTCTGCTAACCTCAAATTTCTCCTTGAATAGAATTCGAGCAAGAAGAGGATGCTTCTTCCCGTTCTTTCTTTTCCGAAATCATTTCCTCCATTTCTGACGTCCGTTTCTCGAATGACGGGCGCTATATACTATCTCGCGACTACCTAACCGTCAAAATATGGGATGTCAACATGGAAAGACAGCCTATAAAAACGATCCCGATCCACGAGCACCTCCGCCCCCGGCTTTGCGATACGTATGAAAACGACAGCATCTTTGATAAATTCGAGGTGGTATTTTCCGGCGATGCGGAGAATGTCATGACTGGCAGCTACAACAATAATTTTATGATCTATCCCTCCGACCCTAACAAGGAGACCGAAGTTGTCCTCCAGGCCGACAAGACTGCATTCAAGGCAAAGAAAGTTGGCGTACCGACTCCCATAAATTCTTCCGCGTCAACCAATAAAAAGGGGGGATCGAGGGCTGGTAGTCCTGCAGGTGCTGGTGGAAGGATGAAGAAAGAAACAGACGCAGATCAAATCGATTTCAACAAAAAAATTCTGCATATGAGTTGGCATCCTTTCGAAGATAGCATTGCAATCGCGGCCACTAACAATGTAAGCTTTGAGTCTTCTTATCCTTGCGTTATTTTGTCTGCCCTATCAACCCATTTTACATAGTTATCCTTCTTGCTTTGCCTTCTCAATTTTTGGTCTCTCAAACTCTAACATATATTTGTTTTCTATAGCTATTCGTGTTCTCAGCCCTGTGAATCGACGCAGAAGGACGAAGAAGGAAAGACGAAAAAGGGAAAAATAAAATAAAAATGAAACAATGCTGGTTGCATCGCCTCACCTTGTTCTTGCCCTTGATTATAATATCCCAGTCCTACACGACACTATCCACCCATCTATCTATTACATACACTTACTTCTACTACCTCCAGCAAAAATCCACCTCGCCCAGTTTAATTTGTGTTATCAGGGCATTAGCAGCAGGCCTTCCGCCAGCAAATACAATTTATTTCCCTCTTTACCTTGAACCCATTTCGCTCTCCCTTTCCCTCTCCGTCTCTGTCGATTCTCTTTATGCTGTGTTGGTCCTCGCGTCTTGAACCCGCGTAGTTTTTACCTCTTGTTTAATTTGCAAGGAGGGGAATGAACAAAAAGGAAGGAAAAATCATTCATAAATTAGGTGCTGAAATTTCTCTCTCGCTGCCACACACATGATTTGCTTTTGGTGCAAGGGAACAAAAGCGGAAGGATAATGTATAAAGGAATAAAGCTAGTTGATGTGATACGTACAGATGATATGTGGTGTAGAGAGGTTCTTAAAGTTCTTACACAAGTTTCACACCCTATTTTCACCTACTTCCTCCCTGCCACACACCACTCAATCCTGTTGATGATGAGCAAATTTGGAAGATTGATATGAATAACTTCGTCCTCCCCCCCTTTTTACGCTTTCCTTGTTCCTTTTAGCATTTGTTGGTATGAGACGATCGGGTAGGATAATAAAATGCGTTTCACTGTCCTGCCTGCTTCCCCCCCGATAACCCAAAACCCGGAACCAACTAAGGAAAAGAAAACAAGACTATAAAAAATGAATGAAATGAGTAATGGAAAAGGACATCCGTCCACGGGAATAAGAGAGAAATTTATCTAACAAGAAGAGGATAAGAGATGGCGGATTTTGAGGGGGTGAGGAACAAAGTTTTATACATCTGCCCAGTTACAAGCCCCTTTACACATGGGTGATGGAAATTTCAACACAATATCGCTGAGTTGGGAACCAGGAAAGGCGTTAGGCTGGAGAATGAAAAGTATTCATCAAATACACAAGTCTGAAGCATTCTCGATGAAGAGGGGAGGGGAGTAGGTACATTAACGTTGGAGCGGATTCTTTGGATAATAGGGATGGCTATTGACGAGTTGGGCTCCTTTTTCCTTTGCGCATTTTCCACTGTTTTATTTTTGTTTCTTTTACTTTCTTTCCCCCCCTCTCTTTTCACTGAATTGCAAGGATCCAAAGAATGAAAGAAAGAAAGGGTAGGGTTTGTGTTTGTTGGATTACTTTTTTCCCCCTTTGCTTGGAAATACTACAATAGAAGGTTTCTTCTCCCCTCCATATCAATTAATTAGTTATTTTATAGTTTTCTTGATGGTCGTTTTTTCTAAGATCTCTTTGGAGATTGTCGGCTACTTTTTCTCCTTTCCTTTCCTTCTGCTCCTTGGTTTACTCCATCTCCAAAAATTTTTCCATCGTATGCTCTTTCCTACAACAGTCGCAAGTTTAAGTCCAGGGGCCCGGCAGGCGCGGAAGAAATATAGAAATAAATCGAGTTTTTCTGGTTTCTTTTTCTTTCTTTCTTTCGACATCGATTTCCACTTTCGTTTTCGGGTTCGAAGGAATATGGGCAGGCAGCCACGCCAGGCGAAACTTGTACACATGCCTAGGAGTACTGGTGGGATGGAATGGACGTAGGATTTCCGTGTGCTTCATAACACGTTTTGCTATTATTCATTAAACTTTCGTGATTTCATCTCACATAAGCTTGGAACAGCCTTTTTCTATCTCCGGTGTTGTAGCCGGGTAAGGTATGATGGTAGCTATGTATTGAGACAGTAAAGCATTGCTGTGGTGTATCAGACACTTTTATCACTTGATCTTCCTAACGTACCATTTGCGTAGCGGCAAAGTCCTGGATTTTCAAGTGTTAGATTCTTTTAGATTTTCAGTTGAAAGGGATAGAAAAACGAACTGAACGGTGAAAAATATAGCGATGCAATAAAAAGGAAAAGGGTAATAAAATATTGGCGTACCGGAAACTCATCTATGATAGAAGCAGCTACGCTTTCAACTTCCTCAGCCAAGTTTTGAACGCCAGCATCCCAGGCTCTTAAACTTCGTCCTGCCGCCTCTGCTGTGGGGCCAACACCAGGGATTCCCGAGTCGAAGTAAATCACGCCTTTAATCTGATCAATTGTACCTTTTAATCTCCCTTGCTCAAGCATGCGCGCAGCATATGCCTCTGCTCTCTCCCCGGCGCTCAAATCACCACTGGCCTCAAGTCCAAGAATGTTGCCCAATTCCTCTACGTGGATATTCTCATACAGACGACTAGCCGCGAGGAGATTGTGTTCGATTACAGCTCGACCAAGCACTGTGGATCCATCTGCAGTTACAGCTAGTTGGTGAGGGACTAGCTTCTCAGCGAATGCCTTCACCTCTCCAGCGGTGAGTAGCCTATCCATGAATATCTTCTCCAATATATTGTATACGTCGAGAGACGACGATCGGTCGTCCTTGTATAGACGGGACAAAGTACGGGAACGTTGGGGCCCCGCGGGTCCGAGAACGGCACATATAATGGCTGCGGAAAGAGCCTGGAGACGATCTCCTTCCTCGATATCCCCAGATAAACTCAAATTGAGATACTGCTGGCTTGCATCGAGGAATCGGCGGTTAAAATCTGAAATGCGGGCCTGGGAGAGTTGGAAGTGAAGTTTCAACTCAGGGTCTTGAATCTTGGTGGGCATGTTCTTGACTCTGTTCAAGAAACTCTCTGCATTTGTGGTATCGTCTTCTTCTAAATATAGCCGTACGATACGAATCCATATGCGTACCTTCGCGTCGTCAGACATGAGATGTTGGGAACTATCGAAACGGATCGCCTGTAGGACTTTAGCTGCCTGTGTAAAATTCTCTTCCGCCTCGTACGCGTCTGCAAGAATTTCCCTCAGAACTGTATCCTGTGCCTCAGCAGAGGTCGAGTGGGATTGTATCTCGGATAGCGCATCTTGTCCAATCGCAATTATGATCGGAGCTGGTAGATTTCGGAGAGAGTTGATGAAGTTATCGAGGAGGGGTCTGGCAGCGACGATTCCGACGGTTTCGCCAAGGATGGAGTTTAGGAATGCATTAATGTTGGATTTAATGTTTGGGGATGATGGGGATGATATTATCTTGGATAGGAGCTCATTGTACAACTGCGGCTTGCTCTGTTGGTTTGTTGTTGATTCAATAGAAGCTAAGGATGAGGTGACATTAGGATCCGCCATTGCGGGTATGGTAGTGGGTGAGTCTCGTGGGCCAACGCTGGAAATGATGGCCCTTATATACTTTAGTTACAAGGAAGAACGGAGGTATTGCGGCAAGAAGAGGGAGCTAAATGAAGGGAACATTGTTACATATTCTATTTCGCCCGCTCCAACTCTTAGGCTTCATTTGGCTTAGTCAGCAGTCCCAACATAGTTACCATCTGTTAAAGGGATGGGAATAAATTTTATAGATATAGAATAGATCGGGCTCAGCCATAAATTCAAGCCGGCTATGATAAATACTAGGAAAGCATTAGACATGTATTGTACAATAATTAAGACTCCATGCTCTCAGCATCCACCAGCATTATGAGATATGATACGAGTCGGAATGTTGAATGTTACTGTCTGGGCGTCAGGTGGAAGATCACAGCTTCCATGGATGTGGTTACGGAAACGGTTTTCTGATTAACTGGGAATAATCAATAAACTCCAGTCTTTTGGCCGTGACTCGAAACGAAGGGCATGCATCGGCACCCACCAAAAGCAGTGTAACAAGGACAGCGGAAACTATTTACTAAGACATTGGTCCAATTAAGCTTAGTTATCCTCTAATGTTCCTTGTGAGGGGTACATAAAATAAATAAGAAAAAGAGAAGTGCCCCCTTTACTAATAGATGATTCTCAGACGCCATACCATGTTACTCCGATAAATTCATTTGGATGACCGTTCCGCCAATCTATACTACATTCTCAAACGAAACATTCGCGTCGTCATCGTCCATATCAGTACCAACACCCGAAGCAGTTGGCTCTCCTTCCGAGTCGAAATTGTAACCCGCTGTAGGCGGGAGCTCCTCCTTAGCATCTCTGTACGCTAAGGCGTCTGCGTAGTTGCTTTCCCTGGCTTCTGGCTTAAGTTCCCATGTCATGGCAAAATCCCCGCTTTTGACAAGATGGGCTACCATTTCCAAGGTTTGCTTGAGGTAAGCTTCGGGCTGCTTGAGTTCTGCTTTGAGAGATTTGAATGGCCAGTATTTATGTCGTCGGAAGCAGCCATAGATAAGATCTAGAAGCTCGTTTTGGGGCATGCGCGCCGTCTTATTCTCTTGAGCGCGCACTTTAGGAGGTTTGGCAACTTGCTGATCGAAAAGTTAGGAAAGGGAACGACTTAAGGCAATAGTTGGGTTAAAGGAGAATATGTATTGTGACTTACAATAAAAGTAGATTTATCGGCGGCAGCAACGGTCTTAGGTTTAAGCATCTCACCGCTGACTTTGCCAATATATAATGTTTCGCGCTTAGGTTTAAGAACGTCAAGTGCCCGAGCTTCAGCCATTCTCTGATACTCCTCGTTTTCTACCGGAAGGCAGTTAAATTCGTCACGGACGCTGCCGACAATTGCCGTTTGTTCTAGATAATGCGGTAGAAACAATCTGTTAATATGTTCCTATATTGTCCTAAAAGCTCCGTAGATAGATAAACGTACTTGGTATTGTTTTCCGAGTGTAGGGCTCCCATTTCTTGCGATTGCTTCGTTTCCTAGACTCTCTTTTTGTCTGCTCATATAGGTATGATCTTCCATGCGGCTGCGCCTCATTAAACAGTAGATGCGTCCTGTCCCGATATCCCGGTAGGTCCTTTTCGGTGAAAATGAATGTGTTCTGTACCGCATAGGCTGACTTATCAGGATTGACATTTTGTCGCCGCAGGTTGTAATCTTTTGGAACACCTTTCATTTGGGGTATGTCATCAAGGCGCATGCTAACCTGTTAGACGGAGATAAATTAACTTTCTTCCTCCTCCTCTTCTTCTTCTTCTTCTTCTCGTTATTCTTGTTATTCTTATTCTCGCTTTTGCTGTAGTAGCTAATTCTAGAGAATAACATGGAAAGTGAGGCACATACACGTTTAATGTCCGTAGGGCCGCCCTCCACCCTGATGCTGCCGATTTGCACTTCCTCGTCATCCTCGAGCCTTGACCAATTTTCCCAAAGCATTTTCGGTATACGGGTCAACCAAACATCTTGCATTGAATTAGAAAAATCCAAATCTCCAGTATCTTCGTATATATCATCGTCGGATACGGGCCCAGAGGCTTCAGGTTTGGCATCGGGGTCTGGCTTGAGCATAGGCATTGGGCTTGGCTCTTGTTTAATTCGCTGGCCTCCAGGGCCTGGTCCCGAAGCCATGTCACGGGTATATCCAGCGGCAATTATCTGATATAAGTCTTGGAAATTCGTTCACGCGACGTCGAAGTATGTTAGAGATATTTCAAAGTGGCTGCAGGAGTGTCCGGAATTTGCCCGTATTCCCACTTTTGTCATTCAATATTATATCCGTGGTTGAATGCGATATTTCCCAAATACCCGCTCCGTAGTTTCAGCAGCTCAAGTCGTGGATGTCATTCCGCTCATTCAGTTCTGGGAGGAAGGTAGGTTGACAATTGCTCTGGCTTTGACACCGCCACGTGACGAATTGTCCTGACGGATGTACCACGTGACTACCACACGTCATCTTTTCCAGATATTTCGAATGGCAGGGACGTTTTCCTTTCAATTCACCTTGCTCCAACTTCGACGTGTTGTATCAACACAGGTGATAAGCATCTACAAGGATTACAGTGGCCCTAGAGCGAACTTTGTCATGACAGAAGACCAGGATCTCTTAGCTAAAATTGGACTGCTTGCTGGTGAGTTTCCCATCAGGCTTATTTTGATACTTGATTTATTCTGATGTGCTTCAAGGGCAAATCAATCAGCATAAAAATCAGGCTACACCCCCAACCCAGCCATCACGCGGCGGACGTTATACATCTTACCACTCAACCCACCCGCGACGTCACGCGGGATGGGCTCCCTATCGTGGACGAGCTAGCCATCCAAGTTCGAGACGCCATGCAGCTCCTCATCGAAATCGAACGCTAGTTCTCAGCAACCTGTCTACGCCGGCAGAAAGTGCGAGCGGCACCCCATCCTGTAATGCATCAACTGATGAAATGAATGAAGCAAAACCTGTATGCCAAAATGGATGGGTTGCCAAAAGGGACCGCCACATGCAACTCATAAACTCTGCAATATATGATAAAGAAGCTCAAGCCAGAACCAAGGCTATCGAGGAGAGCCGCAAGCTCAAAGCCCAGAGGATAGCACAGCGAGAGGAGGCCAAGGTCTTGAGATATGTACAGGGTGTTGGCGGATACCGACCGGTCGCAACTCCGGTTGTTGGGCAACGAGCGGCTTCCTACCGAATCACCATTCAAGATGTTCCGTTCCAAGTGGTGCGAGGTGGCAGCAAACTAATTCGGTTACCTAGTGAGATATACATCCCTATAGCTGGCGATTCTGAAACTGGCTTACTCTTTCTAGATGAACCGTCGGCGGCGAACGTTACTCCCAAGAAGGTGAACATTGGTGGTGTAAACTTCGTAAGAAGCAAAAAAGGAAACCTGCATCGTTTAGGATCAGTGGTTTCAAGAAAGTATGTAGCAGGCTGACGGCGTTTATTTGGTAGGGTTTCTTCAATATTGTCATTAACTTATATAAACTATAGGAAAACTGGGACTGTTAAGAAAAAGAATGAACGCTGCAAAAGATTTACTTCGACGGGTACCCGACTCTCTCCCTCCGGAAGACTTCACCACACCCACCATCATGATGCCGATTGACCATACGGGTTTAGATTGGGGAAGTGTGCGTTTTGCCGTACTGACTAATATCTTTTTTCTAGGTTCCTGCTTCAAAGGGCCAAATTGCCCCTATATCCACGATCCTAATAAAGTTGCCATCTGCAAAGAGTTCCTTCAGACAGGCAAATGTGCAGCTGGCTCGGCGTGTGACCTTTCTCACGAACCAAGCGCCGAAAGGTCCCCTTCGTGTTTGCATTTCCTTCGTGGGCGCTGCTCCAATCCATCATGCCGATATGCACACGTTCGAGTTAACCCTGGTGCGCCTGTTTGTCACGATTTTGCGATTCTGGGCTACTGCAGCAAAGGGGAAATCTGTGACCAGCGTCATGTTCACGAATGTCCCGACTATGCTAACACGGGGAATTGCGGCAATCGGAAGTGCCAGCTCCCTCACGTGGACCGCGCAGGTCAAATCCGCAAGATTGCAGCTAATAAGGCAGAAACTACTGATGATAGAGACAGCGCCGACGACGATGATATTTTAAGCGATGAAGAGGCTTTCGATGAAATTGATTCAGATGATGTTGACTCCGACGATTCTGACGATGACCCCATCATAATCACAGAGGGTGTCGACACAGGCGAAATTTCACAGCAACAAGATTTTGTCCGTTTTTCGTCCTGATCCGGTGTCTGGGCCTTCTGTTAAATGGTCCAACAGCCGGAAAAGCTTGGGAGAAGACGCTCCTAGGAATCCCGCAAGGATTGATAATCGGGAATGGAATTACCGTAAGGATCAACCCTTTCAGAAGTCCTTGGCTTCTCCATAACTTTCCCTCCCCATTTTTTTTCTTTCCCTTCTCAAAAACGCAACGGCGATGAGCGTCCTCTAACGGAGGGCAGAATAAATGATACCATATGGCGTATCCTGTGACTTTTCTAAATGCATCTCTCGAATTATCCCTGTCTACCGAAAATCATCTCTGAGATGAATGGTAGACCCTTTTTGCCATTGGTCTTTCATATTCATTAATTTTTACTACCCGTTTCTTTTCTGATTCTTCTTTTTTGTTTTGCATTTGGTTTGGTCATAGGAATAGGAGATACCCTTGTATTGCATTGCCCTGATAGCTTAAGGCAACATTGATACATGCCTGTCGGTACAGGATAGTCACTTCCAAAAATGTGGTCGCTAGGCCATTGGGGAAAATTAAGAGCAGAAAGAAATGGGAAGGAAAACAAATTTCAGTTTAAGGTTATTGTTTGTTGAAAATAGAAAGAATCGAAGAGAGCAACAACCCATTGAGTAAAAATTAATATAAATATTCTGCATTCTTATTTGTGAATTGGATGTTTTCACATGTTCTTGTAAAAGTGATGAAAGAGTGGGAGTATTAAACATACAGACAACTCACACCCACACCTAGATCCCAATTGCCATACATGATAGGTTGGTAGGCCAGTGCTGGAGGGGGAAGAGTCGTCGAAACTGAAATACAGTAAATAGCCTTTAATTAACAGCGCACGACTTCTGCGGCAAGGGGCCATCCATTGAGGTAAAACAAAACATATAGGAGAAAATGGATTGACCATGGCGCAACACAATTGACAGCATGATAGACCATTTCAAGTTCCCCGTTCCAATGAGTTTCTGTTCGTTAATCTTATTTTAGCTTGTCTCTTCCATCTCATTTTATCTTCTCTCATCGTTGTCGTCGTCGGGCAGTAACTCATGCATAGTGCATAATAGCTGATATGCAACTACCGTTTTTCGTGTTTTCAACTCCATGTTATGTATATTTGTACTCTCAGTGTAGTTTAAGTATTTATTGCAATTGAGCAATCTGCGAACGAGAGATAAATTTGTCCAGGTGTATTCTAGGTTTTGGAAGAAGATTAATAGGATTGCTCCCTATGTGGATTGATTGATACGGCCACATTACGCTTCGCAATGGGGGACAACGAGCTCCGCCTCAGTTTCGTTTTCCTTCCCATAGTATTCATGCCAAATATTGGCTCCGAAAGCTACTGAGAAGGAGATATGGAAACCGGTTTATTGTTCAAATTTAGTTAGGCCAAAGGTGTTCTGACATCTTTCCCTTCCTTAGCTTGCCTTCCTTCAAGTGCTTAATTGCCCTGTAGCTTTGGGTCCTCTTCGCCTATACCTCTAACCCCTCTTTCGAGCACCACGCCAAGTCGCAGAATCCATCCCTCGAAAAAAACCAAGTAAGAACCAAGTGACGTAAATAGGCTCTTTGAGGTTAATGTACATGTACATGTACATGTACTCCGTACATATAAACTAACTCAGGGACCCGGTACCATGGGCCATGAATGCGAACACAAAAACGCAACAACGGAAACAGTTCACCTTAAATATTCAAGAAAGTTACTGAAGCAGTCGAGGTAATAATTCATCGTCAACTCGACCAGCCCACACATGCTATTCCATTAGATAGACCCCATATATATATGTATATGGCAGCATGCATGATAGCTGATTTGAATCAACCAAATCGGAAGGACGGCCAGCCCGGCCTATTGCCACAGACCGCGTGTAGGGTGCTCGTTTGCTACCTCGTAGTGACAGCCCACGAAATATGGACCCGTTAGTCTGACATGCGTTTTGGTGTATTGGCGACATTGTGGTGTGGACATGACGTTGTAGTGGGTTGTCCTACTTCGTCGGTACCCCATTTGCTTCCTGTTAAGCTGGACGTGGTTGATTTTAATTCCAACGTTGTGTGGTGTATTTAGATGCATGATGAGAAAATTGATGGGGTAGACTAGAGTATGCGCAATGACATACTCCATTTCCCTCATTCAGAAAAGCTACATATATACATCTCCTGTACCTGAGTCAAAGGTGGTGTGAATAGGTTCGTATCATACCGAGATAACAACCGTTCTTGTTCATTCGGACAATCAGATGCTAGTTGATGTCTTTGTACATACAGTGCATGCATATCGCCTGAAACATATGTATGAATGTGGCCCCATTTAAGCTGATGCTTAGGGAATCGTTCGAACGTAGGCTAGGGAGGCAAAATTAGTTGACAGGTAGGGTGGTGGCGTTGGTTGTAGAAACTCGGTGATGGAAAACCGGCACTATTTGGGTAAACCAGAGTGAGAAGTACAGAGTTGCCACATCAGGGTAATTTTGGGGACACACCGAAAATAGTCGAGTACTAGTAATTAGTTGTGGTAGATGAAAGTCAATCAACTAATTATAAATTCGGGACATATATTACACGGGTTATGAAACACGGATGACGTTCGATATTGTATCACAGATGACCTATATCCTAAGAGATGAAACATGATAGATACTTTTCTGTCAATGGAGAAACAGCAAGTCCATCAGCCTACTCTTTTGCTAGGCAAGGAAAAGGGTTGAAATCAAACACGTCCCTAGAGTACAAGATCGAAATGAAAACAACGAAATGAGAGTCATATGCTCTTCGTGCGCAAGGCCCAATTTGGATTGATTAGGCTCAGAACTCAGGCGCTAAGCGCGCCAAATTTAGACCCACTGATATCTTTGCTTCAATATAATTGGTTGCTTTTAAATTTTGCGCAATCTGATCACGCTTGTTGAACCAATTATACCTATTTGATAGGATGCTACATGCCAATACTTAGCTCAGAAGAGACACATTCTCAGGAAAAGTTTCCAACTAACAGAACCCGACAATGGAAAGCTTGGTATTCTTCGCACAAAATGCGACGCCTGGAACTCAGGTCTGCTTTTTAGATGGATATCTGGGAAAGAACTCCCGAATTACGTCGGCTCTTGTATCCTCGGTGTTTAGAAGTGTTCATTTGGCTAACACCCTAGGGAAACTAGGATGGATGCCTTGAGAATTGGAGGAGAGCCGTATTAAAACTAACGAAAACGAAAGATCGTTATCGAAGCGTGGTTCCCTTGTATGCATTCCTGGGACATAAAACCGGCAGCATATGGGATGACGCCCAGGGCTTGTCCTTTGTTGCTTGTTCTGGTTTTGATGTGAAAGCCTAGGGAGAGAAGTTAAGAAAAGAGAGTGGGATTGATAGTTCCATTTTGAGAAGCTGTATGGGACTTCGTTACAACTTCTACTGCAGGTTAACACACTGCGGTCTGGCATTCCACTGGCATGGTCTCAGGTGCATTACGCAGTTGTATGCCCCGTCTGTTGCTGGAAAGCATCAGCTGACTTTGTCTGTAGGCGTCAGCCACGGAGGAGGCCCTTGACTGAGTGAGTACACCTTTCGCAGTCTTCCACAACTCGCCATGCATATTCCCCGCCCAGTTCACTATCCTCATCATGAAAAGAGCATGCAAAATGCAATGATAGTGAGATCGCCCAAATGCAGCTTTACCCCTCTACGCAGTAAGCACACCCCCGCGATCCGCCAATCGCAACCCCACACTACCCCTCGATCCCAGCATTTGAACCCAGGTAAGGAATTGTGCGCTGATAAGCCCCCCAAGCCCCAAACCAACAACAAAGCAAGGAAAATGAATCCTGTTTTGAACTGTGATTCCAGCTTCCGTCTTCTCCTCCTCTTTTGCCCTGCTCAAGAAAAGGACCAGACCAGATGGCAAGCAGACGCCAAGTTCGGCTAGATTAAATTATGCACCGCGGCCCGTCCCTGGTCCCCCGCGTTCCCTGCTTATCACAGCGTGATAACGTGCATTGTTGTTATTGTTATTTCTTCTAGGATTTTTTTTTTTTTTTTTTTTTTTTCAAATCACCCTTGTCGTGTCTTCATTTCCCCTTCTCTTTTCTTTTGGCCCTATGATAAGGCACGAACGCGTTATATTTTACATGGATTTTTTTTATAGGGCTGGTTCAGACTCGCATGGTGGCAGTGAGGGAATGGGAGTGTGGGATGGCAAAGTCAGAGCCAATCTTTAATGATATAATGATGGAGGGAATTTGGGATCTCAAATTTAATTGGCTGTCCGTGCCGCAATTTTGGTCTATCGATGCCTTACGTTCTCTAGCCTCGTTGCCTGAGTTTTGCAGGGTGGAAGGTTATGATGAAAAACACATGTTTGTTGGTGCAAGGGAAATCTTAGCCCATGGTCTGTGGAGAGTGCAGAAACTCCCAGTAACTAGATGTCGGTAGGTTTTCTCAGGTCAGAATTGGATGTCAGTTAATTAACCTAAAAAGACGAAACGGACAAGAAGAGTTACGGACATGCAATTGAAATGCACGCGCCGCGTTAGAAGAAGCGGTGACTGACTGCCTCAGGCTCATAATGTCATCAATTAAATAACATCGCCTCCTCTCAGCGTGAAGGCACGTCAAGCTGACCGAGGCGTCTTGTTGTATTGTTATAATATCCGTGGTCCGATGCGCGTAAGTAGCGAGAGAAATGAGTGGCTCTCAGTTTTTCTCCGTACAAATATTTGCGTGGTTGTGCTCTTGAAATTCTGTCTGGCCCGTTCTGGTTCGTTTCACTTCATGCCTGTCAAGTGTTGAGGTGGTAGGTGTGGATGTTGCCCTGGTTGTTGTTTTGTAAGGCATCTTTCCAGTCTTGTCCACTCGAGGATAGATTAGTTAGTTAGTGTGTATTCACACTAACTAACTTGATGCTCCGCCCGTGGCGTATAATTTTTGGTTATTTTTCACAACTGAGAAACTTGTGAGAGGTGAGGCAAGTTTCTGCAAGTTTCTTTCTGGGGAGAACGATAGCAAACGAAAAATAACTGGCTAAGAAGTAGCGGTTACATAAGAACGGGTAGCCAGATGAAACTGGAATACAACAGCGGACAAGTATGCAAGATACCTGATAGGATAGTTAGTTATCCATACCCCCTGTTCTTAATCCTGTAATAGCTGTTATTTAATAGGTACTTAATTAGTTATTGACAGTGGCAACGTAGTTATTCATAACTTTTCGCAAAAGCCTTACTGCGCCGGTAGGTACATGTTGGGATCGCTGTCATTTCGGGGCGAGAACCCCACTTGATTTCGAACAATTTCCCTCCCACTTCATGTTTTCTCTAAATTTTGTTCATGTAGGTATGTTGATTATGATCACATCGTTTTCATCACCATACTGCAGCATTGACATATCGGTGCAAAGTAAACACTCTCTGCGACGGAAATCGCCCGCTGATCATCCACCCATCAAAGGTGAACTAACCATGTATGTAACTTGACTTTGAAAATAACCACCCCGCCATCTGGTAGGCCAGGTCTGGCGCTAAATGGGGGGATTTGGGAATCATTACGCTGTTGGTTCCGTCAAGCTCATCTGTCCCTGAAAAGGAGGTAAGTAGACCGACAGTTTGACACATTCTCTCTGCATAAACAGGAAATTCACTCTTTCACTATCAATTATGTGGGCCTGTTTAAACATTAATACGGAGACCAGGCGTACCTGAAGTAGATAGGCCCAAAATAAGGCATAGACTCATTTTTATTCGGAACCGATGATCCTACCAGGCGGTTAAAAAATAGATACCCCCTTCCCCTGGTTTATGGAATTGTACCAGACATTTGTATTGTACTGTACAATCAGGCAAAACTTGGCGGTAAGATAGATTTGAAGAAAATCACAAAATTTTTCCGTCCTCGCGATGTTTGAACTAGTAGTATCCATGAGGATATTGTTAATAGAGGCAAAGAATATCATGAAAAGGGGCGAGGCGATCTCAGGACTTGAATCTCTTTCGCTGCTCGGGCTCAGATGTCTGAGATGTGAGGCGTTCAGGCCGAAATGATCCTTTTCTGTCTCTTCTCTTCGCACTTACTTCGCTTTAGCCGGTTATCGGCCCTTCATTGATTAGTTATGATTGTTTCTCGTGCATCTGGGTCTTTGGGGGCGCCATCCGACTGGGTGGGGTCGTAGTTGACTGCTGGCTGTTTATTCAGCGAAGGAGCAGACTGAAATCGAGACCTTGGATATGATTGACTGATGAACTGGCTTGTTGATTAAACTACCTAGGTAACAAAGCATTTACTTGCCGTACTGATCGTTCGGTTTTCGATTTGAAGAGGAAAAGCGCAAGTGGGGGATGAGGGGTGTGGTGTTTACGCATGAATTTTATTTTCTTTTTTCTCATGATTCTTTTTTTCCTTTTTCTTTCTCCCCGTGCTTTGGTTCAGATCTTGGGTTTGTAGATCGTCCATTCGTTCTCACGCCTTTCCCTCTCAGGAAGAAGGACAAAAAAACAGACTAGAGTCCGTATTTAATGGGGAAATAGGCATCTGCTTTTTACATTGGGAAACATGGCTGCCAAGGAAAGGGATCGGGAGATGGGGATAAGAAGAGACACGAGAGAAAGTCACAGGGAGGCGCATATTCTGATGGAACGCCGGTCTTTCTGATCGTGGGACATGGAGGTGTTAAATGTGTTGAAAAGATCAACTAATAGGGAGCGACACTAGGCGGTATCGTGATGACGAAGACGTACGCATCATGCGAATGATGCGGGTTCAAGGAAAAAGCTATCATAACTGAACTTCAGAGTCTATCTTTAGGGGCTCTAGAACAGAGTTGGTCGTAAATTGATGTTGAAACAGGATGGAGAATAATGATGCCAGAGCGAGAACGGACAGTGTTCGGCGAATTTACTGGCCAGTACTCTATAAATCTGTAGAATATGAAGAGATAGGGAGGTCAACAGAGAGTGATGCCGATTCCTGAAGCGGGATGCAGGAAAGTTAAGAGGGAGAAGGAAGCACGAATGAGGTCATCCAAACAACGGTCATCCATTCCTCCTCAACTGCCAGTTTTTACCGAAGCAACATGACCACGACACCCCGAACTACACGAGAAAGAGAGAAACCCAGAGACAACTTGGTGGATAGCATCCTCAGCACCACTGTTGCTTTGCTTGGAAATGAAAACCATTACCATTTCTACCATGCGATGCCCTCTTCTCGATATTGATGGCTATCCACTGTCCAGAAAATTAGGGTTCCCGATGACATGGTGCATGCATGTTGAACATGTACTGTACATGTCCCATGTTCAGGTCCATGTACTAAGTTCTGAGACGCGTATCGAACTTATGCAGAATAAGAATGGAGAATAATAAATAAAGACGGAGATATGCTGCGCAATATGAATGATCAGATGGTGGATGGCTTCCCGGGACCAGAACAAAAAGGTATAGTACGAGGAGCGCAAGGGCAGCGACCACATGAGGAGCGAAGTCTACTGAGTATATCTTAGCTCCAGGTGCGAAATCGACCGGGACCTTAAATTCTGGTGCTGGGGTTCGTGGCAGCCACTCAGCGAGCCGGGCCCGTGTCCCCTGGTGCTGGATCCTGTTCAGGTCAGGTATTGCTTAAACAGCCAGTTGGGAGTCTCAGACGCACGTCTACCCAATGCTAGGCAGAGCGACCAATCGCTACCATGCGGCGAGCTCGAGACGGACGATAAAGCGTCGCCTTACTTTTTGGATCCCACACGCCTATGTTGGGGATCCTTTGGACCCTGGGACCTCCCATCTTACGGGACCATTCATCAGTCCCGGGACCAGAACAATCACAGAACGTTCTGACTGCAATGTGTGGTGTTTCTCTTTCACACTTTTGTATTTTTGGCGGAGTATCCGGTTCATCCATAAAAAAAGAAAAGAAAAAAGGAACCAGGGCAATATGGGCCTTCGGTTACGGGCCTTGATTTGACAGTGGCTCTGACATGAATGTTGCCTCCCGAATTATGATTATTTTATTTTTCTGGCTCTCTACTCATGCCTGAATTCCGATATGATACGTCGGGCTTTCCTTCCATGCTTGATCCCATTGTGGAATAGACTCATTCTCAAACCGATGCTAACGACTGCAAGGTTCGCCAAACCCGTTGACCGACTGGACGGGGAGAGGTTGGCTTGCGCGAGATGCCAGGAAAAACTAACGTTTTAGAGGATCTGCCCGCAGCACGAAGAATGGAGCTTCCCTTTCGAACAAAAGCAGTGGCCTTGAAACCCGAGCGAAACATACAGTACTCGAGATCCTCGAAGAAACATTTTCTGTTATATTATTTATTCGATCCTCCTCTTCATGATCTTTGCTCCCTTCAATCAATTTCCCTTCTTCACTCTATGACTGCGCAGCTGCAGACCGCTATATCATTTACGCATCCAAGACATACACTCCTGCATCCTCCTACCCTCATATATTAAACCAACCTGCCCTCGAACTCCTCGTTCTTCTCACTCCTATCGAACCAGCCACCTATAGATCAACATAGTATTATTTCTATTATTATTGTTATTATCTTCCTATTATTGTCTACTCGGTTGTTGAACTGGTTTGACAATTAATTCATCGATAATACCAAATAATAATAATAGTACCTCCCCGCACTGCTCTGCCTCCGGGTCACACACACACTACGTGAACTACCACTGCTCTTCCCCATATCTGCTGCTTATCCTCCCACCCAACCACACCGCCTCTTCTATTCCTCGCATCCTACCACTTTTCCTTCCACAAAAACGACTTTCCTCCTCTCCTCTAGCTTTCATCCCTTCTCGAAGAGGCTTTCTATTCGCAGCATTTTTCTCTCCTCATTTTAACGACCTTTCACGATTTTTAACGACCCTGTTTCTATTAACGCCGTGCTTATCTCGCTTCCTACCCCTCCCCACTCTAATCCTCCCACCCATCTTCACATATATTTACATTCACATCCGCAACCATGACAAGATATCAACCTTCGTCGACATTTGAGTTCTATCACCAGTCACCCTCTACTCTCGATGCGAAACCTGTATTTTCCGCCGACGATGAGATGAGCGTACTGGATGATAAGATCCTCGAATCCTCCACTTCAGATATCCCCTCCATGAACGACCCCAGACGGTCATCCTTTGATCACACTCCAGAGGATTTCTCACGAAGAAATTCAGTTTGGTCAGAATCCCAATCGCGGCATGCCTCTCAAATGTCTACTCCCCTCTTTGAATCCGTAAATCCATTTGTCCGAGTAGACACAGCACCGTCCGCCAGCTACGGCCAGCCACAATCATGGCCTCTTTCCGCTGATTCTGGTTCATGTACACCTACCCCAATCTACGAACAATTCCCCCACGACTACGATGGGAATTCCAGCAACCCCTTTGCTGGTGGTGCAGTTGGTCCCGTTAACCCCACTTCCTTCTCTCATATTCCATATCGACCTGGATCGACTTTCCCTGGGTCTACTGCTACCCCCATGTCTCCTCAGTCCAGTCAAGGCTGGGTATCCGGGACATCTGAGGCTGCTGAGGCACGCGCAAAACCGTCCGGAATACCACATATCGGAATGGATCCCCGCTTCATTTGCGGCGGGATGGCATCCGGAAGAAGAACGCTCGTTTTGACATTCCCGCTGAGAGGACTCTCAGCAACATTGACATGTTGATCAGTCAATGTACCGATGAAGATGAGATCAAAGAGCTGAAACAGCAAAAACGTCTGCTGAGAAATCGACAGGCAGCGTATGGTCTCCCTTTTTCCTTCTATTCATTGTTTCCTTATCCATCCGTACGAGGATCTTACTACACTTCCCCACCTAAAAGGAACAGAATCTCAAACTGACGTTATTATAGACTTGACTCCCGCCAGCGGAAAAAGGTGCATACTGAACAGCTCGAGGAAGACAAGAAACGGTCCTCCTCTCTTATCAATGAGCTCGAGGAAGCCCTTCGGGAGATGAAACTCCGGGAGGCAGAGTACCATCGGGAAAAAGCGGAATTGTTTGAACGTGAGCAGCACCTGCGCGGGTACATCGACCAACTCCACATAGAAAAAGAAGAAATGATTCGGTCACACACTCTAGAAACCGGTGAACTTCGCAAGAAAAACGCAATTCTTCGAGAACACCTGGAGAAAGTAGAGCTTAATGCCCAACCGGCCCCGAACTCGACATTCCGCAACGACTTCTCCGATTATGAGAACATCACAATGGAGAATGCTCCTTGGGATGACTTCTCGATGGTGAACGAGTTCTCGCTTGGTACCGAAAACCATGGCCTCATTAGTACACCTACACCTGTGTCTGACAATTCGATACTTGTGAATTCTAAAAAGGCCGAGAAATCTTCGGATAAGCCCCCGGGCCATACCGATTCCTCGCCCTTCAGCTGGAACACATTTTACATGTGTTTGCTTTTTGGTGCATTTATTGCATCGAACAGCAGCACAGTCTCCCCTGCCATTCCACCTCTATCAGAGGAATACCGTGTGGAATCGGCAAATGTCTTGAGGGCTGTCCTCGCATCCGCTGATTCGACCGATGCTGCTAATTCCCTCAATCCTGGGGCTATTCCAGGCCCGTCCACTTCTGCCACTATCAACCTTCCCACCACCATTTCAGGTGCGGAAATGGCACAGATCACTTCCGGCGGAGTATCCTCTACAACAAATCTCGATGATTTGCATCGCAACCTTGTCGCGCCTACTAAGCAGCAAGAGGAAGAACAAATATTTTCTCTCACCACTGAAAGGTATAGGTCTCTTACCACCTTGGAAGATGATGGAGGTGATTTTAAACCTCCGCCGTCGAATTTCCAGCAAGCCTACGCCAGCATGCGCAATGCCGGCATGCAGCATACCAAAAGTGCTCCTGACATCTATTCACGCTCTTTATTATGGGACAGGGTGCCAGAAAAGGTGGTTCGAGATTTCAGGAGGATGGTGAAGGAATGTAGTGCTTCTACTTCTGTCAAAGATGAACAAATCGGAGCTGCTTGTCAGTCTTAACATCTAAGGTACCAGGCCTCACAGCTATTCCTTGCTCTGTCCTTCTCCATGACAAACAATAGCAACGGACTTATCGTACGATGACTTTGAGCATCCTACTCCGCTTGACGCGATCAGCAACAATTCCATTTGTGTGACGAATATCTCCTCCTTAGGTCGACTGTGTTTTTACTGTGGCGGGTTCATGAACAGCATTTACAAGCAGGCCTTACGTTTGATTTTTATTGTCTTTTTATCCATCCTCTTCGGGATTCTCTTTAGCAAAACGGGCAAAAAAGGTTAGGAAAGCGCGCATATTTCGAAACAAATCTTTCAACTTCTCTTCTCGGAAACCAGACCTACAGCACTAGATGCGACCGCAAGGGAAGAATTCAGGGGCGACTCAACTTTTTTTAATTTTATTTTTGTCTGCCTGATTCACCTCTCCACATGGGCGACCATAACAAACCATTCAGCAACAGATCACATACAGTTCACATGGGCAACAGACGACCAACGAACGCGGCACTTCTGCACATTTCCTATTTAATGCTCTACATACTACGATCTAACTATATACACTGCACCTTACAATATCCTTTGTCACAACTGAACCTTATTATTTCGCTTTCCCACAAAACGACTCCACCCAGACAACGACAGAATACCCTTGCGTCCCAGAAAACATCAGCACGCAACAGCCAACCCACAAGAAGATTTGGTTCCACTCTTTTTACCATTCCCCACAGCGCTTGACCAGCAATGCTATCTCCTTTGTGAACTCTTTCTTGCATTCCGCTATCTATACACTCTGTACACTTTTGTGGTTATATGCCCAATGGTACTGGCAAGAACGTACAAACGCTCTCCCCCAATTCTTTCCAACCTCATCGCAGCAAAACCTCAGGGATGGACTCGGTTACAGTTGGGATTGCGGGGACTTGCGATTTTGGGCCGTCTGTTTTTGAATTCTGTCTTGCGTGTAGCCCGTATTTAGCGTTTTGTACGCGTTTTATCTTTCCAAGTGTTTTTCGCGCTGTCCCATTGATAATTTGTTTTGTAATATGTCTAGCTCGCTGGCCCTTATCCTGGATTTGCTTCTTTTATGTGTTTCTATTTGTCTGCTCTGCCTCGCTTCTCATGTTCATGATGCCTTGGAAATTTATGACATTTTTATTTCTGCATGCCTTTGTTCATAGCTGTCGCGTTTCATGTTTCATGTCAGTTTATTCTAGCGATTGCGCATGGTCCTCGTTTCTCCCCTCCCTAGTTATGCGCTGGATCGGGCTTGCTTGACCCAATCGTAACCAAATTCCTGTTTCAAATTTCTTTTTTTTTTTAATCCGATTTACCTGGGGATCATATCCCTAATGTTGCTTTCCTGTTTAGTGACATGATTATGACTATGATTTCTTATGGAAATGGCTATTCATTACAACAGCCTTTGCTGCGGCAAAGTGACGCAAAGGGGGACTCCGTCCCTGCTGAACCACTTTGACTCTGTTCTCTTTGCCCGTTAACTTTCAAACATTCTACCCTATACCGTTGTCTTTTGTCTATCTGTTTCGGTTCATTTCACAGGAGCCAGCTGAGCCAATTCTACCCCCCCACCCCTCTACTGGCTACCTGAGAATTGGTTTTACCCCATTTTATGAACCACAACAAAACAACTTACCTTCTTTGGATATATTCTTTTTTAATTCCAATTTAATCAAATCATGGAATTTTACTTAAGTGACTTTCTACTTGCTTCCAAAACTGAAGGCGAAATAAGGGTGTACCCGGAAATTTGAATTAATTCTCGCTGAACTATCATTTATTTGAATCAAAAGTAACTATAATAGAAATTCATAGGCCGAAATCGTTAAATCCTCGCTATCGTGTCTTACTTCGGATTATATTTCTCCTTCCATATCCTGTACCAGGGAATCGTCAGTCAGCGATCAACGAAAAATTTGACCAACGAGAGTGATTGGATTTTGCTGTTTCTTTGGTCTACGGTGCTTCTGCCCGCACTTTGGGTGGTGCGGGGGGGGCAGTGCTAAAAATAGGCAAGAGCTGATGGCCAATGAAGACCGCCTGACACTTGCGGTTTGCAACGATGGAACAGGAACGGCGCCAAGAGCAACAGGCGCTTTTGTCACATAATGTGCAGCATGTCTGGACATTTGGGAAACAATGAAGAAGCGGGGGGGGAGGGTTCAGGTCGGTTTGCTTTTTCTGTGTGCCAAATTGAAGCATGGACACCCTGCAACTGAGCTTGGAGGATATTGATACGGTGCGTTGTACAGCCACAGAGCACACAAACACGAAAATGCAAAACACGAGAAAGGGTGGCCTCAGCACCGCCATGGGCATGGCGCGTGTGTCTGGCATGGGATTGAGCGGGTGCTGCAAAGTGATGTCAAGAACCAAGCTCAGCAGGCAAAGAAGGAAGCAGCTCGGCAAGTAGGGCAAAAGCATTGTAGCTCTTCGTTCGCCTCAGTAAATTGCTTGCTTGCTTGCTTGGATTGATGGATTGATTGGATTGCTTTGCTTCGTTGGCTCTGGTGCCTGACCAGGTCCAGGTGGGGTCATTTCTGGGGAAGGGGTTTTATGCTTTGCGGGTGGAATAGAAGGGAAGGGCATCTACAAATTGATACGATGTATTTGGCGAGGGCGGGATTTGTGATGAAAAAAGGCGGTGAAAACTTATCTGGAGAAAAGAAGGACGAAGGAATAAAACCAACCAAGTATTTCCAAGAGTCTTGTTGCCGTTCTCTTCAGCGAGGCGGTAGTATTTTGCGGCCATATACTATAAATAAAGGAGAGTTTAGAACGCGATTAGTATTGGTCCATTCATAGCTCCCATTTTGTCTTCTGCAAGGGGAAGAAAATAACAAAATAAAGAATGAGACTGGAGCAAAAGCAGTTGGAAAGGGGAATATAGCGAATGGGAAGTGATGGCAAAAGGAACTTGGAGTGTTGAATGCCCAAAGGCTAAGGAAAAAAGTGAGGGAGGGGAAAGGTAGATGCATTGCTGCCCAACGGTGATCTGTGTGTGATCTTAAAAGCTGCATCCAGAGCTCTGGTTGGTAAAAGCTTCTTTTAATCTTGGATACGCTATGCAAGGCACTGAACCAATAGGTGCGACCTCAGTTCAAGATAATTTCAGCCTCAACGAGCTCCCTTCAGCCTGGACAGTTTGAACGTGATATTTAGATCCCTCCTGTAAACTTCTCGAAATCATGAAAATTCCAGGGATTTGAAATTCAATAAAGTCCGATGGCCGGAGAGGCAGGAGCGCCTCTCCCTCTCTTGGTTTTTCACTTACCCTATCTTTCTTCCCCCCAAACCCCTCCAAGTAACACCAGGCTGCCTCATTCATGGCATCCGTGTCTCCTAGATTTGCTGCAGTCTCATAGTAATGCCTAGCAGCGACAGGATCTTTGGCTACTCCCCAGCCGTTACGGAAACAATTGGCCAATTCATACATGGCAAGCACCAACTCCCCTTTCGCAGCGCCCCCTTTTTTCATCCCTGCGCTCAGAGCTTCGGCCTCAATCGAGGCAGAGTTGGATGCTGCAGCGGATAAGTAGGTTATGGCTTTTTCAGGGTCAGGCGCGCAACCCCATCCATGTCTGCACGAAGTGTAAGACATTGTCTTTCTAGCGTCCTTCGAGGGGCAGATGAACAAACCGAAGAGCGAGGCCATAGAGCACTTGACTCAGCGCATTATTCGCGCCATTGGGATCTGCGAGTTTGCCAAACATGCGTGTTGATTCCGCGAGCTCTGTCTCAAAGAACAGAAGTCAGAAATGAGCGAATGAACTAATCCACTTCGTCGTTCCCTTCAAATACCCATCTTTTACAGCGAATAGGAGTAGTTTGAACTTACGTCCATTTTCATGTAGTCGAATAGCTTCTTGGATATTCTCCTACAGTACATACAGCAGATTAGCAACCAAGCCCATCTCTCTACGAAAACAAACCATAGGCATATCCCTGCCCAATATATCACAGAGGTAAGAATCTAGACATACATCGCCCTCTTTCTGCTGCTCAATATCCCCTCTCGGGCTAGCGGGTCTGATACCGGTCCCATTCAAGCCTCCCTGTACCATGATCGTTGCCCTCTTCTCCCACTGAGCCTCACGATCCTGTGCATCGCCCGTGTCTGGCGCGATTTGCGGGAGATGCGATGGGAGATTAACGGATGAGGTGCTAGCGGAGCGTGAAGCACGGTTCAGATGCAGGCGCTGGGAAAGACGGCGTTCGCGCTTTTCACCCTGTGCGGGGGACAATTCTTGGCTGGGTGAGTTCTCGCTGGCCCCAGCGGAAGAGACATTGGATAAACGGTGCAAGCGGGAAAATGGACTGCGCGACGACGAGGAGGGATTCGAGGATGTAGGAGATTCGGATCGAGATTGGGACTCGGGATGAAAGGGGTGGGAGTGCGAGTCGGCCTGGGCTTGGTGTTGCCCCGGAGGTTGAATGGATTCGGTGGTGTATGTGTCTGAGCGGAAGAATTTAAATTCTGGAGGATTAGGAGGAGGAGGGAAAGGCTCTTGCTGGAAATAGCGCTGCGGCTGCTGGTGCTGCTGAACTTGCTGGGTGTCGTCGTCTTTGATTTTGTCTTTCTTCTTGAGAAGGTCTTTCAGAGCCATGACGTTGTTGTTTGCTATTTGTTCTATGGTGGGGCAGAAAAGCTTCAACAAATACACAGATAGCGGGGTGAAAATGATGCCTTCATTCCAAATATTCAAAAGAAGCCGCCAAATACGCCCCGGAATGTGTTTATTACTTCAAACTGGCGATTGTGGCTGTGTGAAGTCTATGTAAGAAGCTAGCAGTGCGAACAAGCATGAACAAAAGCCGAAACACTCAGCCCTGTGTTGGTTTCCAATAACCAGCCGACTGGGATAGATGGGATCTGCAGATAAACGGCGGAGTGCATTTCGTGGCAAGGAGATGTTTAATTTGCTGTAGGGATAGAGACATGGTCGTCGTATTCAATAAGACGCCTTCACTTTTGACAACTATAGCGCATTGCCTTCAGTTTATCCCCTGATCCATATGGATTTGGTGGATATATCCTCTACAGATAGAAGATCCAAGTTCCTGAGCACAATATTTTCATCATCTATGTAAAAGTCATTAAATAAACCCTACCTCTAAGTCCCTAAATAATAGTACATACAGCCGTCCCATTTTAGATCGCTAAAAGTCGCCGATGCGAGAACAAGGAAAGCACCAGGAGATATCCGCGCACGAAAGGCCGAACGATCAATAACCTCATGAGCTCAGTGACCAAGCAAGCAAGGGCAATTAACACAGGCTCTGCACTGTCCATACTGTCTACTTCTCAATTCAACCTGGTTGAAATTGAATTTCTGTCCTGTGACGACCCTTATATCGAAATTGCCGCGCATATAAAAAGAGCCATGTTTGTTCAACATCCATTACATTCTTCAAAATGTCCACATCAGCCCCGAGTTTGCACACTATCGTGGCTGCCCACCACGAGTCAATCACAAAGTGATCCTATTCGACCCATACCCATCAGTCGCATCCCCCAACCCATCGATACTACCACTAAGTAAAGCCCAAGGAAAGCTACGGCATTGAACACATCCTCCCTTCCAAATACCGGAATCCCACGATCAAAAAAAACGATTGTGATAACCAAGCATGGTCTGGGAGATACAAATGATCAGGCACCCCCAGTCGATCAGCAACAAATACGACATGCTTCACGATCTTGGCCGGGGAGGGGGCGGCTTTAACGCAGGCATCGCCGTTGTCAGGCGCAGATCAGACAAGCTAATTTGTATCCGCAAGCGACTCGTCCTCGGCCAGCTATCGACGCCTCACCACTGGAATCGAGAGGCAGACATCATGCGCAAACTGCGAGGACATCGGAACATCTGCAATTTCATCGAAGCCAATATCGGGACAGAGAGTGGGGAGTTATACGTCGAGTACTGCAAGATGGGCACCCTCCACGACTTCTTGTTGTACATGAAAAACAGGCTGCTGGTTGTGCCCGAAAGGTTTGTATGGCAAGTGCTGTTTGACTTGACCTCAGCGTTGCGCTGGATGCATGATGGCATTAAGACCTCAGCAGCCATCGACCAAACGAGGGTACCGGGCTGGATGCCGATCATACACAGAGATATTAAACCAGATAATTGCTTTCTCCAGGTGCAGACGTGCCCCAACAGCATATATCCAATGGTCAAGTTGGGAGATTTCGGCCTTGCAATCCGCAAGAAGGACTTCAATAACTTGAGTCCCACCAGTAAAGCAGTGTGCGCTCCAGGTTGGTTCCCCCCAGAGTATCCTCTATGTGGAGAACGCAGCGACGTTTACCGCACTGCGGCGATAGCCCAGTTGATGTGCTTGCCCACCTGGGCCTTTGGTATTGCCGCACAAATATCACCATATTACAGTCAAGGTCTGCGTATTTGTATCCAGACAGGAATGCGCAGAAACATCCACAAGCGTCCATTCGCTCTGGATTTTCAGACGCTCATCTCTAGAGAATACACTCGACCGGAGGGCTTTCCGGTTCCCAATGATGCGTTCAGAGTCCTTCAATTTTAGTTCTGTTTATGTACGGTCAGCAGGAAATATCCATGCACAAGGGGATGGAGCTCCGGTTTTCATTAAATAAATTCGTTATTTCAATTGGCAGGCAATGGTGGGGAAAAAATTGATTAGCAAGGTCAGTAAATGTACAATGGTTGTTCAATTGCAAAATCAGTAGTTTATATTCTTGAGTTGTTTAGTACACAGAAGTTGAAAGAAAGCTAGCTCTAGGTCAGAAACAAATTGTCCAATGTCTACTGGGGCTTCACAGCCAGGATTTCTGGAATTAAAACATTAGCAAACTATTTTTTTCGGAGTAATTCTAAAATGGCAGTTTCCATTTGATTTGTATTGTTAAAGAAAAGAGACTCACTCTCAACATCCGCCACACTTTGTTGCAGAATTTGTTGAAGAACCTTGGGGTTCTCCAATTCCTTCTGGATCTTGGAAATGACGTTCTGGGCTAATTCGTGTTGTTGGCGAACCTTGACCTGTCCCTCGTACTGTACCCACGAGTCGAGGACCTTCTTTGCCTCAGCGGCTAAAGCAGTGCGCTGCTCCATTTCATAGGCCTGAGCCTCCAATCGGGCGGTTTCCTATAGATATCAAATTTTCAGAAACACATTGCCCTCCTCCGTACTCATTGAGAAACACCTGGCCATTTTACACATACCTTGGACACCTCAAAGAGGTCCTTTGTGATCTCAACAACACTGCTCAATTGCTTGACGTTCTCGATCCTTTCCTTCACAGCGTTGGTGTGGTTTGCTCTGGCGCCGTTAAGGATATCCTTCTGCTTCTGGATCTGACTCTCGGCCCACTCCTTATACATGGGCCCAGCCATCTTAGCTACACCGGTGAAGACGCTGAGGAGACAGAATGCAGCGACGGTTTCTTCATTGAAGACATAAAGCTCATTGCTGATAGCGGCGATAGAGAGACCAGCACCGGCGGAGAGAATGGCAGTCTTCGACACCAGACTATTGCCTGGGATGGCATCGATGATGGACTGGGCCTTGGTTTTGGGGTCTTCGGCTGGAACGTTGGATACTGACCGACTAGATGTAAGGGAGGTTGTGGCCACTGGGATTGTTCGAGAAGAGATGGCAGGACGGACACGGGCGGCGCCTGAAATCAATCAATTAGCCGCGGTTACAATTCAAACAGGCGGAGCGCAAGATAGGAGGTGCCGTAACAACATACCAATGGCGCTCTTCGCTAATCTCAAAGCCATTGTGATGGAAAGGAGTGTGTACAGCGAGTGAGAGGTTTGCTGGTGGTGGTGATGGGGTTGTTGCCATCAATTTGGTGAAGGCTCGGGTGGGAGCTGGCGCTAGATCAATTTAGGACTAGCGGGATTTGTTTTCCGAGTTTTGCATCAAAAAAATGGACTTTTGAGAGACAAAAAGAGAAAACAGGGAGAGGAGTCGGATTTCTATAGACGACGCGATATTATAAGCCTCCTCGATTAAGACTAATCCACATGCTAGCTGCCATGCCCGGATTACTTGACGGAGTACCCAACTCCAAAAAGAGGAAGAAAGAATCTTCGGAACCCAAACAGCAATCGTCCAAGCGGCGGGTTGTGGCAGATGAGGACAAGGAGGACAAGAACAAGATACAGCAGTTGGAAGATCAGATAACTGAGTCGCGGAAGTACTATAACAACATTGTGACCCTGCTATCCCTCTTTATCACCGAATATGCTGCTAAGTCGCCCAATCTTACTGCTGCGGTTTCCCTCTGTAGGGTGTTCTGCCGCCTAATGGCAGGAGGCCAATTGATCAAATCCAAGGATGCCAGTGAACAGGACTTGATACTGGTCGCATGGCTGAAGGAGAGATATCAGGAGTACCAGAATGGCTTGATTAATATTCTCAAACATGGGGAGGCACCAGCTCAAGTATGAACCTGTCCATTCCTTCGCATTTTAATCTGAGATATGTGCAGCTGACGACTGTTTACTTAGATTGCCGCGCTCTCCCTTTTCATGCGCTTGATCAAGGAACAGTCAGTCAATGGAGGAACTGGAGCTGAAATAGGGGTGTGGAAGGGGCCCTGCTTTTATGGCTTAATTGCAGCTCTCATTGAAGCCCAAGATGGAGAACGAGTACGGTCGGAATTCATCAAGAAGTTCCTAAACGAATACCATGATGTAGCTATTTATACGCTTCTTCAGCTCTCGTAAGTTCCTTATATTTCGCTTCTTGCTACGCCTGTTTGTGCAAACCTCATTACATTAGCTAATTGTTATAGGGAGTTTACCACAACAAATAGCTCTCCCAAATCCATAGATACGGTGATATCCCTCCTATCCGCTCTCGGCCAACCGCCACCACCAGACCACGAATTTGAGAACTTCTACACCAACATATCAGCTTTCGGTCAAAAGCATAAGTCAAACCTTCTTTCTGTACCTGCTTATAAACAACGCGTCCAAGCGACGTGGCTCACGGTTTTGCGAAGTAATGCCCTAAAAGAAAAGCAAAGAAAAACTCTCCTCCGTCTTATGTCCCATCTCATCGCCCCCTGGTTCCTCAAACCAGAGATGCTCATGGACTTCCTTACGGATTCTTACAACCACGGCGGCTCCACCTCTCTCCTCGCCCTTTCAGGGCTCTTCTACCTAATCCAAGAGAAGAATCTGGATTATCCACAATTCTACCCCAAACTATATTCTCTCCTGGATGCCGACCTCCTCCACTCAAAGCACCGTTCCCGCTTCTTTCGCCTCCTCGACACCTTCTTGTCCTCGTCCCATCTCCCCGCAACCTTAGTCGCAAGCTTCATAAAGCGGCTATCCAGACTCGCGCTTAATGCGCCCCCGGCTGCCATCGTCGCTATCATCCCCTGGATCTACAACCTCATGAAATCCCACCCAACCTGTACCTTCATGCTGCACCGCGTGATCCATGATGATGAGGACTCCCAATCAAAGCTGCAAACACACGGCATGACCGACCCATTCGATCCCATGGAGCCAGATCCAACCCGCACCGGCGCTCTAGAAAGCAGTCTCTGGGAAATCGAAACGCTGCAAGCGCACTACCATCCCAATGTAGCGTCGCTGGCGAAGATCATCTCGGAACAGTTTACAAAGCAGGCGTATAACCTTGAGGATTTCTTGGATCATTCATACCAAGCCATGATGGGGATGGAGCTGGGGACGGAGGAGAGGGGGTTTAGAAAGGCGCCAGTGGTGGAGTTCCAGATTCCAAAGAGGATTTTTACGGACCGATTATTGGAGGAGGATGGGAACGTGGATAAGGAAGTTGGGGCATTGGTGAGGTGCTTGTGGGATTTCAAGTAAAGGGGGAAGGTTCCCTTCTTACATATGTTTATATGTGCGGAGATGTTTGCGTGAAGTAAAATATTGATGAACCCAGAAATCCAAATCCAGGTGGCTAGATGAACTTCGTAATTCAAGTTCAGAATTGCACAGTTTCCCTGTGTGTTTTGATCATTGAGTTACAAAGAGGAGGATATAAAACGTGACATCGTCCAATTTAGTGATTGCTGAATCCCGAATTCTTAATGAAAAACGAATAACTCCCGTGTATCACAGTCTTAACGCCTGCACAAACATGAAATAACCCGCAAAGATGATGCAAAAATCAAAAAATAAAACAGGGAAAAGAATGCAAAGGAATACCAAAGTTAACGAGTGGAATAACTCCGGTATCCAATACCCGGCGGGGGAGGGGAATATGTTTCGCTTCTCTTGACTCTCGACGAGCACAAACTCAAGCTCCAAAACCCTTAAATGGATTAGACGAATTTCAGCCTTTAATTGAATTTTATGTGATTATGTCAATGCCCATCTCCGAGAGGACACATTCTGACCATTCCCCCGTTGTCGCGGACTCATAAGAGGGACATAGTTCCAGTGGTTGCGGTACTTCATTCACCATATCCAGATCCTCGGCAGCAGCCTGCTGAAGCGCAGACCGAAAATCTCCACTAAAGCCAGGGCGCAAAACCAGCTGAGGGTCCGCGCGAATATAATCTCGCGCTTGAGGCTGCGTGTGGCTTTGGATATCACGCTCCTCCGCCTCCGGATCGCCCGGATGGTAGTTGCCGCTCGGATCAACGACAAAAATAGCACGCTTGAGATCATCGAATAAATCATCGGATATATCGACGGGTATGGCTTCGATGCTAAATCGCAGGTGTTCCAGGATCGCTTTCACATACCGATCTCTCAGGTTTCGGTATGCGATAGTCTCCTGCTCCATTAATTGCCAGCATTGGACGATTTGTGCTTCTGTTGTTGCCATCTCGATATTTTCTCCGGCCTTATAGGTGATCTCGAAGAGCTCCTTGGCGACGGATCGAAATACTTTGTCGACTTTTGGAGCTGCGCGGAGAATTGTGGCGCAAATCGCTTCAGCGAGTCCTTGAGAATATATTCGATGCCAAAAGGCCACCCAGCTACTCATGCCGATCCTTGATTTCCGCATTCGCGTCAATTCCAAGGAGAGGAGAGTGATACGGCAGTTATTAAGGACATCTTTTGCGTTCTTGCGGGCCTTGATAACGGAGGGTGGTACGGGCGCGAACGTCATTGAAGGCGGTGAACTATCGCGGATATCGATGGCTGAATCAGCTGGGGAAACTGGACGACACTGGATAGGTTCATATCCCTCCTCGGAAGGAGAATGAGCTACCCCTCTTCCCGGACGTGAATTGGGGTCCCGCTTTGAGGGGGTGTTTTGTAACCATTCAAGGAGGGGATAAGACGACTGAGCCCCGGCATTATTGCATTCTTGTTGATGATATTGATAAGGCATGTGGCAGCAAGAAGCAGACAGCGAAGAATAAAAATAAAGAAGGAAATGAAGCAACACACAGCCAAACCAGAGGAAGCACAAATGGGTTTCAAAACAAGAGACTGGAAGTTTGGGAGGAAGCCCAAAAGGGAAAAACTATGTACTGCGTATAGATACAGAAATAACTACAAACGAATGGGCAGCATAAACTGATGGACGAGAGTAATGGATGAAATCAGAGGAGACTCAATCACAGCGAGTCCACAAGTGGACACCGTAGGACAGCCAGCCCAAAGTTTTGTTTTGTTTCGGCGGCGAGGAAATTACGTGCATTGGAAGGAGTATTGGCCTCAAGCGAGTGGCCGAGTCAGAAGAAAGCGCAATTCTGCGGCCATGGCACGGAGAACAAGCCGCCAACTGCGTAAAAGTATATATACTGGACCTAGGATTTTCAATGTCTTTCACTGTCCTGATTTCTATTGACTGTATTGTCTCCCTCATGCGAATTTTTGCTGAATGATGACGTCAGTACCAATCCCGGTGTGAAGAAATGAGATGGCGCGGGAGTAGAAAGGAGATACGCTCAATAGCCAACAGGAAAATGAGAGACAGAAAAAGAGAAACCGGGAAGTAAAAGACAGGACGAATTATAGGTTATGGGCAGTATAAAGGGGATTTAACGTCACCTGGCATTTTTGCTTCTGTTAAAATGGGCGTCTCCCCGTTCTCGTACCTTATTGAAGCTCGTCGATATGTCACCGCCCTGCGAAGAAATTTCTATTTGTTTATATGACATCGAATATTTTGTCTGATCTTCTTCCTTGCATCTCTCTGGAAGTGGGAAGCCACCAGGCGAGTTTCCTTGGAGCAAGCTCCAACTCGCAACCTGCATATGTCAAGCCATTGCCAACCTTTCTGACACCCGATTGCCCTTGACGATGGAACACCAGGTTCCAGCCAAATATCATCACTTTGCAACCGAGAGAGTGGCTCGATAGCCATGAGCTTGGCGATATAAATCCCTAGTGTAGAGGAAGATACTAGTGATGTCGATAGCACATGGCCGGGAGCTGCAAAGATAGGGCACGAACCCTAGATTGCCTGCTAAAGCATCTTAGCGCCTTGGGGCTGCTTCGCCTTTTTGGACATCAACAACTCATACGAATTTGGACATACACGATCACCACTCACAGCGGATCTTACTGACATCTCAGGTTGTTAATACGTTTGACAGGTCTCCGCAGGCTATGGAGTTACAGTTGAATATGGTTAGAACGGGTCGCCGTTCGATCAGTTTGTTGTCCCGGCAGAAGCTTCCTCACTAGATCCTCGAGTTCCTCCCTCCTGTTTTCTTCATGGACGGTAACAAAACGGCAGGTTTAGAACATCGCATCATTTTATGTTTGTTGCATTAGATATTGGCTCTTGAGGCAGGGTCTAATCCATTTGCAGGATGGTAAATTCGATTATGTGTTTTGCTTGTCATGCTCATCACCCTCATCACCCTTGACGGAGCCAAAATATTGCGAATTGTTCAAAGCACAGACTAATGTCGTTACCAGCAGCTCTCTTATTTCTTTTGTCCAAGAAATGGAGGAACGCTAGGTGAGCCTGGAGACTTTATTGGAATCAGGCTTCGATTTCGAGATCTCCATATGACGACAGGCATATAAATATCTGGCAGCCCCACCTGCTCTGAAGCCTTGGCGAGGAACAGTACCCTTGTCCGGGAAGAGTTGAGCATCAATTAGAAGTTTCCAGTGGGACGTTTGTTTGGGGGGGCCTGAAAGCGAATTCCCTCAATTGATATGACGATAAACAAGCCCGCTATTATTGGAGAGTTCAGCTCCCTGAGAATCAATACTCGTTCCCCAACCCACACCAAACAGTGGGGGTTGCAACGAATAGCGTTGATCCACCCTGGCCAGACCCTTGATAAGGATCGAAAAAAACTCTGGCGAATCAAGGTTCTGACCTTATCGCACAACGAAATTCTCCGTGCCCTCCCTTCTGCGGAGTGGTCTTCTAACGACAACAAACAAAATATCAAGAAGAATTGAGAATCGAAGGAAAGTAGCTGGGAAATACTGCAAACATAAGAGATAAACGAACAAACGAATGCACTGGGCGAAGAAGGAAGAAAAATGTCCGTTATTGATATAACGAAGGACCTGTCAGCTCTCTTCGTCCAGCAGGTGGGTGTGACACCTGATGCTATCGCCTTAGAGGACGAAAAAAACCAATACACCTATTCTGAACTTGACAGGAAGGTTTCAGAACTTGCTTTTCGTCTCCGTCAACATGGCGTTGGTCGAGACAGCCTTGTTGGCGTGCTTCTGGGACGCAGCGCAGACTACGTGATTGCTTGTTTAGCAGCCCTTCGTGCTGGTGGTGCCTTTCTTGTCCTCGAACTTGCTTATCCCCCAAACCTCCTCACTGACGTTATCGACGATTCGAATCCCGCTGTGGTAATCACGAACCAAAGCCAGGCGGAAAAAATAAAGGCAGGCACTCCATTAATAGTCCTCGACAAGCAGCAGAAAGAATCCCCTCCGCATACAAACGATTTGCCACAATTACCTACTGAAGATGATTTAGAACGACTAGCGTTTGTATCTTATTCATCTGGGACAACAGGCCGCCCGAAGGGAATTGCAAATCCACATCGGGCGCCGGTTCACTCATATAATCTCAGATTTCGGCTTTCCGATCTTCAACCAGGAGACCGCGTGGCATGCAATGTTTTCTTTGTTTGGGAGATACTGCGCCCGCTCTTGCGAGGAGCGACGGTCGTTGCGGTTGCGGACGATATGAGCTATGATCCTTCTGCACTTGTTGACCTACTCTCTGCGAAACACATTACGGAAACTCTAATGACCCCTACTCTTTTGGCTGCCGTCCTCTCAAGACATCCGGCACTTGGGGCCCGTCTCCCAGATCTGCGCACCTTGTGGCTTAATGGTGAGGTCGTCACTACTGACTTAGCCCGTCGAGCGATCAAAGCGCTTCCAAATACCCAACTTCTCAACTGTTACAGTGCCTGTGAAACTCATGAGATTGCGTGTGGGGACATCAGGCATATGCTTCATGACGAAGCCCTCTTCTGTCCTGTTGGTCCACCACTATACCCAAAACAGACGTATATTCTGGATGGTGATGGGAATCCGGTAGAACATGGGGTGAGTGGGGAACTTTTCGTTGGCGGGCCGCTGCTAGCACGGGGGTATCTAAACCGCCCTGAAACTACTTCTAAGGCCTTCCTCCAAAACCCGTTCGATCCAGCACCAGGAGCTGTCATGTACAGAACTGGAGATATAGCCAAAATGCTACCCTCGGGGCTTCTAGAAATTAGTGGTCGCGTTGGATCTATGATCAAGCTTCGTGGCTACTCTGTTGTCCCAGGGAAAGTTGAAAATGTCATCATCAACCGTCTTGCTGTTAGCGATTGTGTGGTTATTGCCCATGGTGAAGGTTTGGAAAGGCAATTGGTAGCGTATGTCGTCCATGATAAGGCAAATTCCTCTGGGCGCCAAACTATAGATATCAACGAGTCAGGACATAGCCCAGCAGCACGCCGCATACTTTCGCCTTATCTAGCTCACTACATGATTCCTGCTCTATGGGTTGAATTGGATGAGTTACCCACTCATGAAGTCTCCGGGAAAGCTGACTTTAAACGCCTTCCTCCTCCTCCAACACCGAAACCCATAACAACAAATGGGCACAAGGCTGAAAGCGATCCAATCTCAGTCGATACCATAGCCGAATTCTGGGCTGCGTCTCTCAAAATAGCACAAAGCGCCATCACTCCAGAGCACAACTTTTTCGACCTAGGTGGACACTCCCTATCAATTGCAGATCTTGCATCAAGACTCTCAAAAAGCTTTGGCTTTCGTATCCCCCTCGACCGTTTAGTTGATCCTCCCACGCTCAATGGTCATACGAAAACTGTACGTGCGGTAAGAGACGGTCATACTGCCGCATTGCAAGCAGATCTACCAGCAGTCTTGCGCGTGGACTCTATCCTTGAGGAGGACATTCAGCCATTTGGTGCGAAAGCAAGGTCACTGTCCGAGGCGGGCACAGTGCTCCTTACCGGCGCGACTGGTTTCTTAGGTGCCTTCCTGCTCCACGACCTGTTGGAAGCCACGTCCGCCAAAATAGTGTGTCTTGTGCGTTTCAATGACCCTTGCGGAGAAGACAGCCCGGGGGGCGTAGCGAGAATCCGCAGAAATCTGCTTGATCTGGGATTGTGGCGTGATTCGATCATGGAGCGCGTCGAGATCCTACCTGGAAATCTATCTAGAAAACGCTTCGGTCTTTCCCCTGAGGCCTTCGAAAAGCTCGCTGCCCATGTCCATGTCATCATCCACGCTGCTGCCACCGTCAACCTGGTATATCCGTACGCCGCGCTAAGAGGTGCAAACGTAGGAGGTACAAGAGAGATTTTGCGCTTGGCTTGTCGCTCTGGTGCTACAGTACAGTATGTATCAACGAATGGAGTGCTGCCATCATCTCAGAAAGGCTGGCCCGAGGATGCCATGCTTGATGTGTCTGAAGTTCCGCAAAGACTGCTTGACGGTTACGGTCAGACCAAATGGGTGGCAGAACAGCTTGTGCTCGAGGCAGGTCGTCGCGGACTGCCAGTTGCGATATATCGAGCGGGAACAATAAGTGGCCACAGTACCACTGGCGCAGGAAACGCGTGGGATCTCCTATCTGCATTAATTGTGGAATCGATCCATCTCGGTTATGCGCCCGACGTAGAAGGGTGGCGAGCAGAGATGACTCCAGTGGACTTCGTTAGCAAAGCAATCGTCCATCTCTCCAATCAGGTTCACACGAATCGTGTCATGTTTCATCTCGGTGACCCGGACCCTGTCGACACACGGTCCATCTTCGAGAACCTCAAGGACCTAGGTTACCCAACTCGGCACCTCGGTTGGGAGGAGTGGGTTGCAATGTGGACTGAGACAAGAGCATCTGCGAAGGGGGGTGATGGCGCCTTTACAATTGACATCCTTCGAAGCGGGATGCCAACTGTGGACTTCCTCAAGGGCATTGTTGTCTTGAGCAACAATGAAACCAAGCCTTTCCATGCGGGTGTCCAACGGCCCAAAGTGGACATTAACTTACTGGAAATCTACACTCGTCATTGGTTTGCCCGAGGGTGGCTCCCTCACTCCCCTTCCCGTAAACATTGTCTCAACAGAATTGCGCATCCACCACCCAAAGGCCCACTAAGCGGTCGGGTTGCAGTTATCACAGGTGCATCTTCCGGCATTGGTGCGGCTGTTGCTGCCGGCCTAGCCGGGGAAGGAGCCCACGTTGCTCTCGGCGCACGGCGCATGAAAGCCCTTGAAGCCATCAAGAGCTCCCTTCCTCTCCGCGACAACAAAGCAATCATCCGACAAACCGACGTAACAGACAAGTCACAGGTGGAAGCACTAGTTCGTGCAGCCCATGACGAGCTAGGTCCTGTGGATATCCTCGTCGTGTGCGCTGGAGTCATGTATTTTACGATGATGGCAAACACGCAGATGGAGGAGTGGGATCGTACTGTGGATGTCAACTGCAAGGGCCTCCTACATTGCCTTGGAGCCACCGTGCCGTCAATGCTCTCGCGTGGCAGAGGCCAAATTGTCGCCATATCATCTGATGCCGGTCGTAAAGTGTTCCCTGGGCTAAGCGTCTACTCCGCCAGCAAATTTTTTGTCGAAGCCACGCTACAAGGGTTGCGACTGGAAACAGCGGGGAAAGGATTGCGTATCATGAGCGTCCAGCCAGGAAATACAGCCACTGATCTCCTAGGGATGTCTACTGATGCCGAGGCAATTAAACAATATGGTGAACCATCAGGGGCGAAGATCCTAGACCCGGAAGATGTAGCAAACTCGATACTTTATGCTTTAGGGCAACCCGAGCACGTAGCTGTGAATGAAGTATTGATTGAACCTCGTGATGAACCTATTTGAAACACACACACACACACACACACACACACAAAACCCGAAACCCGAAACTAGGGAAATGGCATCGCAACTCACATTCAACCAACCGATTCAATTATATTCCAAGCAGCGCAAAGCAGGTGAACGAATAACATGTCTCATCAGGCCACCGTCTTTTCAACAAGACACGACCAGCGAAGCTTCTATCTACTTTCCTCTAATTTACACTAGTTTTATAGCCTTTCCCTTTTCCGGTCTGAGTACCCATATAATTTCTCATTGATAACCCTTATCGTGGCATCACGCTTTCCTGCATGAGTGCTTTCGTCTAGATATTTCAATTTTTCTCTTTTTCTTTTGGGGCTTTTGCAGTGAAGATATTTGTCACTACAAGATACTACTCAAGCGGCAGAATTAAATTGGAAAACAAAATTCTGCTCGGCTATTCACACTCGGAAAGCAAGTGAGGAGCAGTAGAGAGAAACGCAGACTTGGATGAAAGAAATTCATTCATGAAAATCGTTGATATGAGACTATGATAAGATAGAGACTGCCCCTCTGCGACAAAAGAATCATGTAGGTGATCACAGAGCCAACCACGATTCAAGTACTACATGCATGCGCCACTTCCCTCCACATCCAAGGCTGAGGAAATTCGCTATGGAGAGTATTTGAATGACGCAGGCTTATTCAGGGTAAATACGTCATCCACCAGCGCCATATCTGAGATATCTTCATATTGACAGGGTCGCTTGCTGACCTTCTGCCTCTTGATGAAATGAGTATGTATGTAGTTATGGGAAGAATTTTCCTTTGCGGTCATTTTGTGTAAAACCCGAGGCCCAAACTCATAACTAATGCGCATGAAATATTATAGGCTTCTCGCTCTCGCTGCATTCTAAAGGAACAAAATACAAGAAAGGGCAAAATGGAACCAAGATGTGAAAGCAGAATAAATGAAAATTAATAAAAAGCATGGAATATCTCGATTACAAACAAATGAAAGGGCGTTATAAACTCCCCCGGAGTGGCCCTGCTCTACCAGAAGCTATGGCCCACATCAGCATGGAAAAAAACAGTCCATCTGCCTGACTCGCGGCGTTGAGCAGCTCGTCCAAAACCGCGACTTCGGATCCCATCCTCCCAACTCGCAATGTGCGTCTCCACTCTCGGTATGACTCGACCAAGAATATCCGGCGTACTGGAAACGAACAGGTTGGGATTCTAGGGGTGAATGAATGAGCAGAACGTAAGGCAACTCGCTCGTCAGCTCGTAGGGCGCGTTTTTCTCATCGATAAGTACGCCATTTTCGCCATATTTGCCGGAGTCCGAACCGATTTTTTGCTTGTTCGCATCAACCAGGTTTACGCTTGCAAAAAGCCTATCCCCCAGCCAGCATGCATGGGTCTCTTTGAGGTGGAATGAACAAATGCCCTTGGCATAGTTTCCGGAGCGTTTCGCTACCGCTAATCTGCTTTCCCCCTTGTATTGTGGTGGTTCCACTGGGTCGTCGGCAAACCCTTCAAGAAATGCCGTGACGTTTCTTGAAATTGCCTCGATCAATTCCGGTGGAAGTTCTTCAGTGAGTCCATCGATTTCGAGAAAAGGGGGAAGATCTGCGGAAGGCGATTCAGATTTCAAAGGGGATGTAAACACAGGCTTAATCAGGAGTAAACAGACGCATATTTTAGACAAAAATTGAATAATCATTGATGGCAACTTTTTTGTTATCGAGAGTTTCTTGAGGTGATCCGAAAGGTAAATAGATGAGAAAGTCACTTTGGTCATAAAGATCCAGTTTCCATTTGGCAACTTCACTGCGGCAAACTCACTGCCTCTTATATATTCTCCGACTTTCCAATGCTATACCTAATATAGGGAGTAAATAATAAACCGTTTGGTATAGAAAGCTAAAACATTGCAGTTGGAGCGTGGAGACCCTGGCAATAGCCAGGGTCTTGTTTTAAGAAAACCTGATTGACGCATCCACAGTGCCACTAAACCTCCCTTTCCACGATTTAGCTGTAGTTAATTTTGAAAATAAAAGACGTCTTGTTGTGTGGGGGATGCGCGGCAATAGCTCGGCAAACCTATATTTAGGAGCAGATGAAGCAGCCGTCTTGGATAATTGCTGTTTTGTGCAGGGTTTGTAGCCTGCGAGAAAAGATCTTTGGAGATATAATAGCCACTTAGCTCCAGATAGAACGAGCATCCATCCCGCGAACCTGATGTGTGAAACAAAGTGGCTCATAAAGCATCCAGGTAATTTAGAACTTCCCGATCACCATGGTGGAAAGAAAATCGAATGCTCTTCACAGCCCTGGATCGCATAAATGAAACGTGAGCTGTAGCAACAATAGAACAGGATCCACAGCGCCAGTTGCATTCTGAAACTTTTCTTCGAGATCTTTTTAGTCCTGGAAGGTTATCTGCCGTGTTAAACCAACTACCTGACGGCTCAGTCGGGGGATAATTCCGGAATCGCAAAGAGCTGATGTTAACGATACAAGTTATGCCAGTGGAGGAGTTGTAATAACTGAAGCCATCGTTGTAGCATCAAATAACTGATCATGGGAGAATTCTGTTTCTGATACTCAGGTGTGCAACCTACTGTCGGGTCGCCTATTTGGACCGAGATGGGAAGGTTATCAAACAGCCTGGCTAAGGCTTAGTTATTTTTATAGACCTCGAAAGCCTTGTTCACATAAACGAGATAGAGGTGTCCAAGGTATTGTGTGCAAAAGACGCCGGCGAAGCAAGCGGAAGGAGACTTACACAACCCTCCAAAAATATCATGGAGATGAACAAATACAAGATAAAATAAGATCAGGTTGTTGACATCCCTATCGATCGCTAGAATGCCACGTGACCACCCTATTTAGGCAGTCCTCTGCGCCCGCTAGATCCATGTTAAGGTTGGTTCATTGTCCAACTCCATTACAGGCAGGATAAGACAATAAATCCACGTACAGTGCCAGGCCATAAATATTGGCAAACCCCACCACAGTCCTGGTGCCATTTGGTGGCAGAAAAGTAATACTTATGGCCTCGTACAGCACATGAGGCCAATGCCAGGGCTGTTTCTTTGGTGAACCCATTTCCGTAGGGATCATTTATTAATTTTGAATTGTTTTGGACATAGTAGGGTCATCTTTATTATTTCCTTTTTGTATTTGACGCAGGACCTGTCAATTTTTCGCTATCATTTTGTCCAACACTTGAGAAGTTCCTCCGACTTCTATGTGCTCTACAGTGGGATGCGTAGAACAAAGATGTTTGCTGGCCTTAGAAATTTGCATGGAACACGTAACTATTCCATAATAGCTAGCTAGCCTAACCCAAAAGATTCGGAGTTCGTTAAGCAGCTTGATGCCTCAATCTTTGGCCGCCAATTTTGGCTATGAACCCATTCCGTCTACTATGAGAGTGGACTTCTTAGTCGGGCTGCAGCATTGATTGAGATTTCCATTTAGATTTTCAAGTGTGTGCGGGCGATTTTGTTTTCCACCTCCTAACTCGGAGAGTTTCTCTGCTGCATCATTGGTAGATACCTGAGGAATGAATGTGTTGATTCCACCACTGTGTGTTCTTCGGCGAACTTTGCAAGTTTCGGCCGTAAAGAGCATTAGAGTGGCCGCGGTCTGCCTCATGGAGGTGGCTTGGCAGCACACACACGATTGTGAGGTTAAGCCCATACCCTGCATGACGGGTGACAAGATATCGATTTAAAAACAATAAACCACTATCCGGCCGTGGATGAGTTGTATATACAGACACCATCGGCTCGGGTTCCAATAGGGGCTTACGGACGTGGGAATCGGAAGTGAAAATCGGAAAGATAATAGGGTAGACAGAACGAACTCCGTTTGCATTGCCATCTAACCTCAGGCCGGCATCGAATCATGAGGGGGATTTGTTGAAGAAAAGGTGAAGCCAGTCTTCTTGTGAATATCCCTGAAAGCAAAGATGCCTGGGATAAGTTACCGGCACAGACTTCAGATCTTGGTCTGATCTTCCATGCTTCGTCTCAGATATCATGCTTGATCTTTACGCCCGTAATTACTTCGCCGCCGGCATAACAATTTGGCATGCAGCCCGAGTATGGCGCTTGTTTATTCCTAACTGACCAACCTTTTTTGTAAATTTTGATGCCTAGTTCATAGATGTTGCCGCCACCTCCACCACGATCACCAACGTCATAGCAATGTATGCGCTTGTCAGGTGCGGGAACCGGGGATTAACATTCTCATCCAGTCTACCACCGGCAAAATAACCATCACGCTTAACAATATACCTATATCAAACTTATATCGGAAATAATGTTGCCTGGCAGAAGGTCCTTGGCGGTGCTGGGGAGTCTCAAGGAAAAGAGGAGTTGGAGATGGCTTGCATCAGTTCCAAATATATAAAGATCGAGAATTCCTCTCGCCATTTCAAAGTCAATTTCAAATAAACAAGTCCACAAGCGAAGAGATCACAATAAAAGAATAACTCCCTATATAGCTCTCCCTATCTATATATCTATATATCTATATCTATATTCAAAACGAATAACGCACAATGAGTATCACCTACAATCCCGAAAATGACATCCCCGACCTTTCAGGGAAAGTGATAGTTATCACTGGAGGTAAGCCAACCAACCAACACTCCCACTCCGTTTTGACCACAATGCTTACCTTCAATCCACAGGCACTGCTGGTGTCGGCAAAGAAGCTATCAAGCAATTGATCAAGCACAATCCCGCTCATATCTACTTCACTGGCCGCAACGTACAGGCTGCCAACTCTCTCATTGACGAGATAAAGGCCACCACCAACAATGGAAACTGCATTACCTTCGTCGCCTGCGACCAAACCTCCCTCCACTCCGTGCGCGATGCCGCACAAGTCCTCCTGGCCAAATCGGGAAACCTAATCGATGTCTTAATATGCAACGCGGGTGTGATGGCCGTGCAGCCTGCGCTATCCAAGGACGGCTACGAAATCCAATTTGCCATAAACCACCTCGCTCATGCGATGTTGGTAAAGCTCTGTCTACCCGCGTTGCAAAATGCCCGAGCCAAAAGCGGAGGCGGGTCAGGGCATGGCCGTATCGTTATTACTTCCTCGCTTGCCTTTAGGGAGGCGCCAAAGAAGACAGGGATTGACTTCGAGGGGCTGAAGGAAACGCAGGGAGGGGTGAGCGGACCAGCCATGCTGGCGAAATACACGCTGTACTCGCAGAGCAAACTGGCCAACGTCCTTCACGGTTCCGAGCTGGCTAGACGTTATCCGGAACTTACTGTCGCTTCTGTTCACCCGGGAGTGATTATGTCGACAGAGCTGATGGACCATATGAATTGCGTCGACCGGTTTGTGGTGAAGATGGCTGTGAGGAATTTCCTTCACGTCGGTTTGCAAGAGGGGTCGTACAATACTCTCTGGGCTGCGACGACGACACGGATAGCAAAGACAGGTGAGGATGATGCGGGTTTCTTGAAGTCTGGTGGCATTTACCATCCTGTGGGAACGCCCATTCCACACACGCCGCTGTCTGGGGATGAAGCTCTTGCAAAGAAGTTGTGGGAGTGGACAGAGAAAGAGCTTGAAGGGTATTTGAAGTAATAATGAGGTTGTATGGTTTCTTTTTTTTGGTTTCGTTTTGTTCGCATTTAATAGGCAGTAACATGTGGCGTAGTGCTGATCCTTTTTCTGGTTATGTCCGTACATGGGGCGGACCATGTGTTGATAATTAGTTACCTCTAGCTTAAAATAAATTATTCTCCATCTATTTTGATAAACAATGTTAGCTCATGCCAAGGTCAATGCTCACTTTTTGAAAAGTTGCGACCTAGACGTTGAAGTGAGGATGATGCATTCAATATGTATTGCTATACTTTCAGACTGAGTGACCAGCCGCTATATTCTCACCAATCTCATGAGTCCGTTGTTCCACCCATCCTGCCACACACAACTTCCCTACGCATCAGGGAGATCATCGGAAACAGGACGTGAAGGGATTTCGGCAAATTGCATTTGCTCCATCTTCATTTCGTCCTCTCAGGCGATGCAAATGAAACAAACCAGTAACGAGTGAAATGGAAAACTCAAGCAGAATCCGAACTTGGGACTCCGTCACATTTCTGTGGGTGGAATGTATAACTTGAGGATCGAATAGAAGGGGTATTGGCAATAACCAAACGGCAACATAAAATTTCAAATGCTCAACCTGCTCTCGTTTCAAAGAACTTCCCCGTCGGTTCTTCGCAACAATATCAGACAACCCCATTTTGTTCTTACGCTGGAAAATTGGCTCGGTTGTACGGTGAGGAGAGGTTCGGGGGAATGTACGAGAAAGCGACAGACGTAATTTGAGGGAGACCAACGGGTGGCTCATCGGCTCCCGTCACTATTCGAGAGCTAAAATACTAGTATTGAAGGATCAGCAAGCTTCGAGCCGACGCAAGCAAGCTTCAGATTTTAGCGCAAAAAGGGAATATTCTGGAAAAATGTGGGAACCAAGTTTTGCTTGCTGGAAAAAAACTGATACTCGAACATTTCCCAAGGGTAAGCGCTTCTCAAACCACCTTCTATGATGAGCCCCGCACGTACGTATATAATATATGAATATAGGGTACTCACAATATACGGTGGTGTAAGAGCATGTGTTGTGTTTCCCATTCCATTCCAAGTTGGCAAAGGAAATTGTAGAAAGCAAAAAAAAAAAAAAAAAAAAAAAAAAAAAAAAAAAAAAAACCGGCTGCACTTGTGCAATCGCCGGGACCAAGAGGATATTTTCTTGATAGGAAGTGGCATTGACGTCGAATTCCGCATTTTTAGACAGAGTACGGTGATGATTTGCTATATGAATTGCCCTGTTCTGCTGCAAGGCGTTGGCTGAATTGTGCAGCTGGCAAGCTGAGACAGTGAGACGACGATGCTCGGAAACCATTTCGGTGAATAGTAGCGGCGACTCACGCCTTTTTGCCCACCAACTTATGTATGTCATGCACGCGCATCACTTCATATCATTTTTTCACATTCTTGGCCGACGACCGCAACGATGACTGGAACTTAGCATCGCTTTTGCTGTGCCGAGTTGCCGAATTGCCGGTTTCGAGAAATCAAAAAAATATTACAAAAAAGGAGAATACAAAATGAAATAAAAGAAGCCTCTCAAGGCACAGGGGAGAGCCGCTAGCTTACTTACTCTGGGCATTGGAAAATCCGAGGTGATCTCCAAGCGGAATATCAAGCTATCTGCTTGGTGGGGTGGAGCGGCGCTGCCCCTGAGCCTTACACCGTTCAATGGGTAGCGGAAAATCCACTCTTCTCGTGGTTCAAGAGATCACACGAGTAGATAAATAGTAGCACCAAACTGATGCAGCGACGAAATGGATCATGTCGGGACTTGAAATTGGTAATGATTTGAGTTTGTTCTCCCAGAGCCTGGCGGTTGCTGCACTGTCTCGAGCAAGGACACGGGTGGGGTGTGACCGTACCTAGGCGTGTGTCTCTGAGGGTTCGGTAACGCGGGAGGTGTCCCTAGTTTATTGTGATAGCCGGCTTCGCTGACTTCCTGCTTCATTCCTCTCGGGGCAGCTATCTTTCTCTCTCATCCAGTTGGTAAAACGACGATAGCTCTGCTACTTCGAACGTCACATCATTTCCATTATTTTCATCCAGCTCGCTGAAACTGCTGAAACATATCCGTATCGCAGCATTCCTCTGTCCAATTTCATAGGAATGCTTATCGTTACTTACTTCCTTTTGATCACTTCTTCTTAAATAGTTTCTCTTCTTCTCTTTTCGCCTATTTCTGTTATGGCTTCCTGATAGAAATAGTCGTTCGGCTATCCATTTCGCCCTCTCCCCACCTTCCTCCTCCCCTATCTCGCTGCTGACAGTAATTCAGTGACGCGGCGATCCTAATCATAGAAAAAGAGAAGAAGGAACCAAAATAAACTAAAAGAAACCAAAGAGAAAAGGCTTTGAGGCAGCTAGCCGGAGGATAATTTTCGCAAGGAGCAATGCCTCTTCTCAACGTCAGCGAGTTGGACATTGTTCTCGCGGTTTTGGATTTGTAGAGATAGCATATCTCCCAACAAATTCCAAAGCCGCCAACCCATATTCTTGCAGGAGCATTCGTCGTTCTGTATGGCTCCATCTCCGTAAACGAAGTGAACTCATGCGTAGATGTATTGCTGAACCATGGTCCGAATTTAATCAGCCAGAGTTTGGAATTACATACCCGCGATTGGTTGAGTTGGGATTCCTTGTGCTGTTTCTCCAACGCCTTCCCGCAATCCTGGTGCTGTACAAGCTCACGCCAAAAAGTGTGCAAGAACTGGAAGGAGGCCTTGTTCGTGAGATATTATGGTCCAATCGGTAAGTGAGGGACTGCAAATGAAAACCCAATACAAGGTACAAGGCATAGCAGAGCTTCGTCCCGTTCCAGGCTAACCCCTGAATGATAAAATAGGAGTTGCCACGGTTTCTCTATCTTGAACATGCCCGCCACCTTTTCCCCAAGCTCGGAGAAGGGGATACTGAAGAGACTAATCTCACCCGTGCTCTTTCCCCTAGTAAGCCTCCAAAGTTCCCACATTATCTAAACAACCAAGCAACTCTTTTTCTAACACCAAAAAAGTCGCATAGTTGTTGGTCCTTTTTTTGATTGTTTTCCACGGTCTCTCAATTCCAATTCATAACATCATCTACAAGATAGCAGGTATCAAGCCGATAGTGGATAAGGCTGGCCAGGTAGAGATGACGCCATCTTCGAGGCGGATGTCGCTACCCAAAAAATAATATGTCGAACGAGAAGCTAAATTCAATCACCTTGTGCAACAGGTCCTCGCGCGGTCCCACACGAGGGCCAAAGCATCTGGGACCTATCAAGCCCTCACGATGGGCGAAGTAGAGACTGCTAAGGAGGAGAGCATATCGAGCTCCAGTCAGCTTTCTCGAGGTCAGAGCCTTGGTCACGGAAAACGAGCATCCATTTTGAGGATAGCGGAAGCGAACAAGTGTGATCGTAATTAGGGTGCGAGAGGCTAGAGACGGCGGACCAGTGGTTTACGTAGAAGCCAGAGGCAGAGCAGAGGCCGTGTAGAAGAGATAGACGATATGAGATCGATGGATTAGCCAGAATCGCGAGGTTGACGGCAAGATAGGAGTGCGGCGGAAGTGATAGGGATTGAGATGTACAGGGTTAACCATGAGAGCACTGCACATCGCAATAACATTCCGTTCCCCTATGCGATTGCCGCAGGTGGTGTTAGAAGAAAGACTCCTGCGAGAGCTATATGGGTCCCAATGTGTTCATGTGTAGTTCCAGTGCAAAGCAATATGTGCTGTTCCACCTCCTTATCATCTCCCCATGAGGTTCTGCTGCGCTTGATGGTATTAGGAGAACTCTTGCAAGCAGTCATTCATCCCATACCAGTATGGTTTCGCGAATAGGTTACCAGTACTCCGTACTTAAAATACTATTGCTGTTTCGTTGCGTCTGTTTTATCCTCTCCCTTATTTTCTCCTGCACCAGCACGAGGAATAAGACCTTTCAGTGCTTCATGCCAAAGCGGTTACTGCTAGAAACAGAGGCTAGCCACAACATCACAGAGACGCTGGTGTAATTGTGGGGAGAAGAACAATGTTATATCGAAGAGTGGGATTCGGTGCCAACACTACTATTTGCTAGTGGTGGCAGCCGCTACTGCTATTCGATTGAGACAATCTATATTCACCTAGATAACATTTAGTTTTGTTCTAGGTAAGATTTGAAAACGCCCTTACGGAAATCGATTTCCACATCCATGTGGCGGACGGGATGACTGCCCAAAGAAACTTGCCAGCAAATGGTTGGTTTCAAAGTTAAATTAACCATAACTTTAACTGCATTTCAGGGGTTGGTTGAAAAGGGGCGGTAGCTTTTTAAAGCCATCCTCTAAAACGCAACACATAAAGTTACTAAGACACCCTCCACTGTTGACCAAACAAGGGACGGCTCGGAGAAATATGAAAAGATATTCGTGTGCTCCGTGATTGCGAATGATTTGGGGCATGTACTTGAATGATTTCATGAAAACGGAGTTCCTAAAGGAAGCTCAGGAGTGAGTGCCTCTTGACATGTATTATATATATCGGATGAATGCCATTCAACAGCGAAAAATGTTTCATATCTATCAATTCCTGTACCGTTAGCCGCAAGTTTCCAATCTTTGAATATATATATAAATCAAGGTGAAACGGACTTCGTAGGAGCAGCGAGGGGACCCACGTTTCGACTAAATAATTTCCGTGTTGATCTTCTCTTCGAGAATGTGTATGAACTTTGATATCTTTCCCCAATTCATGCTCGTGTCGACAAGTTCCAGAAGCAGCAGCTTCTTTTCAATGCCTCTCGTGGAATCCTACCGTAAATCCATACCAGCTTGTCTATCCCATCCAATCGGATGTAATATCTCCGCCAAGTCACGGAATAAGTTTTCTGATGCAGGATTCCGCCAACATTCATCTTGCTTCCCCCTTCGGCCTCTCTCAGCCCTGGCGCCACCCAGTTGGTCATATGCGTATGCGTCTATTTTATTATCAACCTGCAGAGAGCCTCCTTCGCTCATATCTACGCGGTGGTTAGCTACAGCAGCAGGTGAAGCAGCTTTCGTCATCAAGCCACAACTCCAGCATCATCGAGTGATAATTCTTGACAATAAGAAGCCACCAGCGCCAGCGCCAGTCGAGATCCTAAAAATGGATCGTGATAGATGAATAAGGCCCCAATCAGTGACAATGGAGCAATAATGGTTCCGTGGCAGTTCTGAAAGCGCGTTATCAAGAGATTGTAAAGAGTCACCAACTGGCGTGTTGTACTATTTATTACTTAATGATTAACGGCAGAAACTCCGCTGAGCGAATGGAGACCGCTCTAGTCACGTCAAGTTTTTGGCATTTTTTTTTTTCTTTGGTTGTTGTTGTTTTGTTTTGGATTCAAGATCGAAGATGCGACAGAGTCATCATGAATGGCCATGATGGCTATCTTTCAATGGAGGATGATTGTTTTCTTTTATTCACCATCCACATCGAGCTATTCTGAAATTGGTTGGGCGGATTCCACTTGGGCTTTGACGGTGCATGAACGAGGGGACGACCAATCACTTTTTCTTTTCCTTGCGATATCCATAATAAAGTTAACTAAACTCTTGTGGGATAACCAGTCAACTACCGCAGATTTAATGACATCGTGATAATCGAGGTTGTATGTTCTTTTTCGTGGTCTTTTGCAGGTTGAATTCCGGCATTGAGCATTTGGGTATTGATGGCTTGTCAACACAGAAGCTGGCAGTTCAGCCACATCCATGGTGAACGCTGATTGACGCGAGAAAAAGCCACAGGCAGTCTAGATGCAAGCCATCATGGGGAAGAATGGGTACGAGAGATATCGTGCACATTGGCTGCCTCCTCATGTGCGATTATGACAATCCGAGCGTCATTTCTCTGTGAGGAAAAGGGTTCAAGCGATAAACGAAAATAGTAGCCTCTGGCTAACAACTCTTGACGGTGCCATCTGGTTTTATCCTAAGTTGTCTCTTTCCCCTGCTGATCTAAATTAAGCATTCTTCCGGGCCTTTCTGACAACCTCGTAGATCCTCCAAACGTTAGCGGGGGTTCGCTGGTGGCAGCGGGCTCTGCGCTACTAGTTCACCCTTGCTAATGTCTAACTTCATTCATATTGGTTCGCTGGGCGCAGCGCGCTGGGCATCCCGGTATTTTTCAAGAGAGATATTCTTGGGATGAACTCCTCTGGCAGATCGGCGACATACTTGTTTGGGATTGTGCTGCAGGCAAGTCGCCGGCTTTTTGCCTTGCATCTGACTCACACATCGAAATGCTAAAAACAGCTGAGAAAGCTTCTTAAAAAAAGAAGAAATTCCCAGGGTTCACCCATGCCGCCCGTGCTTCGAATCCTTGGCTGGACATGGCTGCTCAAGGCTTGATGGTTGATCCGTATTTCGCTGCGGACCAACCAGGGAGACGTAAGACGACGATGCACAAGGGGGAGGACAAGCGAAAGAAAGCCAAGGGAGGCTGTCTGCAAACGCCTCCTGCTCGCTCGTCTCCTATCTATTCTTACCTTCGCTCTCTCCTTCTCCCTCCTCTTCTTCTGCTGTGCTCACATACTTAAACACCCTTCACGTCTGCACTCGTTTGGCTATTCCGCTCTTTCTTCTCCAACTACCGCCAAATCAGCCTATTCGCTATCTTATCTTTTTTTCTTATCAGCATATACCTTTTATTTCCTTTTATATTGTTATTAAATCTCAACAAGACAATGCATATGATGAAATCTCTTCTTGCCAGCGCGCTCCTGGTTGCCGCTGCTGTTGCCCAAGGCATTTCTTTCACCAGCTTTCCTGAGGATGTTCAGGTTGGCAAACCTGTGACTGTCACTTGGACAGGCGGCACTGGCGAGGTAATTCTTGCTTTATACCTGTTACCAAAACCCAATTACTGACCTTGTATACTTCTAGCCCGTCACCATCAAACTGCTCAAGGGACTCTCCACCGACCTGAAAGAGGTCGAGACTTTGACCAGTACGTTCATTCCGTCTATAAACAACCTTCAATCAATCCCAATTTTTTAACACTAACACGATGTTCTCACTTAACCTACAGCCACCGGCAAGGATGGTTCCTTCACATGGACCCCTACATCCTCCCTTGTCAATGGCGATGACTATGCTCTCAAAGTAGAACAGGGTGATGAGATCAATTACACCAACCAATTCGATATCAGCGGCGGCGCTGACAAACCGGCCTCTGCCTCTGCCTCCGCCTCCGCCTCTGCCTCTGCCTCTGAGTCTGACTCTGCCTCTCCCACGGCCACTTCTCCGACCGCCACCACTCCAGCCACTGTCAAAACCACTGCCAGCGCCCATCCCAGCAGCTCTAGAAACAGCACTGCCAGCGCAGCCACCCTTACCACTGGTGTGACTGTCACGCCCTCTGGTCCCACGACTACTCCTGCCACCCCATCTGCTACCAATAATGACTCTGCCGCGTCTTCTTTGGCCGCGTCCAGCCCCTTCGTGTTCATTTTGAGTGTGTTGGCCGCGTTTGCCTACTTGCATTGAGTTCCATTCGTTTTATTTAATTTGAGATCATCCAAATTCGATTTTGTTTATTTATCCTAGTTTCCAGTCATCGTTTGCTTCTTCTCTTTATTTTATTTTTGTGTGTTGGGATCCAGATATTTTGGTACTTTTATTTCTCTCTTTATTTTTTCCCCCGCAGGACGATGCGCGGGGAAGGGAAGCAAAATTATATTAGTTTTAGTCTTTCATACACCACCATATACCCTTTTTCTGTCTTACTGTTCCTTTTCTTTTCTTCACCTATGCATCTCTCCTGATCTATTGCTATCATTATCTTTATTGTTGCATCGCTCTGCCGAGTTACGCACATGCTGCACACCTTCGCTCACAGCGGCATGCGACTTCTTGTACAACCACCTGGGACAGAATTGGAATGGGGATCGGCCAAAAACTGAAAAATGGATATGATAGGGGATTGCAATTACGCGAAAGAGTGGACGGCGAAAAATGAGAAACGTCCTCGCTTGCTGTAATAACGTCGAAAGTTTCGCATAGATATAATCATACTTTGTCAAGGTTGAAGGTTTTAGCTCTTTTTTCTTGTGGTGGGTGGAGGAAATGCAACATGTGAAAGCGCTGTGATCTTTTATTTCATTGTCCCACTTCATGGTAACTTTGATTTTTCCTTTTTTTCTTGTAAACAAATAGGGATATAAATTGCTGCAGCTAACCTCCTTTGCATTTGCATTGACACCTGCATATTGTGGTTCGGCCTTGTGCTCTCCAAAACCGGACAAAGTACGCCATGCTAGATGACCTCGTTCGATGATCTAGTTCAATGACTAGGAAATTATCTTACTTTGCATACCTGACTGCATCAGGGACACCGTAAAAGAAGAAGGCAAAATACTAGGAAATTGGAGGAGAAAATTTCTATCAAGAAGAGTGAATCTCGCAGTCAAAATCGGCTTGAGCTTACTCATCGTCGACCACGTTTGTATCCGTTTCTTCCTGGAACAGTCCCGTATATGAGCCACCGTGGTGAAACATTGTTTTATACTCCAATTTCGAGATTTGAGTTTTGTTCCCTGATCACTTTCTGCCCAGTGCTAAATCTCAACTCAAGTCTAAACTCTGTTCTCTTTTATTTATTTTATTTTTCCCTTTTAGCTGGGGGATCGTCGAATGAGACGGCGGCAACAGAGTGTGCTGACATCACCAGGTGTATGAGGTGTCAATCTGTCATTTTTTTGCCAATTTTTCCAACACCTCAAATTTATTCCTTCACAAGCAGTCAAGGTATTCAGTCAAATTTCATCTCTATTCTTATATCTGTTTAGTGGTTCTGGGCTCTGTTTCATGCTAGCTGCCGCTGTGGTGTGCATCCATCCTCCTCTAACTCAGGCTCGGTCCTTTTCCCTTCTAAGCTAGCCAAATAAATAAAGCGTTGCGCAGGCGGGAACTTACATCAGTAGACCCGGCTGGCAGGTACAGAACTTTGTCTCTTTCAAGGTTGTTCATTTCTATCTCACCATAAAGATTAGTACTGTTCAATCTTCAGCCTTTTATTCACAACTGCAGAATTGTGTTTGTGTCCCTGTGGGTCTCTTCTGTGTTCCTGTATATTTCTGCCCGTTCTCTTGTCTCCAATCGTTTCCAGTCCAACCCTCCTCTTCCCACCAGATTTACAACATGTCTCGGCGATGAAGAACCATAATACATCACAGTCAGATCTAATCCAGGTGCGAAAAGTGAGCTTGAATTCATTTACCAGTATGTTGAGAAAACCACCCTTCTTCATTATCCAAGCCATGCATCCAATACCAGCAGCACTACCCTCTATGGCCTACCTGGCGCGCTTCCCATGCCTTTCCTCTTCTTCTGTTGTACAAACAAAAAAGAAAAAGAGGAGGGGAGGGAAGGAAAAGATGAAGGGGTGGAAAAGGAAGAAAAAACCACCTCCCCAAACAAGGAAAATGCGAGGCACGATTGAGCGCGTCAGGCTGGTCAAGACCAAGTTGAGCTTCTCCTGGGACTCCAGTGCTAACCACTCTCCTCCACCACCCGTGGTGGTGGCACAATTAGCTGCAGAACCCCCTCAGATCCACCTTCCCGATGTCGAAACTCGGCTCAACATGCATCAGTTCAATGGTCTCTTCGAATCCTCTGCGCCCGAGCGCCACCAGCAACAGCAACAGCAGCTCCAGCAGGTTCAGAATGGAAATGGGTCCGATGAAAACTTGCACGGTGCGCCTACCTATCAGCTTCGTGTAATCACATATATACCAAGCCAAATGTATAAGAACCCAATCACCTATACAACGGCTGCTAACATATATTTCCCACATTATCGATAGATCCCGCTACCACCCGAAACCATCCGGCCCCTTCCACAATGCCCAATGGAGAATCCCTACCAGGCCCCGAATGGTCGTCTGCTGTAGGACACGCGATGACAGGGAAATCTGGGCGGGTTATACATAATTTACAGGAAGACATAGCACGTTTGACGCGCGAATGCAGTTTACATCGATCGCGTGCGGAAGAGGCGCAACGCATAAACGAGACGCTCAAGCTCCAGCTACAAAACGTGACGGACCGATTGCGTAATTCGGAGCAGTCACACGAGGCGCATCTTATTTCGATAGCGCGCAAGGATAGGAAAATCGAAGACTTGAAGGCGGAAGTTCGAGGGGAGAAAGATAGGAGGCTGAAGGCAGAGGAGGATGCGCGCAGAACGAACCAGCTAGCCGCGGAGGAGCGGGATGAGAGCCATCGCGTACTTGCTGAGGCTTCAGAGATCGCCAATTACTCGCGCAATCAATACGAAACGCTCACCCGTGCGCGAGCGAAAGAGCAACTCGAATTCAAAATGCGTCTCGATTGCTTCCGCGCGGAGCTAAAGGAACTACGCAGTCGGGAAATTGAGAGGCAGAACCAGCTCACCCGCTTTGATGTGATCATGGAGCAGAAGAATAAGGAGATTGAAGCGGAAAGGGAACGGATGGAGCGGTTCGGACGTTTATTCGCCGAGTATAAAGAAGCTAGCGACCGCGGGATACGCGAGTTGCTGGAGAAATGTCGTCAGAACAACGCTGCGATCGATGATGTAGTCGATCAGGCGAAGGAAACTACGGGGAGGATGAGGTGGGTCATGAAAGTTAAAGATGAGGTTAGAGGGGCGGAATGACGGTAACTGCCCGGAATATCCAGTCATACACGCTCTTCTTTTTTTATTTCTTTTCCCCCTCCTCCCTACGCGACATCCAACATCTACATTCGGTGTACGATGTACGATGTTGGAGTGATTCGATATTTAGTGATACACCGCGAAAATCGGCACAGTTTCGGTTTCGATCCCGTTCCCCACGAGTTCATCTAGAGGGAAGCGTTGGTTGTGAGACTACCAGTCCTATACCCATGATTCATTCGCATTAAAAAATCCCCTCCTTTTTCAATGCGAATGAATAGAAAACCTCTCTGAGATTATGAGATCCGTCGGCAAATGTCTTCGAAACGGACCATGCGATGAATAGCCCGCATATACCCTATATCCTCAAATTACCGCCTCAGATAAATACTCGCGACCTCATTCCTATTTAACGACCATATTACTTTTTTACCAATTTCCCATGTACAGACAGCCCCATATAATATACATTACATCAAGCGCGGCCATCTAACGACAAAAATTCTTCACACCTTACACATTCGGACATACACACATACGCATATACATACATACTTACATACAACGTCCACATACATACATACAAAGATTGGGCATCTCCAATCCCCAAAACTGGACCAATATACGGCGTTTTTTATCTTCTTATCTATTTTTTTCTTCACCTTTTCCAGTTAATGTTTACGGGAAACTCAAAACGGCATCACAGGAAACGGGGGCGTGGGCGGGGTTATATTTATCATGCAATTGTTCCCTTCTTTGTTTTTTATTACTTTCGAAAGAAGCGAGAGGCCTTCCCACCGCTGTTTCTCCTGTTATTTGATTTTAATATTTCATTTTTCTCTCTCCTTCTTTCCCCTCAAGACTCTCTATTATTGCTTCTCATTTACTTCTTTTACTGTTCTGTTTGCTAATATAATATATTTTAATTGTTCCTGCCTGCTTTACTGGGCCTCAGATGTTTCATTGTTATCCAAGACGGAACGGCGTTTGCTGTTTTTGAATTTCATTTCTCCCCATTTTCTTTTTATTCCTGCTCCTTTTCTCTCCATTTTGTTTGTCTTCTTTTCTTCTTTTTTCCCCTTGCGGATTATCTTACTCCTGTTTATTTAATACACGGCATGTAAACGCAAGTCTTGTTTTATTTTTATTTCATATTTTTCTTATTTCCAATTCTAACATTCTCCTCCATCCATCTGAATTGTGTTCTTCTACATTCTTAGAGTACAAGGCCCTTCATTATATCTTCCTCGCGAGCTCCCGCCTCCAAGAGAGACACGCTCAGAAGGTAAGTGAAAGACGAAGCAAGACAAATCAGCATCCGGAATAGAACCGTGGAAAGTGGTTGGGAGGCTAGAAGGGACCTCTAATTTCGCTTTTACTTACTTGACCGTAGGTCTACGCAGCTATTATTTCTCACATACTTTTCTTTGTTATTTCCCCCTCCCCTCCAAAAAGACAAAGGAGGGCTGTGTTTTTTTTTCTTTTTCTCTCCTTATTTATTAAGTTTACCCAGCTTAATGAATACATATCACCCGGCTAAATAACTATGTAACACATGGACTCGAGCGTTGTACATGTAATGTACACTCCATCTGGTCATTACAACCCCTCGAAGATCTGCATTTATTTCTTCCCATCCGGATAGGTGTTCATGGATCCATCCCGCAGTCTACAGGCGAAGGAGAGAGTTATTCTGAGGAAAATACGTTCATTTTGAGCCTTATGGTATTGAAATGTGCTCGATTACACAAATGCTTGTTAACAACATCTGTAGATGCATCTATGAATCAATCAAGTTGAATATACAGAGGGTGTGGTCTATATAAGAATTAGAAAAACTAGAATACCCTTTGTCACCCCAGGCTACCTTCTCAATCAAGCATTCATTTGGGATGTCAAAACAAACCTCCACAGCAACACTCCATATATATTTCTCATGTTTCATCACATTCTATGGAGTGAGAGAGCATAGCTCCCACATTATTTTTGATCTGTGTTGGCCTTAGACACTTGTGTTGCCTTGTTAACATCACACAAATCCACAGACAATAAATAACAAATTGGCGCCTGAATATCTGCTGCTTGGGACTTTCCATCTTTTCTCCTTCTCCTCCCCTTCTCCCTCCTTCATCGCCTCCCTCTTTTTCATCTTCTTCTGATATTGTTGACATTGCTGGAAGCCTTGTTTTCACTAAGCTTTTACTTTTCGGTGGAGTGAGATGTAGCGAGAAGCTTCTATGCTGCCCACTGTGGTATCTCATATCGATACTCGATACCGCTACTGGCTCTCACTGTTCTCTCTGCTTGCCATACTCTAGCCGCGCTCAGTTCTCGGTTCTCCTGTCGTTCTGTTGCTCCTTTGCCAGCGGGTCAGTTCGTCAGTTCGTCAAGTTGTCCATCGATCAGTTCTTACGAAGACATAGGTTGACCATCCACAGTCGAAAGATCTTTCGTTGCCCAAGCATCACTGCAGGCCCTCTAACCCAAGTATATTGCATGAGATATCTCCTATCTAGTCCGGCTTCTCACTGGCGAACCGTCTCCGCCTTCACCTGTATGAACCCCCGTTCTAGGAACGGCCTTGGTAGAACCTCCTGTTCGGTGAAAGTTGGGGGCGTGCGTGAATCAGTGCTATCTCTTCATATTTTCTTCTTCCTTTTTCATCTTCATCTTGCTGTGCCCTTCTACTCGGTAAAGTTTTTCTCCTGTCCCTGTCCTCGTGGTCGATTTTCGACTCTTCATCAGCTCAAGCTGTTTTTATGCGTCTAATTGTTTATTCTTCCACATCCTCTTGCATCTGCCGAAGATACTTCATCATCTTCGGTGCAACGGCGTCCTGCGTACATTTGGAATACCGCTGGATTTCGCTCTCTGTTGTAATTCGATTGACGCCCAGATATCGGTGAACTATAGATATCGAAGCCCAATACTACTCATCAAGATGGAAGATTCACAGACCTTGACAGTGGCTACTACTTGGAAATTCGACAAAGACGCGGTAAGTTCGTTGGATCTATACTCACTTTCGCATAGAACCTGAACTGGAA